ATAGGTAGTATGGCGGAGTTGATTGCCCGTAATCTTCGCTTGTCGAAGTAGGGCGACGGGCGAAAAATAGGGCTGGCTGCCCAATCACATCGACTACGGCTTGTCAACGCTGCTTAATTCGAGACAAGAATGGCTCTTGGGCTTCGCTGGCACGCCTTACCCCGCGGCGCTCTTGTTGGCCAGTGGTCGATGCGGGATCGTCAGGCACGGTCAGGGACGACCCCGACCTCATTCAGGGGGGGTTGGCAAGGGACTACCTGCTCGAGACAACCGTTGTCGTCTTTTTTGAGGTCGGCTGGCTATCGTTGCATGCCGCTGTCAACAGCCCCGCCTACGTCATTTCTTCAGATTCAGACCCGCTCGACATTTCGCCCTGCTTTTCGTAGTCTCATGCGGGGCGAACGTCTCCATCCCCTCTGCTCACAAGGTCCTGACAAGCTACTCAGACACTCCGTATTCCTGCAGCAGGCCCGTCCGCCGAAACTCGGAAAGGAAAAGCGCCGAGAGCAACCCGTTCACAAGCCAGGAGAAAGGGAAAAAAAGTAGGAACTCCACCAGCAACCAACTCATCAGCCCCACTCATGCATGTGAAAAAAATCAAGATTCTGCACAGCACGAACACCCGTATCTTTCGCTGCCCGTCTTATCCACGGCGCACGAGCACACGCGGGTAACGGGAGACGACGGCGTGTGCGTGGTGGGTTTACCGGTCAAAAGTGACACAGACCGCCATTTCGTACGTGCTTGGCTTGCACTGACGAGCACATCTCCACTCACAACACCCACATCCACAACCCCACATGCACATGCCCCACCCGCGCTAGAGTCTTTGGAACTGACCGGCGGGTGGACGTGTTCTCGAAACGCAGAATTTTCCTTCTGGAAGCCTTCCACGCCTTCCAGATGCCTTCCATGCCAGGTTTCTGTCGTTCCACCCCCCCGTATCTTGGATCTTGGATGTGATGAGGTTCCTGAGGCTCTGCCCATCATGGCTCGGCTGAACCCGAAATCTGCTTATGCACGACAGACTGGCTGTCTGGCAGGACGCTTTGGCCAAAGCCAGCCTTTTGGCTGCCCGTGGCTGCCGCCGGCCTGCCGCCATTGCCGCCCCCGGTGTCCGTTGCCGGTGCTACGTGGTGTGGTTGGTCGTGGCAGGCTGGGGTGGTGGGTGGATGGGCAGATTGCTGGTGACGTTGGTGTGCAATGCGTCCCTTTACTGTTGGTGGTGGCTGAGGATGGCTGCGTATGTCAGCGGATGGGTGTGGCAGGGCCGTGCCAGGTGGTTGAAGGAGTGGTGTCTGTGGCTGTGAATGACTGTGCTGCTTCCGCGTATCCACACCACGCGTGATTGCGGCCGGCTTCTCATTTGTTTTCAGAGATATCTTTCGCGCAGGATCTGGCTTTGCAACAGTGCTTATTCGCACGCTGCCGACTTCGGACGGAATGACAGCTCACACTGTGCTTGTGTTGTGCTCGTTATCCTTGGACCTCACCGTGTGCTCTTCGATAGTGTACCCAGCCCGGCACCGAGTTATCCACGAATACTTATCTAATGTGTCGTACCACATCTGATGATACTCGTCAGTATCAAGAGCTTTCGATGGTCTGACCTCTTAGGGCTTTGTTGATGCTGTGTAACATAGTGAATGGCTGATCGTGAGAGGTCTTGTCCCGGCATGAGTAGGGAGGTTGCAAATAGCGTTGAAAGCGGACCCCCGAGAACCGGGCAGAAAGCTATAGGTATGTGTCTTGAAGTAGTTCGAAAAACCGTCTTCCGCCTGAAACCATTTTCAAACATTTGTTAAGAAGCAAACAACAGCTAAATATTGGCCGCATCGCCGTATATTTGATCATATGCTGCGCCAGTGATGGCTCCCTCACCTGCTTTGATACTCTTAATGAGAGTTGGAGAGCACATACGTGGCCTTTCCGAAAGGGTGTGTGAGCGTTTGGTCATCACGAGTGAGCTTATGGGCACAAGGTTTGGTGCGCTGCCATCGACTAGTTGGGGCTCTCGCCCTGGGCTACAAGATAAACAATTGTTTCTACGAAGTCGGTGGCGGATTCCGTCGTACTTTATTCAGAATTTGTATGTTTGTAGATGCAATGGGCACTCGGTGTGAGCTTACTTCAATGTTGCACGTCTTGTCAAGGTACACCAGATCTCGTGCACATTATCAGTCATCATTCGACGCCATTACTGCTCTAAAGCACCTCTAAATTACGACGAAGAATTTAGAGTAAAAGAGATCATGACCATGATCATGGCCTATCTTCTTCCAAAAGATGCTTAAATGATAGGAAGAGCTCAAAACAGTCTTCTCCATCGATGGCACATAGACCCCGGACTTTTTAAACTCTACTGTACTATAGATGGGAAGCAGGTAGCCAGAGTGGTTTCTTATGATGTAAAGAGTGAAGATAGAGATATTGTCGTCTACTTGTAGACGTTCCTTTAATAAGGTGGAAGTGGAAAAGGCTACCTAATAACACACCTCCACCATAAAACGATCACTTTGGCACTTCGTAGTGTCGGTGCTGGTAGCAAATAAGTGGTGTGATATTTACAATGAAATAGACCACGCGCCTCCACCTTATGGCGGAAAGTACACTCACTTATTAATGCTAGAGGACGCTTAAATGGTCACGGATCATGAAGCTCAAAAATTAGCACCAGACCTGTTGCGCAGCTGTTAAAGCTGTCGTTCAATTTTATAAAGATTCCGCAAATATAACCCTTCCAACATTACGGCTCTATTGAAGGAACTTTCTAATACAAGATAAACCCGAGCTTCACTGCGCGTGGAAAGCAAAAGATATGAAAGTATTTCTCCGCGGCCAGGAAAAAGTGGTCATGAGCAAGTCTACGCTCCAGTCATAAATCTGAGGTGTTGCTCCTGATGATGATTATCACAGGAAATTGGTGAAAACTACCATTACTTTTGTTTTTCAATCTGACGCTTTGGCATCTGGCCTGACTCTTGTATATGGTATCCTGTCGACGAAAAACACGAAAGCGGGGGAGTGAGGTGCTGGGTATCACAGACACTTGCTCTTGTCTGGAGAATGGTCTAGTTCAGAGCCTTTAGCTCTTGCTTTTAAGCCATACCTCAGTGAAACGAGCAAAAGACACAACGCTAGTGACCATATGCCACATGGACTGTTCATCGGGCCTACTGAAAGCTCCGAGGGATCCGCTTGTGACTATATTGGCTATGCGATCTGCTGAGGCTTGAACTTACAGAGTGAACGGCTGGTATATAAAATGGCTGCCATCGCTATCATGGACAAGCGTGGTAGCCATGCCAAACATAGGCGGCAGTTGACGAGAAAACCCATCGATGTACTGGGTGGAGAGTCTCCCTCTTCCCACATCCATTTTCTATCATTGTAAGAAACAATTTGATGCTTGGTTCGCCGACAGACTGCTAATCTTCAGGGTCAAACAATCATGGTGAGATGTATACTTATGGTGTGGCTTATAATGAGACGTTGCCGCAACTCTCAAAGTTGACACAGCTGGAAGGGTTGAGATGTGAAGTAAAACCGGCACAGCCAGAAGTGAAGGGCCTCCATGTTGTCACCCCATGGCTAACACCCTTGATGTGCAACGGATTGCCTCTCTGGTCCCTTACGAAAAGCGGTAGCTTTCAAAAGAATGGTATAAGCTGTCGTCACCAGAAATCAGGTTGGCGCCTTGAATGCCATCCATGAATGAAAGCCATAGCCATGTTCGATTCTTTTGGTAAAGTAGTGTATCCCGTAAATCCTCCCCCGAAAATAGAATGACGCCCAACATGCCAGAGTTGCTGTACACGGCCTTCAATATCCTTTTCACTTGCAGGATGCAGGCCAGCCCATCATCGTCTCCATCTCATAGCGTACAGTATGCACCGTCATCTTGACCTCAACCCGCCGCTTTCAATGCGTCCCGTGAGATTGCACTTGATCATTGACGAAGATTTCCCATTACATTGTTCTCTGTGATTACGCTTTTTACGCGGGAAGAAGGAACTCGCTCCAGCTGCTGTGGAGGAAAGCGACACCAGCCTGCCAAAAGATGAATCAGTACTCGGCTTTTCATTGTTGCTTTTAGACCCCGCAACTTCATCTCGTCGCCTTCGTGGAGCGATGGCGGCAGCGAGCGCAATGCGCCAAAGTGACTTACAGCGAACATGGCGACGCCGGTGACGACAGAGCGGTTCTCGGGGTCGGTGACGGCGGTGTACGCGGTGGAGAAGATGCTCTTCGACTCCTGACGACGGGGAACGGGTGCGCGCTTGGGGGCCATGGCTTCGGGTGTTTTGCTGGTGGGAGTTGTGGAAGAAAGAAGATGGAGGCGCGAAAGGTACTGCTGCGGCGGCGCGCGGTTCCAATGTTAGCGCACGGTTTTTCTTGAAAGGATTTTGACGCAAGTATCGCGCAGATACGCTTGGGCTGGACGTACGGTATTAGCGGTGGAGGACCGGGATGCGCGGTGGGATGGGCTTTGGGATGGTGATTTGATGTTGGAGCTCGGTGGTGACGGCGGACCTGGAGCCATGATGCACATTTTTGGGTGACTAAGCAGCGCCAAGAATGACGATCCATAGATAAATTCATGGATGAAGAGGGACGATGGCAGCGCATTTGCAGCCTCCGTGGCACTGGCGAATCGGAGAATATTCACGTCAAAATTGATACAATATCTTCTATGCTGGAAGATTATCTGGAGGTAATGGAAAGATTTCCAATTGCCACGCTCTAACTGCAAATTGGAGACTATATCCAACAGTCAAGGGCGGCCAAAATGCTCAAGATCTAAAGCAGATTCCTCCTGGCTAAGGCCCAAGGGTTTCCTTGAGATTCTGATTTGCTTATCCACCAGGAGATACATAGAGCCACCCGGAAAACTATAAAAAGCCCTACGCCACTTAACGCCTTTCGCCAATATGCTTCTGATCTTTTTTGTGATACTGCGCGGGTTCTATCCCATCAACTCTGTTGCCGTGTCGGGGTATCTATGCGCCCTGGCGAATGCGCTGGAGCTCGCGCTCGGCGTTGTTGTACCTGTTTTCTGATTAACTTTTGGGCGGCCTCATGCAGCTACAGGTGTACGCACTTGAGAAGCTTCTCGATCAGATCGACGTGGGTCATGACCATGCGGCGGCAGCAGTAGCGGTTAAGCCTAAGCTGGTCCATGGCGTCACTGCGCAGCTGTCAGTAGCATATCCTTAGCATGTCGAGGTGGTGATCGCTTACCCCTCGTGAACGCCCTCCTCAATCAAGCCAACAAAACGTTCCCACAGGTCACCGATGACCTGCCCATGATATTAGCAGGTGCAGGGGCGCGTCAAATTGCGGGATCGCGATGAAAGCGTACCTTGCCGCACGAGAAGCACCGGACGGGGATAATCATGGTGGCGGTAATGAGCTAGCGGAGCGGCGACACGGAGCTGGGCGACGATGGGGCTGCGCGGGCAGGTTGTACGGGAGTGTGGTCGAGGCGAGAGAGTTTGGGTGGGTGGATGTTCGGACGGTGCAAGAAAGACTTCGGAGGTGCCAGCGCCAAGACCCTGACCCGCGAAAAAGTAGTCCGCTGCGCCAAAAGTTCACCTCGACCATCACCTTGCGCGACAACACCATGGCCGCCCCAACTTCCGTCCAGGACGCGCCTACCACGCCGCAGGATGCCCGTCGCAAGAGAAAGGCCAAGGACTCCTCCTCCAGCAAACACGACGCCAAGCGCATCCGTACGCAGGACGAGAAAAACGCCGCAGCTTCTGGAACAAAGCAGATCAAGACCGAGACCGCGCTTGCCATTGTGGGAGACAAGAATACGCAAACCGTGAACCAAGACGCGGGCGACGTCGTGAAGACTAAGCTTCGCCCGGACAGGAGCAGCTGGTACACTTCTGAACCTGCGGGCGGCCGCTTTCTGCCCATCGACCCTGTCTTCAGCAAAGATGAGAGGTATGACGGAGCGCTCCCCATCCAAGGGAGCTCAGCTGATCGTGTCTCCTAGATATATTATTTTCTCCACGGCAAAAGCTGTGCACATTTACTCGACCGCAACCTCTCTTCTTGTCCGGACGCTTCCAATGGGCACCAGCCACAGCATCACCGCATACGCCTTGTCAGACGCTGAGCCGAACCAACTTTACGTTTCCGACGCATCTGGTTATGTTATTCTGTGGGACTGGGTAAGCGGGAAGAAGATCCAGCGGTACAACCTGTCTGCCACCATCCGCGGCATAGCAACCAGCGCCGTAGAAACCGACAGCGGAGACAAACTCGACACCGTATTTACCCTGGACAAGGGCGAGCGCAACATTATCTACGCCCAGAGGTTGCGTGGTCACAAGGACGAGTCTGAGAAGGTTGCTGAGCCGTTGCTCAGGACCAAGGTTCCTCTTCAGTCTTTCATCGTGGCTGGTGGTGGCCAAGTTATTGCCGCAGCCGCCAAGGATCGCGTCTTTGTTGGCCACTTGAAGAATACCTCTGCTACGACCCCCAAGGATTTTGTTTTCATTTGGAGAGAGCTCAGCTGCACGCAGACAATCACCTCCATTGATATCCGAGTCAGCCGTCAGGAATCCGCGAAAGCCACACCAAAGAAGGGCGCATCGCCGATCGGTCAAGTCAACTTGGTCATCGGTTGCTCGAGCGGTGCACTGCTCGTCTACGAGGACATCATTTCTAAGCTCAGCAGCGCTGAGAAGCAGCAAAAGAAGGATCCGAAGGACGCTCCCTCCCCGCTTTCCCTGGCTCCTCGCCATCTCCATTGGCACAGAAATCCCGTTGGGGCCGTCAAGTGGTCATTGGATGGAAACTATATCATTTCCGGTGGTCAGGAGACGGTTCTTGTTCTTTGGCAGCTTCAAACTTCTAAAAAGCAGTTCCTTCCCAACCTTACGTCTACCATCGACGGTGTTGTGGTTTCTCCGAGCGGAACTTCGTACGCTGTTCAGCTTGCGGATAATTCGGTCATTGTTCTCTCAACCACTGAATTGGTCCCGAAGGCCAATATTGCTGGAGTGCAGTCACGCTTCTTCACTCTAGAGGCGACTGTTGACAAGGTTATACTGGACGAGGTCCGCCGCACGGCTGCTGCCATCAACCCGCAAAATCCCAACCAGATTTTGCTTTCTGTTCCTGCGTCGCAGCCCAGGACCGAAGCAGGCACAACCAGTCCGCCTGCTCCATTCCTCCAGAGTTACGATATCTCGTCCAACCATCACGTCTTCCGCCAGGCCATCACGCGTAACAACGCCACCAACATCAACCAAGGCCCGAATGCAACTAAGCTGCGCGAGCCTGATCTTCGGCATCTGCAACTCAGCCATGATGGAAAATGGCTTGCTACTGTCGAGGAGTGGGCTCCGCCAGTGGAGGATATAGAACACCTTGCTGTGGAGAAGAAGATGATTGAAGAAGAGCAGAATGCTAGGCGTGAGGTCTACCTCAAGTTCTGGCTCTGGAATGAGGAGAAGTCCCAGTGGATGTTGGAGACCCGCATTGATGCACCGCACAAATTTACCGACAAGGTCATCTCCGGTCGTATTTTCGATCTGAAGTACGACCCAAGCAGCACCTCGTTCGCCACCGTTGGCGAAGATGGGTTTGTCCGTGTCTGGGCACCAAAGACCAGGCTGCACGATGGCACCGTGGTCAGAGGAAACAAGGGTGAGGGTCTCGTTACCTGGTCGAACCGCAACGCAATTCGGTTGGAGGCAGCTGTCGAGGGTCTGGATGCCAACTCGGATATCCCCAGCGAACTCGTCCCCGTCCACGCCCGTCTAGCCTACTCTCCCGATGGATCCGTCCTCGCCGCAAGTCAGGAATTCTATGGCAACAACAGCCAGGGTCTGGTTCATTTTATCGACCCTAGCACTGGAGCCATAAGGTACTCCCGTGGAGGTCTGTACACCACTGGTCTGGTTGACCTTGGCTTCGTTGGCCGCCAGTTCATCATTGTGTCCAACTCGCTCAGCGTGTGGGACTTGGTCGATGACGAGCTCAACTACGGCTACAGCTTCCGTCCGCTGGGTCTCACTCGCGCCCAGAAGGCCGAGATCGCCCACCTCGCCATCAACAACACGGACGGCACATTCGCCGTCTCGCTGCCTCTGCCGGAGCAGCAGAAGAAGAACAAGGCCATCAAATCGGAAGCCGAGACAGACGCTGCTGCCAAACAACAACAGCCCCAACCCCCCAAGAAGCGTCAATCCAAGGTCTTCGTCTTCTCCACCTCCTCGCCTCGCCCACTCTACTCCATCGTCGTCCCGCAGATCGTCACCGCTCTCCTCCCCGCCGGCAACAACAACAAGGGCTTCGTCGTGCTCAACTCGTCCGCCGAGATCCGCGTCGTCGCGCCCAAGACGGCGGCCGGCCTGCAGCTCGTCGGCCCCGTCGCCGCACCCGAGGAGAACCTGGACCAGTTCGTGGACCAGGAGACGGCCCTGGAGCCGCTAGTCGACGACGATGACGAGGAAGAGGTTGAGACCAAGGAGGAGATGGAGAAGCTGCCGGAGGTGCCGGATGAGATGGTGAATGACGGGGATGAGAACGACAAGCCGGTCGTCAGGCCCGAGATGCTGGCTGGCGTGTTTGACGTTGGGCCGAGCTTCGCGCTGCCCCCGGTTAGGGATCTGTTTGAGGCGGTTGTGGGGTTGTACGGGAGGAAGCCGAGGGGCGGTGTGGTCGCGGCTTGAGGATAGGTCGAGTATAGAGGAAGAAGTTGGAAAGTGGGCTGTGTCTGGCTCGGGGCGTACGTATGTGATGCATTGTTAATAGGCGTATAGCGCGGGAGGGATGGATATCAAAAGTTGAGCTTTCTTAACTGTATACTCAAAGTATGTTTCAAATCGGATCGAAGGTCATGCCTCAAATTCACTTTTTCACGGGGTCATCCGTAAGCATATCAAATAAAGCCGCGCACTAGTTCGGGAATATACCTCTGCCGGCTTTGAAGCACGAGACCGCTATATATGACGTCAAGTTTGATTGCGGTGGCTATAAAAGGGTGCTGACCGAGACTTCTAACTCCTTCGCTCGCCATTGATGCATCCTCCAAGCGCAAAGACTACAATAGAATACCACAAGACAACCTTACTGTTCGTGTCTTGCGAACATCACGGACTTTTGTGCCCGCTCTCTCGCGCTCATGTCTTCTCTCCCGTAAAACTCAACACCTCAGCAGCAGTCGTCTTTACCGCTACGTCTGAAGGAGCCCAATTGGTACTATGCAGTATTTTTGAGTAATAATGCGGTATATCGCATCGCAGACAATGCTGAGCACACGAGGTGGTTTATCGAGGAGTGAAGTAGTTCGCATCTTGGTCACGGAGCAGCGAGAAGTGCGCTGAGACTACTTCACACTCCACAGTGTCAGTGGAGAGAAAAGGATCTTGCACTTAAGCGCATTTTGAGCCTTTAAAGCAGGAGTGTATGTCCTGCACGTGCTGGGTGGATCGTGGCATCATGAGGGTATAAAAGAGATAGGCTTGACGGACCTGAGAGTTTGTAACACCGACAAGCCCCACAACTTGTTAGCTGTCATGACCGAATCTCACATCCCCTACTGCGTTGTTTCTGGAAGTAGGGATGATGCACTAGAATCTGTTGGAGCGGACATTTGAGGCTACGGAAATGGTTCTTTTAGGTTGCCGAATCATAGACTTTAACCCAGATTGAAGATGCTGTCTATCATTTATCTCAAGTGCTGAGCTGCTTGATGAGAGCTTGCTGACTATTAGGATTTTGTTTGCAGTTGTTGACGTCATGTTTACACTGAAAAGCGCCCTCTGTCATTCTTAGACCTTGTATATTGCAAAGGGAAGTGAAATGATGGTTGCTCACCACAGTTGACTAAATATCTGAATACTGGTTTGTAAACGATGGAATGATTTCATTGGAGAGAAGACATTTAACTAATTTCGGTCACCTGCAGTGGATAGCCATTGCTGATAAGCGACTCCAGCGTCACGTACGCATGGAATTTTCTCACACACACCATATTCTTGCTTTGATGTCCAAAATTTCTCAAGTGATGTTCACAGGTGTACTCAATTTATTCATCAACATGACCAAGCCCCACAGCAGCACCCACGCAGTTGACTTATTCAAGCCCTGTAGATTGTGAAGTACGCAGCGGAATACCATATTGGATACCTCAGGTCACTTCGGCTCGTCCGCTATCCTACACCGACTATCGGAAAGCGAGAAACAGAAAGAAAAATAGACAAGTCATATCGTGCACTACAAAATGAAGTGACACCAGATCACCACCACCCACTAAATATTAAAACAAGCTATCCGCATCCCCTTAGGTAAGCAAGGAAGATACTCACGAAACACTTTGACAAAGATTTACTCCAAGAGGAACCGAATCCTTTTCCAGTATCGAAAAGGGTTATGTAAGGTGTCTATGAATTTGTACAATGTAACCAGGAAATAATGGCAAAGGTTGTGGGAACCGCTGCTTTCGCGGACCATGTTCCTGCAACAAGAGATGTAGAGACATGGGAGGGGGGTATTGCACCAACTTCGCTGAAAAATAAAAATGGACAAATTAAAGCCAGCAGCAAGAGTATAGAGATATGCGCAAAGCCTGCTGGTAGTGTGCTCCATATCTTCAAGAGAAGAAAGAAAATCAAGCTCGTCCAGGATACTCGCTTGCACCTATGAGGTTGAAGAGATGAGGGAAATAATGCTACCGCAAATGACTAAGCCGCCCATGCATTCCCAATAATAGAACGCCCGTGGATGCAATAGAAAATAACGGTGCAGTGGTGGTATTGAGCGATCATGATTCATGCGACGTGATCGACAGGAGAAGTGATGACGGTGATGACGGCGGGGTGGTGGGACGAAGGATCGGAATCTCGATCTCCCGAGGTACTTGCTTTTCCGAAGTGGAGCGAAGACTGCTGTGCGATGTTGTATTTGCTTCTGCGTAGCTGCTGGAACATGCACAATGCAAGCGTTTGGTGGGGCTGTGTCGCGTCGCGGAGCCGGCTTGGTCTATCGCTAGTTCGAGTCGGAAACTGATGACGCATACCACCACGCGAGGAAGATGCTACCGATGAACAAAAGCCACCGCTGAGCGATGACAGAACGGTTTATAAGACTGTACAAGCGTTTCCGGAATGCCTGTCAGCAACAACCGAGACATGGCCAACGAATTAGCATGGGAGCCTTGGTTCTCTGCTGATGGAACCCATGCAAACAACAAACGACTCGCCATGCGTGGAAGGAGGGAGATGAGTTGATCCAGAGGGGAAAAAAAAGATATATGAAAAAGAAATTATAGGAAAAAAATCGTGCCAAAAGCCAGCGGTCCGAGACGATCAGGCCCTATGCACGGTTGGCTTTTATAGTGAGAGAATAAGATGCAAAGGAAAGAGACACTCACCACCGTTGAGACTCTATCCTCCTGATCCAACTGACGACGATCTTTAATCTTTCTCGCACGCTTGTAGTCGGCAACAAAAGATACTTCTCTTCTTCCGCTATCGGCAAAATACTTGCGAACCAGAAGGGAAACATTGCTGGATCATCCGGGGGGCCGCCGTATGCATCTAGGATGCGTTGATGTAGCCAAGGGGCACTGTTGGCTCGCATTCTTTCGATAAAATCAACGCCAATCAGGAGCATCTCGCGAGTGGAAAGGCTGTCGATGGTTGGCTCAGGCGCATGACCTGCTTGCGGCGAATCGTCGGCCAGTTGCGTCTCACGGGCTGCCTGGGCATTCCTGATGTCCTCGGCCTCGAGGCGTTCCTCTTCGGCAAGGCTGACATCCTCGATTCGCTCGACGTTTCCAATGATGTATCCGTCGTGCAGGCCGTGGTCGCGTACCCGAAAACGGGTGGTTCCTCGAGTTTCGATGAGGCTCCGGCCATCTGGCATCATTTGGACACTGATGATTTGTAGCATGGTGCCGTACTCTTTGAACTGCACCGGCCCGAGACTACCCTGGTTGGCGCCAGAACGATTGTACATGAGCATGCCAAAGGTACCATTGCCTTCCAGTGCTCTCCGGATCATGAGACGATACCGTGGCTCGAAGATATGCAGGAAGGTAGGCATGGCTGGAAATCCAAGAGTACAAACGAACAGCGAGGTATCCAATTCGGAGATCCCACGTTCTTCTTCGGCGACTGCTTCGGCGCGAATGGTGACAAGCTCAGGACACAAGGCGTTCAGCAGGGCAACCAGACAGTGATTGCTGGACTGACCTTCCAACGAAGGTGGAATAGTCAAAGAGCGTCGACAGACGGGACAATGTACGGTGTGATCCAAGGCGCGGACCAAGCATTTCCGGCAGAAGGTGTGGCCGCAGGAAGTGGTGACGGGGTCCAGGAGGAGATTGTAGCAAACATGGCAATCCAACTCTTTGTGCGTTGCCTCCTTCAAGCGGTCGAGCACAGCGACGTCCAATTCACTGAAATCGCTACCGTCTTCGGCCAAAGAAATGTACGAAACTTCCGAGGTGATGTCCAACTGGCCCATGTCGGCGAGGGTGTAGGTCGCTAGGAGACGGCCTCCATGCAGCGTGATGGTGGTGCGCTGAAGCGGGCCTTCCTTCTCAAGACCATCCATGGGTGTGTCTGCGGTATGATTTTGTATGACTTCCAGCATGGTCGGCGAGTCGTCAGCGGCGGGTTTACTCTCGTCCATGACGTGGGCCACAAGCTCCATGATTTTCGACAGGGTGACGTCCACATTGCACTCGCCCACGGGATGCTCGCGGCCGCAGTCCAGGATGGGACATTTTATGCCAAGACGGCGGTCAGGCGTGGCGGGATATGAAATATTCTGGCGGTGGAAGGACTCGGGCAGACAGTGGCGACAGAGGGCGTGGCCGCACGGAAGGGAGACGGGAGTGCGGAAAGGCCGCGAGCATTGGGGGCACTGGACGAGGCGGACGATCTGTCGAGCATCTTCGTGGGCAGCTAGAGCAACAGCACTCTTCCCGTCGGCGGGGTGGGTATCATGGCTTCGCATCAAGTCTGGGTGGGCGAGCTCGAGGTCCAAGGACTTCTCTCCACTGCCTGTGAAGGAAGGTCCTGCGGCTCGTAGCAAGCTCATAAAGCGTGGATTATTGCATGCACCGGGATTGCTGCGGTGGAGCGTCGGGAGTCGTGGTTCGGCGGCGAATTCTTGGGCGGGGGCGGGACCAGGGTCTTCAGGGCCAGAGCTGAGTGGGCGGCGTCGGATCTCGCAGGCGGAGAGATGGCGAGCGGTGGGCCGCCACCGGGATGGGTTCGGGAGCGGAGGCTGCAGCTGGGATCAGGGCGGCGATCAACCGAGGCGACGCAGAGGCGTAATATCGAGAGATGGTGAGGACGGTGGGAGCGGGCGGGCGCAGGCGGACGAGGACATTATTACTGATTGGGCTGGGCGGACAGATCGGCGATGTGCCCAGTGTAGTGTGTAGGAGGCTTCAGGATAAGGCAGAGACCGATCTCTGGCACAAAAGACGATGCGCTGGGATCGCAGTTTGTTAGGGAGTGCGAGCCCACGGCTGTCGGCGCTCCGGGCAGTGGTGACGCCAGAGCAAACCCGCCGCGCGCCCGGCCAATCACGGCGCCGCGCCCGCTGATACAGCTCGCCGCGGCTCCTCCGTGCACCTGTCAAAGCAAGTCACCAAGCCCGGCCCGGCACGTTCACCATTTTAGCGGCAGAAAAATCACCCAAACCGCGCTGTTCCTACCGCACATGAAATGTCTCGGCTGCGCGCGCCTCCGCCCCGGCCTGCAGCCAGCCGCCCTGCTGGAGAAAACCTACTCCGTGCACTCAACCTCGCTGCCTTCCCTTCCCGATTCGTTCCCTTCGCTCCGCCACCACCGCAACCAGCGACAGCTGCTAGCCCGCACGCTAGCCCACCCATTTCTGGGGCGGAAACGAACGTTGGAGGTGCGACGCAATACGCGACCCTGTAGATCGTTTTGGTGCCGTCGAGGCGTCATCGACCTGTCCACGCCTCGCTCCTCATTGGCTGCCACTCTCCCCTCACTCGTCCAGACCCCCCATTCCGGCTGACCACCACGCCCGCCCAGCAATCACCACTGCTTTCGTTGACCAGTGCCCCCTCAGCCCGCCGTGTCTGCAAAGTGCCTTCCCTTCGATAAGAGCTTGCCCTTGCCTTCAGAAGACCACCAAGAACACAAACCAGCCATGTCAATCCTCCATCAGCCGCAGCTGGAACATGGAGGAGCGTAGACCTGGACCCTTTCGTTCCCTCGCCACCACAAGCCTGGAACAAGCCACCCCACAGCTTGTTTTCCACTCCACCTGCATGCGCCATTCCCTTTTCTGCAATCTGTCGAACAGGGGCGCCACAGGTAGGGCTGAAGCATCCGAAGGGACCCTTTGACAATACGGTTAGGTCGAGCTAACGACAGCTGGTGTCTCATGTGAGAATCATCGATGAAACAAAGACATTCACCAGTCCTTCGGACTTGGGCGTCCGAGTCTGTGGAGCTCAACACTAACTGCCCTGTCTGTAGAACCCCACCATTCATCACGCCGACCATCGCTCTCCTAAACCTTAATGCATTCAGCTGACGCTTTCCGCCAAGGACGTGGGCCTCTGCTAGTCCGCACAAAACAAAACAGTGCTGACGCGCATATATATCCATTCTCCGCGAGCCATTCATAGCCCCATGATCAATCTATTTCGTAAGATCCCACGATACCGGGCGCAAGTATACCGTGGTTCTCCATCAGGTACTACGCAATCAGCTGTGAGTGAGAGGAGAGCAGCAATCGCCGTCTGCGCCACATGGAAGGATGACGCCACAATGCGCTGTAAGCAGAGAACGAAAAAGCTTAACCTCGAATATGCCACACACAGAGAATGGAAATGTATCCGTAAAATTTCCGAACTTCTTGGTGTCTTTCCTTCACGCATCCACGTCCCATCAAATGAAGGGAACTCCATATTGAGTACGAAATATCAAACGAATAGTCTGTCCCAAACTTTATTCATCTGCACGTACGTGATGCGGGTCGGCCACCATCAACCACAGTTGCGACATGCACCAGCGAACAGCTACGCTGAGAACATTTTGGTGTTGCAAATCCGTTTAATTTCTTACTACCTACCACCCACACTCACAGCTGTGCCCTTTGTTGCTTAGAAACAAAACGTAGGAAAGCAAAAGGTTGAGTGAGATAATCTTACAGTACAGGCTCCGCGTGCAGACTGGGGCCAGTACTCCGTCCCTTGCCAACAAAGTACCCACTCACCGGCAGCACGAGTGACCAATCCTACCATCCCACCAATCACCCTTCCATCCCATCTAATGCTTACCCATTCCCACGCTTCAAATGCCCCCACAAAAACACAATACTGCTTCTCCATTTCAAACACCAAAAGCAAAAAGAAAACAGAAGCGAGTCAAAGAAATCCAAAAGAAAACAAAAAAGAAAATATGCCCCACTCGATGCGCGCTGCGCATCTGTATTCAAACTCAAGCCTACATCGCGCACAAGAAACGCTCGCTCACACTTGCTCCCTCTTTTCTCATGCCCGATGTGCACCGGTCTCCCTTTTGTTTGACAAAAATCAGATTCCCCCCAAAAGATGCCTAACTCCGCTTCGGTGCCGAAAGGCGAGAGAACACCACGCAGATAGGAAATGGAGAAAAGAAGAGAGAAAAAAAATAAAACGGGAAATGCCTATCCGGCTTTCCATGTCTTTCGGGTCCCCTTAACCCCCCTCTCCATGATTTGAGGGGCATGACCGATCCAAACACCAAATCTCCCTTCTCATTGTTCCTTGCGCTGATCTCCCGTACTTGTCGATCCTCGGGTTGAAGATCTCGTGTGCAACCGGTGCGTGTACCCCTTTTGCAAACCCGAGCGGCTGATCTGAAAACAAGCCAAGCGAGCCACTGCACAGTTCCGTGGAAGGAGAAAGAAGAGAACCGTGGAAAGGGTGAATACGAACCGCCGTAGACTTGTCTCACCCTGGAGAGGTGAAGACTTACGACCGTCGTACAAAGTGGGGGAGGGAAAGAGCAGAAAGAAAAAGAAATCCATGACGCATGCGACATGCCGCTTCGGACAATGACCTAAATGTTCCACCCTCTCCAACCCAATGTCCGCACCTGCGTCTATGATCCACTTCTCCCCTCTTACTCTTCCCTAAATCCCCACTTTTTTTTGGTATCGGCTGAGCTGGTGCTTATGTCTGACCTTGACGATCGCGCGCTGCTCCGATAGCTTGTCCGCTATCGCCGCTGCGCATGGAAATCTCCTCAAGTCACCTCGACAGAAAGTTGGCTGGGCCGTCTACTAGTCCCGTTGGTCGCCGCTGCCATCGGTGGCGGGTATTCGTTTTCGTCGCTATCGTCCTCCGAGCTGCTCTCTTCCTCGAGCACTATCCGCCGAAGCACGTTCTTATCGAAAAGGTCGATGACGAAACGGCATACCGGAAGCCGGAAGTGGTGCAACTCGAGGATGGCCATGACTTTGTGGAACATTGCTGGTTTTTGGAATCCAGGAGCCTTCTTTGATTTAATGCTGTTTTACCTGTTAGCTGCATTCATCGAGTAGGGAGGCGAGAAGCAGTCCACGCACTTGTGCAGATCATTCGCCGCACGCTTGGCCAACACTGTGTTGCCGAGATCGGTGACGAGCTTCAAGATACGTGCATTGACTGGGTCGTTATCTGTGATCCCGTTCTTTGCATCCTTTGGCGTCTTCAAAGTTTCGACGGCAACATGCGAAGCCTTCCATGGTTTGATCTATAATCTTGTCAGCAATTCGAATGAAGATAGAAACGAGGGAGATTACCGAGAAAAGCTTGTTGAAATCGAGCGGGATGCAGAAGCCCAATGACTCGCCCATGATGTTCGTTGCGGCATCCCAACCGCACTCAATCAAAATTTCTTGACCATGTAAGCTTCGCGAGATGAGTCCAAGAACGAAGAATGCTGTTCCTCTCAGCGACATGACCTCGGACGCTTCCGCAATGCGGACTATGTATCTTGTCACGTCCGTGCTCTCAAGGAATGGTGCACCGAGATCCATAGAGCCGACATTTCCCACGGCCCATAGGCAGCCCTTGACCTTGAGGATGATTTCTGCGTCCTCTTTCTCCATACAGAATTCCTTGATCGTCGACGCAAATTCTTCGAAATGACCTTTCGCTTCGAGAAGCTTACATCCCTCCAGCGTCCGGGCGAGTTCGCGATAAAAGTGAGGGGGGACGAGCCCAAAGTCCAGGGGGTCAGGTAACTCGTCGAACGCCAGATGTGACGGAGGCTTCTCGGGGATGTCCGCCAGGGCACGAGCGAGTGAGGCCTCCACGAGAGCCACGTAGGAATCATTACGACCCAAGAACCAGTCGTCCATCTCCCTTGTGATGTAGTCCAGCCCATCAAGATAATGATATCCGACCGACGTTGACAGAAACCGGAGGAGCAGGGGAGCTCCAATCTCTCCCAGATGGTCCAGTGTCGGAGCACACTTTACGACGTACTCAAGCGACCTCTTTTGATTGCAAGCCTCCTCCAAGATTTTGATCGCCACTTCGCAAACTTCGACTTCCGGGTCGTAAAGCTGCGTGACCAACAAACGGATAGCCCACTCTACAACCCCAGGGCCGAGCACAAGTGAGTCGTCTGGCTGAAGAGGCTTTGTGGCATATTTTCTCAGGAGTCTCGTAGAGAAGATGCGAATCTCTTTGGTCCCAGCAGTCATTGCTTTCGAGAGGATGATGCGGAGGTGTCCATCCAGAGTGTAGTCCATGTTGCTGAGAAGAGTCTTCATCAAGTCGTCTCGATCCCGTAATTCCACGATATGATAGAACATGTTGATCATCTTCCATCTCTCGAAGATATGAACACCTTCTGGCTTCTTGCTCAGTTCACCAAGCATTGCAAAGTACCCACCTGTAAGAGTCTCTGCCATGCGTTCCGCGGAGAAGATTGGTTCTTCTGAAGTAAGACCACTCATACGATCGAAATGTGACAAACATTCACCGAGCTGTCTGATTGGCTTGCTGTCCATGAGATACCTCGTTCCATCGGAGTTATTCAGAAGGGCTCGCATCAGGGAGCACCCTGCCCTTACGTAGCGTTGATTCGGTCTGGTGTTTTTCAGTATTGAGAAACGATGCTTGAATGGCCTAAAGAAGTTGATCAAACGGTGAATGAATTTGGTGGCCCTCAATGCTTCGTCCAGGCGTTTGGGGTTGTACAGAGGTCCATCGAGGATTCCTTGTACGAGGTCCCACCTCCACTTCTGGTAGTTTGGAGTCTCCAAGACCCGTGATTCAGCCATCAGATTTCGGAAAGAAGCCTCATCAATTTGGGCACTGAACTGCTTTTTCGCCTGTTGTGGTGGATGCAGATCTTCGTGTTCTGCACCGCCGCCGAATTTCTCATTGGCTCCGGAACGGAAGAGGGTGCGATTGACGCTATCCACTTGATAGATCGTTCCTGTAGCGATGAAGCGGTCGTCCGCACCAAACTGAGCAGCGGATCTAAGAAGATCCGGCAGGACCTGGAGTTCGGCACTCCATGAAGGTGGTAGTAGTTCGTTGGCCATTTTGAGAACTTCGCCAAGGAGTAGCGTCGTTTTTCTCTTGAGGGTCAAGTTTAACGATTCCTCCTCAGCATGCAGCAGTGCAGGAACGAGGCCAGAGTGTAGTAATACGGCCAGCATAACGGCGACATAATGGTCCACAAGACTTCTTTTGGTTTCTTCTTCCTCCGTTTTCGAAGCGGACGTTGTAGATTCGGCGTTTTTCAGATTTGTGACTCGACCGTATGTTGTCAACCGTCGGCCAGCAAGAAAAGAAGAGGACCATGATGGCGGTTTGATCCTTAAGATGTCAAAAAGAAGTTCCAAAATGACGTTTCGGACCTGAGGAAGGGGAATGTATAACGAAGACATGAGAGATTTGGTGGCCATGAAGTCGTGCATGCAAAGAGTCAGAAGGCCAGGCCAACTTTTCAGAAGGGCAGCAATGACCTTTGCGTTGGCCTTGAGCTTTTCCTCATTGGCATGTCCAGATGACGCATCGGTGAACGCAGCGAATGGCATCTGAAGTTCGTGTCCGGAGCGTAGGTATTTTCTTCTGCTGGGAACATCTAGTAGGTAGAGAAAGGAGCCGGTCAAACTTTCCGAGGCATGGTAGAGCCCTTCGCCGAGGGCATCGGTCAAGGGGCCCATGCCGCCTGCCGATACCAATCGTTCGGGGTCTTTGACAAGAATCTCCGCAAGTGTCAAAATGCTGATGTTTCGTAGTCGGTCTTCCGTGTGCTCAGCAATAGCGACGATGATGCGGATCACAGCGCGCGAAATTTCCTTGACGCCATCTTTCACCTCCAGAAAAGCTCGGACAAACTTCAACGCCTGTTCCCGCTCTATGCTGACCTTGCTTTCTTTGACCAATGAGAGAATGACCAGGTAATCGGTGTGGAAAGAACGGATGGTTTGGAGCGATTTCCTGTCCGCAATTGCGTACCTCATGACCCGGTATCCGGCTGCTACGACCTCACGGCTGTCACTGAGCAGCATGGTCTGCACGCGTAGGCCAAAAATAGACCATGCCAAATCGTACTTGAGAGTTGGATGCCTCTTGAATAAATCGACCAAAGAATTTCCTTTCTCCACATAGTAGTCGTATTTCATTCCTTCGACTTCGAGGGCCTGTAGAACATCGGCTAGCACCAGCGTTGGTGATTCGCTGTCCGGATCCACCTCATCTGGGTTTGTGTACGACTCGGCCCGGGAAGGAGCGTTGCGGAACAGAAACGAGAGGCGGCCCTCGGACACGGGTTCCTTGGCACGCTGGATCTCCGTCTCCAGATCCAGCCTCAGGTTGGCCAGCTTGCGGTTCGAGATATTGAGCTCGGCCTCGACACGGGACTTTTGCTCCTTGGCTTGCTTCGCGCTCTTCGAGTTCAGAGCCTCCAACAGATTCTCCGAGCCGATCTTGATCTTCGTCTCCTTCTCTATCTGATCGCGCAATTCCGCTTGCCTTGCCTCCGAGGCAGTCCGGACGCTGTCATCCCCAGCAAAGGTCGAGTGTTCCACTAGCGGAGGACGGGTGTCGGACCGCGAGGTGGTGGTGCGCAGCTCAGAGCTAAAGCTGCCAGGGCCGGGGGCTATCGTCGTGGTGTACGAGTTCCCGCGGCCGCCAGTACTGTAGCTCGCGGGGGCGCGGCCATCTTTGCTTGGGCGGCCCGGAGGCAGCAGGTTGTGGTGGTCCTGGGCGGGCACATCGGGCTGGCTGGACATGGAGCGCGACGCGGGCGCGGGCTGCAGGATGGGCGTCATGGGAGTCCATCAACCAAGACACGGCTGCCTCATATCGTTGGTGCGCGGTGATGGCGTCGTGGATTCGCAGGCATGAGGAGGGCTACTGGGCTGCCATCTCATGCGACGCCGGGGAGCGGAGCGGAGCGGAGATCGGGCGGCGGATCGGGCGGCGTGCGACGGGCGGGCAGCGGTGAGGGCGAGTGGTGGGGGTGGTTGTTCGGTGGCAGCGTCTGCTGGCGTTGAGGTGTGAGGTCAGGCAGATGTACCAGGGTGCACGCAAGGTGTGGGCAGCAAGAGCGAGCGGCCACCACGGCCAGGGCTGAGTGCTGATGCGGGGAGGATGTGCTTGGGCCTCTCAGGCAGCGCCAGCGCCCTAGATTTCACAATCCTACAGGCCCGGACAACAACGCTCGCCGGTCAACGCAGGCGCGGCGCGCGGTGGGCGCGCGCGTCGGCCAGGAATTCTACGTGTACACGGCGCGATCTGGTGTGCGGCAGCAAGGGTCTGCTCGAGCCTGCTAATTACGCCGACCAGCACATGGATTGAGGGAGCTGCAAGAGCTCGCGGAGATCTTCTGCCGTCTACGGATGGTTGCTCTCATTTCGTCATTGCGCCGCCTAAAGGGCGATTTACCAGTCGCGCATTCTCAGCGCTCAAAACTGCCGGTCCATGCCGATGGATGCGGCGCCCCATTAGTGCTTTCCAGCAACAATGGCAGCGGCCCGTCCGCGCAGGGAGCCGCCTCAGCACTGCGAGCTGCGGCACGAGCAGCCGGCAGCTTCGCGGTTACGTAGGCCGAATTGTACACGGCATATCATTGCGACAGGGCCTTTCCCCCGGGGCGGGGCGTGCAGCGGCTGGTGTTGGCGGGCGGAAGGGTCTCGGTTGGAGGCGTAGGGGGTCTGCGAAGACTGAGTGCGGCGGCCTCCGACACGTTATGGCGTGAGCCGCGTCCAGCTCCTCCACGACAGGTGGGCCCTCATTGGTCTCTCCGCTGCAATGACCGCGGGGACATGTCGATTGCGGCCGGCCAGCGCAGGCGTATGGCGAAGTCCGCTTGACTGAGCTTTCCGATAAGGGTGCGATATAAGCTTCTTGGTCCCCCATCCTACCCGTAGCTTGTCCAGTACCACAGCACAGCTTCGCCTTGCTTTCTCTGCCGCCAGCCAGTCTCGCTGCTCGTTTTCCTGCTGATTCCCTAGCTTATTTCCTTCTTTGGCCATATCCACAGCAATAATGTCTCAACTCAACTACGCCCGCTACGGCAAGGACAACGTCCGCCTGTACAAGGTCCACAAGCACCCTGATGGCACCCAGTCCGTCGTTGAGCAGACCGTCCGCGTCCTCCTCGAGGGCGATATTGAGACCTCGTACGCGCTCCCACCTACCACACCCACGAGAGAGCGCTGCTAACACCGCGCTCGCCGCAGGTACACTCACGCGGACAACTCTGTTGTTGTAGCTACCGACACCCAGAAGCACACCGTCTACGTGCTGGCAAAGCAGAACCCCGTCACTCCCCCCGAGCTGTTCGCCTCGATCGTCGGCACCCACTTCATTACCAAGTACTCGCACATTCACGCTGCCCACGTCAAGATCGTCACCCACAAGTGGACGCGTATGACTGTTGAGGGCAAGCCGCACCCGCATTCCTTTGTCCGCGATGGCGACGACATCCGCACCGTTGAGGCTGTCATCCGCGAGGGCAAGGGTATCTCTATCAAGAGCGGCATCGACAGGCTGCTTGTGCTTAAGAGCACCGGTTCCGCCTTCCACGGCTTCCACCGCGACGAATACACGCGCCTGGGCGAGACTTGGGACCGCATCCTGAGCACTGAGGTCAAGGCCGAGTGGGAGTGGAAGACGTTTGCCGGCCTTGACGACGTCAAGAGCAAGGTTCCCAAGTTCGACGATGCCTTCAACGCGGCTAAGACCATCACGCTGGACACTTTCGCCAAGGACAACAGCGCCAGCGTGCAGAACACCATGTACAAGATGTGCGACCAGATTTTGGCTGCGGCGCCGCTTGTCGAGACTGTCAGCTACTCGCTGCCGAACAAGCACTACTTTGAAATCGGTATGTCAATTCGGCCTATCCAAAGAAATTCCACGTACTGACATCATCGCAGACCTGAGCTGGTTCAAGGGCTTGAAGAACACCGGAGCGGATGCCGAAGTTTTCGCTCCTCAGACTGACCCCAACGGTCTCATCCAGTGCACTGTTGGTCGCAAGGGCTCCAAGGCGAAGCTGTAAATGTTTGCTGTGTTGCGGCGTTGTCATTTCTATGATATCATAAAGCGAAACTGGCGTTTCTGGTTCCACCTGTAGAAAGATCGAATTTGATACCACATTTAAGAACTCCACCTATTGTTTATCAGATGTTTGGCGGAAGTGTGAATGATTTCGAGTTCTCAGTCATACCAGAGCTTGTGCGTGTCTTGCGTCTCCGTAAGAGCAATGTATATGATTCCGTCCAATAGCACATTTAGTGCCGGCAGTATTTGTACAGTCCCCAATCCGCCCTTCGCATCACCGGTCATACAGAGAAATGCCGCTGTGAGAATCCCTTTTATATGCAACCTGAACGCCGATTCTACTTCTCCCGCCCTTATTTCGATTCCGCAAACGTCTTCTTCACCTCTGGCAACTCCCGTATCGAAGGAGCCTTCTGACCCGCAACCTTCAAGATGTTCGCCTTGTAGGGATGCGCCGCGCCCTCGAAAACTGTCCACATAATCCATCAGCAATCTCACCAAGCATTACCAGAGGGATCGAACACTCACCCTTCAACCGCGCCAACCTCTCCTTCCGCAGCCTGTTCTTAGGCAACATGCCGCTCACCGCGCGACGCAGAATCTCCCCACCACCCCACTTCTCCATCAGACGATTCATCGTGATCTCCTGCAAGCTACCGGGGCGGGTCGTGTGGCGGTAGTACTTCTTCTTGAACATCTTCTTGCCCGTCGTGTGCAGGTGCTCGCAGTTGGTCGCGACGACGTAATCGCCGCAATCGGTTGACGGGTCGAAGATGGGCTTGTGCTTGCCCATCAGCGCCAGCGCAATCGACGACGCCAGTCGGCCCAGCGGCCGCGGGTCTCCGCCCACATCGATATGGTGCCACGCGCGGCTGTAGGCGAGGCGAGTCTAAGATCGTTGCCATTGCTAATTAGCTTCAGGAATTGCGAGGTGCGGAATGGGGTGGGCCCGTGGCGGTTGCTGCGGAGGTTGCGGAGGTGGTGCGTCGGCGATGTTGTACCTTGCCAATTGTCTGCGACATGGTGGGCTCGGAGTGGTCAGAGGCCGGAGATTGACCTAGCCGGAAAGAGAGGGTCGAATTGGTGGTCCGGGCCGACAGGGACGGGGTAGAAGCGGTGTTGCGGAGGTGCGCGCTGTGGCCGGTCCCTCTCCAAGAGCTTTGGTGTTGCGGTTCGACTGACAAAATCGCGCCAAGACTTTTCGGCACCGCCCGCCATCACGTGTGACTGCTACCAGATTGGGCAATTCGATGCATCTTCCATTGGCATTAGACCTTTCGATAAAAATTCACAGATACACGCCTCTCTTTGCTCTCCAGAGAAACGACTCCATAATAAACATAGTATACCTGTAGCAAGCGAAAGAATCATGTACAGTTCCGTAGTCCCTACTGGCTAAACATGGAGAAAACCTGATAAATGAGAGCCGGTAATTATTTTCGTCACCTTGCATGTCTAACTTTTGACTAATCCAGCCATAAGATGCTTTGAGAAGGATTTTATAGGCCGTTAAGGATGGCCCGTTCGCGATACATCTTTGTATTTTCGCGTTAGAAAAGCGTGGAAAGTAGCACTTTCAATTAGAAGTCCTAAGTGCTTTGGTCTGATCTATTAGCGAACATTGTAGACGAACACCGAGACTACGGCTCTATATAGACTACACAGCGATCCTGCGCAGAGGCTCTTAATGTATGCATTAAGACGAGGATTGAGCGGGCAGCGATCGGCAGACGAGGCTTTTGGTACAAATCCTCCGGAAGAATGAACCCATTGCCTTGGTTCCGATGAAACCGAGCTTTGAAGATCAATTCTCAAGGCCTATTTCCCGATGATTTTTTGCCTTGTTGGGCCATAAGAAAATCTATTCAAAGCTCTCCAGCTACCCTAAACAAGCTGCTAGGTAGTAGTAGGAAATCAATCGAAGGGCATTTTTAACAACCCAATTATAGTAAGAATACGAAGTGAGACTAAAGTGTGGACGAAAACGAAAACGTTTGCAGTTTCGGCAATAGTAATAATATAATAACTTGTGACATCGAACAAACACCCTAGGCAAGCAGGCTAGAAAGGATGCTTTACTGGGACGAAAAGGACAGGCGGGGCTATGCCAACAACTGATCAAATAGCTCATCGTGTACGCAAGTGTTCGTCAAAGCACCTCGTGACGTCATTGGAAGGGCAGCGGAATGAAGCTTGCCCCTTCTAGATGCTGAGGAAAGAGCGTTGGAGGAAACTTGCCAATGAGAACGCAGCGTGGATGGCCGAGAACGCGGTGGTGTCGATGTTCCGCGGCACTGCGGGGCACTGGCGGAGGGCGTTGATTAACAATCGAATGGACCGAGGGGTCCGCTCCGCAATCGCGAGACCTTCACTCATCTTCTCGAAGATGCCGCTCCTTCGCGCTTTCTCTGCACACCTTTGCTTTTCGACCCTACTTTTGCCAACATGATACCCCCGTTCCAGGTTGGTCCTGCACCAAGCGTTGTCACTATATTGGTCGACGCTAACGGCCGCACGACAGACTACATTTGCTGTCCCTCTTAGCTGCGAGTCCTGCATTAAGGATGTCTCGAGTTCCTTGTACAAGCTTGAAGGTTAGCACTCGATGCATGCTGTGCGCGGCGCCTTGCGCTAACGTCCAATTGCAGGCGTGAACAAGGTCGAGGGCGACCTGCAAAACCAGCTCATCTCGATCGAAGGCACCGCCTCGCCGTCATCAATCGTCGCCGCGATTCAGGACACCGGCCGCGACGCCATCCTGCGAGGCAGCGGTGCCTCGAATAGCGCCGCGGTTTGCATCCTCGAGAGCCACAGCCAGGCGGTCGAAAACAAGGTTCGCGGCCTCGTGCGCATGGTGCAGGTCGCCTCCAATCTCACCATCATCGACCTGACCATCCGCGGGCTGTCACCCGGAACGTATCATGCAACGGTGCGCGAGCGCGGGGACATATCGGAGGGCCCCGAGTCGACGGGCGGCATCTGGGAGGCGGTCAAGGCGAAGGCGGAGGGCAAGCCGGCACGGGGAGTGTTTGGAACGGTGCAGGTCAACAAGGGCGGCGTCGGCAGCGTGTTCCTGGATCGGCCCCTCGAGATCTGGGAGCTGATAGGGCGTAGCATCGTGGTGGCACGAGAGCAGGACGGTCCGTTCGACAAGAACGATGCCGACACGCTGGTGGGCGTCATTGCACGGAGCGCAGGCGTGTGGGACAACGACAAAACGGTGTGCTCATGCTCGGGCAAGACGGTTTGGGAGGAGCGCAAGGAACAGGTGGATCGCGGCATGCTCTAACTCGTGCAGGCCGCTCAAACAGGCTAGACGTAGGCGGGGAAAGCCCCAAGTAGTCGTGTAGGGTCTACAAAAACGTGAGGCTCAGTGGGCGGTGGCATGAACTGGCCCTGTCGCAGCAAAATGGCAGTGCCAACGTGAGAGACAAGCGTTCATGCAACAGCGGGTGGAGTTCCTGATCTTGAGGCGGCTGAGGGAATGGCGGCACGTGCACCGAGCGGAGCGGTGATCTTGACACAGTACTGAGGCAGTTCGGGACGCAGCGGACGTGAAAGCGTCGAGGCGCGACGTCGGAGCCTCTGAGGCCCACTGGCTGCCATGGCGGACCAAGACAACCAAGAGAGAGGTACGGTCATTGTCATCCGAGCAGCGTGCGAGGCGGGCGATGTGCAGCTGTGACTTGTCGTGATGCTACGCGCCGTGGATGCCGCGGACGCGATCGCCGGGCGCGTCGACAGCCAATCATCCTCGGGTGCGGCGTGCGGGTGCCCGCCCGATGCGGACTCGGCGGCCTGACACGGCCGCGGTCGTGGAACGCCATGCTGCGACAGGCCCTGTTCATAGTGGACCTCGACCTATAGCGAGCCTATGGCCGTTCAAGAAGGCCTCGAGACTTACAGACGCGCCGGCCAGGTGCCTGTCGCGCAGTCCGCTCTTTTCCTCCCGGCCGCTAGCCGCACGCTCTTTCCTCCACCGACTGTCATTCTCTGCGCGCCTTGTTGTTGTTCACTGTGTGTTCATAATCCTGCTCTGCACCCGCCGCCCGCCTGTCACGCTCCAACCGCCTCGTCACACGCGCCTCAACAAGCCGACAGCACCGACGCCGCTCGTAATTACCAGCCGTATCTAATCGCGAATCCCCAGCCAGCCCCGCCTTGTCCGCGCAGCCCAGGCGGCTAGAGATCATTGGCACTTTATACCCGCTCTGCGAGCACCTGCATGCCGGCGCTTCCCCCGTGCCTTTTTTAATCGCCTCCACCGCTCCTCGCGCAAAAGCGACGAACCCTTGCATCGTTCCCGTCCGCGAAGCGCCCTCGCCCTCGCCCTCCTCTCCCACCTCCGGCATTGACTGTTCCAACAATACCGGCTGATCGCCCGACATGTCCCTCAAGCAGGTACGCTGCGCTTGCAAACCGCCCGAACGCTTAGCGCGCAAATACTGACTCCCAGCGCAGGAGATCGAGACGTGGGTGGCAGCGCTGGCCGCTTACGACAATAACGAATTCGATGAAGCCCTAAAGTGCTTCGATGGCATCTCCGATACCTCCAAGATTCTCTTTAATATGGGCGTCATTCACGCCACTCTGGGCGAGCATGAGAGAGCTGTAAGTGTCACGCTAGTTCCATGGCTGCGCGCCAGCTAACCTGTGTCAGGTCGAATGCTACCAGCGCGCTGTGCGCCTGGACCAGTACCTTGCCGTTGCATACTTCCAGCAAGGCGTCTCCAACTTCCTGATGGGCGACTTCGAGGAGGCATTGGCCAACTTTAACGACACTCTTCTCTACCTGCGCGGCAACAACAACATCGACTATGAGCAGCTGGGCCTGAAGTTCAAGCTGTACTCCTGCGAGGTGCTCTTCAACCGTGGTCTCTGCTACATCTACCTGCAGCAAAGGGATGCAGGCATGCAAGATCTGTCTTTCGCCGCCAAGGAAAAGGTCGTTCCTGACCACGACGTCATTGACGAGGCTATCAGGGAGGACGCAGAGGTAGGCCCATTGAGATCAGCGGTGCATTCTCGAGCTAACGTCGGACAGGGCTACACCGTCTTCTCCATCCCGGTGGGCATTGTTTACCGCCCGAACGAAGCGAAGGTGAAGAATTTGAAGGCGAAGGACTACCTCGGAAAGGCTCGTCTCGTCGCAGCCTCTGACCGTGCCAATGCATTCACTGGCTTTGCCGGTGCTGAGATCAAGAGAATCAACCAGGAGTCCGCTTCCGGCATGAACTCCAAGGATGACCGACCGGACGACAAGATTTCTTACGCCGCAACAAACCTTGTGAAGCCAGGCTTGACCAGTCGATCGAGGCAACAGTCCGAGCCACCGATCAACCGCAACATGTTTCCTCCCACGCCTCCCCCGGAGGAGACGAAGGGCTCTCCCAATGGATACACTTCTCGGTCACAGTCTGTTCGTGGCGAAGGCCGGAAACCTGCACCATTGGAGCTTGGACGCGCCGCGTTTGATCAGTCCCCCAAGAGCCAGCAGCCTCGTCCGATGCCCCAAAGATCGATGTCTGAACGTCCGAGACCCACTCGCGAGTCTTCTACGTCATCGTCATCGCGGGGTCCGAGAAACGGCGGTCCCAGCCTGCGTCCTCGTATCACTTCGGACGAGGACGACGCGAGCGCTTACCCTGAGGATCTTTATGACATGTACGGCAGGTCGGGCAATGAGCGCCCCAGCTATGGCGGACGCTCGCAATCGACACGGCGCCCACAGCAGAGACCCATGTACATTGAAGAGGAGGAGGAAGACGCTTTCGATCAGTCTGACATTGACTCCGGCGAGTTCGAGATGGTGCCCACGCGCTCTCGCAGTACGAGACGCCCGTCGACCAACCGTCCTCGCGGACAGTCTCAGAGGCGTAGCGTGGGCCTACGCACGATTCGAGTCAAGGTGCACGCCGATGATACACGCTACGTGTTCCTTGACCCTTACGCACGTTTCGACCAATTCGTGGGTCAGATCAGAGACAAATTCGGCCTGAGGGCGAACTTCAAGATCAAGATCAAGGATGAGCAGGATTTCATCACCATGAGCGATCAGGACGATCTTGACATGGCAATCATGACCTGCAAACAAGAGGCGAAGAGGGAGAAGGCGGAAATGGGAAAGATGGAGGTGAGTTCATTGTGCCAGACTTGTAATCCAGAATATCCGCTAACTCTCTCCTGCAGATCTGGGTGCAAACTGTGTAGGTGCTCGATTTTTTAACGTCTCACGATCTCATGGCGTCTACACTTCGATTCTCCTCAATTTTCTTTCCTTTGTCTTATCTCAATTTTCAAGAAGTCTTTTCGTTACGGTGCGGTTCTCTTTTATTGATGATACTCAGCGAGCATGAAAAGGGGCATGTTCGGCGACGGTCTAGGTTCAGCGGGTTATTTCGTTCTTCAAGATAATCCTATCCAAACACTTCCTTGAGACACGTACATTCGATTCGAAAAGCAAGAGAGAGCGCACGCGCGAGACAAGCCCCGCTGCATACATCTGCGGGCGCCGTAATATCTCACTACCCCCGTAATATGCCCCTAATTGCGGCACATTGGTTTCACCAATGTTGAAACTTTCCGGGCGTCTGCAACAGGTATGTAAGCTTGCCGAGTCCCGAATACGAGAAAACGTCTTACTAGAAGGACATTATTGGTTGACGAAGACGGTTTTTGTTGCAGATTCTATTTTCACCATTCACGTCCATTCGTTTCTGATACCTACGGATACCACGATACCCGAACGATGATACCCTACGTTATTTCCACGGAATGCTCCACCACGATACGGAGTGGAGAGAGCACTGGATTTACGGTTTGACGATCCTTTCATTACGCCTATTCTCACAGTCATTTCATAATTGCTATTCAAGGGGACTATCTGTACAAACACCCCTTCTACATTTCAAGACTACCTGGTGCTCGCGCACAACTTGTTGTTTTGTATTTTTATTTTTGCTCTACTTCCGGCTCTCGTCTCTCTAAGAGCATATGGCGCTATCATCAGCCTTCCTAAGATCATTTGCGGATGTATTATGCTCTCGTATGGGTAAGGCGGGGCAACCCTTGTTTTCTTTTTCCATTCCTTTCTTTTTTCCACAAGAGTGCTTAGCGGCTGGCCGCTACGCTCGTGTATCACTTGTGCTTTGGTTTTGTATGCTTTGTGTGTGTACACGTGTCTTGTAAGCATTGCGGGGGATGCTGGGGTTGTGAGAGTCGGACCGCAAGCTGGGACATGCCCATGACTAGGAAGTGAAGGGATGCGAATGAGCACATGGGCTCTGTGACTGTTGTATCCCGCTGTACAGTGTGCTTGTCTTGGTGTGGTGATTGCTGCTTCGAACTGTTTTCTGTTTTGGTACGCTTTTTTTTTTTTTCGCGCGCGATCGAAGAGATCTGATACACGTGTTGTTTGAGGCGGTTTGAGCATGACGTGGATCAAGGACTGGTCCGAGAGACGGCAACACTAAAAGAGGAGGATTGCGTGAGCGTGGAAGCATTAAGGTGGGCAGTTGTGTCGAATCTCTTTCTTTGGCGTTAATGCGTGGATCTTGTTGCGACTGTTGTTGGCTGTCCTTTTTTCTCTTTTAGATAAAAGTTCTCTACTCTTCTCTCTGTTTTGCTGATCTTCCTCATCTATACTATCGTGAGTCATCAGGCTGCATATCGTCTAGACTGGTGACTTTGATGCTGTCTCATCTTAAGAGAGGCGAGACGGATGTCGAGACGAAGGGACCCTGGGTGCTGTCAGCTCACCCGACTTTCGTCATGACTAGCATGGTGGTGGTGACTCGTTGGCTTGCAAAAGCCAATCCGAGTTCTCCCGATTTGTTTGAATGAGAATGTCAAACTGGACATGTGACTATAGTTGCGGAGAGATGAGACACGGCAAGAGTATGTGGCTCTGACGTTGTGGGGAATCGGCCCGCGTCAGTGGAGTACACGTGCCGTTCTTTGTCTACTTGACTCTGATACATGGTAAGCGGGGGATCATTGGCAGACTGCATCCTTCCTCATTCTCCTCACTTTTTTTTTGTCCAACGTCCCGATATTGCAGAATAGGCCGATCAAAGGGACTTTGTATAGATAGGAATGAGATATGCTTGCTTGTTCTTAGTAGCTGTGAATTTATTGATGACGGTGATCTTCGGAAGGCTCACTTAATCATTTGGAAAGTAGACTGCTGAGACGCTGTGTGTGAAAGGAATCATTTCTCTGCATAAGCTACGAGGTGAAGTACTGGTCTATCATGGGTACGTAACAGTCAAACAAAATCGCGCGTCACTTGATGACCTCCAGCAAGTCATGCACAACTGTCTCTGTGTTTTTCATTTGTGTCTATGACGTGGATGAGAAGGTTCATTGCAAGGGTTTTCAACTTTGTTCATGCAGAGATGCGGTCGATTATTATGGTTCGTGGCATACAATAGTGTGTTGGTGACAGGGATGATGGTGCGGCGGAGAACGATGATCGTGTCAGACAACATCAGCAGATGGTGGCTGTCAGCATTGACGTGAAGGCTTTCTGACTATATGGACTCCGCGGTGGTTGCGGATATTCAAAGAACAAGTATCTGGAGTGAACAAGTCTAGCTTGACCAACCCGGCTTTTGGAGACAAGCAGTGCGATCTCATGGTGTCCATCTTCGCTGGAGAATATCTTGGTGGTTCAGTCATTGAATCGCAAGAAGGATAAAGAGGGGGCTTGTAGCACGTGTCATGAGGCTGGGGTTGCGCGGGGAGGTCAGGCGGTGGGCTTGGGCAGGTGTCGCGTTCGCGCCATGGGATGTGGAAGATGAGCACAAAAGCTGCGTATCCTGATTAGGGACTGAAAGTGAGGTGCAAGATGAGTTTGAAGCTGGAATGAGGTGAAGTAGCCTATCCTTTTCCTCCTTATGTTCGACAGGCCGTGTATTTCTTGAGCTACGGAATCCACGCATATTTGCATTTACCGTCAATCGCGTGATGCTATTGTGTGGAATTCCATAAGGACTACTAATCGGTGATGGCTGTACAAATAGTTGCGGCTCACAACAGACGCCATTAAGGTAAACTGAGAGGACGCGGAGCGAGACAGTCAATCGCGTGAATCTCAAAACCAAAGGAGACCAACATCGGAAGCCGTAGGATACTTATGCCAAATGTGTTTCCGTGGGGCAATATATCTTAAACTGGATACACGAAGCTGATGCGATCAATGGTCGTGGAAAGGCGGGTCAGCTGTTGACCTCGAATGCTACCGTGAGCCCCCAAGGCGGACTTTAAAGTATGTAATCCTACACACACTCTTCTCTCCACGCATACTCAACTGAACACTCAGTTCTGAAGACCAGTCTACGAGAGTCGACTGTGGTTTCGCCTTCTTGGAGTTCTTGGTCGCATTTTCGAACGTGGTGCGATACTAGTCGGTAGATTAGTCGAACCATATTGCAAAATGAGGCCGCACCAATTTATCATAACCATGAATTCCATCAAGTGAAACTTTTGCTGATTATCAATTTAAGTTGAAAATCGGGGGTACTTTTTCCGAAAGCTTCTGATTGGGGCTGCTTAGGTTGGTAAGCTTGTCATGACGCATTGCACTAGGATCAACGGGCAGCAAGTACGAGAAACCAAGTTGGAGCAAGGCTTTAATTTTGCATCCCTGGAGGTTGTTGATATCCTGAAATAGGGATAGGTGTGGTTCTCAAGAAGATTGAAATAGGCGCCGAGTGTCAACTTGAAGTCCGACTGATGCGCTTCCAGGAAACGTCACATGATGGTGGTGTGTGGCCCCGTGAATAGAGAGTTGCTCTTGACCCATCCATGTTGGCTGGGATTTACACTGGTATGCACGTCGCTTTAGTGGGTGGTGAACTGGAGGGTTCGAGTTTCTTCGATTGTTTTGTCCAGTCTCCAGATATTTGTCGGAATATTGACCATTAAAAGAACGTCGGGCGATGCTGAGCGCGAGAAAACTCATTTCAAGGTGAAATTGAGCGCTTAAGATAGCTGATGAAGTTCAGTAGAAGCCACCGTCAAAACCATTAAATTAAACACCCCATGCATATTCCCGGAAACTCGCATGTGAACGGACCCGTCCTGCAACATAATTGGGTTGCAGCGCTGGGAATCACGACGGTCACTACATATAAAGCTCGACTGCCTCTAAGTTTTCCACTCACTTATGCTGACCCTGCCCTTTTTTCAACGACAAACTTCAGGAAATCCCCCCGCACTCTGATTTCTGCACGCAGATTCGATGGCTGATATGCTACGTGCAGTTCTGGGCGGTTCTAATGATAATCTTCAGTAGTTGTCTCGTTTAGCTCTTTAATCAAATGGCAAGTCATAATTCTGCAATCCTGAAGCAAAACATCATACTAAAGAAATAGTGATATGCCGACCAGCAAATGAATGCACGGTCACCAGCATAAGGGTCAGTGATGAAGATATCGGCACAATGCTCGATAAAAGCTTAGCATTTAAGGGGACAAATCCGGCGGAGGGCTACTGCGACGTAGAGAAGCGAGTACTGGCATATACGTCTTTACTTTGGGACTCTCCATTTTAGCTACACTAGGCGTTGCTGAGCACTGTAGAGGAGGTGAGTGTGCTATGAATGGGTGATGGGGTTTATGATTACCATGATCATGTTTTCCTGGGCTCTTCCGCTCGATCTACTGTTTTGAAGGCTCAGTCCTTCTCAAAATAAAACACGAGAGAGAACTTGCCAGATGATATTGAGGGCATGATACGGCTGTAGAGATACCTCAGACCTTCGGGCAACAGCATACTTGAGAGGTTGAATTTACACAGCATTGCATCCGAGACGCAGCTCATAGGACAAAGAAATTGTTATACAAATTGGTCAGGAGCCTACAGGAATTCCTAATACACACAAGCGCCATATGAAAACAAATTGAGGAAAGGAACCTCTTTACTCCTCCTGCACCAACCATTCTACAAACCCAGTGATCATGTCCGGGTGTGTGTGGAAGACGCCTGGAAAAACGAAACGCCTAGTCTATGCCAGTAAGAAATGGGAAATTTCAATGCTTGTTCCTCCTCTTCTCAGCTTTGGTGTCAGATACAGCAATTTTTCTTTGAATACACAAGATGAAATACAGGAACAATGGCGCTCATATCAGAGGACCAAGCCCAGTCAATAATACGACTTTTATTGAGGTTTCAGGGCGGTTCTGATGGCACTTGCCAGCCTCTGATAGTCTTTCAATAGCTCTTCTATGTCTCCAATCTTCAAATCTTTAGCCTCTTTGGCGTCGATGAATCGCTTAACTGGAGGCGCAGTCTTGCTAAGCTCGTCAAGTCTGTTTAGGGCAGCGGCAGCCTTCGGATTCGCTTCAGGCCCGGGAGAAGGCGACGATGTTGGCGCCGGCTTGCTTGGCTCCGGTTTGGCCTTCTCTGCTGGAAGCGTCGGCGTAGTAGGAGCAGAGGGCGAGGTATTCGCCCTGCCGAATTTCGGGAGCATATTCATGCCGCCAAACCCACGTAGCGGGTTGAGGGAGCTCCCTAGATTCCGCATCGACTCTACGGCGGAAACACCAGCACTGGTTGGCGTTGAAGCTTGTGGCGGAGGGCTCGTCAGAGGGTCAGTACCCTTGTCTGCAGGGGTAAACGCCACGCGTCTGCTGCTTGCGCCACTCTTGGCGCTGTCAACGCTACGCTCTCGGAGAGGGCGACGACCACCGAATAGGTCAGTGACTTTGCTGTCACGGGTTGACTCTGTTGCCTCTTCGTTGATAGAGCTGCTCCCGCTGGCGTTGTCGTCTATTGGTGGCGGAGTGCTAACGAGCTTGCGGACGTCTTCAAGGGTCTTTGGCTGGACGACCTCGCTCTTGCCTCCGGCTTGCTGCTCTTTCAAGCGGCCGAACAAGAACTTGAGGCTGTTGTCAAGAGTCTGATTGATCGACTCAAACGCCTGATCTGCGCTGTCTAATACGGCCTGCCGTGCTGCGTCGCTGGCTGCTTCGATTCTGTTCGTTTGTTGCTGGATCAAATTGCTCAAACGCCGCTGAGACTTGTCCAGTGGTGACGGAAGATCGTTCTTGCCATCTTCACCATCTGGGGCAAGACTTGACTTGGCAGGGGTAATACCAAGATCCATAGGTGCAGCACCGCTAGGTGTAATCGGTCTGGAAGACTTATCGGGACCTCCTGGCAGCTCATCCGCGCGAAGAGTTGAAAGGTCCACGTTTTCAAGGAAGGAAATAGAAGCCTCCAAATTCACCAGGCAGTACGCAGATTCTCCATCAAGCTTGCTTGCAGTCCTAAATCTCTGAATGAAGTGCAAGTTGCTGATGACACAAATGCTGTCTGGAGGACTGGTGATGAGGGCGTAAATGAGGGTCGGCAGGATCTCGTCGGCTGAGGAGGAGCTTGGGAAGATGTGCGACAAGGCCTCGACGATGTGCTTGTGAGCGGCAGTCAGGTGCTGCAGCTTTCCAAGCGGGTATTTCTCGTCATTCATTCTTTGGATGCTCTCACGCGCTTCGGCGAGCATCTCGGGTATTTCTTCCTTCTTTTCCTCCATGGATTTCCGCATATCAGGCGTGATTTCTTCGCCGTGCCCAAGGAGTTCTTTCAGGCCGATGCCAACGAGCGAGAGGGCAGCTGTGCGCGAGCGGAGCTTCTCGTCTCGTTCACCGTCATCCGTACTACGGTGGCGCCATATCCGGGAGTAGATCTGGTCCTTGCTTAACTTTGGTTCGGCGGAATACGCGGGGTGACATGCGGAAGGAATTGCATAGGAATAGGGGAACTCACCTTCTCGCATACAGCCCTCTCCACTGCCTCCTCGAGAGCGGTTCTTTTGAGCTCTAGCAGTCTTCGTGCCTTCTTGCGATCCGAAATTTCCGAGACGGTGAGCATCTGTTGCTCTTGCCCCGATTCGGACGTTTTTCGAGCATTGCGCGAGCCTGTAGATGTACGAGAAGCCAGTGACGTGGTAGAGCCTTGGCGGGACAGTCTTGTAGAGAGAGCAGCGATGTGTGTGTCTATTTGGGAGGCAGCGCGGACGTAGAACTCTTGAAACAGGTCGGACAGCGAGTCGATGCCAATGGGACTGGGATGCACGCGAGCGGAGAGCGACTCTATGAATCTTGGGTCGGTCAGCATGAGCAAGCGCAGGATATATTGCTCGCACAAACCTTTCAGCCAGGCTCCTGATCTCGATGGGCAAGTCCTCGAACGACTCGGGGAGGGCGATGTCGCCATCAGCGTCGTCGTCGCGAGCATCGCCGTCTTCGGAGCGCGTGGCAAAGACATCTCCCGTCTCGCTCTGGTCGCTGTCCTGGTGGGCGAAAGCAGTGGGATGCAGAATCTCGGGAATGGAAGCTCCCACAGTGCTTGCGCGGCTCCGATGGCGGGGGCCCTGCGGGGCGGAGTCGAAGCGACTGAAGCTCTTCGAGGCGTGGATTACTCGGGGGCGTTCTTCGTCCTGGGACATTGTTTCGTTGTTGCAGTCAGGGAGTCGGGTGGTACGGACGCATGTCGCGGAGGTGTAATTGCGGGTTGCTATTGATAGACAACAGAAGAAGCTCTGGCACACGCACGAGACACTTCGGAGCTCCAGGCTGTCCCTGCGATAAGCTGATAAGGGGCCGAGGGTCTCGGCGCCGGGGCAGCTGGTCTTATGACGCGGTTGGCGCACGAACACCACACCCCAGCATCCGCCCAACGCTCCAACTCTCCATCTCCCACGACGCCTCCTGGCACGAATCTCCTTGCCAGAACATATCTGCTCCCTAAGCTCCAGCTCCTGTCTCCTCTACAGCTCGTGCTTGATCTGTCATGCCTGCCGGCTTTCTCTAGCAGCCGTCGCCACCATGACTAGCAAGCATCACTTCGGCAGCTCTGCCGGCCGCGCCTTCATCACCACGCTGCTCTCCCTCGCAGCTCTCAACCCCGCCCGAGCCGATTTCGCTCCCCAGCACGGCGATGGATATGGCATCCTCCCTGTGCTCCCTCCCGGCACTCCCAACGAAGATGCATCCAGGCAGCAGCTGGCAAGGGATATGGACTTCGTGAGTAAGCTCGGCCCGAAAGCCGATCGCTGGAGATGCTGATACCGTCCTCGTCACAGACGCTGAAGCACATCTTCCACCACGGAACCCACAAGTACCCGGGCCTGCACCGCCGTCTAGATATCCACCCTGATGCTCCCCTGTGGGTCGCCTCCGAGGACGACCCTACTCGGCGGGAGCCCGCCCCGCGCCTCCGCGCTCGCTCGCAGGCCCTCAACATCGAGCGCCTTGCAGACCGGAGCCCCGAAGCTATTAATCACATCCTCGAAACAAAGCGCCTGACCGGGCGGGAGGTCGTCCTCCCTGCCAACGCCTGGACTGTCGACGAGATCGCCGGTCCTAATGTGACGGACAAAGAGAGTGTTCTTACCTTCGCGAGAATGGCGGCAAATGCCTACGTGACCGATCCCACCAAGCCTGACTGGTCGGATGTAAGTGGAGGCTTCAACTACACCGAGGACTTTGGTTGGGAGGCAGACGGTCTTCGTGGCCACATCTTCGCCGATACCACAAACTCCACCGTCGTCATCGGCCTCAAGGGTACTTCACCAGCCGTCTTCGATGGCTCTGAAACGACCACTAACGATAAGGTGAACGACAACCTCTTCTTTGGATGCTGCTGTGGCCAAGGCGGCTCCTACATGTGGCTACAGGTCTGTGACTGCATGACGTCTACCTATAGCTGCAACTCGACTTGCCTGGTGGAGAACATCAAGGAGAAGGGGAAGAACCGCTACTACTACGCCGTTCAGGATCTCTACCACAACGTCACTTCTCTGTATCCCGATGCTGACATCTGGATTGCCGGACACTCTCTCGGAGGAGCCACGGGCAGTCTTCTTGGCCTGACCTACGGCCTTCCCGTCATTACCTACGAGGCCCCTGGCGAGGCTATGGCAGCATCGCGACTGGGACTGCCTACCCCGCCAGACTACCACCTTGGCAGACATCAAGACAGGACAGGCTCTGGCGTCTACCATTTTGGCCATACGGCAGATCCTATGTACATGGGTCTGTGCAACACGGCGACCTCCGTGTGCACCATTGCTGGTTATGCTATGCAAAGCGTCTGTCACTCTGGATCGGTGTGCACTTATGATACCGTCGGAGACCTTGGCTGGCGTGTAGGTGCCGGAACGCACCGGATCCAGGAAGTCATTCATGACGTTATCGAAAAATACGACGAAGTTCCTCCGTGCACCCCGGACATTAGTTGCACAGACTGTTTCAACTGGAAGTTTTACGAGAGCAATGGCTCCGACACGACGACGAGCTCCAGGAGTAGCACGGCGACGACAACTCCCTCGAGGACCGAAACCTGCAAGACACCAGGCTGGTGGGGATGTCTTGACGAGAGTACTACGTCTGGTCCCATGACCACTTCGACTAGCATCATTACGTCGACGACTTGTGATACTCCCGGATGGTTCGGTTGCAACGACAAGACCACCCATACGGTTATCACAACCTCCACAAGCATTTTCCCCGTCCCTACTACGACCACGACTACTACTACCTCGACCACTTCGACTTCAGAGACCACCTCAACCACCACATGCGAGACTCCCGGTTGGTTCGGCTGCAACGACCCCACGACTACAACGACGTCCACAACGACTTCCACGACGTCGTCTAGCTCCACGTCAACATCCAGCTGCGCGACACCTGGCTGGTTTGGCTGCAACGACTCATCCACAACGACCACGACCACGTCGGCAACCTCTGCCACCCCCAAGCCATCCTTGAGTTCTGTGCCCTCGAGTACCGCAGCCTCGACCACTTCGAGCTGCACCTCCAAGAACTGGTTCGGCCTTATCTGCGTTGATCCTTCGCCAACCGACACACCGGCTCCAGCTCCGACGTCGCACCACCAGAAGTGCGCCCACAGGAACTGGCTCGGGCGCTGCAAGGAGTGGGAAGATGAAGATGAACTGTGATGGCAGGAATCAAACATAACCGATGATGGAGCACGAACTGCATTCGCTTAGAAACTCAGCAGCACTGCGGATGGCGTTAAGTTATGGAAGGCGTTTTTGAGATTTATTGTTATGATACCGCAATGGATGGTGGGCGTAGATTGAATCTGACGTACATATGTTTTCATATGATCTTTGATTGAGATCAAGTTTATACAAACGCATAGATGTTATATTGGTGTGCATCAACACATGATTGGTTCCAGTATGACCAAGATTCTGTAGCGTAATGCTGAAGGTTGATGCGGATGTATGCAGCCCTTGTGAAGGTCGCACAAGCAGGGGATGCAAACGAGATGTGCCCTGAAGTCCCGCTCCGTCAAAGGGGTTCTTTGCGTCGAAAGCTGAACGCTATTGGATCAACTGCAAGGTTCTCAAATGACTGGTACCACGACAGCTAGGCGGATCGCCTTTGCATGGTCGTTAGCGCATTCGTGTTAAACGCCTCATTGGTGCACGGGATTTTAAAAGGCAACACCATGCCTCTGCTGAGATGCCAAGGAAGCTGTAAGATAAAGACGTAAACGTGCAGTGCGCAATCGCTAGAAAGAACAGTTTGACGAGGTCTCCACATAACCCATGGATAGGCAGTTCCAAACCGGTTGCAGTCTCAGTTTTACCTTTGATCTGTGCTGGCGCGATGTGCCTGAAAAAAAAAGAAGAAAAAAAGCACGTGTTGTACTTAACAAGTGGCTCTTGGTAGCTAGGACTTTTGGCTGCTTAGAAAATTAACAGGGGCTCAAGAAGAAAAAAAAAACTTAGAGCTGCTGCCCGTGCTGAGCCACGGTTGAGTCGTTGCGGATGATGAAAAGGGTCCAAAAGAGCTGACCACCGCCTCACGCTTGAGACCATCGGGAAGCGCCCAGGAAGTCTCGAAAGAGCTTGCAAAGCCAAGGACGCGTACTTGGTTGAGATGGCTGAGTTGCTCGCAAATGGGAAGTAGGAAGCCGGTATAAAGAAGCAGCACACTTGAACGTTAAAGCCATTTTGTCGGCAGTATCAGCCTGCCAGTTCCCAAAGCCAGGCAAGTCACGAGACTTCTCTCGAATAAGCTTTCCTGTTCTTATGGAGTCGATTGACACGAGTGTGTAGAGTGTGAACAAATCGTGGAGTCGTGAGGCAGTCGTGATGGTGGTCATCGTCCTCGTTGGCGGCACTGCAGCACAAACATCATTAACATCACTATATAATGCATGACCGCAATCTATCCTTCTGTCCGCCGGCGATAGGTTACCCACAGGTTCTCCTGTCGTGGTGGTATCACCGGTGGACTTGAAAGCTAGGGATAACTAAACAATATTGGCTGCCCCTGCCAATCCCCAAGTTCAATCCCCCACTGTCGCAAAAAATCCTTCAAGGAAGCCCTACGGTCGGGCCGAGGAGGGTTTCTGCAGCGCTCTCCTGGCCACACGGGAGATTCCTGTAGTTTTGCTCTTTTTTTGTCCAATGCTATCGTACTTGTTTCTTGACGCTTTACAAGAAAAAGATTTCTTCTTCTTCTTTTTGTTCGAACTCTCCAGGACGTATTATGTGAGTCAAAGGGTGAGTGAAAGTGCGAGCTGTCTGGTGGTAACGAAGTGGGCGTACCAAGGTCTAACATCTGTGCCTAAGGAACGAAGACTCACTACCCACAGACCAAGCCTGCTAGAGCGTAGTTGCCGCGCCTGCTGGTTGCGTGCCTGCTGTTCGCGTGCCTGCTGGAGCTTCTGCTACTAGCACGCACTGGACGCGTCTGCCGCTGCTCCGAAGTTCGATGAGGGCTGGAGGTCCGAGCCGTAAAAAAGCTACTATCACTGGGCTTGTTGGGGGCTGGCAAAAGTGACGTAACAGAAGCGACGGTGGGTATTGTACTTTAATGATGGGAACCGTACCGAGACGACCTCGCCATGTTCCTTGAAAAGCTTTCGGATATTCACCTCGTCATACTCCGGCGGATAGTTGGTGATGTCTCCTCCGCCCTGCAGATCCACCCCCACCTCCACCCCCACCTTCACCTCCACCTCCATAGGCTCTTATAGAAGCTTTTCCATTGGTCGAGAAATTCAACACTATGAGTGGTTGGCTGTTAGCGAGGAATGGATTTCAGCATATCTCTAAAGAATTAGGCTGAGTGGAGGTGGGAGTAGAGGTGGTAGTGGATCTGCAGGGCGGAGGAGATATAGAGTGCTGCCGGTCCTAAGTAAGATTCAAACACTCTCACCTTCGAGGGGCTTCCCGTCGCGTAGCTTTGCATCTTCTTGCGTTTCGAATTCAACCGTAGCCGACTGCGTGGACCCGTTGTCGTCGGGCACATACAGCGTGCTGCCAGTGTCGACTGAGATCTGAACGCTCTTGTCTTCAAGAGCCTTTCCGTCACGCGAGACTGCAAACTTTGCATCTTCTTGCGTTTCAAATTCAACGGTAGCCGACTGCGTAGATCCGTTACCACAGCCGTTGAAAAACTGGCGGACCCCAACCACTGAACTGATCCACCTTCATCTTCTTCACCTCAACACTGGGCTAGCCAGAACCCAGTGGGCCAAAAGAAATGGCGACGACTGCTGCAGTTGCAGGCAGTCGCTGGCTAGTTTACTGATGACTGGCAGAGGGGCGACGGGCAGGGCAGCCACAGCGGCGGCCAGGCATGCCTTCCAGAGACGGCCTTAGCGCCAAGACTTTCACAGCGAAGGCCACTCCCTTCATCTTTCCGCCAAAGCCCCGCGGGACGCGCACGTTTACGAAACCATCTAGTAGTAATAGGATGACCTAGACCTACTAATCCGTTACGCCGTGCTCGATGTTTTCGATGAAGATTTCCCGGCCCTTATATAGAGCTTCTTAGCAAACTTATAGACGGGATCCGAGATGACTGTCCGAAGTTTACGAACGTTCGTATTAAAAGCCTCTTCTGCCCTAGCGCGGAATTTGGCAGCGACCGGCGGACGGGACTTTTGGTACGAACATCCGTACTGCGGCGGGTAGTTAGTGACGTATAGAGTGCTACCGGTGCCGAGTGAGATTTGAACGCCGTGTCGAATTCGGCGAAGGCCACCCCGATAAGAAGACCTCTGCCAGCGGGCCTGTAGAGATCGAAGGAGCACCCTGTTATGAGATGGACCCTAGGTGGGTAAAATGAAATGGATAAGAGGGTCTGCGAGGAACGGAGGAGCGACGATCGTAGGTGGTGCCAAGCCGGCAAAACGAGGACCCGGGGCCAGGATCGTGACAACCCGAACCGCCTAGAGCGCTTGTTCCTAATCTGGCCGAGGGGTGGAGACTGGTATAAGAAAGAACAACAGCGTGCGACTTTAAGGAGAACGTATATAAGAAGGGGGTTTTGCGAGACATAGATGAGCTTCCCGAAAGTATGCATATATCAGACATTTAAGTCCTCCGACATCTTTTCTTTGGGTTATCTTATCCAAGCTACAAGGATATGTAAGTAACGTGCGTTTTATACTACCTCGTATCCCACTTCAACCTTGTCCCGCTCAAACACCCGGGCTCGGGGCAAACTCTCCCGACAAACACCCCTGGACCTTGAGAAACGACGAGGAACCCATGCAGAATTATCTCTTTGTGAGAGGCATTGGAGAGCCGTCTTGAAAATTTCACTATTGGTTTCAGTGATAGGCAAGTGAAAAGCTATGAATCCCTTCCTTCCTACCCCTCTACCGGTATACTTGGTCAATGTTTCCACAGCGCTAAACACCACAGGACAAGAGTAAAAGAAAAGACAATAGAGCAGAGAAAAAGATAATCATCTGCATGAAACCTCTGAAGTAGTTTACTAGCAGAGATCTGCGAGAAGTAAAAGAAAGGAAAACAAAACAAAACAAAAACAACAGCTACAACGCACACCAAACACAAATCAACCCCTTAATGTGCCCCTTTCCCCCGAAGAAAAACGCCCACACCCCTTTCTTCGAGGAGGAAAAAAATTGCAAAGATCCTCCCACACCATGAGAAGAAAAGAGGAAAGCACAAAGACTAGCAGAAGCCAGCCTTCCGAAAATAACTAGAAAGTTGGTAGGGAACCCTGATGCTCGCGTGCACGCACACAAACACAAATACACATGATTGATCGAACGCTCATGCAGGCAGGCCCGTGTTTCGTTTGTCTTGGAGAAAACGCTCTGTACTCCGCAACCATTCCACGCCTTGAAATCCGATGGGGTTGTGAAAAGAGGAAAAGGAAAAAGAGAAAAAAAAAATGAATATGATGGCCTTTGTCTCAATGCTGAAATCCCATTTGTATTGATGGAAAGAGTTTCATCTTGTTCTTCCGGACTTGTAGTGTTGATCCCTGACCCCTTTAGATCAATGAGCATTGGTTTCATGCCGCTGCCCTTGTTCATCAATCTGCACATCTCCTATGCTCTTCTGCTCCATCTCATCGTTGCCGAAATCCGGCATCGGCAGCGACGGAGCCTTCCCGTCAGGAGGCGGGCTAGCAGGCGTGACCATGAGGGGAGGAGGTGCGCTGCTGCTCGAGCTCTCGCCCGAGTCTCCACGACTACGAGTCGTGTTGCTGCCTTCTGCGTCTGCAGGAGACAATGCGGAGACAGTCGATGCAGCACCATCTTCCGCCTTCAGGGCATCCTGGCTAGAAGTCTCGTTGTGAATCCCAGGAGACGGAGTCGAGGGACCGATGTCTTCAAGATGCTCCGTCTGAGACTTTTCTCTCTCCTCCTCAGTACCGATAACAGCGGCCAAGCTCCTGAAGTTAAACATGGGTTCAGTACCAGCGCCGCCACCAGGGGGCGTATCCGTTCCAACATGAGCATCGGATGCGGAAACACCGGCCCCAAGGCTCAGGCCGCTTGTGTTAGGGGATGGCTCGAATGAAGAGCCGGAGTTCACGTCCTGACCGTTTTGGCGCAGAGAATCTGCTTCTTCCGATTCGGCAAACGAAGATGCCGATGAGGATGCGTTGGAGAGCTGTCGAAGTGCCACGCGATGAGATGTCTGCCCGGTGAGGTCGGAGGGGGAAGCGGGACCAACCGAATCTGAAGGCTTCTGAATGCGTGCTCTGCTTTCCTCAAGGTGCTTCTGCGGATCGGCGCGCGCGGACGACGGGGCCCCGGTGTTTAGCGTCGACGTCGGCTCACTCATGGGATTGAAGCCAGCCCCGGACCGGTCGATGGCTTTCCCCTTAGAGTCGCCTTGTGCGGAAGGGCCAGCCGGGGAAGGGTCCTCTGGGATGTCAACAGGGAAGAAACCACTCTTACGGCCATGCTTCTGCGCCTTCTTCTCCTCCTTGGCCTTCTTCTTCTCTTCTTTCTTGGCCCTCTTCTCTGCCTCCTTCTCCTCCTTCCGTTTCCTTTCCTCCTCAGCAGCAAGACTAAGCCTAATCGCCTCCATCATCATGAGTTCCTCAAGGTCTTCCATACGACTTCTCCGCGAGCTATGCCGCCCCGACGCAATGTCTTGGCCTTCCGATCCGCGATCTCTGCCCGACGAACCTAGAAGCTGAGTCAGAGGGTCGCTGGATCCGTTTCGTGGCGTTCCTGTGCCGCTGCTGTTTGGACTGTCGCTGCTCAAGAGATTTCTTCTCCTCCTACCTAGACTGAAGCCTCTGCTGTCGGACGAATTGTTGCCAATCACGTATGCGGCATTGTGTAGAGCGGTAGCGGCGGCAGATCTCCGCAATGCATGCGCTCGTGCGTCTGCGAGTTTCTTCGCCCAATCCGGACGCACCATATCCGTGGTGATGACCTGTGGTGAGTTTGCTGAGAGCGATTTACCCCTCTTCCTCCCGCCTCCGCCTTCGGTAGAAGTAGGAGGCGTGAGAGATGATGCCGAAGACATTGCGGAGGGCTGGATGGTTTGACCCTGATACACGAGACCTTTTCTGAACGGAGGCGATTCATACGTGACACCGAATTCTGGCTGCTTGCAAAAGGGACACGCGGCAGGTTCAGATACCAACATACAGTCATCTTGGGGCTCGGTCGGAGGCGGGGCGTGCGGGTCGTTCGGGTCGTGGTGCTCGGGCGGGTGGGGATCGGGCCGCTTGATCTGGACGAAGCATTCGGAGCAGATGGGCTGGTCGCAACACCTAGTCATGTTCAGGTAGGGAGGGTAGTAAAGAAAGCAGATCGGGCACTCGGAGGCGTCTTTGTACAGGAATGCTTCGAGCCGCTGGCCGTTGACGAAGGGGTCTTTGGGCAGCATGACCTCTTGGGGCGTCATATCAGTTTGCGAGTTATTCTTCGAAGACGTTGTCAAGGCTGCGAGAGTCTTCGCGCGGCCGCGGAAGAAGGGAGATGATGAGGATGTGTTACCGAGAGGGGAAGAGGCCGAAGGCAGCGAGAAGGCACCTTGGCCGGGTGAAAGGCGTCCGGAGGCATCGGAGGTGTTGGAGGGCGATCTCCCGGAGATGGGAACCATGAGGCCGTTCAAACTCTGCTCGGACGACTTCGGGTTCCTTGACTCGACGGTCCGGGTAGGCTCCAAATCGGCAGGGAGAGGCTCGTCTGGGGCCGGCAGCGGACGACCATTGACGACGCACACCAGCTGAGCCTCAGTCCATGTATCTTCGTGGTCATTGAGACCTTTCCAAAATGGAGCCAAACGGCGTTCAATCTGGGACAATCAGCTCCATTACCGCATTCAAGCAAGAGAACGGCATACCATCAGCTGGCGGACTGTTGACTTGCTGAAGTCCTCCGGGCCGGTGTAGGTGCCCAGAGTGACCAAGTATCCTCCGTCGACACCCTCCTCGCGCACGCTGCGCTCGCGCTCCTGTTCTCTCAGTATCCGCTCCTTCTCCCGCTTCCGTGCTTCACGCTCGGCTCTAGTCTCGCGCCTTGTGAACTCGGGGGGATCTCTGTCGGCGTTGGTATTGATACCGAGGAAAGAGAGGTCGGGCCGGCTGCTGCGGCCGCTACGCGACGAGTACATGCGGTCGCTGGACTGGTGCTGGGAGCTCTGGTGCGAGGTGTGCGAGTGGCCATCGTGCGACCTTGAGTGGCCCAGCGACGTGCCGGGCCGCCCCTCTCTGCTGGAGTTGTTGCCCATTTCTGGGGGAACAAGCGGGAGAGGTGGAGGCCTAAGGAGGGAAGGCAGAGATTTTGACGCGGGCTTGGTGGTGAAGGCAAGCAAGCGTCGCTCTGGATGGCGCGTGTGTCACCTGGACGGTCAAAGCAAGACAGTGCCTTACCCGCGGCGCATCCTGGAACGGAAGCTTATCGCAGGTCCGGGGTGCCGAGTGGCTCGGAGGTCGCGTGGACAGACGTTGAGCGGGTGCGATAGAACCGCGGCGGATGGCGAAGTGGAGGGTTGGAGGACGAAGGAGGGCCCAGGCTGGGTTGTGGTAAGCCAGCGGGAGGGCTTAGGCTTAGCTGCTTGGGCACAGGTGGGCGGTGCGCTGTCGGCGGTCGAGCTGCGATGCAAGGATGATGCTCTGGCCAACGTGAGCCGACCGTTTGGGCTTGTCAGGCTGGGCTTGTTGTTTGACGGCGACAACAAGGCCGATGGAGGTTTAGGTGGCGCGGGAGTGCCGGCTGCATGTGCTCCTCATCGTTGCCGTCCATGCCTACGCACGCGGGGGCACACTGCCGCAGCCCTGTTGCGCCCGCGGCATGACGCACGCGTCCGAACAAACACCTGCAATCTCACCGCGACTGGCTTGCTCCGATCCCGCACACTCCATCTGCTCCCCGCCGTGGGCTGCGCTCTGCGCTCACTGCTGCTCGACCGCTGCGCTGGCACACTGGCCTCCCGCCCTGCACGGGCGGATCTCCGCGCTGCGGACGGGACTCTGTTGCCTGCGTCTACCTCAATTGCGTCACCGCAGATTCGCCCAACGTTTTATTCCCGCCACTGATTCAGCCGGCCTCCCATTCGATGGTTTACAGCACTGGACTTCGCAGCCGCATTTCAATGGGCTTTCCTTCACCGGTGCTTCTCCTGCCATCCGTCGGCCTTTCTTCCTTGATTTTGCACGCCTTCTACTGCATACATCTCTCGTGATAAAGCGACGATCAGATACCAAAACAATGGCGTCGTACAGGCATGATGCTGCCGAAGCGCTATTTTACCCACCCCGCGGAATGATCCCTCCCAAAAGGAACGCCATGTGAAAGACCTCAACTACTCCCCAATCGTCACCTCAACGGCAGCTCCTTGGCGCCCGCCCGTGCTTCAGGCTCGGGGCTGGCGGCAGGGGTGAGCCAAGGTGCCTCAGCCTCAGCCTCCTTGCCCTTGAGCGTCTTCTGCTTTCCGTCGCCCTCCTCCGCCTGCTTCCTCTTGGTCCTTTGGTTGACGAAGCCCTTATCCGGACTGTCCCACGCGTAGTCGACCCAGTCGCCCAGGCACTCCTGCACCCCCTCGGCCAGAATCTGCACAGCGCGCTTGCGGTTCAGGCTCCACTCGTGAGCCCTCTTCCACCGCCCTGCACGGTCCGCGACGCTCTGTCCATCCTCGAGCCCGTCGAGAATGCTGCGCCACACCATCATCGTCTTCTCCAGCTCCGCAGGTTGACTGACGCCCATGACGCTCACGCCGAGCTTCTGACCGCCGACTTCTTCGATGCTCTCGCGCTTCCACGGCACGCCCGAAGCCGGGTCACCGCGCGAACCCACGGCGGCGCCGGCGTGCAGCCACGTCTCGAGCGCGAAGCGGATGGCGATGACCTCGAGGCGCTCGCCGTGCATGTCGCACAGGTCGGACGCATCGCGCACCGCTTGGCGCAGCTCGGTGCAGGCCGGGTGGAAGTCGCCCATGCTGCCGACGGGCACGCCCTCGCGACGCAGCAGGCCCATGCCGAGCGGGCTGGCGTTGGGCACGACGTCGACGCCGGCCGCGAGCAGCCGCCGCACGCCCTGCGTCGCCAGCGTCGTGTTCTGCAGCGTGAAGTTGGCGTAGCTCATGACCACGTCTAGCGGCTCGCCCGTCTCCCGCAGCACCCGCTCCGCCAGCCGGCACAGCGTCTCGACCGGGTAGCCCGAGATGCCAACGTACTTGATGCTTCCTTCCTCGTCGCGGATGCGCCGCAGCTCCGCCACCGCCGCCATGACCTCGTCGTCGGAGACGAACTCCACGTCATGGCAGTATACAACGTCCAGGTACGGCGTCTGCAGCCGCTGCAGACTGCGGGCTACCGACGTCCGCACCCATTCCGGGCTGTAGTCGAACTCGTCGGACGCGACGCGCCCGACCTTTGTGAGGAGGAAGTATTCTTCGCGCGGGAAGTTGGCGCGCACAAAGCGCGTGGAGAGGGCGGCGCCGAGCAGCGACTCGGAGGGACCGTAGTAGGGCGAGGTGTCGAAGGCGCGGATTCCCTTCTCGAGGGCGGAGCGCACCAGGCCGGTGGTGTCGAGGGCGTAGGGGTCTTTATTGTACTGGTGGTTGAAGGTGGCGGTTCCGAACAGTAGCGGCGGCAGGACGGACGAGAGGGGCGTCTTGGGCGCCATTGAGGGCAGACGGTGTGATTGCGGTGGTGAGGGGCGGGATGTGGGCGTCGGGGATGTGGGCGCGGCGGACAGATGAAGTACGCGGAAACTTTGCAGGTTTATTTGCGGCTGAGTGTATTGATTTTTAAGCGGAGCGGAGCGCGGTGGATATCCGCTCGGAATGGTGTGCTGGGAAGAAAGGACAGGCGCCGTATCTCCCACATTGTGATCGGTTTAGGTATTACTATGCCGTCGGGCGGAAATTTGGACCGGGGACAGCCGCGCGCTCTTGCAACGGAGGCTTCGCAAAGACAGGAAGGGACTCGCGGAACGACATGGCTGGAGCATGGGCGGTGGAGGAGTTCCACGCCCCCGGCTCTGATGCTAGGTCTCGATAGGCATCAGCGATGCACTATTCAGTTGACGTGATCTGGGAGATGGTCGAAGCGAACTGCATCCGGCACTGCAATTGGTCGCGTACCCTTCCAGAAGCGCAACACGTGCGCCCGCTCTCGGCCTCGGGCTTTCGCGGACTGCTAGCGACCCGGAGCCCAAGGGCTCAAGAATCGCCGTGGCCCCGCAGCGCAAGCTCTCACATAAACAGCATGTGGAGCACGTCATAGATCTTATCTGATGCCATCTACAGCCTGTCATACCGGCTTTCGCCTCACCGCTCGCACCTCTCGAACAAAATCATTACTCACTCCCCAACAGTACGAGTCGGAGCCACGGCACGCTACCTTGTTGGTTGCCTCGTCAATCCGCCGGGACTCGTGTTCCACACAGACATGGGTTAGGTTCAGAAGCTGTACGGACGTCCGTACCAAAGGTCTCGCCCGCCCTGGCGCGGTGTTTGCCAGGAACGGCCAGGACTTTGGTACGAACCTTGCTACAGCAGCCCAATCATCAAACGTCATATCGCGCGCGCCATCGAACACGACTGCGAGGAAGGAGGGAGGTAACGAAAAGGTACGTCCCGCGCCAATCACCGCCCTTGGTCGCCACAGTCATGTAGTTGGTAGACGCCTCACCCAGCAACGTGCCCGACAAGTACACGTCGCTCATCGCTGTGTCGCGGGGTTGCGGCGGCGGCATACGCCTCGCTCGCGTCGTAGTAGGCCGCCGCCATAGCGCTGTCGTTGAGGGCGGCGCCCGTTGCGAAGGCCCCTCCCCCAAATAAGACCGCGCTCACATGTGCATGGCCGTGTTGTTTTTTGATGCAGTTGGCACCTACATACAGATTACCAGCATCGTCGCAACCTTGAAGGCACTGCTCTTACGACGGTTTGGTGCGCAAGGCGTGTGAGCGCTCTTCGTCGGCACTCTTGCACATCACGACACGGGCAATGTTGCATCTGACAGCACACTCGTCGCAGACGCACTCCCATCTCCCTCTTCTTCTTCCTCAACGTCCCGCGCAAGGCGAGAGCGTCAAAGAAAAAAAAAGTTTGTGTATCTTGTACACGGTAGAAATCAAAAATTGTGCCGGTGGCCTGGAGTGCAGAAGCGACCACATGCGATGTGCAATGCATGGACTCCTGGCTCTTGAGCGCCAGAGTCTCCGGCTGCTAGGAATACTACAAATATTTGACCGCCCCTGCACCTATGAGGAGAAAAGAAGAACAGGTTCAGGACGGAGGGGGAGGGACTTATATACCTGGGCGAGTGGCCGGTGCGTCTGCCTGCTGGATTGGAGAATGCTGCCTGGTTGACATCATCGCTGCCGCTCGCAGGAAGCCGCTGCTGCGGGTTGCGGGCGGGTTGGAGCGGTAGGAGGGCAGCGCGGTCGAAGTGTGGGAAGATGCGAGAGGCTGCCTGGCAAGAGCGCGGGGGAGATGGCTCGCTACAGCGGCCTGGCTTCGCCAAGCCGTGCAGCGCTGTACCTGCAGCTATCCTTGGGAAGCTCTACAGGGTGGTGGGTTTGATCGTTCTGTATCGAAGCAGCAAGTACTCTGCGACTTTTGCATCGAGTGCTGACGAGCGGCGCAGTTGAGGCATGCAGCGCAGATCACGGGCAATTCGCAACTCTGCTTGATCCACGCTGCTGCCAGTGTTCCGACTCGAAGCTGCGCTGCTGCACTTGCTCTCGTTCCGAGGAAAGGGTAAAGTGACACTCAGGGCTGAGAAGTGACGAAGGCGCCTAGCAGTGCCTAGCAGTGCAGTGCAGCGCATGGAGAAAGACCCAAAGTCTTGAGAGAGCGACAGACCCGCAGTACCTATCTCGCAAGCCTCCTATCCATTGTAATACGACAGCAACGCCTGCCACCCGCACATTCACCCATCCTCCCGCTCTATCACTAGCATCATCATCATCATTGCCATGACGCAGGCTAGCAAGCAAGCAAAGATGGTGAGTCTACCTTCGTGCCCGCAAAGAACTGCAGAGATGTTCGTTAACGACGCCAGCTGACTGTTCTTCGAATAGAATATAAACCTCGTCCTCGCCGACACCGAGGAGTTCCGCCGCGTCAAGCTCAAGAGCACGAAGAGCCAGGCCTCTGGCGCCTTCGCCGCTCCCCCGAGCCGAAGCCCGAGAACTCAATAATTATTCTTGTGCCAACAACAGGAAATGGCAAGCGGAAGCGTGACGTTGGGGCTGTCGGTGAAGAAATTGCTGCAAAGAAGAGCAGGCAGGTGGAGGAAGCGAGCGTAGAGCCGATGGAGCTGGAGCCGTCGTCATCAACAACGGCTCAGCTCAAACGTGACAGGGAGCACACCACGGTCATCGTGAAGAACATTCCCTCTTCAGCTAGCCAAACCAGGGCGTGCAAAGAAGAAGGATAACTCGTCGTCATCTAAGCCTACGTGTCTGCATTGATATTTCGCGAGTTCGGTCACAAGCACTTTCCCGGCGAGCCACAGCCGAATTTCCTTCTACCGTTCGTGACGCCTTCAGCCATCCTGCAGACTCCGACCAAGACATCCACCCGGGATTCGCGCCCTGGTACGCCCACAGCCCCATCAGCTCGGACCGCTCCGCACCGCCCGGAGCCCTCCACCGCGCCAGCCGCAGCAGCGGCAGCAGTTCGTTCGTCGCCGCCAGCGCCATCACCAGCTCCGCTCGCTCGTCCGCGTACGACGCCGGCGCCGTCCAGCCCTGCGCCCGCCGCTCCGCGCCCGTCCGCGCCCGTCCGCGACATCAGGTCGCCCAGCGTCGCGTCGATGGCGGGGGTCAAAATGCACGGGTTGGCCGAGTCGTAGTCGTCGTCGCTACAGTTCGTTTCCAGAAGCGGCGGCGGCGGCGAGAGAGGGTCGGCGGGATACTTGGCGCGCTCGCTCGCGGCGAAGTCGGCGAGGCGGCGCACGAAGACGCGGATGAAGTGGCGCCGCTGCTTCTCGGCAGCGGGGGTGCGCGTCGGCGAGAGGACGGTGATGCGGTCTCCGTATCCCGCTATCTTCGATACTGCCTACAACGCCGGTTTCACCTCAGATGTTAGAGATGAGATGCGTGCTGGCAACAAATGTGGAATGCTTGAGTCGAAGACTTTCGACATTACTGAAGAGGAAGAGGAAGATCCAAGCAAGCGATGGGTTTGAGTTCACAAATATGGCCGACTTGTTGCTCCTACAGGCTGCCTTTGGCGACGGGCTTAAAGCTCTTGCTGATGTCCACATGGCTGATCAAAACGGAGAGGGCTCGGCTGCGAGTGAAACTGATGCGCACGCCACTGGCACTAAGGAGGAGAATGCGGATGAAGGTACGACTGACTGATGCTCACTCTCTGGATAAGGGAGAAGATCCGGTCGCTGGCTTCGGACATGCCGCTGGGCACGCTGCCGGCTACGCCGAGGGCTTCAATGCCGCACTTGTGGAATTTCCAAGACGGCTTTCCAACGCCCCTCACAAAGAGGTAATTCTGGATGAGCTCCTCGTTGTTTTGAGCGAGACAAGGTTGAAGTGGGGTACGAGGTAGTATAAAACGCGCGTTGCTTACATATCCTTGTAGCTTAGAGAAAATAACCCAAAGAAAAGACTTCGGAGGACTTGAATGTCTGATGCATGCGCACTTCGGGAAGCTTATCTATGTCTCGTAAAATCCCCTTCTCCTGCACGTTCTTCTAAGACAGACTAATAAGAGGCTCTCTTCTACTAACTACCAATGACTATGGCTGCCACATCGTCTTGCTGTCTATCGAAGGCCCGCCCACAGACCCTTTAGCTAGAATAGAAATAAGTGTTCTAGGCGGTTTAGGTTGTTACGATTCTAACCTCGGGTTCTTGTTTCGCCGGCTTAGCCCTATAGAACTGCGATCGTCGCTCCTCTGTTCCTCGCAGAAGCTCTTATCAATTTCATTTTACCTACCTGGAGTCTATCTCGTAATAGGGTGCTTCTTCACTCCCTACAAGCCTACTAATAAAGGTCTTCTCGTCGACTTTACCGGGGTGGCCTTCGCCGAATTTGACACGGCGTTTAAATCTCACCCGCGGAACTTTAGCGGAAAGATAAAAAACTCGATAAATCAGTTGAGGCTGCTGCAGCTTACCAACAGCAGGCGGTTAGAACCACCAAGGCGGCGTATGAAGATCCTACTGGAAATGGCCTAAAGCGCTTATTGACATGTTTATAGACCACTGTGAACAGAACGAGACGGTCTATGAGTACTGGTACGCCGTCTTTGAGGCAAAGAAGGCGAGGGCAGAGGTGGCGGACAGGCGCCAGCGGGAAGCAGTTGAGGCTGCAGTAACTTGCCAGTAGCAGGCAGTTGCCTCTACCGAGACGGCCTATAAAGATCCTGCAGGAAATGGCAAGCGGAAACGTGATTTTGAGGCTGTTGGTAAAGAGAGTGCTGTAAAGAAGAGCAGGTAGGCGGAGGAAGCGAGCGTAGAGTTAATAGAGCGAGAGCCGTCGGCGTCACCAGCAGCTTAGCTCAAATGTGACAGGAAGCAGATGACAGCTGGCACGTGTGTGCCAAAGAAGTGATCGCTCACATTCTTCTCCACAAGGAATAATTTGATATGCGCGGGTAGTTGAGGCTACTGTCCAGATGCAGATGTGTGTTGAATAATTCGACATGCACATCCGAAGGGATCGTAGCCGAAGGCTAGCGTGAAGAATAGAATGGCTCCGGGCAATAACACATGTGGGTAGTTAAAGCAATTATCGTCCAGACGAGAATGTGGATTAAAACAATTCTTCATATACGCCCGGACGATGGCTTCAGCTACCTATGCCATCAACAAAATATAAATCCACGTTAGCCATCGGCTGCGAGAGGGGACTGTACTGTTGATGGGTCAGGCCTAAACTCGAAGACCGCAGGTGCTGGAGCCACTGGCTGGAGCGACGAGGCACAACGCAGATTTCTTTTGCCAAAGATGGAAGCGGAGGATCTCATTTGTGCGGCGAAAAGGTGGTTACACTCCACCCCTCTGTAAGCTTCAAGGGAGGCGCAACTATGTAGCTGGTTCCGAGAAGAGGTTAATACAATCATCATTTATCTGGCCAGTGGTCCTCCTGGCCTCGCATATCGCGGTGGCGGAATATCTTTGATGTACGGTAGGTGGCTGTTGATAGTGATGCTTCCCCGTCGTCGTTGTGTAGATGGGAAGAAACGGAGCTGAAAGAAACAAAGGCCCGTCATGGTTACGAACTGTACGTTCTCATCCAGCTTTTTGTGTTACGTGTATGGTATAAATTTACTTAATAATACTGCTTACTTAAGTTGACGTTTTTCTCTACGCTTCTGCAGACCAGTCAGTGCTCCAAGGATAAAGAAGGCGGCAAGGGGGTGAAGTGAGACGATATAGGGGTAATTGTAGTACACTGGAAGATATAAGAGCAGTGGGATCTGAAGTTCGAAACTCACTCTCGTCACTTCCAAAGTATACCTCTCCAACGGACATCTATCAATGTCCGGGAGCGTTAGGGTGAGCCTTAGGAGCTAGCAATGCCGTATAATATATTGGGCGCTTTTCTTTCAACAGCAGCAAAAAGCGATGGTACATTTCCGCAAGCGAGAAACCCACAACCGGATTTTGACCACCACCCACACCCAACCCAATACAACTCGACAACGAGTAGCCTGATGGCTTAGTCCTTTGGTAGGATTAGAATGTAGCCTTTATATTACATTTTGGCAATCTAACTTTCAACAACAGCCCCAACAGGGATAGTTAAGCGATGGTGGTGTAGTTGGTTATCACGTCAGTCTAACACGATTCTCATATGAATCTGGTACACTGAAGGTCCTGGGTTCAAGTCCCGGCCGTCGTACAGCGCATTCTTTTTGCCCGGGGACATCCAGAAGGGGTGCAATTAGTGGCAGATGAGGTGGCGTGGCAGATTGCGTTTTGGCCTGGCCAGCCGGATTTTGGCCAATATAGGGAAGGAACGCACGCAGCTGTGGGTACCCGCTTGACAGCTGTACACGTGTACGAGCACGTGTCTGCGCTGGACTGGTTGCATGGTCTTCTTTTGCCGGTTTCGTTGCTAGAGGCAGGGAGGAGGTGGTGGAGCGCAAAATTTCGGACAGGGATGGTGAGATGGTCCGTGCTTCGGGCCGAGCTGCGGATCCTCGGAACCGCGGAACCGAGTCGCCGAATCGCCGAGGCCGAATCATGGGGAGAGCAAAAAAACATAGACGGGACATGGTATTGCGAGATTTCATTTGAGACATCACTCATGCTCATATACTAGCGGAAGTTTCCATATTTGAGAAGGATGGATTTGATGTTAAGAAACTGTCGTGGATGATCCACTACTGCATAGATATGCACACCTACTACTTCTATCACCATCACTGAACAGGGAATAAAACAACGCAGAGGACTATTGAAGATTGACGTGTCTCATCTCCACTCTCTCTTTCCTCCACAATGGCCAGCTCACAACTCTGCCCCGCTCTCTCTTTACCCCGCAATGGCGGCGGCCTCACAACTTCGTTTCCCCCTTCGCCGCTCCCTCTCTCTTCTCTCTCTCCTCCTTCTCCCTCAACCCACGCATGTACGCCTGGCTCTTCAACAGCGCATACACCGTCTGCAACCGCGGCAACTCGGCACCCCTCTCCCTCGCGATCCTAATCGGCAAGCCCAGAATGACCTCGATCTCCAGCGGACTGCCGCGCTCCCAGTCCAGCAGCATGCTCGGCTTGCCGCCCTTGTTGCGCTCGGTGCTGGCGATAATCTTCTCGGGGCTCGCAAGAGTGTCGGGGAAGGGCGCGCCCAGAATCTTGGGCGCGGCGTCCCAGATCTCCTGCATGATTCCGGTGAGGTGGGCGCGCAGCTCCGGGTCGACGACCATGTCGGCGTTGCCGCGGCCGCCGGCGAGGATGGACGACGGGTTCATGGCGGCGTTGATGGTCAGCTTGTGCCAGCGGATCTGCTGCAGCTCGAGCTCCGTGTGGAACTCGGCGTCCTTGAGCCCGCCCAGGTCGTTGAACAGGTGCGCCAGCTGCCGCACGCAGGCGTCGCCGCGGGCGCCCAGGTCCTGAAGTTCCTTCGAGGGAGACAATGAGGCCAGGCCGTCCGTGTACGCGCCCATGCTGATGCGCGTCCACCGGTTCTGCCGCACGTAGCCGTGGCGCAGCTGCTCGGCGCTGATGACGGTGACGGCTGAGATGACCGGGTTGCGCGGGAAGCGCGCGCGGTGCGCCGCCTCGATGCCGACGCCGTTCTGGATCAGTACGATGCACGTCTTGCCCGAGCCGCCGTCGCGCCGCACCAGCGGCTCGATGTCGGCGCTGTCGTCGGTCACGTCTGGCAGCGCCTTGGTCGTCACGATCACGTAGTCCCAGCCCGAGGCGGGCGGGCCGAGGGCGGATGAGTCGGATGCGGCGGCGCTGATGGACGGGTACACGGCATGTGGGGTGAAGGTGTAGTTGCCGAAGTTGCGCGTCTCGAGCGTGACGCCTGATTTGGCGATGACCGAGTAGTTTGAGCGGCAGACGAGGGAAACATGGACGTTCTTGGAGGGCTGGTAGGAGAGAGAAATTTAGTAAGTGCGAGATGGATTGACAAGGGGAAAAGGAAAGTATAAGGCAAGGTGGAACTATGTGTAAGACTTACGTGATGAAGCCGCGAGGCGTAAAAGCAGCCTACTGCACCTGCACCGACAAAGAGGATGTGAATGGGCCTGACGAGGGGATGCGTGAGTGATTGAAAAGGCGAAAAGGCTGATTCTGACGGAGTAGGAGGATACTTACTTGCCATCTGCGCTCTCAGTAGATGACATGGTTGAAGAGTAAGATGGAGTGGAGGACTGCAAGTATACAAGAAGGGGTATAGCGCTAAGATGAGCACAAGGTAGTGACAGGGACACAAGGAAGAGACAGCCAAGACTCCGGATAGGAAAGAAAGGTCAATTCCAACGTTAACTGCAGCCAGCGACACGACGTCTAGTTAAAGGCGCAGTCAGAAAGGCTATTGGCGTGATGCTTGCAGACTGTTGCCGTCGTTTCCGGTATCTCGCGAAGGTACGACGTTGTCTCAAGTGCCGAGCTGCGGAGAAGGACCGGCACGATGGCGCGACTGGCGGAGCGTGGGGCGGTAAGGCAGATCGTGCAATCGCACGGCAAATTCTGCCGAGGTCGGAACGAGGCCCCCGGCCGCCGCCTCATTCTGCCAGGAGTGCACTCCGACCCCCAAAGAAGCTCACATGACGGACGCCTGATTTATGGTATTGGTCGTCAATAGTTCGTAGCTTTATTTTAGTCTGTCTCTCTCTCCCTCTTTTCTCGTCTGTGGCACATCACACAGACGAGTACATAATGGTATCCACACTGAAGCGCCAATAAAAAGAAATCCCATCTAGCCCAAAAATTTTGACAAAGAACTTCAACGACCCAATCAACTCAGCCAATAATATCCAAAGCATTTAGAGCCTCTCCTTCTGGAGACCCTTCCAGCCCCAAGTCTCGGCAATGAGCTCAGCAGCACGCTCACCAACACCCAGAACAGTAAGCATGGGGTTGATGGTGGGCATCTCGGGGAAGACACCAGCATCGGCGATACGGACGCCCTGGAGGCCACGGACCTTGAGGTTGGCGTCGACGACGGCGTAGGGGTCGCGAGCGACGTTGCCCATCTTGGTGGTACCAGCAGGGTGGTAGACAGTGTGGGCGACGCGGCGGCCGTACTCGTTGAGGTCCTCGTCCGACTGGATCTTGGGGCCGGGGGCGACCTCGCGCTTGATCCACGACTTGAAGGGCTCCTGCTCGGCGATCTTGCGGGCAGCCTTGAAGCCGGCGACGAGCGTGGCCGCGTCGTAGCCCTCGGGGTCGGTGAAGTAGCGGAAGTCAAGAGCAGGCTTGACCGAGGGGTCGGCCGAGGTGAGGTAGATGCGGCCCTTGGAGCGGGGACGGGGAATGTTGGGCGTCATGCAGAAAGCATCGATGGGCGTGTCGTATCCCAGGCTGCCATTGGTTAGCACCGTCGCAAGAAGCGCCAGCTGGAGGAGTGTACTCACCGAGAAGTGTTCATGCAGAAGGGGATCTGGTAGCAGTGCATCATGACGTCGGCAATGTTGCCGTCCTTGCCAGCGGCGTTGGGGGCCTCGCGGCGCAGGAAGATACCGGCGTCCGAGTCCATGGTGGTCTGGTTCTGGGGAACGGGCTTGTTCAGCTCCCAGATGATAATGGTCTCGGGGTGGTCGAGCAGGTTCTCGCCAACACCGGGCAGGTCGCGGACGACGTTGATGCCGAGGTCCTGGAGCTGCTTCCTGGGGCCGAGACCGGACAGGAGCATGAGACGGGGAGTGTCAACGGCACCGGCGCAGAGAATCGTCTCGCACTTGGAGCGGAGGACGCGCTTCTCGCCAGACTGCAGGGTCACATCGACGCCAGTGACCTTGTCGCCCTCGACGTTGATCTTGCTGACCCAGGCGTTGGTCAGAATGGTCAGGTTGGGGCGGCGCTCGTCGTTGCGGAGGATGGGGTGGATGTAGGCAACGGAGGCGGAGCTACGGCGGCCGTCGTCGGGGTTGTAGGAGACGGAGAAGAAGCCAACGCCCTGCTGGAGAGCGCCGGTGCTACGGATCTCCTTGTTGAAGTCCTCGATGACGGGGATGTTCATGGCCTCGGAGCACGACTGGACCCAGTCCTTGCAGAGCTGGTTCCTGTGGCGGGCGTGGACGGGCTGGACCGTGTTGCGCAGGTTGTCGAGCACACGGGTGAAGGTCTTGAAGTCCCAGCCAGAGCAGCCCTGCTCGACCCAGCGGTCACAGTCATACTTGAAGGGACGGAACGAGATCAGCGTGTTGTGCGAGGAGCAGCCACCGAGGACCTTGGCGCGCGAGTGGCGGATGTGCGAGTTGCCATTGGGCTGCTCGGTCGTGGGGTAGTCGTAGTCGAGCTCGCCGCCCAGCAGGTTGAGCCAGTCCTTCAGCAGCAGCACGCGGTCGTCCTTGAAGTCCGAGGGGCCGGCCTCGATCATGAGCACCTTCTTGTTGGGCAGGTACTCAGACAGACGGCTGGCAATGACGCAGCCAGCGGTACCGCCGCCGACGATGACAAAGTCATAGTCGTTGACGAGGTGGGCGGGCAGCTGGGTGGTCGTCATGGTGGCAGAGAGGCGGAGGCAGAGAGACGAATGCTAAAAGATGGGCGGGAGGAGAGGGAGGAGAGGGCGCTGGTGAAAGAGAAATAGCACGGGAGGTCGCGGTACTAATGGATTTCGGGCGTAGGCTGAGACAGAGCTAGGATGCAGCTCGGAGGCTCAGCAATCGGGCTCAATCGCACGGCAGTCAGTCCACCACGCGGCGGATCGGGCGTGTCGGTGAGCCGTCCGACGGCAATCGAGGTGCTGGCGGCGTTTGCGGCCAGCCTCGAGGCCCTAGCGAGTGTTGCAGCTGCAACGCACGGGCGTGACGTCGGCCGCACCCACCATGCTGGCCCCGGCCAAGCGTGCCTGGCGCCGCACATCCCTGCTCCCCCGTCGTATCGGTCGAAAAAGTTTTGAACATGCCGCCGAGGCCCCCTACGTAACGCTGCCTGCCGAGCTAAGCTCTGCACCGATAAGCTGCTGCTAGACAGTCTTCACCACCATTTTCGTCCCTCCTGGCGCCCTCCAAGTTCTTCTCGTCCTCGTTCCGGCTGCTGCAACGATCTCCGCTTATCGTCCCAGCTCGAGCTCCCGCACCCCTCACTTCCGTCCCGGCAGCTCCCCGCCTGCAGCTTCCCGCAGCTCGATTCTTCACCACCATGTCCTACGCAACCCGCCAGCTGTTCTGGGACGGCAAGCCGCAGCCTGCCTCGTCCGGTCAGACCTTCCAGAGCATTGACCCCTCCACCAACCAGCCCATTGCCACCATCCAGCAGGCCGCCCATGCCGACATTGACGCCGCCGTGGCCTCTGCCCAGAGTGCCTTTGCTTCCTGGGCCTCCACCCCGCCCATCCAACGTGCCCGCATCCTCCTGAAGGCTGTGCAGCTTCTCCGCGACCGCAACGACGACATTGCCCGCCAGGAGACTCACGACACCGGCAAGGCTTACAGCGAGACCAGCACCGTCGACGTCATCACCGGCGCCGATGTGCTCGAATACTTTGCCAACATGGTGGCCGGCGGCGGGCTGAACGGCGAGACCGTCCGCCTGCGCGACGATGCCTGGGTCTACACCAGCAAGGACCCCGTCGGCGTGTGTGCAGGCATTGGCGCCTGGAACTACCCCATTCAGATGTACGCGCTCCGCAATTGACAAGATTGAAGTCCCCAGCTGACAAGCAACGCGCGCAGTGCCCTCTGGAAGTCGGCTCCCTGTCTCGCGGCCGGCAACACCATGGTATACAAGCCTTCTGAATTCACCCCGCTGCACGGCGAGACTCTTGCTCAGATCTACACCGAGGCCGGCGTTCCTCCGGGCGTCTTCAACATTGTCCAGGGCGCCGGTGATGTTGGCGCTTACCTCACCGCCCACCCGGGCATCTCCAAGGTCTCCTTCACCGGCCAAGTCAGCACCGGCCAGAAGGTGGCTGCTTCTGCTGCTGGCGGCATGAAGTACGTAACCATGGAGCTCGGCGGCAAGTCTCCGTGCATCATTCTGCCCGACTGCGACGTTGAGGCTGCTGTCGACGGTGCGATGATGGCCAACTTCTTCAGCACCGGCCAGGTCTGCACCAATGGCACCCGCGTCTTCGTCCCGGAGTCCATGCTCCCTGCTTTCGAGAAGACGCTCCTGGAGAAGATCCAGTACGTTCGTCCCGGCGACCTCTTCGACATGAACACGAACTTCGGCCCGCTCGTCAGCGAGGTCCACTACAAGAAGGTCATCTCCTACATCAAGCACGGGCAGGAGGTCGACAAGGCCAAGCTCCTCTGCGGTGGTCCCGACGCGCCCCAGAACCTGCCCGAGAACCTCAAGAACGGCTTCTGGGTCCAGCCTACCGTCTTCACTAACTGCACTGACGACATGAAGATTGTCAAGGAAGAGATCTTCGGTCCCGTCATGAGCATCCTCACCTACAAGACCGTCGACGAGGTCGTGCGCCGCGCCAACGACACCCCGCTTGGTCTTGCCGCTGGTGTTTTCACCAAGGACATTAACACGGCGCACAAGGTCATCCAGCAACTCCAGGCCGGTATCACCTGGATCAACACCTGGGGCGAGAGCCCGGCCGAGATGAGCGTCGGTGGCTGGAAGAGCAGCGGTGTTGGCGTTGAGAACGGCCGCAAGGGTCTTGAGGCCTGGGTCAAGAACAAGAGCACTCTGGTCGATATGAGCGGCCAGGTTCCTACCGTCTTCTCCAAGTTGTAAAGAAGTTAGACATGAAAAGTCACGGACATGAAGCATGGGATCGGCGTTGATTTGAGGGGGGAAATTCATTTGGAAACGAAATATTACACAGATTACCCGCTGAATGTACGAAACAGCAAGCCCGCAACCCTTGAAGAGAGTGAATGAAAAGATCTACAACAACCAGTATCCGGGTGGTGTGAGAGCGGGGTGTGTAGTTTGTCCCACATTGTTGCTACGCTCCTCCCCCACGCGGAGCCGGCGGATTGTCCCGCTGTGAAATTGCGCCTCTTACAACATCTTGCTTGTTTCTTGCGCCCCCTTGACTCGGTGAGACTCGTTGACTCGTGCATGGTTGGTCCAAGCTTCCTAGGTCTATGACGACGATGACCGGTTTCTCGCGAAACGCCACCGTCGTTTTAGGGATGCGGAAACGCTATCGTAGGCGCTGTCTCACGAGTGATAAAAAAACAATAATGAAAAGTCGGAGCACCATGTCCTCAAATGCTGCAAGGGTGGAAGGTTTCGGCGAGATCCACACTGCGTGCACACAGGATCCACAGACTATAGACGTTACGTAGGTACAATACAATAGTTCGGCGTGGAGCTGTGTTTCATCGGTCGATTGCTCACAGTAGAGCATCAGTGCTTTTTTATTTTTTCCGTGATGAATGTCGTTGCTTGGCTTTGTTTCGCAGCTCTGCTGTCGTACTACTACACCAGACTCTGAGCCAATGACGCGGACGAGAAAGCGAGGTGGCGACGGTAGTGTACCGTATCTAGCCCCGGACATTTGTGTTCTGGTAGGCTTCCAGAATCCTTCTATCGATTAGACGAGGGAACAATCCGCAACGGCGAACGGCAAAGGGTAAAAACGTCCCCAGCCTTGCTTGCCCCAAACCACAAACAGGAAAAGGAAGAGCGCACGAAACCATTGGCTTGCACTTATCACTATCAATCGGGGCTGCCGACAACAATCATTAGGGGGCGTTCGTCGTCGTAATGCAGCACCCGGTAGTTCAGCTCCGGCGGCGCGGCTGGTGGTCGCTGCAATGCAAGGCGGCCTGCCTTACAGCCTGCAGGGACTCTCTCGGCTCGGACTGCGCCGGACATGTGTCGTTTTTTGGTAGGGGTGGGGAAAGGCGAGGGGAAGGCGCCCCACAAGGGACCGGCCGACCGACCGATTACCCAGCCAGCCCAGCCAACCGCGCGCGTGTTGAGAGCCTGTGTCGCGTGCGCACGTTGGAGGATCCACACTGGCATTTCTGCGTCTTGGCTGCCGTTTCGGGGCCCCCTGGTGGGGTCGATTACTTCTTTTAATCTACTTTTTTTTTTCTCTCTTGTCAACCCTTTGTTCCTATCGTCGCTTTCCATTGGCTTTTTCGTGCTTGAACGGCCGGGACGGACGGATGGATGGATGCGTTCCGATCGGACGCGCCCGCTGGTGGTGTGAGATTTTTGAGCGAAGGGAGATAGCAACCATACGCCGCTACTTATAGCGTGCCGTTCCCTCTCCCGCCCTTCTTTTCATCCACGGTTTGACTTGCAACAGTACACTCCCAACCCTCGCCTTTTTCTCACTCCGCCTCAGCTGAGCCAACGCTCTTCGTATTGCATGAGGATACTGAGCACGGCATATCTTTTTTTTTTCAACAATAGAAATCGTCCAATCATCCTTCGCTCTCTTTGGCATGGGAGCGCCTGAATTTCTTTTTCTCTCATCGCAGCGCTTCTCACTGTCACTGGATCTTTAGTATCCAGTTTCTCGTATTTCTTGAGGTTTATCCCGTCTTTTCAGTCCTTTCTCTTCATGAAAAGAAGAATGACCGCGAAGATTACGCTCTTCTCTCGTTTTTCTTTGAAGGAAAAAAACTTTGTCTATTTTTTTTTCCATCTGACTCCCATGGCATGCAAGATTTGCAAGCCAGCGACGCCATTCAGATCGAAGCCGTCTTTCTCGTGACTCAATTCTCTCGCCGTCAACCACCTTTATTTCTAGCCTGACAAAGGTGTGATCTCCAACCCCCCAGCTCCTGAGGGTTTTGTACTTGTCACCGCAGCATCCAGAAGATAAAATCAAGGTAAAGTTTAACGCCAGAGACGCGGACCCGAACTCTAGACTAGAGGGAAAGATACATTTTTTCCATCTTGGTCCGGTCACCTCGTACAGCCAAGAGCGCATTTGTATCTAGTTGAGAGGGTAGGTGTGGCGCATTAAACCTCCACAAGAAGACAAACTCGATTCGAAATCGGGCTGGGGGTTGAGGTGATGTTGTGCTCAGCTTCATAGCACTTCTTTTGTCGTGACTTATTTGCCAGCCAAGCCCCAGGTTCAACCCCCTGTATAACCTACAAGCAGCTGCTTGTCCGATCGGGTGTAGACGCAACGCATGCCGCCATGTCAGCTTGGCCAGCCTCCTAATCTCAGTCCAGTACCACATAGCTGGAAGCGTACCAGCCAGACGACAGTGTTCGTTGGAAACAGTCGGGCCCACCTCCTTTCGATGAGGCTGCAGACAGCCGATGGGATGGATGGGAGATCTCTTACAGGGTGCAAGACCCCCTCTCCAGCCACTATGAACAACGCAAACCATCCCCCTCGTCGAGCCAGTGCCAGAAGGTCAAACCTACTCACCACTAGTGTCTGTCAACTCCAAATCAGACGGGATAGTAACCTGATCGGGCTAAGATTCTGTCCTTTCGACGTACGAAGATGAGACGTAGCGGCGGCTCGTGCGAAGGCCGTGCGAAGGCCGTGTGGAGGGGCCGAGCAGCGTTTGTTTGACCAATTTTTTTGCTCATATCCTCGTATTCGACATGTTGCTGAAAAAGATGCTTGCCGAGCTGATTGATACATGCCATTCTCCCGACACCTTCGTGGTGAAGTCGGTGCTGTGTTGTGGTCTTTGAGAAGGAGCACTCAGGGAGCGCTCGGGCCATTCGGCCACCTTGTGCAACCCCACTGGCTAGACTATTACGTGGTTGAACACAGATTCAGACATCTTACTTGATTCCTCAGTTCTTGGGTGCCCTACACACCCCAGCTGAGATCAAGGTAGCTGTGATTTCTGCAGTGACTCAAGAGTGTCGAACCTTCCACTTTCCTCGAGTTTCTCTTTTCCTCTGCCCCAATTCGTAGTAAATTCAAACATCCGTTCTGTATCTAATCACTTGTAGGATTTCGAGGTTCGCGTTTTCCTCTAACTGATAACGACACCTAAGAAATGTAATACCGAAAGAGTATACGATTACCGAGCTTGCTTGTAAGTTAATAGGTATCTCCTCCACCTCCAGAGGCTCTTATCGAAGCTTATCCATTGGCCGAGAAATTCAACGCCACGAGTGATTGGCTATTAGTGAGCGATGGAATTCAGCATGTTTCTGAATTAGGAAAGAACCAGACCGAGTGGAGGTGGTAGTGGATCTGCAGGGCAGAGGGGATACAAACCTACTCCACCATAACAAGTTCTCCATGAGACCTTAAGATCTACCTTCACTCACTAATAGTCCAACTGAAGACGTCATCAGGTTGATGGCAAAGTCGTTGCTCTGATGTCTATACATGCTCATTCATGGTCTGTATATTTTGATACAGTTGATACATACAGGTGAGAGAAGAATAAAGGAAAAAATGGCCTGACTCCTTCGACGCCCAAAGCATCCCTGGAAACCCGTGACCCCGCTAAGAAAACAGAAAATTCCGAGGCAAATTGTAGCGCTGCAAAAAATAATGTGTAATCATTCTCTTGTTCTTTCGCTTTCTTGAATTTCCTCAATGAGGGCAACAACGTGCCAGTCTGTTCACCCGATCCCAGCGGCACGTTTCATCTCGGCACCCAGCCAATCTCCTCGATGGGCCAGCGCACCCACTGCCTGTAGACGGGAGGGAGGAGATGATATATGCGCGAGATCAGATGCGTGCCCCAGCCCTTGATCCACCAGAAGCTGTCGAGGCGATGCAGCAGGATGCTGTAGTAGGAGAAGACGACGAGGGCGTGGGGATCGTGCTGGGACAGGAGCTTGAGGTACTCGTTGGACACCATGCACGGCCACGAGAAGATGCTGCGGAGGTGGCACTCGTTGGGGCCGAGGTTGAAGATGTACGTGTACGACTTGATCAGGTCGTCCAGGGCGGAGAGGTAGAGTTGGGCCTGCTCCGGGTTGGCGACGTCGCGCTCGATGAAGCGGCGCAGCTCCATCAGTTGGTCCTCCTCGGGCGGGCGGGCGGGCTCGCTGGTGGGCAGCGGCTCGGCCGTGACGCGCGCTGGCACGGTGCCGCTCTGCAGCAGGGCCGGGTCGAAGGCCGGGACCTTGACGCGATGTAGGAAGGGCCCGATGCTGCCGTTGAGGATCCACTCGCTCGAGCTGAAGACGATGCTGGCGATGCCGCGGAGCAGGAAGAGCCACTCGGCGACGCCCTCGCTGCTGACGAAGGGGATGTCATCGGGTTTGCGGGGCAAGGCGAGGCTGAGGATGGCGGTCAGGGCGCTGAAGATGTATAGGGCTGAGCAGTTCTCTTGTGTAACGTGGGGAAGGATGCTGGTGGGGCCGCGCAGGCCGATCTTGTGGTGCGAGACGGCACGCGAGATGTAGAAGTCGGCTTTGTCGGGTTTCCAGTGGGCCATGTGGGCTGCCGACACGGCCAGAATGGCCCGCATGACGAAATCGTGCTGGAATGCCAGACGCGGCACTTCGACGCGCCAGACACTGCGGAGTTCCGCCGTCTGCGAAATGGTGAAGGCGGTCGAGGTGACAAAGTTGTGCAGCAGCTCCAGGTCAACCATGTTCAATCCCATATGGCCTTCATCCTCCAGTAACGGTACCGTGTGCGGGCTCGGTGCCGAGGAGGGAGTGGTGGCATTTGGGTTGACGGACGAGGCACCGGAGCCAAAGTAGCCCTGGGGGCTTTGCGACGAGGCAGCCGCTTTGCGGGCCATGATCTCGGGAAAGTCGCATGTTATCGAGTGCTTGATGCAGTTCCGGCAATGGGGCTTCGTCTCGTCGCACTGCGCGCCGTTAGTCGTGTATCACGTGACCAGCATGGTAGCCGTAGGGCTCTGGCTGATGGGGATGGGCGGGATTGGCGAGGTTGGCGATCGAATAGGGGATGGGTAGAATAGGAGAGACCGGGATACCGCGCGCGGACAGAGCGCAGACTCTGGGTAGGGCGGTGAGATATTCTTAAGATCGCTTGATATCGCGCCTACTTGCTCACCTTGATCTTGCGGCGTTTGCAGTGGCCGCAGCCATTGCGAGATTTCCGATGCGGTTTCCGAGACGCAGCAGGAATCATGGCGAATGCGAGTACGACTACGCCGGCTACGCCAGGAACGCGCACTGGTCGGACGGGACGGCACGCAGAGGCACTCGACCAGCGGGCGGAGGTGACGTAGCAGCGCTCAGGGCGTGTTTGCTCGAGATGTTGTTCGTTCGGGTTGAGGGAAAAGTGAATACGAATGCGCGAACGAGCTGTGTAAGTATTTAAAGCTGGCTGAACACAAAAGCGCCCGTGCTTGGTGAGCGCCCTTCGCTCCGCGCCAGCAGGCTGCTTGCCAGTCTCTTGCCCAGCCTGGCGTTGCTGGTCCGGTGGGGAAATACTCTCGCTGGCTCGTTTTCGCGCTGCCGTCGCAGCTGTTTGTCGCGGCGTGGCGTTGTTCCGTTCTGAAGGGGCCCAACACCGCGAGCCCTGCCAAGCCTGTGCTCTTCCTCGCCTTTCCGGATGACATACAATAAGTACTGCGCCCAGGCCCGGGGACTGCAAGCTCCCGATCTGCAAGCCCTGGCCAGTCGTTATGTCCGGCGACCGGGTCCACCTGACCCGACACTGCCCTACGACATGCGACTCCATCTTCACTCAACCATCATTGAAACCCGAAGAAAACACCGTCTTCTCGTGCTCCAGTCTGCTAAAAACTCCCAGTACTAGCTTGCCTTCTTGTTCCTTGTTCTTCATGTTCCTCGGCCTCGCTTTCCGCTTAACTCCGGTCACCATCGACACCAATTAAAGCTTTGTAAGATACTTGTGAGGACCTGATACCCCACCGCTACAAGTGATTCGTACAGCATATATCAAACGAATAGCGCGGCATCGTCTGCTGATCTCTATATCACCACATAGCCTCAAGTCCAAACCACTGCCTTCGCCCACATGAAACGATGTCTATTATGCGACCATACCCGAGGAGGTGGCAAACTGGATGTCCAAGACTCCTCCAACTTTTGCGACTGAATATTGCAAGAAGACCCAGAAGCTTCTCAGATTCCTACCTGTTTTTACCACCAATGAAATATGATGTCGATAGATGGGATTATGTGTAGTTTTCTTCCCCGCTTGAGGTCAACTATCTCAAGAGCGGTTATATATCGAAGTCAATAGTACTTGAGGGCCACAATAAGAAGGAAAAGATCAAACAAATATCCGTCTCAGATCAGAAGGCCGTAGTATTAAGTCGCACTCTCAAAAATCCAATACACCAGTGACGATCTTCAACAGCGCAAAGCCTTGATAGTGGGGTTGTGAGAGCGTTAAAGGCAGAATCTCGCGACAGTACTAGTGGCTACGCGAGACTGCACTATATGTGCAACCCTCTCATGTCCTTTTTAATTACTCGCGGTGGGCGCATGAGGATAGTGCCGAGGAACCCCGTCCATGTGATAAGCGAAGGGTCAAGCAACGGGACGACACCGCTTGGCTGCGCCTTCTGTCGAGGCTTGGTTGGACACGACGATGGTTCGAACGAAGGATACCGACTGACGCAACTTTGGCTCACTCGATCCTGGGGTTCCGAGAAGTAGCCTCTGTCAGCAGTTGCAGACGCCGAGTCTAACCGAACCGAGTTATGCACCGTCGTTTTTGTGCACCCGAATACGAAATTATCGGATTATCTCAAAAGTCCAGGCCGCTCGTCACTCCTTCTGCTTCCGGTGCTGTGGCTGACATGGGACGGCAACCCCGCACCTCAACGGTTTTTACACACGCTAGAATAGCCATTCAGCTATGTTGTTATCTTCATCGCGACCGAAGGAGCGTGTCGAAGTACGGTACACTTTGCGAAAACAGCCTTGATCGGTAGATAAGACACGTAGTGACGCTCCCTGAGTTTCAAAGAGCCTCTGCTATGACCTTTGAAGTCTGTTTTTCTTTTGTTGTGAGGAAATATCACGCTTCAAAGTTAAAGACTGAACATAAACTCCTGGCCAGCTAGAGGTGCACATCCAAATCTTAGAGACAAATGACTGATCTTCCCTTACGCACTTACCCCCCAATCCACAGTGTCCTAGCGCTGACACCTCGTCTCCTCATCATTCTTGAATGCGGACATACGTCTGTGGGTAAACATAAGCCACGCTAAGCATCCGTGTCCGTGTCCGTACCCGCGAACAGCTCCGTCAACCAAGCCTCCCCTTACCCCTCTAGACGGCCATTGCTGACTTCCCCACATATCTACAGCTGCCGAAATAATCGGATCGCCTCTGATTTCCCCTGCCTGTTCGTCCGAAGATCTCGTTCTCGTCTATTTTTGTCCAAGGGGCGTCGCCATGGAGATCTCCGTTTCATTCTTGACTGTGCCTTTGCTGCCTGGTTCTCTCGTGACCGGTGTAGTCACCGCTCTGAACAAACTTTGTGAATTCCTTCCCAGTGGCTGGAGCTGTGATGAGGCTTGGAGGGACTGACTACGCCTCTCTCGCATTGCTATCTCATCGCATCGCATTCTACGCCGTGTCCTCGCTCTCGCCGCCTCTTTTTGCGTGGTTTATCGTGCAGCCCAAAAATAAACGATTTGTGGTACATCGTGGCTTGCATCGTTGCTATGATAGAGGTCGTAGGCGGGATGTATAGTATAAAGCGTTGCAGTTTTTGCAGTGATGATGATGATTCTCTCCATCACTCAATCAACAACCAGAGTAACTCACGATTGCACCATCAAGAACGATACACCAACTTCCAGACGATTTCAAACAACTTGTTGTTGTACGAATCTATTACTCATATTTATTATTTTCTTTCTTTCTCGTGAAAGAGTACCTCTCAGCGCCCAATTGAACCGCCCCAGGAAAACAAAAACGCAGTGATATCTAGGGTATAAAAAACAGTATCAAAAAAAATGTCGGACGGCTCAAAAGACAGCTTTGTGCTCTATCACTACAACCCTTCGACAGCCTTGGCTATCGTCTTCATCGCTCTATTCGCCAACACGACAATGTTCCACCTCTGGCAGCTTCTGCGACGACGGACTTGGTACTTCATCCCATTCGTCATCGGTGGCATCTGTAAGTGATTGTACCCTCGCTCCACAGCTGTGGATGAGATTTGCTGAGATGTCGCTGCAGTCGAAACGGTCGGATATCTCGGTCGCTTCATCTCCAGCCGGCAGACGCCCGACTGGAAGACGTGGCCGTACGTCATGCAAAGCCTGACTCTTCTCCTGGCGCCTGCCTTCTTCGCCGCTTCCATCTACATGGTCCTCGGTCGCATCATCCGCCTGACGGACGGATCGGCGCACTCGCCCATCCGGGTAAATTGGCTGACCAAGATCTTTGTGCTGGGCGACGTGATTTCCTTTCTTGGACAAAGTGCTGGTGAGTCGCCTGGATTGGATCCTTGGTAATTCCGTGGTGCTGGGATGCTGACTCTTCTCACCCCAGGCGGCGGCATGCTTGCAAAGGCAGACACACACAATGACGTCAAGTGGGGCGAAAGGATCATCATCGGCGGTCTCTGCGTGCAGTTGCTTTTCTTCGGGCTCTTCATGATCGTCGCCGCCATTTTTCACATCCGCATCTCACGCGTGCCAACGGCCAGGGTGGGCGAGCTGACAGTGCCGTGGCGGCGGTTCCTGGTCGTTCTGTACGTGGCCAGCGTTTTGATCATGGTCCGGTCGGTGTTTCGAGTCGTCGAGTACATCCAGGGCTCGGACGGGTACTTGATGAGCAAGGAGATGTTTATCTACATCTTCGACGCCTCGCTGATGTTTCTCACCATGATCATCTTCAACATCTGGCATCCGTCTCGCATCATCAACAGCCACACTGCAGCGGGAGCCTCTTCCGACGAGGAATCCGAGCGCAGCGGTCACCAGGTGCTTCAGCAATGGAAGCCAGCGCATGCTTCACGACAGACTGGTACAGCTTAAAGTTGGGACTACCAAGCCTTGTTATCTATTGGCCGTGGCACGACGCGTGAGATGGAGTCTTTCGCGGAGACTGCGGGTGCTGCGCATGGTCTTGCGGTTCGGAGTACCAGATTGCGCTTCGACGGCGGAAACGCGGGTCATCTGGCCAACGTCGGCCTGCTGCTTCTTGCTCTCGCGCTCAAGCCACTCGGCGAGAGCTTTCTGGAAGCTTTCGCCATCGAACTTGTTGGGCCAGCCATGTCTCAGGTACAGGCGCTTGATTTCGGTATCGGATCCGGGAAGGGAGGAGGACAGCTGGTATCCATGGAGGCCGCGCATGGGCACGAGCGTGAGATTTCTGTAGCCCTCGACTAGGTCGTTGAGCACGGCGCCGGCGGGGCGTGCTGTGAGTCTGTTGTCGAATTCTTGTCTGCCAGTTTCCTTGCTGTAGAGTTGGAAAGGCGTCGCGAGCTTCATAGTCCTGTTTTCTATATTGTAGACGTAGAAGTTGCCGAAATCGGAGCAAGACTTGAAAACAATCAGTTCGCCGGGCCTGGCGACTTCGAGCATGTCCTCGGCCTCGCCTTGGTCGAGGTAGTTGATTCCATAGGTTCCGTGGTCGAGCTCCGGGCTGGCGCGCTGCACGACGGTGTTCTTCAGATAGGGCAGGAAGCGCATCACATCCACGACGCGCGGATCGTAGCCGAGGGGCTCCAGCATGCTCTTCAGCTGGTGGTGGGGTGGCCACTGGAGCTCATCGGCAGGGATGTAGCGCATCTTGACGAGAGTGGCGTAAACACGACGCACGCCCTCGATCATCTCGCGGTGAGGCTCCAGCTCCTCTGGCAGCTCACCGACGCGAACAAAGTCGTCAGCAGACATTCCCTGAGGAGCGCGGTCCGAAGACGGCGACTCGCTAAAGTGGCACGAGAGGCCGTTCCTTTCGCAGCCGGTACCTGGTTGGGTTAGCCAATGACGCAGGCCACGTGACGTTGGGGTGACACGACAGACGGCTGGGGTGAACATACACTGCGGACGCTTGCCATCGCACTCCCAGTGGCGCGTGGTGCACACGGAGCAGGCCGAGTCGGCGAGCGATGGCGGCGGCGACGGCTTCTTCTGGCGGCCGAAGTCGCGGGCGGTGTCTGGTTCGTCAGCGGGGATGGCTCAGAAAACAGGCATTTTGCTACACACAGTCGGCAGTGTTAATGTCACCGGTCGTGTGAGAGCGGCGGAAGCTGCCCGTGTAGGGCACCGAGTTGCGGCGGGCGTGGACTTGGATGCTGTTAGGCAGCTGGGCCGGGTCGCGCTGGTCCATGGTGGGGTAGTTGAGGCGGGTGCTGGCGACGAAGACGCCTTGCGACTGCTTGGTGAAGTGCGGCGGCTGCTGGAAATGGTGGTAGTTGGGGACGGAAAAAGCGGGAGCTGCGTGCTCGGTCGCCATGGGGCCTGGATTGCTGGGCGGGCTCTCTTGGGAAGGTCGAGTCTGAAGGAAGATTCTGCGAGGCACGGTAGGATCCCAACGCGGTCTCGGTCGAGCGTATCGGACTAGGGGCGATCACCGTGGGCGCATTCGCAGCGGCGGGCGGCAGGTGATCATAGACCGAGGGGCGGGAGTCGTGGCCTTGGAAGTGGGTGTGGGAGAGGGGTGCTGGGAGGATGCTCAAGAGCGAGCTGAGTGCACGAGGGGACGGGCGCTGGTTAAGGCTGAGGGCAGGTGCGGCTCTTTCTGCATCTCGAAGCAAGTTTCGCTACCGGCATCAGGGGTGGGGGGAGGCTAACGAGGGCGTGCTGCTGGGCCGCTCATCATCTCGCAGCGCGGTAATTTTCGACCGCCTGCGCCAGGGCGCGCCTTGGCCTGTGGCCCCCCACGGCCGCCGCCGGCCCCAATTACGCGCTGAATCCGTCATCCATATCGCTGCCGCCCGTCGTGCGATCCGGCGCTCGGCCGACCGTCGACCTGCGCGCTGCGAACGTGCCAGCCAGGGCGCTCGCGCATTCAGGGCGCTTGCATCATTTCCCCAGCCCTCCACACGCCCTTCCGACGCCGGCTGCCTCTCCCCGAGCCTGCAAGTCTTGCCTGCACCGGCTGCTTGGCGCCATGCCTGGCAAAGCAGCCCTCTCCATGCCCGATCCACCTCGCCAGACAGCTGCGCATTTCGTTGACACGAGCAAACCCAATCTCCGCGGCCTCCTCGGCACCGTGCTAGAGCTGAGCGCCCAGAGCAGGCTCTCAAGACCACGCCTCCAGCCGCCACGGCGCGTGCAGGAGGCACACGACGTCTGGGTTGGACTGCTGCCACTAGGCTAGCTGCTACTGCCACGGCTGCCGTCGCGCAAGCTCCCGCGCCGGCGGACTGGGCCTGCATCCCTGCCTCTCCACAGCGCTCCCCGCGTGTGACGCTGTGATACGTCTTCTGCAACCTCACTCTGATATTGCCCGTCAGCGCGACTTCTGACTTCCTTCGTGTCGGCTAGCTCCTGTCTCGCCGCTCTCCCGCCAATTCCAATAGGCCGTCAATATGTATAGCCACCGCAACGGCGCGCATCTTCACCCATGGGGCCCGGGCTGGACGGCACTCCTTCCGCCTACCCTCTTGGCGTCCGCCGGCCCGCCAAGACTTCTTCCGTCACGCCTTGGCTGTCTTCGCGGTGCTACCCTCCAAGCAGTCATCCCCGCCACCGCGGCCATTCACAGCGTCGAAAGAGTTTCCTTTTCGGCGGAGCGGCCCACCGCGGAGCGCCTGCGACTACCCCGCTGGGCGAGCGCAGCCCTGGTCGGCTCAATGCGGTGAAAGGAACGCTTACGTCGAGTGCCAGGAGGTGCAGCATCCATCCCTATCTCCCCCAGATATTTGGATCTCCAACCAAGCCGGATCTGCTACGCCCTAGCCCCCAGACGGGCCCCTACGCTGCGCCGAGAGCGACGGACCATGGACCAGGTGCTTAGGCTCTTCTCCATGCTTGGCATGTCGCACTCCTGTCTCTTCTGTTGAGCGTCACCAGCCGTCCAGGAGCAGCGACTCGCCGCCCGCTCTGCTGCATCGTGGTTTGCTTCGGCGAGTCCTGGGGGGCGTGCGGCATTTCCGAATGGGCCCTGATAACCGCCTTCCCATTACGTACTAATTGGCTTGGCAGGGTCTCGCCCAACCACAATGCAGGCGCAATCGCCCCGGCGTGTCCAGCGGCGTAAACCCTTCGCACGATGAAAATTGCGTCAACCCACCCGGCGAATCTGCTCCCCATGCTCTCCGCGCCGCGAGTCAAGGCCGCCGGCCTAAAGGTTAGCCACCACGGATCGCGAGCGAGCTGGCCCAACGGCCGCCAGCCTGGCTGGTGGCAACATCGCTTCAGATCGTGATCTGTAACCCCATGTCGCTTCAGGCCGACTCACTCTCCCGCTGCAGCAGCATCCGCCGTGCAACGCGCCGGGCAGCAGCAAAGTCAGATCCACTGTCGGCCGATCGCTGATCCCGCCCTTGCCGAGACAGTCAATCCTTTAGCCGTAGCTGACAGCAATTCTTTACTTGATTTCCATGCCACCGCTCTGTGACGGCGCGGGAAGTCACACCGTCTATCCTCACCGACTAACCGCTGCCTGTCCGCGTGCAACCGTCCGCGCGTCGCGTGCGGGTGCGCGACAGCCTCATACTTTTTTGGATTTGGAAAAGAAGCGTCTTCTTGCTCTTGGCTTTGTCCCAGTTTCATCCTGTCTCATCAGCAACCATGATCGTCGCCACGTTCTGTTCAGCTGCCACATGTCTCCCGTTGCGGCCCAAGCCGTCTGCTGGTTTCGTCATTCGTCGTTCTACCTTCACTCCACGTCCAATGACTTGAGCTGCCCTTCTTTCCTAGCTGCGATACGCGCTCCACCTGCGGCGGAGACTCACGAGCCAGCACAGCAACACAGTCACCTGCTCACCACGCTGTTAACCGGGACTCCACAGCGATCATGACGCTGCGCTGCCGTGCGCTGCTTTGAAACTCAGCGACGGCCCTGACGTGGTCGTCCGTTCCCCTCATCCCTAATGCGCGGTTAATGCGCGTTTTGCTATGTTGAACAAAGCGTTCGCGAGGCGCAGCTTTCACCGTGCGTCGACGACGCCGCACTCTCCAATCAGGGGCCCGCAGATGTTATTTCCGGAAGCATCGTGGTCGCCGTCGCCACTTTTTGCCCTGACCGAGTCTCCAGCGTGCCGAAAGGGTTACGGGAGCCCTTTGCCGGAATCGGCAGCTTGCTTCGCGCTTAACCTCGTCGGAACTCCGATGCGGGAGACCATGCTTCGGAGGATTCGGAGTAACTGCATGAAACGAAGATTTCCTTCCGTTTGCAAATCCGCGGGTGGCTGCGGAAGCAAACCATATCACTCGGCAGATGTTTCTACCACAAAATGCCGCTCTATGAAGCTCAGGTACCTTACTTCTGTGCGGCACTGCAGTCGAAACGCCGGCCCGTTCCCTAGACTAGTGGAGCTACTATCCGACAGCCCCCATGTATAATGGGGCCCTTGTCGCTTGCGAGTTTCATGGTTGTCAAAGATTCCAATCCTCTGCCCTGTGCTGGAAAGAGAACAACACGGTCCAATCAACCAAATTCGCTTGTCGTCACGTTAAAGACTAATCAGTTGCACAGCTTCCATTACGACTTCTGCATTCTTACAACCATCGGTCTTTCAGCCAGCAAGACAACGCGTGCACCGTCTCGTCCGGCTTCTCCATTGTAACCCAGTGCGTGGCATCAATCTGCCTGATTTCCAAATCTGGCAGCAGTCCAGCCTGTCTCGACGGCTCAATGAACGAAGGCAAACAAATGTCATCGTGCGAGCAGGCTAGGAACAAGGTTGGCACACGAACTGTTAACCTATCCCCACGTATATGCCTCTCCTTCTCCCAGTTCAACCCGAGCACGTAAACCTTGTACCAGTTGAAGGCCCCATCAAACCCGTGTTCCCTCGTCCGGGCCAAGTACTCCTCCTTCCAGACACTCCCATCCTTTGCGTAGTCCTTAACTTCCTCCCTGGTATCTGCCTCAAGGTACGCCCGGACCGCTCCGCGTCTGCAAAATATATCCCTCAAACAGTTGGGGCGGCTCCCGTGCAGCGCACACCACAAGCTTTCAGCCCGCTGCTGTGTCAATTCCGGCGCATCCGGCTCGGTGAAGAACTCCCAATACGCATACCTAGCGTAGCCCGTCGCCTCCTCGAGAGCGTAGTTCAGGTATTCCAGGTTGAAGGGCGACTCCCTATCGGGCGGCATGTAAGCGATGCTCACGAGCACCAGGCCAGCGACCAGCGCGGTTCCTTTCCACAGCCACATGCGTTGGGCAAGGAAGGCGCCCCAGTCGTGGCCGACGACGATAACCTGTGCGATGCCCTCGTTCGCGAGAAGTTCGGCGAGGTCGGAGGTCATGAGATCGGAGGTGTACATGGCCGGTTCGGCCGGCTTCGACGTCGCGCCATGGCCGAGCAGGTCGGGCGCGATCATACGGTGCGAAAGGGGCCGAAGGGCCGGGATGATACGCGACCACAGGAAGGCACTGTCCGGGAAACCGTGCAGGAACAGGATTGGCGGCTTGTTGGCGTGGTAGCCATTGCTGTTCCGGGTACCGTTCGTGTTGCGGGCGGCTGCCAAGGAGGAGGTTGGGCTTGTGGTCCTCGATGAAGACGTGTCAGGTTGGGTATCGTAGTAAGTGTACGTCAGTGCGCGTGACGTTGTGAACGTTTTCCTGGTAAGGCCTTCCATCTGTCCTGCTTCTCTATTTTCCTTTCCAGGCAATGTCGTTCTTTGCTTTTTCTCGCTTCGCGCCCTGCAGCTGCTGTTAGCCAGGGGCGTCGTCGCTGCTGCAGGAACAGGAGACGCCACGGACGTAATCACGACTCTCTCGAGCGGTATGGTCGAAGCTGCGAAGGGCAGCAGGACCACGGGGTTCGCCACCGGACGACGCGAAGAGCAAGGAGGCAGGCTTATATTGCGCCTTGCTCCACCCTTCCATTTTTATCTTGCACCATCAATCTCAGTCTGACCTTCCGGCCGGGACCTGTGCTTACAGCAGCGGGCAGGCGATTAGCAGTGCATGCTGCTCCATTGGGGCCTCTCCGCCGATGGCGCATGGCTTTTCTGGCGCGAGCGAGAGCGCATCAAGGCAAGCAAGGGGACTCTCCGCAACATGGCGCACATCGTCACCGTGCTTGTCCCCTCCGCGATCTGGCCTGATGGATTGCAGGTTCAACATGGGCGACGGCGTGGGAATTCGCCGAGAGTGAAGAGAGAGAAAGCGGGGCCGCTTCTGGGCACACGAGACCCGGTGCTTCTGCATTGACGCGCTATTTCACCGCCTATCAGATTCTAATCGCCAAACTCGCCTAATCGTACGTAAGGTACGCGCTTCAAAAGCCTGGACCACCCTCCTACCGCCCCAGCCCATCTATGAGCCCGGAGGTTTTTCCGTTTGTCGCTCGATGGGCGGATGGAGAAGTCGATCAGAACCCTCGAGGGTAGGTAGGCGATCATGCATGATGCAACAGGTCAGGCTCGCAGCGTCCCTGATTGAACCAGTCACATGCAGTGCTTGCGTACTTTCCATGAGATCACCGAGTCTATATTTCGTATTCTACCCATGTCTATCTCGAAATGGAACAGAAAAGGCAACGCCTTGCTACGACCGTAACTGATGGATCTACCCTAAAGGAGAGCGATCAACGACGTGCATGGGCGCCCAAGCCAGCCACGCTGCATCCAATCTCCGAAAAAAGTTTCATTTCCCTTTTTTGTTGAAATCTGATGCTCACACGCGTCTTCTCGTTGACACGCGGTAACGGTGTCAAACCGCTTCGGCCCGGTTCATCGGCAGCAGTGATCGTCTGATAGGCGTCGATCATGCTACCATTCCCCAGGTGTTTTTGTTTGCCGTTTTTTTATGTGTGCTGCGCAGTAGAGCATCTCTACTAATTTTTTTTCTCCATTCTCTCAACCACGTTCTGGTCTCCCGTCGTCGCCTTGCTTTAGTTCTCGGCGGGACCGTCGATCTGGTTGCCGTTGCGGTCGAAGTGGAGGGACTTGTTGTGCCAGAGGGCGTGCTGCAGGGCCCAGGCGATCTTCATGCCCTTGACGCCGAGGTTCATGGGGACGGGGACGGGCTTGTTCTCGAGAATGCTGTCGCAGAACTCGTTGGCCTCGGTGGCGAAGGCGTCCTCGAAGCGCTCCCAGTACTCCGGGGGGACCTCGTGGTTGATGCCGGTGGCACTGGCGACTTGGATGTGGTTCTGCCAGGATGTTAGTGAGTTGGTTTGATAAAAGGAGAGGAGGGGAGAAAAATCGGGTTGAGGAACTTACGATACGGGGGATCAGGTTGACCATGATCTTGCCGTGGGTGCCGATAATCTCAGTAGCCACGTCCTGGCCGTGAGCCTGAGTCCTGCTGCAGTAGTAGTAGGCCATCTTGCCGCCCCAGAACTCGACAACACCGATGCCATTGTCGACGTCGCGGCTCTGGGCCAGCTCGGGGTGGTGGGTGAGGGTGCCGATGGCGAAGACGGTCTTGGGGACGAGGTCGTCGCCGAGGAACCACATGGTCAGGTCGATGTCGTGGATGCTGCAGTCGACGAAGACGGCGCCGTTCTTGGCGGCGTAGCGCACGAAGAAGCCCGTGTCGTCGCGCAGGTCACCCGTCTGGCTGCGAACCATGAAGGGCGTGCCAATGACGCCGGCCTCGATCTTGGCCTTGGCTTCGCGGTATGAGGCATCGAAGCGGCGCGAGTAGCCGGCCATGACCTTGAGGTGGGGGTTTGCCTCGGCGGCATCGACGACGGACTGGGCCTGTTGGTGGAGACACACTTTGTCAGTTCTCAATTGATCTCGTTTGAGGGGAAGAGATATGAAAAGAAAATTGGGAGTGTTCTAGCAAACGTACATCCTCAAGGCTCGTCGACAGCGGCTTCTCGCACAGAACGTGCAGGCCCTTTGCAATGGCAGCGTTGGCCTGAGGCGCGTGCAGGTCGGTGCTGGTCGACACCCAAACAGCCTCGAGTCCCTGGTGCTGGAGCATCTTGTCGTACGAATCGTAGACGGTCACGCCCGAGCCCGGTGCGAAGAACTCGCGGGCCCAGGCCAGCTCGACCTCGCTGATAGTGCACACGGCGACCAGCTTGGCCGTCGGGGTGCGGTAGAGCAGGGTCTTGGCGTGACGCTTGCCCATGCGGCCGAGACCGACAACACCGATGGAGACGGTCTTGGTCGGAGCCCTGGCGGGCATGTTGTGGAGCGAGTCCATGTTGTTGACGCCGGGAGCCATTTTGGTGGAGTTTGAGGGCTGCGGCGGTTTGGATTGGAGGAGAAAGCGGAGGAGAAAGAGATGTGAGAGGTGGGAGAATCGAGATGCTCTGAGGAAAGAGAAGCCTCAGCAAGGCGGAGAGACGGTCTTTTTAAATCCATTCGTTCTGTTCGGACTGAGCTATCGCGACTGTTGGAGCTCCTGTGGGGTTGCTAGCTTGCTATCGATAGCTCGGGGTCTGGGTGGGAGCTATGGCCGGGGAAAGATTGCCCCTCGGGATCGACTTGCCCCCCCGCATGGAGAAGGAATGGCACGAGCGACGCCTTAGGCACGCCACAAGTCGCGCCGCGACGCGACGCGTTGCGGGGAAAGAATGCTCCGTTCAGCATCTCGCGATGCTACGGGAGCAATCTTTCGACGACCCGTTGGTGTTGAGTAGCGTTGGTGCAGTCACAGGGTCCAGAAATTCGACCCCGCTACCCCGCACTGTTCCCGCATTGACGTCAAACGAATCGCGGAGGGAAAGTTACTTTCGGAAGAGAAATTGGTGGTTCAGGGAAAAAGTTTATGGTAGTGCGGCTCATCACGCGGGGGTTGACATGGAGTGGATTGCCACTCTTGGCTGGCCGGACTGCTATTTTGAGTGTGGAAAGGAAAGCCGACAATGAATTGGTACTATCTCCGCTTCTAAACTTTCTAGATCTAGCTGTCTCGCGGCAAGTAAGCGTGTTTCTTGAATCCAAAGGAAATGAGGAACGAGCCTCCCAACTTCGTCCGAAGAGGATACATCTTTTCAATTACATCCCTCCCTTTCTTTCTCACCTTCCTCCGTCTTCAGGCAACTTGACATCCGGAAGTTTCTTCCATTGATTCACCATCATCGTCTCCTCAATTCTCTCCCCCTTCTCTTCAAACCCTCTTCTCCCACGCCGTAGCAACCAGCTCCCAGTACCTCTCCGGCTCCTTCCTCATGTGCCCCACGTGCGCCGACCCCTCGAACATGGCGCGCTGAACGCGCAATCCCTTCGCCTCGGCCTCGGCCGCGTGCTCCTCAACGTCCGGCGCCAGGATAACCGCGTCCTCAGACGAGTAGACATACAACCGCGGCGCCTCGCCGCACAGGAGTTTGCCATCGTTGAGCACCTCGCGCATCTCCATCGACAGCGTCTGCACGCCGAAGAGGGGCGGGATGTGGAAGAAGACGATGAGGAGAATGGCGATGAAGAGCTGCAGCGGCCACCGGATCAGCGGGAACGAGGGCAAAGAGAGCGACATGGCTGTCAGGCCCTGGAGGAAGCGCGAGCGACCCGGGGCCGAGTCGTAGATGATGCTGGAGGCCGGCAGGGCGCGGCCCGTAAGGGACCGATACTGTTGGCAGAGCATGGCCAGGTGCCCGCAGCCGCCGTTGGACAGGGCGTGCACGAGGAGGCCGTTGTTTTTCCCGTTGGCGGAGTCCGTGGGGACGTAGGAGCAGATGGTCGCTAGCGCCGGCGCCAGCTCCCGCTTCTGCCGCGACGCCGGGTTGAAGAAGAAGTCGCTGGTCGACGACGTGACGAGCAGGATCGGAGAGGCTGGGTACAGCATCCGGTAGTACGTCGTGTACTTGGCCACGTGCTTCGGCTGAGCATCCATCCACGAGCACACGAGGATGAGGCCCGGCGTGCCCGTGCTGCCAGGGGCGCGCTGCGCGGTGCCTGGCTCGGTCGATGAAGCGACGGCCGGGTCGTAGAGGTAGGTTTTGTAGTTGAGTTGTTGGAAGTCCGGGAGCCCAACGGGTTCGGTGGCTTGCTTCTTCTCTGATGTTGGTGCTGCCATCTTGGGATTGCTTCTCCTTATTTTCCGCTAGCTCTTGCGTCTTGATGAATTGTATGAGAGGTGGTTGTAAACCAGAAATAACAGTAGGTGTTGACAGTAAAGACAGTAAGGAATGGCGGACGAGCGAAACGTCAAATGCAACGGAAACCAAGCAAGAACACTGCGTACACTGAAGGGGTATTTCACTAAGCACTACGGCATGCCGAAGCTGAACAGCTCTTGAAGAAAAAGGATGATGCAAATTGCTTTTTAGACACTATTGTTGCTCCGTCTCCGCCACTACTAAGATCCGGTGTTCGGCCGTAAGATTACACTCTGTTCTCGGTACAGCGCCGTCCCACGAGTCAGGCGTGAGAAGGCCCGGTTGGCAAGGTTTCAAACACCGGTCATCGGTTGCCACTCGACCAATAGGAACTCGCCATTCGCTCCCTCGGTATCTTCCACAACACCAACACCTTTTGGTGGATCTTATCTGTCGTGATGTTGTCTGATCAGTAGCATCTCCGGACTTGCTTCGGTGATGGAACCTACTTGGCCGCTCAACAATTCTTCAAGAAGACCGTTGAGCCTCTGAATCCTGATCCCTGTTTACTTGTGCCTCGGTTCAATCAGCCTCGGCTCAGCCATCTGCTCTCAACCTTTCCCTTATGCTTCACCTTCGACAGTGGTCATGGGAGAGAATATCTATATTGTACCCTCAGCATTGTGAGCTGTGGAATTATTAGTCTTTGAAATATTCTTATACATAGAGTAATGGAATTTGTGACTAGACTGAGGAATTCTATGTAGTGACATGTATCTCTTCCGCCCTGGTGATCCCTCCTCACCTCCCCGCCCACATCCATTAGGCTTAGCGCATTCCTTATAAGGAAATTTACCATCTATCATCTCTCGCTGACATCCAACCACTAAAGGTGTTTATTTCTCGACCAATAGATAAGCTCCGATAAGCGTTGAGAGAGGTGGGAGGGGAGGTGAGGAGGGATCACCAGGGCGGAAGAGATAATAATCGGCTTAAGATTCGGGTCTCTAGCCGATCTCGCTGATAGTCCTCTGATGTCTTCAACACTACGACCATTTTTAAGGGATGGGATGACTATTAAAATATAGTAGACTCGCACAATGATCTTTTGTTTTTATCATGAATTCACAACTAAAAACCCTGGAGCTGTCGGTGTATTTCGCAAGATTTTTCAAGTAATAGTAGATGTCAGCACCCTCAATGACTTTAGACAACGATCATTATAAGTAAGTAATGATGACTGAGATTTTAGTTTACACCGTCACATGAAGAAGATATAATCATGATTGGCTCGAAAATGAGAAGCAAGCTGAGCTGATTCTTTCGTGGATAATTTGGCGTGAGTGATCGACCACAGAAGGAAACCAAAGTAAGGTGGACGTCACTGTATATCAGATGTATAGCAAGACGTGTCTATCGTGAGAAAAGCATCTAACGGACCTACTGAAGATATATTTCATCTTCGCGCCTCGACGCGTCTGACGTCCACGCGCCAGCACATGACGCAATAGTCCCGATATTCTCCCGGAGCGTTGTCCGTTTCCCTTCGCCGCTCCCATCGCCGCATCATCACCGTCCGTCTTCACCACCACCAAACTTCTTCGACTCGCACGCATTGAAACCATGGGCAACGACGGCGGCAGCATCCCCACCCGCCGTGAGCTCGTCAAAGAAGCCGCGCGCAACCCGACGACAACCGAGCTCAAAGCCGCGGCGGCTGAAGCCGAGCACCACCGGTGGACCGTCGACCCGCTGTCGAACAAGCCCCTCGCGCGGCCCGTCGTGTCCGATGCGAATGGACGTCTCTACAACAAAGACTCGGTCATCGAGCACCTCCTCCCGCTCGCCGACCCGGACGACGTCGCGGCGCTGCAGCGCAGGGAGGAGCAGGAGAAGAACGTGCTGAAGGGTGCGGTGAAGAGCCTGAAGGACGTGGTGGAGGTCAAGTTCTGTGTCGAGGGTGAGGAGGAGAAGGGAACGCCTGAGGCGGCGGAGAAGAAGGAGGGCAGGCGGGGCGGGAAGGAGGTTTGGGTGTGCCCGGTTACGAGGGAGGAGTTGGGACCTGGCTCGAAGGCGGTGTATTTGGTGCCGTGCGGGCATGCATTCGCGGGAGAGGTGATTAAGGAGGCAGGGGACGAGAAGCTGTGCTTGCAGGTAAGATTTCCCCCTCATTGGCGTTGCCCCTACTTGGTTTGTGTTTGGTAGGGCTGATGGTGTGATTAGTGCAATGAGCCATACGCCCCTAACGACATCATTCCCATCGTGCCGACTACCGAAGAAGACATTGCGCGTCTGCAGCTCAGAGCCAAGACGTTGAAGGAGAAGGGTCTGACGCATTCGCTGAAGAAGGCGGGCGGCAAGAAGCGTAAGAAGAATGGTGACAGTGGCGAAGAGAAGAATGGCGAGGCAACAAAAAACGGCGAAAGCAAGAAGGAGAAGAAGAAGAAGGCAGCCACAGCGGATGGTATCAAGAACTCGGCTACAGCGTCGCTGACTGCGCGGGTTCTGGCGGAGCAAGAGGAGCGCAACAAGCGGCGGAAGATCGAGAACAACGAGAATCTGAGCAGCTTGTTCTCGAAAGATCAAGGCAACAAGGGCAAAAACAGCGACTTCATGACGCGCGGTTTCAACATCCCGGCGCAGGCCAAGCGCTGAAAGACGATACGAGATGAGGGTTAAACCGTGGGCACGGATTCAAGTTCATAAAAGAGCATTGCAGGCGTTTTGGATACAGGCATAACTTCAGTAGCAGGTCACTTCGGTATACCCGGCGAATGGAACAATCATGATTATCTACATGTCTATTTATCCAGATCCAGGGATCGAAAGGGTGTCTCTCAGATCCGCGGTTTGACAGCGGCGCGGTTTGTGGGACTGGTTTACTGTAAGCTGAAGGCACGAGATCAAAACGAATAAGATCATACGAGGAAACCGATAAACGGGCACGTGGAGCAGCAAGGAAATAAGGTGAGAATATGGTGGTTGATTCTTTAGTGTTTTCATATTTCATAATGCGTTTCACTCATACAAAGTGCAGAAAAGCTGCAGGTCAGCAGGGATAAAATGACCCTTGACTTACTTGGACGACGATATTCTGTTGCCATTCTCGTCCCATTCGATCTTCTTACCCGTCCTCAAGCTCTCCTGTAGGGCAGCCGCGATGTCCATGCCCTTAACGGCTACATCTAGCGGATAGGGTAGCTCCTTGCTGTCGAGTACGGCGTCAGCGAAGACACGCAGCTCGGTGACGAAGGCCTTCTCGTAACGCTCGTAGAAGTCGGGCATGACATCGTTACCGATACCATTGCTGTTGGCTTGGACAACGAGGTCGCGGTGGGGATGTAAATTGATCTTGAGCGCGCCGTCGGTGCCGATGATCTCGGTGGGGTTGTCGAAGCCGTGATGCATGATGCGGCTGAAGAAATAGTAGGAGATAGGGGCAACTTTGCCTGGAGCAGGCGGGTACCACTCAACGCAACCAGTGGCATTGTCAACGTCACCGATCTGAGCCAGCTTGTGGTGTCGGGCGATGGTGCCGATGGCGTGGCACGACTTGGGCTTGAGATGATTGCCCATGAATGCAAACGTCAGGTCGATGTCGTGAACGGCCGTGTCGATGAAGATGCCTGGATTCGCCATGACGTAACGGTCGTAGAACTCGCTGTCGTCGAACTTATCGCGTGTCTCACTGCGGACAACAACGGGCTGGCCGATGCGGCCTTCTTCGATGGCCTTGACGGCGTTTAGGTACGAGTCGTCGAAGCGGCGTGAGAAGGCGGTCATGACTTTGAGGTGCTTGTACTCGGGCTTGGAGCAGAGGTCGACGATGGCCTGCGACTCGGCCACAGACATGGACAGCGGCTTCTCGCACAGCACGTGTAGGCCGCGCTTGACGCAGGCGGTGACTTGCTCATAGTGGACCTTGGTGGTCGAGGCGATGATGACGGCCTCCAGCCCGGGCTCGGCAATCATCTCCTCGAAGGAAGGGTAGACGTTGACGCCGTAAGGCACCAAGTGTTCGTCGGCCCACTCCAGGTCCTGCGGGGCGGGCGAGCAGGCGCACAGCAGTTTGGTACGGTGCACGTTGTGCAGGGCGTTGAGGGCGTGTTGCCGCCCGATGCGTCCAATACCAACTACACCAATGGCAAGCCTGCGCGGCTCTGCTCTCTTGCTGGTGGTTATGGTCATGATGGAGAAGGTGGTGGACAAGGTAGTCTATCCGAATGGGGCAGGTAAGCAAGGCGCTTCTTCGGAGGAGATGGCGGTGGTGATCCAGCAAGCGAGCTGCCTGGTGGAGAGCGCAGTTTGCTTGGGGTAGCGCAGAGAAGGGAATAATTTCTGAGGCTTGATCTGTAGACAGAGAGAATGCAGAGAATTGGTGCTCATTGATATAGTCGTGGACAGTGAGTGATAGACGGGGTTCTATGCGAGTCTGCGGCCTTCGACTTCGGCCAAGAGATGGCCCATGGGCCATGTCGGTGGGGTTGAGTTGCGATTATGGGCGACGACGGGCCGACGAGGAATAGCGTGGCCGGCCGCGCTTGAATCGTAGTGCAATGCTTGGGCAATTGCTGGATGCGGGGCGGCCACGAGTAGACCTGGATGAAAAGGGCAAACATGGCCCGAGTCGCCGGTGCATGCCGGGGTACAATAGGCCGCCTTCGGTGCTTGAGCTTTTCTTACAAATGCAGCCGACTCGTCCTTTCCATCGTATAAATGGACCGCATCGGATACTCTGAGAATTTCAGTCGAGCAATTCCAGCACACTGCCTATTCCACGGCCTGATTTTGTGTGTTGAAATGCAATACAAACCCGAAGAGAAGCCGCGTGGAGGCAATTTTACGGTCAAGGCTGGAGGCTCACGGAAATGAGTGCGGAGTTCTGTGACAGCCGGGCAAAAGAATTCGGAGGGAAGAATGAGGGGCGCGTGCTGAGAGCGGAAGCAGCAGCGGAAGGACGGCGCGCTTCGCGTAGGGGAATTTCGCCTCATTTCCGCCCTCCCATTCACGCTCCCGCCTGCTCCAACCGCCCCCGGGCCATGAGCCCCCGAAAATCACAACCACGGACGCTCCTCACGACCTGATGAGCGGCGCTCAGGATTCCGCCGCCGCGCGCGTCTCCTGCAACAACAGCCAGCCTCCCCCACGACGTCGCCCCCCGCCCCGTCTACGCACCAAAACCGGCTGCCTCACATGCCGGAAACGGCGAAAGAAGTGCGATGAACGCAAGCCACTCTGTCGAACTTGCGCACGGCTGCAGCTCGACTGCTGCTGGGAAGATGCAGACAATCACGTCGTCGACCGTCGGCTGAGCCCCCGGGCCTCGCCACAGCCACGTAACCCGGAGCCCTGCACCCAAATCGCTACACGACAAACCATTAGTGCACCTCCGAAGCAGTTATCCGGCCTCTCTCCCTTCTCTTCTGCTCACGACCAGTCACTGTTCACTTTCTTCGACTCCGAAATTCTTCCATCCCTAATGCGCAAGCATGTCGACCCCGTCTATCAGGACCAATCTCGACTATACTCCATCGCCTATTCATGCCCATGGGTCATGAACGCAATGCTGGCTTTATCAAGTCATCATCTATCATGGCTACGGTCTAGAAACGGCGACCCCGCCGTGCCTTACTACGCCAATGCTGTGCGAGACTTGCGGAGAAATATGAGCTCAATGTCAGCGAATGATGACTCGCTCCTGTCAGCCATCACCTTTCTAGGTCTCTACGAGGAACTGCGCTCCGACAACCTTAGCCACCACATGGTTCATTTCAATACCTCATCGCAAATCTTAAAAGCGCGTACGAATGAGCTGAAACAATGCGACAAGGTCGTCTTCCTCCGCATAAATGCCGAGTCTGCCATGTACCATCTTTCCACCCGAGCTCTGTTTGCCGACACGCTTCCAGATGAACGTGACTGGGCCCAGCTACAGCAATATCTCTCTATGCGTCCACCTTCAGGGGCTGTCGAATGGACAGAGTCACCTCTACTCGGCTCCATCCCTCAACTATTTACGCTTATTCTCGAGACTACTCGACTAAGCCGCGCTGTGCCGCTCAACACTGCTCTTATGGAGAAAGCCAAAACTTATCTGGACGAGATCCAAGACAACAAACTTCGCCTGGCCTTGTTGAAGTCAAAGATTGCCGCCGAATACGAGAATTTGGAGCGGACAATGGAACTCGAAGTCTATTGCATGCCAAGGCTATACCTTCTTGCCTTGGAGATTTTCTTGTTCAAAATTATGGGACCAATAACCACCCACGCCGATAGCCCGGAGATCCAGAAACGTGCCGATGAAGCTCATGTTCTGTTCCGAAGCGCACCCTTCCAGATCATTCACGACAAGATGCGACCTGGTCCAGACCCAGCCTATCCGTTCACCGAAAGTAACTGTTGGCCGTTGATGATCATTGGATGCGCTACTACTCGGCAAGAGCACATTGCGACGTTAAAGGCTGTCTTCCTCAACCTCTGGAGAGTACGTTATAGTGGCTATGTGAGGAAGGTCATTCGAGTGGTCGATGCTGCTTGGAAAATTAACCACGCGTACTGCGAGAGTAAGAGTGACTTGTCTCCTGAGGCAGCCATGAACTCCGCATCTGAGGCAATGGCTCCAATGGATGGTTTGGATGTTCTCATTCAAAGGCAGGGGGTGGGATGGGGAAGCTTTAGTTGACAACTACAGAGAGGCTTCATGCCATCATCACTTGACGCTTTTGCCATAATGCACAACTGGCGGAGAGAACTATACGGGCCGGAACTTGAGTCGTGACCTTAGTTCGTCTATATGCAACGGCGTTTCCGACTCTGGCTGGAGGAGCCATCCTTTCAAACTGCACCCTTTTTCCGAGCCAACGGTGTCCCCAGCAAGAATCACTGGAGGCCGTTGAGAACTTCATCAACGATATGCGCAGCCGCCAGACACTTTTCATCCCCGAACCTGGGCGCCACCACCTGAACAGCGCGAGGTGCACCATGGACGATGTCTGGATTGTCTGCTAAAGTCAGCCTGGAAATGGTACAACTTGAAGTCTTCATACGTACAACTTGGTCCCTCCTGGGGTTGAAGAAGCTGGGGTTCAGAGTCCAACTCTTTGGATGCCTTTCCGTACGGGATGATGCAGGCAGGGTACTGTTCGATCGTGATCAGCCTCAGGCATTTTTATCTCTTCGGATACGTCACTTACATCAAGGACGTTCCAGATTAGCGTGTACGGAGGCATGTTGTAAGTATCATGCGGCACGGCGGTGTTCTGCGCCCCAGGTGCCAGGACAACGTCCAGCCTGTTTTCCAGCCACGTCTGACGCCACGCGTCGGTATAGTCATGCCTCTGCACGTTTAATCCCGCGAGCTGATCTATAGTGTACGTGTGCCTCTCGCCCGGTGGTATGCCAAGCCTGACGGAATCCACAAGCGGTTCTCCAGACGCCTGGATATGCCTCATTGCCGTGTCAAGCGGGTCGATCGAGAACAGCTGGAAGCCAAGCCCGTTCGCCTTCGCAGTACTCGTCGCAGGGTCGAACGGCAGCTTGATAATTTCATGTCCAGCCTTGGAGAGAGCGGCACTCGCCTCGGCCAGGGCGCGCTTGACGGGCGGGTGAAGAGGGAAGGCGGGATCTTCGGGCAGCAGACCGATTCTCAGCGGACGCTTGCGAAGATCCTCGAGGGTGCTGCCGGGCCTGGAGGTAAAAGGAACCGAAACGGCGCTGCTATCATACTTGGCAGGATCGGCATCGAGAATGGTCTTGAAGAAAAGCTCGAGGTCAGCGAAGCTCGTGGCTAGCGGCCCGGCGGTGGGGATGATTCCGGGAATGCCGTCGAGAGCTGGAGAGACCTGGCCGCCGTACGGCATCCGGTCTGCGGTCGGCCTGAATCCGTACACGCCGCAGCACAACGAAGGAATGCGGATGGAGCCGGCGATGTCGGTGCCGACGCCGAGCAGGGAGCCACGCAAGGCCACGAGCGCGCCCTCACCTCCGCTCGATCCGCCGGCTGTCAGGCTCGTGTTGTGCGGGTTGAGCGTCCGCCCGAAAACGTTGTTGTCTGAGTCTGCGGTCTGTGTCGAGCTTAGCGACACCGTGTTTGTCATGGGGTGTTTTTCCCCTTTCAGATACGGAAACAAGAGAGTGCGAATTGGAGAAGTCTGCTTACCATCAGGGTTTGAGGAACATTCGTCTTGCAGTACAAGACAGCGCCGAGGTCCAAAAGCATCTGCACAATCGCAGAATTCTTGGTCGCCGGCCCGTTCTCCAAAAACGACACGAAGCCGATGGTGCTGTCGACGCCCTTGAACTGGAAACTATCCTTGATACTAATAGGGAGGCCGTGGAGGGGACCGATGGGCTTCTTCTCCCGCTTCAGATAGTTGTCGAGGAATTGTGCCCTTTCCAGCGCCTGGTCAAAGAAAGTCTCGGTCACGCATGATGTCTGATCACGCATTTAGCATCACTCCTCATACCGACCAAGTGGGGAAACCATACCAACTGTCCCGCAACTGCCGCTCTCTTTGAAAATGCAACGGTTGCATCTTCCGCTGAGATTTCGCCACTGTGCAGCTTTTTCAGCAGATCCGAAGCTGAGCCTGTCTCGGTAATTTCGAGTTCTCTAGCAGAAAGAATGCCGCTTTTTGATATAGCTTGGAGCTCGATGAGGTTTGTCCCCGATGATGCGCTTGCACCGATGGACTTCTTGAATTCATCTGACAGGCGCCAAGCTGCGGGGATGGCGGCCTGACATCTTTCTCGCTTCGTTGCTACCTTGAGCTGCCATGGCTGCTGGTTGGTCTGGTCTTCGGCTTTGGTCATTGTGATGAGGCGTTTGCAGGTGTGGTGGTTTCGAATTGAAGTGCTGAAGTTTTTCGCGGAGCATGAAGTCACTTATATCCTCGTTCCGCCCTGTGAGAGGTGGGGACAACATAAGCTGCGGTCACAATTCCGCCAGATCCGAGGATGATGTGATTCGTGTCTCAGTCCAATAGTGTCGGTTTGCGCTCCAATCTGTGGAGTGAAGGAGGCGTCAGATTGGGTTTCCGGATACTCCGCATTTGCTTGCCGATCGAGACATGGGGTCTATCTCAAGAGCCGGCGCAAAAGCGCATGATTGGCCAGTTTGTCTCAGCTTTCCACATTCGGAAAGGTGCGACATCTTCACAATGCTCTCCGTCGTTACGGACTTGCACGTTTGGGACATAAATGGCTGAGCTGGGCGCAATAATGGGCGCGGAAACGGTGCGCAGGGTCGCTTGTCTTTCCCCGCATTCTCAGGACTGCATGAATGTCGCAGATAGGGAGTAGGCGACGGCATTTAAGTTGCGGCTACGCCCGTCAACTCCAGCGCTCCTTCAAGTGGGCACGTATCCTCTGGCGAGCACCTCCACCATGGACCCCGAGAACGCAAATGGCCGATCAGGCTACGATGATCAGTTTCCTCCCGGTACGACCCGGATCGAAGACAGCATAGGCGATGCCGTCTACCTCCGACCGTCGCCAACGTCTGACCCAAATGACCCCCTGGTAATCTCCTATCACCGCTTACGCAAGGTCGGCAGGCGGCTCACGTGCAGACTAGAACTGGAGTAAGGGCAGGAAGGCTCTACAAGTGACTCTTCTTAGCTTTTACACTATCTTCGTCTTCGCAACTCTGACGGTCGGCGTCCCGGTATGGACGAACATCAACATGGAGCTGGGTATCTCCTTCGACAACCTCACTAACAGCTTTGCAACCAATCTGGCGGCTCTTTCAATTGGATGCTGGCTGTTTGTACCGATTGCCCTGCGATACGGTCGGCGTCCTGTATACATTGTCACTTCTCTCATCCTTTTTGGCGTGTCGATCTGGGCGGCCGAGATGCAGAGTACGGGAGAGCTTTTCGCAACTCAGTTCTTGGCCGGCATCGCGGGTGCCGTCAATGAGACATTGTATCAGGTTACGGTAAGGGAGACGCCAAAATGTACGAACTGGTGCTGACAACAATGTCCTCCAAGGTTGCAGATCTCTTCTTCGTTCACCAACGCGGCTCGATGAACGGTATTTATCTCTGGTGTGTGACCGCCGGCGTAAGTTCCGATAATTCTCCTTTGCGCTGAAAGTATCATCAACTAATAGATTCTGCATAGAACTATCTCGCCCCGGTCGCAGCTGGATACGTCGGTGCATCACAAGGGTGGCGATGGGTATACTGGTGGACTGCCATCTTCACTGGCGTTATCTCCGTCTTGATGTTCTTCTTCCTGGAGGAGACGCGTTACATCCCTCTCATCGAAGGTATATCCGTCCGAAACGGAAACCCTGTCGTAGAACCTCACGAAATCTACGACGACAACATAAAGCTCGACGACGTCAAGCTGGCCCCTGCGACTACCGAAAACAGCAACCTCGAGCGCCCCGAGACGGCCGGAACCAGCACCCAACGCCGTCGCCTCGTCCCCATCGACCACAGCATCCCGATGAACTCGTACTGGACCCGGCACCGCCTCATCAGCACGAAGACCGATCATGGCCACAGCATCATCCGTCATTACTGGCAGCCTTTTGCCGTGCTGTTCAGCTTTCCTGCCATCTCATTCACCGCGTTTCAGTATGGCATCGCCATCTCGTGCCTATCCATCCTGGCTACCACGCAGTCTACTCTATATGTGCAGCCGCCATACCTTTTCTCCTCCGTCGGCGTCGGCAACATGAACCTGCCGCCGGCTATCGGCTCTATCATCGGCGCGTTCTACGGCGGCTACCTGGTCGACAAGCTGATCTTGGTGTTTGCGAAGAAGAGGGGCGGTGGAATATATGACCCGGAGATGCGGTTGTGGCTGTACTTCATACCTGGATTGATACTTCCGTTTGGTATCTTGTTGTATGGGTTGACTATCGCAAAGGTAACGCAATTCCCTCTCGTCTCAACTTAACACATACGCGCAACCTATCTAGATGTTCCACGCAAAGTTGCTAACAGCTGGTGATGTATGACAGGGCATGCCGTGGATCAGCAACGCCATGGGCGCCGCATTTGTTGGCTTCGGCGTTGGTGGTGTGGGCGACATCACCCTAACTTATGCGCAAGATTCATACACGGATGTAAGTCCTCCATTCGCCCTTTCCCTCAGCCCTTCAACACCTCCTCTTGCCTCAATACCACAATCACCGCAGGCCGCAAAGGGTAATCAGCAACTGACCGGGGACATGAACATATGTAGATCGTTGGTGACGCTTTCGTCGCCATCGCCTTCATCCGCAACCTCCTTGCCATGGCCCTCGTCTTCGCCCTGCCCCCCTGGCTTCAGGGAATGGGCCCATACGACATGTTCACCCTGCTCGGCTGTTTGACGTTGACGCTGTCGTTGACAGCGGCCGCGACGATCATCTGGGGGAAGCAGTGGCGGGCTGCGTCGAAGGAGAGGTATAAGTGGTTTGCAGCGAGGCAATATAGTCCAAGAAGTGCGTAGTGGTGGAAGAATGACAAGGCATATGAAGGGTTGGAGAGAGAAATGAGTGTTAAGGAGAGAAACTATAGGGTAGTAGGCGATTGTCTGTGTAGCCAGAAGAGAAGAACCATGTTTCTCTTTCTCGTTCTTGATTTTTGTAGGATTGTATTCGTAGGCTGGTCTTTGATGCTCGTTATGGAGCATTTGCTGAAAGGACAGGTGTGTGAACAGTGATCTTTTGTAAAAATTGAATTAATACCCTAGCAGACATATATTCCATGCAGCAAAAGACCAGCATACAATAATTTAGCCCTTTCCTTATAGGAACAAAGCTTAATAAATGACTAAGGACGTGTAACAAAAATATGGAGGGAATAGAAATTCTAGTGCATTCAAGATTACCTTGGCCAACATCAAGAGGCCTGGGAAAGATTAATTCCATAAAAGGCCGTTTCCAAGTAAAGCTGCTTTGGCTTACATACACTGAAGGCTTGGGTCAGGCTCCCACGAACAGCTAAATGGCTTTTCGAAATCTAACCAGACTGCTGTCCATGCAACTATAGCCTCGCCTCCTCTGATTCCAGATTCCCATCATTGAGCTCACCGCGGTTCACCCAGTCAGGTCTTGCAGTCTTTACATACCCCTCCTTACTGGCTTCTCCGTCTAAAGCAACAAGACTCCCGTTATCAGCGAATTCATACCGCCGAACTTCGCAGTTACGGAATCCAGTGCCTTTGTTTCCTTCGAAACCCGTCCAGTCTTCAATCAGATAGTGTAGAAAGGCTCCATGAGTGACGAGTGCGATGTTTTCTTCCGGGCGGCTGCGCAACCATTCGCGGAGGAGTGCGGCTCGACGTTCAACGGCGGGGAAGGTAGGGGCGTAAGTTCCAGACTGTTTCCGCCACCCAGGTTTATTTAGCATAAATACAGCTCCAAGACATGAAGTAAAAATGTGTATGTAAAACATGGGCGATGTACCTTTGAGTTCCAACCTTCCTCGACAAGGTTGAAATTGATCTTGTTTAGGTCAAAAGGAACGTCCGCGTGAGATACCATCTCAGGCAATGCTGCCTTCAGTTCTTCGGCTGGAAACCCTATGTCGCATGCATTGGTCGCAATTTCCTGTGCCAGAGGGACCAGTACGAACGGAACCTCGGGCCGGGCAAGGCAGGAACCGAAGCAATAACAGGCGGTTTGTATGGCTCGTTTCAGGGGCGAGGACATAACAATGGAGATTTTATCGCTATCAGGAAAGGCTTCCCGGAACGAGGTACATTGTAGATGGCCTTGAGATGTCAAGTGAGGGTCGCGAAGGTGATGGCGAGCCTGTAATGAGACTGTCAGAGCAAGCATAGGGAAGCCGCAATTTTCCTTTGCGGCAAAACAATTTGAGCATGAACACTGATCGAAGGAAGGAAAATCACCTACATTGACGTTATGCTCACCCTCCGCATGGCGAACAAGATAGAGTGTTGGGGACATGAGTTTACTGTGTAAATATTTCGTAGTCGTGGAGTGCGTTGGTGCGAGGTAAGCAGTTCATGCAGCTGGCTCGAATGCCTTAAATAATCGAAAACTCCCCTCGCCCGAAATTCGGTCCTTCACCTGAAGCAATGGTCAAGATGTCGGTTATCTAAGCGCTTTGCCATTCCCCTCTAGTATATCAATAACCTCTCTCCTCGACCTGTCACACTAGATTACTCAAATGAGACGATCTTGCGTAAGTTGGTACCTTTAGATATAAGCAGAGTATTAAAGATACTACAAAGCCATGAATGGAATGGAAAGCAGCAACGCACAATGCATCTTGCTCCCAAAATCGATCTTGTGTGTTTGCCCCCACTACCAATTTCTTTCCGGCTGAGTTTCAGCTAAGGTCGCATACCCAACCATGAAGCAGCCGAGCCGGTAAACACTCCCACGGTATAATTTCCCATTTTAAATAGCTGTTTACCTTTTGGGCGATGTACCGGCTTCCCTTCCCAGTTGCAGGCGCTGACTAATCGGCACAACTTCGATATTTCAAGGAGATGATTCGGCAAACCTGCCGTGACGTCACGGGTATTTCCCCGGACCTTCGCTTCCCTTGCCAGCTGGGAACTCGGTTCTGCGGAGGTGCGAGAGCTCATGAGCTATGAATGCGACAATGCTGAGCAGGTAACAGATCCCAAGAACGAAAGCATGCAGACTTACTCCAATCAAGTATATAAGGAAGGCCACGCTGGCAAAATTCAATCATGGCAAAACACAAAGTCTACTCACAAAAAGCAACGCGGGCTAAACAAGTGCCTGAATTTTGAGCAAAGGTGCATAATAACAGTCCTTTACCAGACAACACAGTTGCACACAACATCAGCACCATGTCGCTTGACACAGACGTTCTTATCATCGGTGGCGGCCCGTCTGGTCTGGGCATGGCGATCCAACTTATTCGCAAGTTCGGAACCCGCAACTTCACCATAATCGAGAAAAGCGACAACATAGGTGGCACGTGGTGGGCGAACTCGTACCCAGGGTGTGGATGTGATGTGAGTAATCAATAGCCTGCACTGTCTGAAATGGGATTGACATGATTCAATACAGGTTCCGTCGCACTTCTACTCCCTTTCCTTCGCCCTGAACCCCAATTGGTCTCGGGCCTTTGCGCTCCAACCGGAGATACACCAATATTTCTCTGATCTTGCAGACTCTTACCAACTACGATCACATACGAGGCTCCAAACAACGGTCGAGCGTGCCATTTGGGACAAAACCACAGGCACTTGGCTCGTTACTCTCCGCGCCCAGCAATCAAAAACAACGACAACTCTCCGCTGCAAGATCCTCATCTCAGCTGTGGGATCTCTTTCTGTCCCCAACGATTGCGATATCCTTGGAGCCGAGGAGTTTCAAGGTCGCATATTCCATTCTGCCCAATGGGACCACACATTTGACTACAAAGACAAAGATGTCGTGGTTGTTGGAAATGGCTGCAGTGCCACGCAATTCGTACCCATCATGTCCGATCCTGCGAACCCCACCGGTGCTGTGCGCAAACTCACTCAATTCAGCCGGCAACCACACTGGTTGGCTGAACGCCCAAACCCTGAGTACGGAGAGACGTTCAAGTGGGCAATGCGCTGGATCCCCGGCGTGATGCGCGCCTACCGATGGTACATCTTCACCACGAAGGAATACGGATTCGCATCATTCCCGATTGAGAGCGGGCGCAAGCAGCGCGACATCGACACGGCTGTCCAATCCGACTACATCAAAAAGAACGCTCCGCCCGAGCTGCGCGACTTCCTCGTGCCCAAGTCCGTGCTTGGGTGCAAGCGTAAGGTGCAGGATACAAACTACCTGGCATGCCTGCACCGTGACAACGTCGAGCTCGTCCATTCCGACCCCATCGCCCGCGTCACGCCAACAGGCGTCGAAACGAAGTCGGGCCGCACCATCCCCGCAGACGCCATCGTCCTTGCGAACGGCTTCAAGACGCACCAGCCTCTGTTCCCCATGGAGATCCGCGGCGCGAGCGGAGAATCCCTGGAGGAGCACTGGAAGAGGTACAACGAGGGAAGCCCCGAAGCGTACTTTGGCACCATGTTGTCCGGCTTTCCCAACTTCTTCGTCCTGATGGGGCCGAACACTGTCAGCGGCCACCTGAGCGTGTTGTACACGACCGAATGCCAGATCAATCTCGTCAACAAGTTGATCGCGCCGATCCTGGCTGCACTGCACCCGAAGGCCGTCTCTTTGAGAAGTCTGCTGGCGCTGCCGCCTCCGGACGACATTGTGGAAGTGAAGCCAGAAGCTGAGGCCAAGGATGTTGAATGGGTGGCGCAGGCGACGAAGAAGCTGGTGTGGTCGACGGGATGCTCGAGTTGGGGAATCGACGAACGGACGGGGAAGAACACGATGATGTACCCCGACTGGCAGTTCAAGTATTGGCTGAGAAGCTTGTGGCCAAAGTGGGGGGATTTGAGATATGAGAAATCCAACCCGGCCTTGGCTGCGGAGTCGAAGCGGAAGACGTGGCCGAGGTATGTGACATTGCTGCTTGTTGCGGCAGTCATTGGCGGAGGAAAAACTGTGGAGACTGGCTCTACAAAGCAGGCGCTAAGTGTTCTTGAGCGATCACTGGGCAGTGGCGTGGCATTTGTGAGAGGGCTGTTGTGATAGAAGGTTCTGAACGATGACACTTGCTACAGGAAGAGAAGTGTTAGACTAGCAATTAATGGATGATGATTTTCTACTTGTTTTTTGTTTAATGGAAAACAAAATGAAAGAAGTGATTTTCCAACTGGTTAATGTATTATCTTTCTTTCTTGCGGGCGACAAAGGTGCATACATCCTATCGGTAGGGCAATTTGCTTGCTCACACGACGTATAATCTTTTCCAGAGTTCCATTGTATATTAAACCTCCATTATTCATGAATGTTACTCTGGCTTCAAGTCAACTGTAAACGATGGACGCGCGTATAAATATACGTGGGTAGAGGAGAACTGGATATTACACGGTAGCCCACCCCATTCAATATGAAGGCTACATTGCTGAGGAAGGGTGAACTGAATGAGAAATCCTTTTTGGCTGCGGCGCCTCAACAAGTTTCAATGATCGGAGCCAGGGGGCCTCGGAGGGTTTGCACCGGGAGTCTCGAACACGTTCGCCCAGACGAATTCTACAACTAACAACTTTTCTCACCTCGGAAACCCGGGTCCTACTTCAATTTATCCGGAAGACCATTCACCAGGGCTTTGCTGTCGTGTTGTCGGGGGTTCGTAAAAAGCATCTTTACCGAGATCGGTTTCAGACAAGTATGGTCTAGAAAAGGCTAGCATCCCCACACGTGGAAGATGAAGTTGCCTCCTCAGTTTCGAGCTTTTGATTGCGGGGGAAGTTGCGCGCGGGGTTGGATTAGCTCAGGCAACTTAAACGAGAGTTGTTAGACAGGCCGTGAGTCCAGGCTCTCGGCTCTCCCCACTCTCGGTCCGAACCGTCCTCGGTATACTTGCTCTCGCTTTTCTTCCCCTCAACTCTTCTTGCCACTTCACGATAGCTCAAAGAGTAACCGTAGAGTTGAAGGGCACGCGTCATGGTTTTCAACGACTATATAAATCCTTAGGCGCATCCATCTTCCGGGTCTTGCAGAAACATCATCGAGCACGCGTTCAATTCTCATCATGTCTTCTCTTCCCGGCCGTCTTCTCGATAAAGTCGCTATCGTCACGGGATCCTCCTCCGGACTCGGCCGCGCGATTGCCTTGCGATACGCTGCTGAAGGTGCAAAGGTATTTTGTGCGGACTTGGAGCCATCTTCCAGATCCGCAGAGGAGAAGCCTACCACTAATGAGTTGATCAAGGAAAGAGGTGGAAAGGCAGAATTCCACAAGGTAGACGTCAGCGATGCACAGGGCATGAAGGAACTGGTGAACGAGGCAGTAAAGACGTTCGGGAGATTGGATATGTAAGTCTATTTCTATCGTCATCTACATTCTCTTGGATTGTTGGCTGATGACGGCCTTAGCATGGTGAACAATGCGGGCGTGTCTTTTGAAGCGAAGACGCCAGCGGTACTGCACTTGACTGAAGACATAGTCTGGGATGACACAATGCGCATCAATTCCCGATCAGTCTTTCTCGGCTGCAAACATGCAATCACGCAGATGCTGCAACAGGAGCCCCATCAGTCTGGAGATCGTGGATGGATCATCAACATTTCCTCCATCATGGCACTAATTGCAGGGCCAAAGAACCGTAAGTATCTCGTGTATTCCTCCTCTAAAGAAAGTTGAAATTGACTTTAGATTATAACAGCTTCTTACTGTGCATCGAAAGGCGCTGTTTCCTCTCTAACGAGGCAAGTAGCGCTTGATTACGCAGAACATCGCATACACTGCAATGCCATTTGCCCTGGATGTAAGGAAACTGATAGAAGCTTTGCACGTAGATTAAATTTGCTAACAGCTAGTAGACGTACAGACAGCAATCTTCCGAGAGACAACTGCAAATCTGACTCCTTGGGACGTCCTTGTGGAGAGACACCCCTTTGGCGGACCCGGTTTCCCTGAAGACATCGCAAAGATTGCGGTTACTCTTGCTAGCGATGATGCAAGCTGGATGACCGGAACCAATATTCCCGTAGACGGCGGATTCACTGCCCGGTGATTGTTGCTAGTCGTGTCTCGGATGAGGTGGTGGTGCATTTGAGCTTCTAAAAATTCAAACTTTGAATAGGAGCATATTTTTGATAAGAATAGGACCGATGGTGCTGGATGGTAAATCGTCTGTAAAAAAGGGGTTGCCTGTATGTAGGAAAACAGTTCACTTATTAAAATAGAACTATGTTGAACCTCATGATTTTCCATCCAGTCGTCTCCTAATGTACACGACTGTGAATTAGTACCTCTAAGCGAGAAGGTACACAAGATGCCAAACACAGCATAGAGCTTTCCATCGAATCAGAAACCGGCTTCGCACCCCGCGCTGAGATCCCTGTTTGGATCATTCTCACCCACGCTCCGATCATCTGTAAACCTGGATGCCTGACTCCGCACCAACCCACCTAAAGGAAAAGAGAACAAGAAAAAAAAAAACGACAACATGAACATCGACCACTCCCTGCTCCCCACCGACTCCCTCGTCCTCGTCACCGCCGCCAACGGCTTCCTCGCCTCGCACATCGCCAACCAGCTCCTGCACGCCGGCTTCCGCGTGCGCGGCACCGTCCGCGACGCAGCATCGCCCAAGTACGCGTGGCTACAATACCTCTTCGACGCCTCTCACGGCCCCGGTCGCTTCCACCTTGTCAGCGTACCCGACATCGCCGCCGACGGCGCGTTCGACGACGCTGTCAAGGGCGTCAACGCCGTCGCGCACGTCGGCAGCGTCGTCGGGAAAGATGCCTCGGGTACTCTGGACAGCATCGTCGCGCCCGTAATCAAGGGAGCGCTGGAGCCGCTGAAGAGCGCAGCGAGGGAGGACAGCGTGAAGAGCTTCGTGTTTACGAGTACGAGTAATGCGGCGTACTCGCCGAGGGCGGGGGAAGGCGGCGATGTGGATGAGGGGACGTGGAATGAGAAATCGGTGAGGGAGCTGCTGAGGCTGGGAGAAGAAGGGGGTGACGCTGTGCAGAGGACGTTGGCGGCGTATAGCGCGAGTAAGATGGAGGCGGAGCGCGCGGTGTGGCGGTGGGTGGAGGAGAATGGGCCGAGGTTTATGGTGAATACAGGTAGTGAACCACTTTAATTTGGTGCTCGTGTTTGCGTGCCAGAAAGGCCTTTTCTTGCTGATGTTTTGCAGTCCTGCCGAGCGTCAATTTCGGCCGCAGCCTCGACCCTAAAAACCAGGGCCATCCGACCACCTCGGGTTGGCCTGTTGCGCTCGCTACTGACACAGTTCCCGAGTATATGTGGAGTCTTGTCCCCCCTCGTAAGTATTTCTTTTCGATTCAGCATCCTGATTTGTGCTGCCCCTTTCTTTCGTGAGCCTATCTGGAAGTGCCGATGCTAAGCCCCAACAACCTTCTTTAGAATACTACATCGACGTCGAAGATACAGCTCTCCTCCACGTTGCCGCACTTACTCGCCCAGATCTCAAGGGAAATCGTATCTTTGGCTTCGTGGAAGAGTTCAACTGGAACACCTTACTGCATGCACTACGAAGAATTTACCCGGAAAAGGTGTTCTACGAGGACAGGGAAGGGCAGGACCATGACTTGAGCAGGATTCTTGGGGCGTCCAAGGCGGAGAAGATTCTGAGAGATATGGGAAGGCCGGGATGGAAAGGATTGGAGGAGAGTCTGAGGGAAAATTTGGAAGATATAGAGCTGTGATCGAGAAGCGAACTCATCATGTTTTAGGAAGACTTTCCTTGTCCTGAATTTATTTGTTCACTTGCTTTTTCTTTGATAACTTTATTGCTTTTGAGGCTGCATTTTCAAATCAATGAACGGCCCACAGAGTGCGTCTGAAGGCAGAGAATGGTGGAGATTCGTGCCTGATTGATGCACATTCTCCGGGTGCCCTCGGTGCGCATGAGCCCCAGTCGGTTTTTTGTCAATCATCGGAGCGAGTTAAATCGACCGAAGCACTAGAAGTATGAATAAACTTTCTTAGTGCACTGCTGATCCCTTAAGTCGACTTTGTCGGCCACCATTCTCTTGTGTCATTGGGCCAGGCGGTCTCGGTGGAATTCAAGAGTCGGACCTCGGTCTATACCCACCCTTTACACGAGGATCCAAATAAAAATTCAAGAAGAAAAGGAACGGTGAGATGATTAAGTGGGTCACGGAAGTTGATCACCCAAAGCTGTTGCGCTCCGTGGGGGCGAACAGATCGACACGCCCATTTCCAACGGGGGTAGTGTTTACCCCGGGAACAAAGAACGGATGGATTTTCTGGAAATAGGTACATGTGGAGGAGTCAAAACAAAAAAAAGGCGGTTTGCAATGAGCCCAGGTGGCATGAATGAGCTTACTCCTGATTTGAAATGGATTTTGAGTACAGAAACGTCCGAGGTCGGGAGTGGGGCATGCTTGAAGCAGCGTGTGCGGCCGAATCCCTACCAGCTGATGAACAGCATCAGATCGCGATCATGATCTCTGCCGGTCACCATTACCGGGCTGAGGCAATCCTAGAAGGGAAAGAGAGGGTCCTGGATTGCGGGCCGCAGAAAAACTCGGTCCGACCAGGTCATCAGCTCCTGTTGCACAGACTACAACACCGCAAATTGCTATCTCCGGCGTGCATTTCCGGAGTGCATCCCCAGACCTCGTGTCGATCTGAAAATCACTAAACGCGGGGGGTATGTAGATCTTTTGATCACGTATGTTGGACCAGATAAGCTGCCACTGGCCATTCGCATCTTCAGCTGAGTCTATGTATCCAGTCCGGTTGTTGTTGCCGTTATTTCCGGGCTTGGACTTTTCCTTCAAGATATAGGAACGGATCTTGCCATTCCTACTATGTACACGCGTGAGGATCCAACTTTTCCTCTGTACCTGTCACCAGGCATTGGCCACTGTTCGGCCCGTCGTTGGAGAATTATGCGCCCGTAATGGCGCCAAATTAGCGCTGCCGAGTTTTCCGGCTTCAGTCCGAGCGAATCAACTTTCAAAACTTGACAAAGTGGCTTGCGAATCGAGACCTGAATCATTATAACGCATCCCGGTTGATCTCCAGGGCCGAGCCTCCAGATAACTTCTTACCGAAAGAGGTAGATGTGCCGTTGGCTATTTCTCTTCTAAGCTCCGAGCGCCGGTGCTCCTCCCGGTGAGGCGTGACAGTAAGACCGTAGCCAGACCCTCTCTCGCAGCTCAGACCCACGACAACCCCGAATACAGGCCGGCATGCTCTCCCATGTATCCTCCAGTTTTCTCAAAAACCCCCAGCCCAGTGTCAGGGTGCTGACACTGACTGATGGTCTGATCCACTCTTTTTCCCTTCCAACCCCATCTGCCTTCTACGGCACTCAATCCCTTGAAACGATTCCACCACAATGGCCGAAGCATCACCGACCGACATCAAGATCGCTTGTGTGGCAGCAGGCTTCACAATAGGCTTCGGCTACCTGACGGCATGGGATGCATGGAAAGTCACAAGCTCGATGCGCGATCCACTGCGCAACCTATTCGTGTGGATGGTCTGGTCCGAGCTGGTCGTCAATGCCGCCATGGGAATCATTGCATGGCTGTTCCTGCTCGGCTACATCAAATCGGCTTTTGGAACATATTTCTCTATCGGTAGGTAATGAATCCTTGTCCGTGAAGCTGTCTTTTTCCTGATTGCTCTTCAGTGGTTCTCTGGGTTATCGAGATCCAGTTCATCCTCCAAATTATTATCAATCGTATTGCCATTATCACAGTCGACAAGGCATTGCTTAGGAAGATCCGAATCACCACAATCTGCTTCATCACATGCATCAACATATCAGTCTTTTGTATCTTCATTCCCGGCCACCTGGGGGTCAATGAAACATTTGTCAAGGTCAACAACATCTGGGACAAGGTACGATTGAGTCTTTCATGTATTACCACGTAGAAGCTTACCAAGAACATAGATTACCAAGGTTCTGATTGGAGCCAACGATGCTGTCCTGAACTACTTCTTCATTGTTCAAGTGAAGAAGAGGCTTGTCGCCAACGGCCTCCAAAAATACAACAGGCTCGCTGCCTTTAACACGCGCATCGCTTTGATATCTGTTGGCATGGATGTAAGCATCGCCTCTCCCGCATTGTCAATCTTTGCTAATATACACCCAGTTCCTCATTATCGGTACCATGTTCCTGAAGAACGGAGCCGTATTCCTACAGTTCCACCCCGTCGCCTACATAGTCAAGCTCAAGATCGAGTTGTCCATGACAAATCTCATCCGCCGCATCTCGCAAGAGGCCGTGCGCGACATCAGCGGCTCTGGCGAAACCTCGAGCATGGTCCGAAGCCGCCGCGAATTCGGCGTTCCTGGCACCGACCACAACGATGCCCACATTTCGGCCGGGAAACATGGAGAGGATATGGAACATGCGCTGGAGGAGCTGGGACAGATCCACCAGAAGCGCGAGTATACGGTACAGGTATCGAGCGCGGCCAAGCCTCCGGGTGGCCATGGTCACGATGGTAGGAGTAGTAGCACTTCGACCAAAGGCGGCAACGAGTATCCGATGAAGACGGATGCTGCTTCGGATGAGACACCACTGCATTGGTAAATTCCAGCAATACCCACAGTTTCTTTTGTATTCGTTTCATAAGTATCTCCATCGCACTACAGATCCACTCCCGCCTCCACTTCAACCTCCTTAGACTTTCATCGAAGCTTCTCCATTGGTCGAGCATTCCAAAAACATGTGTGATTGCTGTTATTTAGGGGTAAAATCCAGCATGTTCCTCAATTATGGAAGAATCAGACCCACTGGAGGTCAGAGTGGAGGTGAAAGTGAACTTGTAGTGCCGAGAAGATAATCGATAGCACATAACCTCAGAAGCTCTTCTCGTTTTCTTTAAATAGTAAATTATTTATACATACTCATGTTAGAACGCTCTAAAGTAGGATATAAAAGGCAGTTTATTTCTCGATACGCATCGATTTTGACTTAGTAGTAGTAGATATAAAGAATTACTTAACCTCTTCTATATGATAAATTGTAGAATGACAAATAAGAATAGGAGTAGAGGGAGTGACAACAGAATTAAGTCCTAGATGTCACAGCTGGACCTCTGGCCCTCCATGATGACTACTTACTACTAATTACGTCACGTGACTCGTTGCTATAAATAGTCTCTCGTCCACTTTGCTTCGCAACCCGTACAACCCCTTGATAGTAATCCGACTCCTTGCTTTAAACCGTCTCACAGAGACACAGATGTAGGTACGATATACCGAATCAATTGGCTATTTTGTATTGAACACGTGTAGTGCTCTGGTCTTATACCGGCCATTAATCCAGCTCGCCTGCGGATTAGCTTCGAGCCCTGACGTTATTCGAGTTAATTTCTCTCACTCATTGAACTTTTGTGAGTCAGAGCGCCCGTAAAATTCTGTCCGGTGGTAGAATGACTATGCGCGTTGGAAGTTAAGCCACGTATAGGCAGGCAAACTTCCAGAAGGTACTTCAGCTATGTGTGCTGGTGATCTACTGGGTATCAAGGGGTTGGACTAGAACGGGCCCTAAGCGCGTACCTTGGAACCATGACAAATGCACTACAATGGCACGTCGATGTCATGGAAAGCCGTTTTCTGCCAACGGCATCATGATGCTAGCTTTTGACTTCACTGTACCGGTCAACGAAGCGCTGGAGGCTTGGGCACCGTCCACACCTCGGCGCCGAGATAATTCCACATCCGGGAAACAGAACTTGACATGGGACAATTGGAACACAATCCGATGCGTATCTGGGACTGAATTGAATAAGTATAGATGCAGTCTTGATCGGCGCATGCATGTGGGGAGGATTTTCCTGGGGTTCTCGGGGCGAAGCGGCGTTCTTGGGCGCATGGACCGCGGTGGCTTCTAAAAGCGTGTTTGAGATCCGGGGTCTGAATCATCCAAGTGGACCCGGTGACGTCCGCCGCATGATCTTAGTACCGGGGGAAAGGCCGAGCGGACCGTGGAACGACAACTCCATCACCAGACCTTCAACCCTCCACGGTGCATGACTGTTAGCAAAAACAGCGGAACTGACGCAGCAGAGATTTCTTCGCTTAGGCATAAAACCTCGACTGTCCCCGTACCTCCTTCGACTCCTTCACCACCAGCTTTCCGCCAACGTTGCCTTCGGAAGCCCACCACCAGCAGCCCACTCTTTCGGCTTCAGCCTCATATCTCCCTCTCTTCAAAAGGCTTTGCAAACAACAACACTCTCCAATCAACATCATGTCGGCTACCATCTCGGCCCCGACTCCCACCGTCGGCCTCCTCGCGTCCAAGTGGGCAGTCAAGCCCTCGGAGCGCTCGACGCGCAAAACCACCACCTCATCTGGGCTGCTCAACTCCAAATGGGCCCCCGAATCAACCACCAATGCTCAGCCAAACAGCGCTTTGAGCGAAACAACCGGCAACGAGCTCCAAACCAAGCCAACACAAGCTGAGACTCAAGCGGCAACCTCCACACCAACTCAAACCGATTCAACTCACGCCGAACCCGAATTGGTAATAATCTCCGGACCAAAGCCCACCTCAGCAACCGAGCCGGTGAAGACCTCTGAACCTGAGGATGCTGTTCGCGAACCCTTTGCCGAACTGCTTCCAACGACCACCGTCCAGCCTTACCAGAAAAAGAGCTGGGCCGACCTCGTCGATGAGGACGACGACGACATTTTCAACATACCCGAGATCAGCAAGGAGAACTTCCCCTCGGCACCTACCACCAACAATAAGCCAATCGTCAACGCATCAAATGACGACAAGGAGAACATCCAACTTCAATCGAAGGATGAAAACGAGGACCACCAACCTCAATGGAACAACAACAAGGAGAACCTTCCCTCTCAGCCGAATAACAACAAGGAGAACCTCATCTCCCATCCGAAGGATACCAATGAGAACCTTTCTCAAGTCGATACTACCTCCGCCAACAAAGACTCGACCGACAAGAAAACCATTGAGCAGCCGAACGAAGACAAAAAGGCCCCGGCTACCATGTTCTCCTCCCGCTGGGCTGACTCCAGCTATGAAATCAAAGGCGCACAGACACGTGCCGAATACCGCGCAACCCACGGGTCCAACAACAAGGCGCGACGAACTACCAAAACTACCTCTTCCTCTAGAAGGAGACGCAGCGGCTGCTGAACAACTCAAACAACTGGTCCTACAACAATGGGCGACAAACAACAAAGCCACCTTCCTGTAGAAGGAGACACTGTCGATGCTGAACAACTCGACTCACTGGTCTACCAACAACGCGCAAAGAACCACAAAAACCACCTCTTCCTTTGAAGGCGACGCAGCGGACGCTGAACAACTCTACCCACTGGTTCACCAAAAACGCGCGACAAATCACCAAAACTACCTCTTCCTCCAGATGGAGATGCAGCAGATGCTGAACAACTCGAACCACTCTTTTCTTTTTAATGAAAGTGCCACTGACGGGCCAGGAGAAACCGGACTGGAATACGTTCCGCGGTTAAGGGATGTACAGAAACAAAGGCAAAAATCATCAAGGCCAGGCGTATCCGGTGCTCTTTTCCCCGTTTTTCAGCGTCATCAATCCTCACCATGAGGTTTTTTTTCGGGTTTTAGCGAGGCCGGGGGATCGTGGGTGGGGCCCACTGGGAGACTCTTTTTGTACGGCTTTAAAGCCTGTCTGTTTTGTGTCTTTGATTTGCGAATGTCGACTTGAAGTCGAGCGGAGGGGAGAGAGTATATGGACTCTTGGATGAGCTTTCTACCAAATGATACCCACTGCATTTGGTTCTCATGATATCTTGATACTGCTTCAATCGTGACTGGTGATGATGCTATTCCCTTCCATCCATGTGGAGGAGACCTGTGTGAATTGCTCACGTGACCTTCCTCGGTGTTTCCTTGAATGGGTTCCAGAGATGCTTCTCATGCATAACACAAAGGTGGGCCAGAAATGGTGCTGCGATCCTTCTATTGGGCGCCACAAAACTCCATTAGACGTTGTAGTGGAAGAAAGAGGTGGCGTAATGCTTGATTGGGGCGAATTTTGCGGCACGCAACGGCTGAGAAATGCAAGCTGAACTGGAGCCAGGAGACGGCAAGGCTGGCAATGAGCGCGGGAAGCTCTGGTGTGGGAGTGTTGGCTCTCTCCTGTTGTTGTAGAGAGTTCCGACGTTGCTGTCGTCGGGAAGGGTCTGCGTTTTATGGCGCGGGAGGAAGCCGCAAGCGCGTCGGTATCTCTCCGACCCCCCAGTCACAGCACTAATGTCCTCGGACTTATTCCACATAATCTCGGAGTTGACTGGGGGGTTTCCGGCACGAAAAGTGGGATGACGGACGGCACAGACCGAGAGTCAGCAGCGGGAGCGGCTCGAGATTTTTTCCCGCACGCGTTTCAGCCAACCACAGGCTTGCATTACCCTTTCCCTCGACCAGCCCGTTGTGATTCCACTGCACTTGCAGCCCCGGCGGGAAAATCGGGCATTTGCCGCACTAAAAAGAGTCATCATGGAATGTCGACATCCGGCCTGCATCTTTGCTGCTTCTGCTCCTCTTCCTTTCTCCTCCATTCTTCCACACCATCGCTACCAAGAAGGCAGTTGCTCTCGTGCCCCCGGCTCTCATAGATGACCCCCGGCAATGCATCACATGCTCCCGCTGAGGACCGCGATATGACGAATAATGGCCTTCTTCCTGCCTTTGGGAGTCCGAGTAATGACGAGCCGGACCAGGAACCTTATTCGCGAGGTAGCCATGATGGTCAAGCTTTTCAGACAAGCTCACCCCGAACAGATGACACGCAGGGCCGACGTCAACCCCCACCAGCGATCGACACGCGGCTTGGCGTAGCGCAGCTACCTCTCGTCGACGAGGACGAGCAGGCAGAAAGGGCAAAGGAGAAGCCGGTGACATGGAGCTCCCTACCTCAGAAAGACCAGCTCATCATCCTGACACTGGCAAGGCTGTCGGAGCCTCTGACGCAGACGTCGCTCCAGGCCTACATGTTCTACCAGCTGAAGTCGTTCGACCCTTCGCTGCCAGACTCGACAATTGCCTCACAAGCCGGAATCTTGCAGGGCGCCTTCACCGCGACGCAGTTCGTCACTGCCGTCCTCTGGGGGCGCGTCGCTGACGTGGAATGGGTCGGACGAAAGAAGGTTATCCTCGTAGGTCTGTTGGGCACTGCCATCTCTGCTGTCGGCTTTGGATTTTCGAAGAGCTTTGTCACGGCCGTCGTCTTCAGGAGCCTTGGAGGGATGCTCAACGGCAACATTGGAGTGATGCGGACTATGGTTAGCGAGATCGTCAAGGAAAAAAGATACCAGTCTCGCGCCTTCCTCCTCTTGCCCATGACATTCAACATTGGCATCATTATTGGCCCAATACTCGGCGGCTTCCTCGCTGATCCAGCAGGGAGCTATCCGTCTCTCTTCGGTCCAGGCTCAGTCATCGGTGGCAAGGACGGCGTGGGCTGGATGATGGAATGGCCATACGCCCTACCCAACCTCGTCAGTGCCCTCTTCCTCTTCTGCTCCTCCATGGCCATCATCTTCGGGCTCAAAGAGACGCACGAGGCTCTCCAAGACACGCCCGACTTCGGCATCCGCCTACGCCTCTGGGTCTCGCGCAACATCCTGCGCCGCCGCAGGCCGCAGGGCGACTACATGCCCATCCCTACGGACGACGACGACCGCCCACGCACTCCAGACCAGCCACCCACAGACATCGAAATGGCCACCACACCCACCACGCCCGACTCCTTCCAGATCAAGACGCCACCGCGCAAGCAAAAGCTCCCCTTCCACCGCATCTGGACGCGCAACGTCCTCCTCACCTTCCTCTCGCACGCCATCCTCTCGATGCACATCGGCACCCTCAACAGCCTCTGGTTCACCTTCCTCTCCACCCCACGCTTCGACCCCGCGCACCCCATCCCACCCACACTCACCCACCAACGCCCACCCCTCCACTTCACCGGCGGCCTCGGCCTACCCCCCTCCCGCATCGGCGCCGCGCTCGCCATCCTCGGCGTCATCGGCATCACCCTACAACTCGCCGTCTACCCCACCGTCAGCACGCGTCTCGGCACGGTACGTTCGTTCCGCTTCGCATCCATGCTCTTCCCGGTCGCCTACGCCGTGATCCCCTTCCTCGCCCTCATCCCGACCACGTCCCCACCTCCCGCCCCCGCAGCCGGCCCGCTCGTCTGGATGGCTATCGCCGGCGCGCTGTTCCTCGTCGTCGCGGCCCGCACGTTCGCGACGCCGAGCGCGGCGATACTGGTGAATAACTGCTGCCCGCATCCCAGCGTGCTCGGCACCGTGCACGGCGTGGGGCAGTCGGTCAGCAGCGGCGCCCGCACGCTCGGGCCCGTGCTCGGCGGGTGGGTGTTTGGGCGAGGTCTCGCGATGGGTGTGGTCGGGCTGGCGTGGTGGTGGTTGGCCGGCGTGGCCGTGTGCGGCGCTGTCGCGGGGACGTTTGTGAGGGAGGGGAATGGGAGGGAGATTGTGTTGCCGGGGGAGGAAGAGAAAGAAGAGGAAGAGGACGAGGACGAGGAAGGTGATGGTGGGGTGGTAGTAGTAGAGAGGAGAGAGAGATAGATCGGGGTAAGTGAGGAAGGAGGAGGCGGGGAGAAGAAGAAAGCTGAACAACACGTGTGGGCTGGCAGGCCGGGTGTATATAGCAAGCATTGACTCTGTCCATGTTTCACTCGAGAAAGGACATTGCCCGAGACTGCGTTCAAAAGTCAAGTCATTCTTAGATATTCTCACTCTCGGCGTCCATGGCCGATGCCAGCTCCCGCGTACACTAACTATATTTACACGCACACCTCCGCTCTCCCAAATATCCTACTTCAAACGCCACTACATGCTCCAATACCCCACCTACAACGCCATCAACACAAGTCCCACACACCTCACGCCTTACTCTCCTTCCCCTCCGCGCCCTCATTCTTAAACTTCAAGCTCACACTATTGACGCAATGCCTCTCATCCGTGGGCGTGGGGTAGCCCTCGCCCTTGAAGACGTGGCCGAGGTGGCCGCCGCAGTTGGCGCACACGATCTCGGTGCGCTGCATGCCGAACGTGTTGTCGACGTGGCGCACGACGGCGCCGGGCACCGTGTCGAAGAAGGCGGGCCAGCCGCAGCCCGACTTGAACTTCTGCTGCGCCGTGTACAGCGGCGCGTCGCAGCCCGCGCAGTTGTACGTGCCCGCCGATGGCATGTGCTTGTCGTACTCGCCCGTGCCGGGCGCTTCGGTGCCTTGTTTGCGGAGGACGCGGAATTGTTCTACCGGAAAGCAAAGAGCGTTAGAAGGGGTTGTTGATGTAGAGGAGCGTGTTAAGGGAAGGGAAAGAAAGGGATTGGGAGATGATGTCTGCGTATTGCTCTTCACGTACCAGGCGAAAGCACCGCCTGCCATTCCTCGTCGCTCTTCTGCACGGGATAGCTCATGTTGTTCCTGCTGGAGCTCGAGAAAAGGCTTCCCAGAAATGGAATTGTGGGCATAGATTTGATCGAGTGTGGTATGCGTGGATTTGCGAGGCCCTGCTGTTGGAAGATGGGCGGAAAGCGGCGTGCGGTAGTGTTGCTGAGGGTGTAAAAAGCGCGGACGACGGTCGGGAAAGATGGAAAGCGCATGAGCTGGCGAGTGGTGGGGATTCGAGGTGGATGCGGTCAGATTTTATCGCTGAGGGCAAGGGGGGCTGTGTGTGAGAGATTTGGAATCGTGAATGTGTCTGAGCTCTAAGCTCCCGGGGGAGGAGTGAGAAAGTGGCGGCGGCTGCGGCCTCGGCTTGGTCGAAGATGTCATCATCCGCCATCAATCGATAAGCATTGTGGCCCGAGCTCTCGCCCTACCCCGCGACAGGGTCACACGTGATAGGGCGTGTAGTTGCTGGCAGCCCTTCTCAAGAAACGCGAAAATAGTGGAGGAATTGCTCAGTACTTTCGTATGCGAATTATATATGATGTTCTCGAAGCTCGTGTTGGTTTCATTGCTCTCATGTATGTCCGTATCCTGGGTATCAATAGGATCCGCTCGTAATCCCACTGAGATGCTGTATGCTTCCGATTCCTGAACGCCATCGCCTGTCTTTGCGGCGCGAGTACACAAAAGGTATTATGCTAAGTCGTAATGTCATGAAAGAAGTCCAAACCCGCCTTATGGAAGCAAAAGAGAAAAAGAACCGTCCCGTTTTGCGCCGTCGCGTATTGACATTATACTGGCCTGAATCTCGCTGGTTCGCGTCAAGCTCCCAAGAAATAGTACGGTATAGCTTACGGTTCGGACATCTCGCTCTCGCTCTGTGCATTTCGTGCGAAACCCATCCGGTTTTGCAGGTAGTAGATGATGTAGGCGACGAGGGCGATGACGATGAAGAGGATGAGGATAATCAAGAAGATGACAATGTTGCGCTTCATAATTGCTGTTCACTTTGTGTACGGAACGAAAGCGGTGTGGTTGGAAGATATTGCGAGGAGGAATTGGGTATCGCTGTGAGGCAGCGAGCGTGGTGAGGTGGAGTGAGCGAGGCGGCGCCGGGTGTGCTGGCAGTGCGTTGGCGAGGGTTTCACGCGTTTGCAGCAGCGCTTAGGCGGTCAGCGAGAGTGCGTTTGGCTGGAGAATAGAATGTTAGCATTCATCTTCTCGGGCGATCCGAGTGGCTCACATTGTCTGCACTGAGCTGGTGGCCGAGTGGAGAAATGGACGTGATTGGCGTCGGCGTGGCGGGTCGATCTGGGGTGGGCGGCTGTCTGCTTGATGCACCACCAAAGAAAATTGCGAGTTGGCGATTGTGAGAGTCGAGTGGAGTAACTTCTGGAATGCGCGGCGGGACCCTAGTTTTTGTAGAATTGCTGTCTGCCACGTCCTTTTTTCGCAATGTCGAGAGGCTGGAAGCGCGGGGTGGCTGGGGAGATGGCGGGTCGCCTGCGCCCCGACCACAAGGACTCACGGCCCGACCGCCTGAGTTACCCTCTCCGCGCAACCCCACTGGTCAATCGCTCGCGCGAACAGGTTTGTCGCCCTGGGCCCTGGACGGAGATGCAAGATGAGATGTGCCTGCGTCTCCCGATAACTTGCTGAACCCGCGGGTTCCTTGCAGCTAGTCTCGACGATCCAGGAACCGGCTGGGTTTCACTGCGTCCCCAACGGTGCGTCACACAAGAGCTTCCCTTTAGGCAATACACACACACTTACCAGGGGCCAAGAATTCATAGCTCACTGTTCCCTGACCCTCACTCCCAGAATCAAGTCTCTGGCCATTCATTAAAGTGACAGCTAAACTACTATTTTCAGCCACACTAGCCCCATTCGGGTAAGACAAGAATTGCTTGTCAAGCCCATAGTGAGCTACCAATTGAGCCAAGCGCAACCACAGCCGCTTGGTTGATACCCTCTATATCCATTTAATTCCTCTAATACTTCAAAGCAGCCTCAGAACCCCACTTGCGCTTCATAAGCAGAGCAGTTGCAAGTCTTAATTATGCCCGCAACCTCCGTGCCTTAACTCCGGAGGACTGTTAACCATAAAGGATGATGACCTCTCGACAAGCGATGAGCAATACACACACTCGGCTCAAAGTCAGCACCGCTCCAGAGCCTGCTCTTCAATCTCACGAGAATCATGGCCTCGCAACCTCATCAGACCGGTGAGACGACAGAGAAAGTCATCAAGGTGCAAATTCTCCATTACAGAAACCCGAATATGACCGAAGAAGAATACTACGACTACTGGACCAAGATTCACGCTAAGATGGCAGCACCCTGGCTCGCCAGAAATGGAGTTTTGAAGTATGCTATCGTAAGTATACATATTCTGGAACAATACATGACGCATGTTTGCCTGACTATATCAGTACCACACACCAAAGGAGTATCGCGACAAGCTTGCTCCAATGGCACAGAACGCCGGCTGGAAGATCCACGAGCACGATGGCTCCGTCGAGCTTTGGGTTCGCAGTCTGGATGATCTTGCCCGCGCTACAAAAGACCCTGACTACATTGCCAACATTCATCCCGACCAGCCCAAGTTCCTGGATGAGAGCAAGACCGAGGTTATCGTCGGTTGGGAGGAAGTGAGGGTCCGGGATGGAGTTGTTGTCTGAGTGGATAATCGGAAGATGTTGTCTTTCAACACTGCCTTTTCACAAAGTGATGCAGTCAGGCTGAATCGAGGATAGCCCCGAACAACCAAAGAGGAGCTACAGACCTGTCATTCCTGTAAAGGCAGTTGACTTATGTCACACAAACCCCCAACTGAATTCATCGCTAAACACCGTAGTAAAATCAACATCTTCCATCTGCGGCCAATTGCTCCAATCCGCAAACAGATCTCCGTCCAGCAAATCGTCAAACCCCACAATTGCCTCGGCCTCACGAGCACCGCCATCACCACTAACACCAGCATCGTTTCCCTCGTCTCCCACCTTTACTGCCGCGTTGAACGCTGACGAAGGCGTCTCCGTTGGAGCAGCAGGCGTCGGCTTCGCCATCTTCTGCCTCTGGCCCTCAACCAAACCCCGCCGCCACCCGCTCACAATCCGATGCAAGCTCCTAATCAACCTCGCACTAGCCGCGCACAAACTCCCCCTCGCCACCGCCCTCTCTCCCTCCTCCGCCCCGGCCTCCATCCCCTCCAGCCTCCTCGCGCACTCCAGCAACAACACCAACTGCGTATCCACCCGATCATGCAGCCCGCCCCACCCCTTCAGCCTGACCGCATTATTCTCAACCACGTTCTTACAACGAAACAAGATCTCAGCCGCCGTGCGGCGCGCGGGGCCGACGAAGGGCACGCCATCCAGCCGGCTCTCGGGCGCGCACGAGGTGATGAAGTTGGTCAGCGTGCGCTCGAGCTCCTCCATGCGCCACTTGCCGAACTTCTCAAGGAAGAGCGTGGCGGGCGGCCTGTTCGGGTCCGCCGAGCCGTACTCGCGCAGGCGCGTGATGATGTGGTCGCCGATGCGGAGCGCCTCGGCCGGGTCGAGCGAGTCGTTTTGCTGTTGTTGCTGCGCGCTGGACATGATGGCGTAGAACATGCAGCTGCCGACGATGTCGGTGTGGCGCGCGTGGATCTCCGTCTCGCAGAGCTGCGAGATGGCGAAGGTTTGTTGCTGATGGGCGTGACTGCTGCTGTTGTTTTGGTCGGAGGAGGAGGAGGAGAAGAGGGTCTGCAGGGCCGTGGCGACTTCTTCTCTCTCCTCGGCGCAGCGCGCTTCGTGGTCGATGATGATGTCGGCGAGTTTGTCGATGCGCTTCCAGTTTTTGGCGGCCGCTGTGTTTTGCTGCATCAGTTGGGCGCCTGAGCTTAGCCGGTGGAAGAGGAAGTATGCCTTGCTTGGCATGTACCCGCAGTCGAGGGCGAGCTTGAGTGTTTCCAAGGCGAATTCGATGGACGGACTTGGGTAGATTGAGTGCGGAGGCGGTCGGAAAGAAGTCTCTTGGTCGGCCTCCAGCATCGATATATTGCACCACTGGAGCGTGTTCATCAACATCTGCTCGAGGTTGGTATTGTTTCGGGTATCCACAAGCTCCCTCAGAGACGAAGCTGCTGTATCCAAGTTCAACTGGAGGGCGATGCGCCTTGCCAGTGAAATGTAAAGGGTTCCTTTGATCGCAAGAGGGGCCGCATTTCGAGACGAAACCAGTGCCAGCGGTTGATATTCTGCAATAAGCTCTAAGGAGAGAAGTGCGTCTGCGTCCGTGGGAACGTCGAAGAGAATTTCCTGGCCGTAGTGGAATATGGCATTCTTCAACGCTGGCTGCAGATGTCTGTATGAAGCTAGGCGCTGAGCCGGGACATCCAGCGCTATTGAGCACAGAACAGCCAATAATAGAAGGCTTGGCTTGATGTCAACATGGCCTGCCGATGCGCAGCGGTTTCGAAGAAGTGGGATTTCTGGGATATAAGGGTAGTACAGTCTATGCCAGATGAGACTAGTACCGTCAGTAGGCCATTAGATAGTATCTGAGCATGGAGCACACTCACTGTCTGTCTAATAGCCCCGAAAGCGCTGGGTTGACAAGTTCGAAGATTGGTTTTCGCATTGGTGTTGGTGAGTATCCCGGGAGAATGTTGGCGAATCCTTTGTCCCGCGACACTAGAGACTTGAGGTGTCTATATTGGTTTGACAGAGCATCGACCATTTCAGAGTTGCTTGGTTTCTGCGTCTGGCAGCCTGGAACATCACCCTGCGGCGGGGTCGACAAGAGGAACCTTTCCACATCTGCTGAGGAAGCTTCACCCGTAGGATGGGGAAAGTCATCAAGACCATCGGCAGTGAGAATGACCTCTACTCTCGAGCGCTTATACGCGGGACGTCCGAGAGTAGTGTGGTCCACAATGCAATCAAGTGCCCTTTGCCGACAGCGCTCGCATTTTTTGCCGGGTGGCTGCGGCGTGTTGGAAGGCTGAATGGTGGCTTCATCCGGAAGATTGCACTTGATCTTCCTCGATCGGCAGTGCAAACAAATAAGCTTCGCATAGCTTCCCCTTGCTCTCTTTGATGGCATTTCGTCGAGGTGCGCAAATTCTGGCGGTTGGCGTCGTTGCGCTGTCTTGTAGGATGCGCGCGCAACGTCGTTCCGAGCGTGGCGCTGCGGCTGACCAACACCACCAATCGCTTAGCCAGCCTGAGCATCCTTCTGCTTTGGATCTCCGATCCGCACGGGCAGACACAGCAGACGTTTTGCCCATTTCTTGGCTTTTTGAGTTAGGACTTCACTTTTAGTGTAGAACCCCTGTGTAATGCCTTAAATCATGCTTAAGAGTAATGACAGCCTAGTGGACTCGAAAGGCCACAACTGAGTAACACCATCCACCCGACTCAGAACATCACTATTACAAACAAAAAAAGAGAAAGAAAGAATAGCCCGCCGCATCCGTCTCCGGAGTCTAACAAGTCCAAGAATGCCCAAAAGCAAGAATCCAAAGGAAGAAACCCCGAAAAGCCATCTCTCTGGCCCCATTATTCCTGCACCAAATTCCTGCACTCAAACTTGAACCCATGGGAAAACCTCTTGTACTCTTTGAAATCCTCATTGCACCAGCTTTACAGCCTTGTGTCTGCATGGCCACACCTTACCACCACTCTTCGACATGAGCCCGTGTACTTTCTGGCTGCTAATTCTGCTGTTACTTTTGCTCCTTCTGCTGCTGCTGCTGGTACGGGGACTGGTTCTGCGGATCCTGGGACGGCTGGAACCGGAACTGCCGGGGCTGCTGGTGCTGCTCGAGCTGCTGCTGTTCCTGTTGGTACTGCTGGTGCTGCTGGTGCGGCTGCTGTTCCTGCTGAGGGGGGCGGGAATTGGCGGGAGCGACGGCGGAATCAACGAAGGCGGCTGCGGCGAGGGGGTTGGAAACCTGAAGAGAGGGGAACGTGGTTACTGGGGGCCCTTGAGAAGTGCTGTTGTTGCGAGACTGCCTCGACGTGGACGTGCCTCGGCTGCCGTGGGGGCGGTAAGACGTCGTGTTGGTCGAGGGCGGTTGATCATCGTTCTCCGGGTTAAGCCGGCGACGCTTGGGTTGAGTCTGGACATTGTCACTATTGCCCCTACCGCGATTGCTCCGGCGAGGAGGGTACAAGGGTGGCGGCATGGCGCCAGCTCTAGCGGCATTGTTCTGAAATACGTCGTCATTTGATAGAAGAGATTCGGCAAGGCGGTTAACGTTGCGCCTAGACTGACTATCTTCATCATCACGTCCGGAAAAAGGCCGTGTGCGGATATAGCTAGAAGCGCTCTCTCCTTGCGCTCTGAAGCCGGCAGCCGCTGGACCTGAGGAAGCTGGTGGAGTGTTGGTGGTCGATCCGAAAGCAGCAGCACGAGTGGGATTCGAATGCATCTGGGAACCGTCGTTCTTTCTCCGGCGGTAGAGCTCGGTAGGACCGATGGGAGGTGGTTGAACCGGACGTCCGTAGACTTCATACCTGACGCGGCTTTCCGGAGTCTCTTCCATCTTGATTCTATTCTTGCCATTGTTCATTTCGTCATCCTGAGACTTGCCGGGAAGGACGCTTTGCGATCTGCCGCGGGAGTCATTATTCAACAACGGCTCGGACGCCGGAAGCTGGACAGCCTTGTTGGAGAGTGGTTTGGGATCATCTTCCTTCTTGACGTAAAAGTCCTTCCGAAGCGGGATAGACTCCAGGTACTTGTCGAACTCGCGTGTCTGCCTACCAACCGGTTTGTTTCCATCTTCCTCAAGAGGCGTTTTGGGCGTTTTGGGCGTACGAGGCGGACGCGAGGTGGTTGATGTCGGTGGACGTCGAGAGAGGCTAGTATATTTGGGGGTAGGAAGTGAACCTCTAGGCCTGAGACGGCCCAAGCGATCGCTGCTGTAAACTAGTAGAGCGTTAGCCACTGTATACTTGATCTCCGCGGGACCGGTCTCACCGTCGTCTTGGGATGCATCTCGAATTCCCTCGGGAGGCTCTGCAGTCTCCTTTCCCTCCTCGTCGACAATACCCTCAACTTTGTTTCTGATGTCTCTAGGCATGCTGTTGATAGGACTTGATTTGTCGCCGATCGCGGAATCGATTGAGCCAGTATATGGATCAGCTCCTTCCTGTAGATTAGGGTCGACCGCAATAGGCGTCGCACTGTCCCTTCCTAGATTGGCAGCCTCAACGCTCCCGATCGTTGGACTGTTATGAGTGATGGACGAAGGCTCCTGCTCGATTGGGTATGCAGCCATAAGGACATCCAAGTATTTGTTACCGGTGGGGCTCTGCTCCGCGAGGCGCTCCGAAGCGACCGATAGGAGAGGCGTCGTCCTCATTGCTTGTAGGCCGGGCGTTACGTTCGAATTTGCTCCTGGAGTGACTCGAGGTGGTTGGTGTCCCAAAAGCCTGGCGTAGTTCGGCGGGCGAATATCTTCGTCCTCGCCGTCAGAATCGTCGGGAACAATGACTGGAGTATGTGGTTGCTGCTGAACTCTTTCAACGCGAGAAGTAGCAGTGGTAGGGGCGTGGGAAGATGAAGTAATCATTCTTTCCATAGACCGAGTGTTAGCCAGGCTTGAGACAGGCGTGCGTGGATCCGCTAGCGAAGCCTGCTTCTGGGACAGGCACTCTTCAAGGGTGGGAAAGCTAGAAGGTCGACGTGAGAGTCGATTCGCATATATAGAGAAAGCCGTAGGGATTCCTGTCCCGAGTGTGCCAGAAGACCTCACAGCTTCAATCCTCATTCTCTCCTCTTCGGAAGGCGTCATAGAAGCCAGGTCTTGCTTGCAATCGGCTGCGCTGAGACCCTTCGGAGGAGGAATTCTTTTAAGCAGACGGCGCTTAGATCCTTGGATGAGGACTGTGTTGGTAGGAGAATCGGGCAGCGAACTGCGTGAGGCGTGAAGAACCGACATCTCTGGCGCGGGTTTCGGAGAAGGCGTGACAAAAGTGTACTTTGTGTTGAGAGGGGACGGTTCGTCACTCATGAGTGAGGAGCTGGCGGCGGCATCCGGGCGGATAATGTTAGGTCTGGCTTGGACAGGCTCTAATAGACCTTTGTCAGTAACTGCATTCTCAATTGCTCGAAGGGCGACGGAAGAAGCAAACAAAATACCAGGACTATCGATCTCGTTGTAGCTTGGGACATGCGGGCGAGTCCTTGCGCTTCGGCGGGGAGTCAATACAGACTCGTCGAGGGCGCGTGAGCTTGATGCTGACGCAGCTTCCATGGCCCTGCTGTGCGCGCGATATGAGGGAGAATCGTCGACCACCACTGGCGAAGTGGCAGTACTTCCAACATGAGGTGTGGCGGGGCTTTCAAGTGTGGTCGGGCTTTCAAGTGTGGTCGATGATGAAGGGCGCGAGGGGAGCGTACGATGGGTGGGGCCGCGTCCACGAGAGGGTGTAGAAATGTTGCGCACGGGTGGGCTCTGCTGGGTGGACATCGAGGCTTGTACAGAAGCCGACATGACTGGCGGCATATTGTTGATGCCCTGCGTTGTAGAGGGAAAGACCGAAATATCCGGCGGACCATGGAAACGTCTCGATCCTAGCCTAGCAAAACAAGTGTTGCAAAACTGTTCGCCGCATTCCACGCACTTCTGCAAAGTATTGCGGTTGCGCCGGTCGCACGAACTGCATTTTGCTGTATGGACATAGACTGGGGTGAACGGGCCTGAGCACCTCATCGTGAAGGATGTTTACTCGAGGGACGCGCAAGGCGTGAGAAGATCAACTGCCGGGTTTGCAAGATGACAACGTCGTTCCGGTCGGCCAGTGTAGGGCGTGTTTTGGGTAAAAGAGGAGAGCTGTTGAAGATGCGAAGCAGATAGTTAAGTTCTATGGCTGTGTGCATGTCAACAGACGCGCTTCGGGAGACTTGACAATCGTCATGACAACAAAGGATCGTTCAGAGCGTGATGCTCCTTGACCAACCAAATGCCAGCTGTTTTCGTACGCTGCTCAGCTTTGCCTGCATCACGTTGACCGATGACGAGCGAAGGCGCGCGCTTCTACTGGCCGATTTGGGAACTTTCCTTCCACATGGACATTTGCTCTTCTTGATACGTCTTTGGCCATTGTCACTTGAGCGCAAGACCACCATTCGTCTTCCTCGAGGTGCTGTCTCATGTGCCGTACCATAACACGTGCTCAATACTAGATCCCGATAGCGGAGGTCGAGGCGTGCCGCATGTTGGAGAGAAAAGACGGTGCGTGCTGCAGATTGGGAGCAAGTACTTGCACGGTATTGCGCTGTTCATCATGCATAGAGTCAGCGATCCAGACACAATTTCTATTCCAAAATCAAGGCATCAGTTTCGGCATTGGTCTCCATTTCCTGAAATGTACGGATTGTCTAAATTTCCCGTCGCGCAAAGAATGAGGTTAGTGATGTGAGAGAACGGCGTGCTGAGGAGCACGCGAAGCAGGCCTGCAGCTGAACACTGGTTTCAGCATATCTTACTGAGCCTGGAAAAAAGCGAGAAATAAAGAAAGAAAAGGGAGCCAGCGGAAAGCCGTAGGCCGTGGTCACGTTTGGAAATCCCCCAGACATTGCGGGAAGGCGCAGTCTCCAGCAGAAGTCGTTGCCGGCTCGCGTCCGGAGTCGTCGTTAATACGTGTTGTGCATTTATATCCAGATAGGCCATTCAATTGACCGTCCTTTGCTGCAATGCTAAGGGAGTTGTGCGAATGAAGCGCCTGTAACGTGCGCGAGCCTGCGTCTGTCTTTCTCGCACTGCATGCCTTTTTTGGATGGCGTTGCTGAGTCAGAAGCTTTCACCGAATTTTGGGTGGTGCAACGCTGTGGACCACTCGCGCTGATTGCCGTTTAAAAGACACGGCCTCGAAATCAGGCTCCTGGGACCGCCATCAATAATGCTGCGCCCCGAGCGGTCGTCGCGATGGCATGGCACGGTGGAAGAACAGGTGGCCCGACACGCTCGCAGGATTCCGCCACCCTCGGAAGCGGCGCAATTGAAGTCGCCGTTCCCGCGCCGGGCTTCGCGCTGCTGCCTTCTGTTCGTTGCCGCCCGTCGACCCGATGCAACCGCATCATAGATCGACCCAGTGTTTAAAGGCCCACCGAACGGCTCTCTCGCATCGTCTGTGCGCCTTTTCCTGCTGCGGCAAGCGTTGCGAGACTGACGCCCGCGGCGCTTCACCAAGCCCCAGCCTTACGTCGACAACGACCGGCCACATGCTCGCTTGCATGCTTTCTGAAACTCCATATATATCGCTGCGTGCCTCAGCCTGAGCCAGGTCAACTCAACACCTCGTCTCCGCGCGAACAGCCCCACTTGTCGTGCGAACCCTTTGTCTCTCCTGCTGAACCTTCCCGCCGCCACTCAGCATGGCGCCCACCTCATCACTGGCCTTGGCCTCTGTGGCCGAGAGCATGGTGCTGGCCCGCTACGCTCCAGCCTACAGCATCACGAACTCCAATTTTCTTAGGCCCCTGGCTTTGTTCTGGATACAGATGTTGCTTTGGTTTACATGGTCTGCGGTCATCTATCCGCATTTCCTCAGCCCCCTGAGGCATCTGCCTCAGCCGAAGGTGAATTATCACCCCACTTCATCGTCCACTAGTACTAAAATCCTGCAAGGGCGGCCATTGGTTGATGGGGCATTTCAACAAGATCCGGAAAGAAAACACCGGAGAACCTGCCCGAGAATGGTCCCAGACCGTCCCCAATGAAGGACTCATCTACTATCGCTTCGCTTTCAACTCCGAGCGAGTGCTTGTGACATCGCCTAAAGGCCTTGCAGAAGTACTGGTTCACAAGAACTACGAATTCATCAAGCCCGGAACTATTCGTGACGGTATTGGAAGGATTCTCGGCATTGGCATCCTCCTCGCCGAGGGTGATGAGCACAAGAGGCAGAGAAAGCTGCTTATGCCTGCCTTCCATTTCCGTCACGTCAAAGATCTGTACCCTGTTTTCTGGACCAAGGCTCAAGAGGCTGCTCAAGCCATGATTGCTGCGATTCAGCAGCCCGCGCCTTTGGCAGAGAAGCCGTCTTCCGTCGTCGATATTGCCAACTGGGCTTCGAGAGCGACCTTGGATATCATCGGCGTTGCAGGCATGGGCAAGGACTTCGGAGCGGTTGCCGACCCCAACAGCGAACTCAATGCTACCTACAGGAGGATTTTCTCGCCAAATGCTGTCGCGCGCTTCCTGCAACTTCTCGGCCTCATTATCCCATTCTGGGTTCTGCGGAAGCTACCTATCAAGAGGAACATGGAGGTTGATGAAGCGGCCGAGACCATCAAACGGATATCCCGGGAAATCATCCAAAGCAAGCGGAAACACTTGGAAAAGAACGAACGCACCGAAGTCGACATTGTCTCTGTTGCTCTTGAGTCTGGAGGCTTCAGTGACGAGGATCTGGTCAACCAGATGATGACTTTCCTCGCCGCCGGCCACGAAACAACGGCGACCTCACTCACGTGGGTAGCTTACCTTCTCGCCAAGCACCCCGATGTGCAGAAGCGCCTTCGTGAGGAAATCCGCGCGAACTTGCCTTCCCCAGAATCCGGGAAACAGATCACTTCTACGGATATCGATCGGCTGCCGTACCTGAACGCCGTGTGCAACGAAGTTCTTCGTTTCTACGCCCCCGTCCCAATGACACTCCGTATCTCGGACAGAGACACAACCATTCTCGGCAAATTCATCCCTAAAGGCACGACAATCGTGCTGTCGCCGTGGGCAACGAACACGAGCAAAGAGCTTTGGGGAGAGGATGCGATGGAATTCAACCCTGATCGCTGGCTGGGCACCGGCCGTGCCAACACCGGAGGTGCGGACAGCAATTACAGCTTCCTGACCTTCCTGCATGGGCCGAGAAGCTGCATCGGTCAGGCCTTTGCAAAAGCGGAGTTCGCGTGCTTGGTGGCAGTGTGGATTGGCAAGTTTGAGATGGAGCTGGCCAACCCTGATGCGGAGCTGGAACTGCAAAGTGGCATTACTGCTAGACCAAAGGGCGGGCTGCCCGTGAAACTAAAGGTTGTCGATGGTTGGTAGACGTAAGTGAACGAACTCTTGCTTTGTCAGGGCTTACAATGCTCACAAATCCTTGGCGGGCAGATGATTTGTAGGAATAATGTCAAGGAGTAACGGCGCCACAATGCAACTAGATCATCTAAGCTTTGCAGAAGATTTGCACCTTGCAGATGCCAATCCGCGAGTATATGCCTCAGTTTACTTTGTGCTATCTGTACCTCGATCAAAGAGCTTCTCCAGTCAATTGATTAAAGACGACTTTTCAAGTTGCATGATATATTACGAATGCGACAGCATAATATCAGATGGCTTATATCTGTCAATAGATGTCGAGATGGGGTTCCAAACGAGTGTTGTTCAAGAATTATCGTTTGCGGTACGACGGAACAGGTGATGTTGTGCAAGTCAATAAAAGCAGCTCTCACCACTTTCGCCGCCCTATTAATCAGTTCCCGGCGTTCGAGGCTATCCCTGGTTCCCAGCGATTATCGGATTGGTGCCAGGGCTGCGAGGTGCCCCGCGGAGGCTCTAGTGCGGGACATGTGCTGTGCCCCTCCTCGCCTGGCGCCATTCCGACAACCGGGAAGGGACGTTCTCAGTCGATTTATCAGCACCATGTGCAGCACTTCGAAGCCATTGGCGATCTGAACCTCCGGAAGGACGTGTTTATAAAGCCTGCCACTGTCCATTGCCTTCAATTCGAACTTATTCTAGTTCATCCAGCAAAATCGACGCTTCCACCATGTCTTCGCACCACTGCATTTCAGGACCAATTCACGTGTATCCGGGCCTCGTAAACAAGGCTGCTCCGGGAGTATGTGTATCAATTACCACCCCACGCTCATTACCCGCACAATGGCTTACACATTCCTGCGCACAGGTCTCCTACTACACGCCCCTGCAGTCCCCACCCGCCGGCACAGCACTCGCCCGCGATGGCAAGCCCATCCCGAAGCTCTTCAAGCCGCTGCAGATCCGGGGACTGACACTGCAGAACCGCATCATGCTGTCACCGCTATGCCAGTACAGCGCGGCAGACGGGCACATGTCGGACTGGCACTTCGCGCACCTGGGCGGCATCATCAAGCGCGGGCCCGGCATGGCCTTCTGCGAGGCGACGTCGGTGGTTCCCGAGGGGCGCATCACGCCTGAAGACGCCGGCTTGTGGCAGGACAGCCAGATCGAGCCGATGCGGCGCATCGTCGAGTTCGTGCACTCGCAGGGCCAGCACATCGGTGTTCAACTGGGGCATGCGGGAAGGAAAGCGAGCACGGTGGCGCCGTGGTTGAGCAGTGGTGATATCGCGACGGAGGAGGTGCGTTGATGGCTGACTGCTATGCATTAAAGATTGCGCGTTGGAGCTGATGCAGAGGATTGTAGTTGCATGGATGGCCCACCAACGTCTACGCGCCGTCTGCCATCCCCTACAACGAGCGGCATGCGTCGCCCAAAGAGATGACGAAGGAGGACATCCAGAACCTTAAGGACGCCTGGCTGGCGGCCGTCAAGCGCGCTCTCACCGCCGGCTTCGATGCCATTGAGATCCACAACGCGCACGGCTACCTGCTCCACGGATTCCTGTCGCCTGTCAGCAACAAGCGCACCGACGAGTACGGCGGCTCCTTCGAGAACCGCATCCGGCTGACGCTGGAGATCGTCGACCTGATTCGTGCTAACATCCCAGACACTATGCCGCTCTTCCTGCGCGTCAGCTCGACCGACTGGCTCGAGCAGGTCGAAGGGTTCGGCCCGGAGAACAGCTGGACCGTCGACGACACGGTGCGCTTGGCCGACATCGTTGCTGATCGCGGCGTCGACTTGATCGACATTTCCTCCGGTGGTACTCACCCGCAGCAGAAGATCATTGGCGGCCCGGCGTACCAGTCGCCCGCCGCGAAGAAGGTCAAGGCCAAGGTCGGCGACCGGCTGCTCGTTGGTACCGTCGGCGCCATTGCTGATGCACACCTGGCCAATGATCTGCTTGAGGAGGGTGGTCTTGATCTGGCGATCGTGGGGCGCGGCTTCCTGAAGAATCCATTCTTGGTTTGGACGTGGGCGGAGGACTTGGACGTCGAGATCAATACTCCGAACCAGATTCGTTGGGGCTTCCACGGGAGGGGAAAGCGTACGACGCACGATCCCAAGACGGGCGGTGCAAAGTAAGTGCTTGAAAGAATAAGGGAAAGAGTTTGATTGTGCAAATACGGGGACTGGTAGACATCAACCACGGTTTCGATTCAAGATCAAAACCACCGGTGGTGCCATGTGGCAGAGTCAGGCCAGAGACAACTGTCTTCGTAGATGCTTTTGATGCAGCACTGGTAGCATCAATGACAAACTTCTTTTGATGACAATGGTGCAAAAAAGAACAAGCAGCGAGTGTGACTTCCCTCTTATCAATGCTACGCCATGATCAACCGATGGCGATGTCGCTGATATGACCCTGGCAAACTATCTCGCTTGGAGCCGCTGCTTACTTCAGGACGATCCACTTTGGCTCAAAATAGTCATCGATTACCGGAAAAAATAAGACAGGGTATATACACACACATGTTCTTATCTGAACACATTTCCCACTCATCACATTCCTCACGCCACTCACTTCTGCTCCCCCACACTCCACTCCGTCCGGCCCAACCTAACGATATCCTTCTGCTGCACCTCCCACACGCCCTTCTCCCTCTTCCCCTCCACGCACTGCAACCCCGCCGCCACCGCCGCCTTCGCAATCACCTCAGCCTCCTGCGCCCAAAAGTCCTTGAACCCGCTCCCGAACATACCGACCAACCCGGCGACCTTCCTGACGGCGAACTCGGCGGGGCGGCTGTCCTGGCGGTTGCCGAGGATGACGCCGGGGCGCAGGATGACCGTGTGGTCGAAGCCGAGGGCCTTGACGGCGTCCTCCAGCTCGCCCTTCATCTTCAGGTACGCAAACGACGACGCGCTGTTGGCGGCGCCCGTCGAGATCAGCACGTACGTCTTGACGCCGGCGGCTTTCGCGGCTTGCGCCAGCGCCAGGTTCAGGTCGTGGTCGATCAGCCGCTGCCCGTCGACGCTGCCCGCCTGCGCGCGCGTCGTGCCGAGCGCCGAGAAGTAGACGGACGGCTGCGGCGCCGGGTTCGGGAAGAGCGTGGGCCAGAGCTTGGACGGCTCTTGTTGCGCGGTGCTGGGGTCGGCGGGGAGCGTGGAGAGCTTGGGCGAGGTCTGCGAGAGGGCGCGCCTGGTGAAGGCCGAGGTGTGGGCGATGGAGGGGTGCGCGAGGAGGGTGTTGAGGATGTTGGAGCCCTGTGGGGATCGCGGTTAGTGGTGGTGACGGTCAGAAGAGGTTTTGCGGAGGATGTACGACGAGGCCGGTGCTTCCGGCGAGGAAGGTGGTGACGTTGGCCATGGTGGTGGTGAGAGGTAATCAGGATTTGGGGTGACGGCGATTGGGTGGCTGACTAGGCCGATTGATTTTCTCAGGTTTGAACTCGAGGAGGTTCGAATTGTTTTGACGGCTGCTGGAGGCGATTAAAAGCTTGCCGACGTCAAGGCAGCCAGCGGTGACGACAGACGACCGGATAGCAGATCGCGGGCGCGGACGAATTATGGCGGAGAAAGATTAGGGTTGGAAGTCATTGCCGCTTTGGATGGTCAATGGCGCAATTCCTCCGCAAGAGGGTCCCGCCCGGCTTTAGCGCGGACTTTGAGCCGCATGTCTCTGCTCCCTCGCATACAGGACTTTTCATAGACGTGGTTTTTGCTGACTATCCGCTGCCCGCGGGTTCCTGCCGGATCCTCTCAGGCTCCTACCGTCTCACTTGCAGCGGTCTAGCTGCGCTGGTCCCTGCATGCGGCGGAGCTCAGGCCCAGAGCTTGCGCGCTGGTGGCCGCGTCAACGAGAAAGACCACACGGCGATGGATACGACTTCCCAAACCACCGCGGCGATGGGTTCCCACGCCTCCTCACCACAACACGATGCTCCCACGCCGCTATACACGCATCTCGCGCCTCCCACGGACGCTAATCTTCGACCTGTTCCCCGTACTATTGCTATTCTATTCCATCGTTGAAGTACTCTCCGTTCGCCGCGCCCTGCAGGCCGTCGACCAGACCGCCGAGCACGAGGCCGAGACCTTCGAAAAGGGGGAAAAGATATTCATATCGAGCATACACCTCCATGACGAGCAACTGCTGCGCGGGTATTGGAATGACGCCCTGCTCTCGCTGGTCGAGGCGCTCGGCCCGTCCAACGTCTACGTGAGCATCTACGAGAGCAACAGCCTCGACGACACCAAGGGCGCCCTGCGCGACCTGGACGCCGCGCTGGAACATGCCGGTGTCCGCACGTCTATCGTGCTGGACGAAACAACCCGTGGGCAGGAACTCGACGGCGACAAGAAGGGCGAAGGCTGGATCTGGACGCCGGCTGGCGCGAAGGAGAAGCGGCGCATCCCTTACCTCGCGCGACTGCGCAACCGCACGCTGAAGCCGCTGGAGGAGCTCGAGAGCAAAGGCGAGCGCTTCGACCGCGTCCTCTTCCTCAACGATGTCGTGTACACCGTACGTTTTCCCTCGTCCCCGCATTCAATTTCGAGGGGGGCGCCCAGCTAATCTCCCATTGGGATGCCACCGCCAGGCCCGCGACATCCTCGCCCTCCTCCGCACCAACGGCGGCCACTACGCCGCCGCGTGCGCGCTCGACTTCCGCTACGCGCCCGCCTTCTATGACACCTTCGCGACCCGCGACCTCGACGGGCACGCGCCGCTGTCGACGCGCTTCCCGTACTTTCGCTCCCCGGCGTCGCGCCACGCGCTGACGCACCGCGGCCACGACCATAAGAGCGACAACAATGGCATTGTCAGCGACGGCGCTGTGCCCGTTTCCAGCTGCTGGAACGGCGTCATGGTCATGGATGCCGCCCCTTTTTACACGAAGCTACGCCGCCTCGAATTCCGCGCGCTGGAGGACAGGTTAGCGGCCCAGCACCTCGAAGCCAGCGAGTGCTGCCTCATACATGCGGATAACCCGTATGCCGATGGTCGCGGCGTTTATATCAACCCCGGCGTGCGTGTCGGATACAACCCCGAGGCATATGCAGCGGTGAACCCCGGTGATGGTCGGCTGTGGTTGTCGGCCTGGGATATCTTTTACGGCATGTGGGAGAGTAGGGCGATGAGGATGCTGGCGTGGGGCGTGGATAGAGAGGAGTTGGTGGTCGGGACAAGGATTGGGATGTGGGAGAAGGATTTTAAGAGAAGCGAGCCTGGTGCGTTTTGTGCGGTAGATGAGATGCAGGTCTTGAGGATGGACGGGTGGGCCCACGTCTGAGGGCTCGGACACATTGATTTTTGATTGAACGGTACCGAACCAGAGATCAGGATGCTGGTTTCGGTGCTGATGAGCTGGATTATTCCCCTGCACCGCACTGCTTCTTCTTATTCCTTGTGTACAGAGCTGCTAGTCCGGCCCCGGAAGATACACGAGTGCCTATAGAAAATGGCACATTTTTATGCAACTAGGGTGGCCTTGCTGCGGTAGTCTTGTCTCTGTGAGTTATGTTCCATACGGGCGATCTTACATCCATGGGATCACAACGTGATACCGCAGAGATACACCGCAACAACGCCGAAGGTATGGAATTGGCTCAAAGTTTAAACTTGACGACATACTGAGTTACTTATCAGCAGCGGGAGGCTGAAACAAACGCACAGAGGCCGTTGAGATCAACATGGGAGGGATATGCGCGCAGTGGAGTGCACAAGGCGTCCGGCCAAGCGCTTGAACCTCCCAGCCGTGATGCATTGCCGGAGCGAATCGACCTCTCGTTGCACCGCATACCTTGCCTCGTGCTTGATTTAGGTTTCAGATCATTGTCCACTCATCTGGCCTCGTTCCCGGGTTCGGTGGGTCTCTACCAAAGGCTCGTTGGGCGAAAATTCCACACCAGATATGTTACTGAAGAAAGGACTACATGATAATTCGTAACTACTAACAGCTACGCTTAAGCTTTAAATATATCATAAAAAGCTGGCCTCTCGACATCAGATCATCTTGGCTGGTCGGAGGACACGCCAGATACCCACAGGGCCTTTCCCGAAGTAGTAAGAATCGAGCGAAACAGGGTGAAGGGAAGTCATGAAGGCAGCGCAATGGATGGGTATAACATTTGCCTCGGTAAGAGTCGTCAGAGGTCTGATCAGTAAAGTGAATGCCCTCCCCCAAAATTAGTAGTAGTATCAAAGTTCCCCCCCGCTCACCGGAGTTAGTGAGTGTCCCTAATGACCGTTCGTCTCCGCAGATAGCCGGAAATCATATAAAAGCAACCCCAAACCCCACAGAAACAACAACAACCGCCACATCAATGGCGCCCGCGTCTCTCGAATTTTGCGCCTTCCTCCCAAGAAAAGTCGTTCGAAGTTTGTAAAACACCCCGCGGCTCCTTCCGCCTCCTTCTCCCGCGTTTCCTTTTTTATTATACGGGCGGCGCTGCTGGAGGACGACTTGCACCCGACGCTGTCGAGTTACCGGTGCTGTACGCGCCCGACCATTTGCCCGCCATGGCCGTCTTCTTCGCCTTCTCCATGTTGTACGCCCGGTAGAACCAGAAGCCGGCCGCGCACAGCGCGACGGCGATGACGGCCACGACGACGCCTGCGATGATGGCTACGCCCATGATTTGAACTTGGGAATGATTTTCCTTTTCTTCTTCTTGGTTTGTTCGCCTGCCTTCCCGCGTCAGTAAGGGGGAGAAGAGAAAAGGGCCGTGCATGTTGGGATGCGTCTTTTTTTCTCACCTTTTTGTCGTGTTGCAGCAAAAGAACGGCCAGAAAAAGCAAAGAGGGTATATGTCGTCACGAGGGATTCCGGTCAAGAGCGTGGGTAACGGGCGTATCTTGAGAGGGTGTTTTGTGGGGAAACGGAAGGCGGTTCACTCTTTCTTTCTTTTTGCCGACGGCGGAGGCGGTCGTATTGGGGCGGCAGCCGTTTGGTTTTTGATCTCTTCACTGATTGCGTTTGCGGCTTGACTCTTGCCGCGTCGCCCGCCCGCGCCCACGGTGCTCCACGAGCACAGCACGCCTTAACTGGGCTGGGTAAACGGCGGGCTAAAATGGCCAGGGAGGGCCACATCCGGGTCGGCAATCGTGCTCAACGGCTCTTCCGCGCGCGCCGCGAGTCATTTCGACGCAACGGAGCAAATGAACGTCCTCTCCTGCGGCGTGGGCGCAGAACCTTATCAGGACCAGCGACAAATATCCGGCCAGAAAGCCCCGAAATGAGCCATGATCCGGCACGCCTGTGCGTCGGGGAAAAGATGGAAGGGTCCGCTTCATTCCATGATGAGTGAACGCTGACCCGGATTATGCCACGAGGGAAGACGGCAAACTCCACTTTCGTGGGGATCGTCAGGGCCGTGCGGGCTGTCGTTGCTGCCAGACGACTACCCACCGCCTCTCTTTCTCCTCGGAGTTGACGCCGGCTCGGAGAACCGTGTGGCTTGGCGATCTTTCATGCGTAAAGGGGGCTCGTTGGGCGTTGTGGAGAGTTCCTCAAGCCGGCCGATGGGAGGAGTTGACCGGTGCGGCTTTCTTAGGGGCCTGTGTCTCCATCATACGAGGAGCAAGGGGCATGCTGACTCCGGGAATCTAGGTGGTGAAGGGAGATGACTCGTACGAGGCTTGGAATGAGTAAAGGGTCGGCAAAACGAACAAGCGGACGCGATGGAAATTATGGCAAGATTGGGTGCCAACCAGGAAGCAGAGTTGTCGATCTGGATGTCACGGACAAGGGAGGCAATAATTGCCGGTGTTGATCGAGAACCCTGAGAAGAGTGCGTAAGACACCCTCCAGACGCGCACGCAACCCTTTGAAGTTTCCGGCTGTTTTTGGTCGGGGTTGAAATTGAAGAAAAAAGCCGTTGTGTCACTAGCGGCACCAACGGCGGCGGCCCGGGCAGCAGCCGGCGCGCCGCTGGCGTCTCTCCTTGCATTGACCCCACGATACTGAGATCCGATCCTCCCCACATCTTGCTGCTGATCAGAAAAAACTGACACTCGAGCAAGGGGCCGCCTCTTGGACATCCGCTTCGGCCCGCAATTGTCCTGGTCACCGCGATGCGCATGTTGGCGCGCGCAGTGCCGGGCTGCGGTGATCTGACAGGGTCTTCTGGCCTAAATAACCCTGCCGAAAGCCTATTCTGTAGGGGAAAAGCGCCCAAGATAACGCTTCTAGCCCAAATATATTGATGCGGCGCAGCGGGAGCAGGAAGCATTGTATCTCGAAGTCACACCATTTATGCTCTACGCTTCACAGTAAAAATAATTTTTTCTAACCGACCCAGTCGTAGTGACATGCAGACAGCTTACAGCTAAAGTCGCAACTAGAGATAGATAAACCCCGCTTCACAAGTCAGCCGATCGTGCCGATGACCGTCAACGTCCACCAATGACATTCCTGTACCAGGTTTAGTTGGAACGCTCATGCACCTGCACAAGCGCGGCATCATGGTAACAGCCTATTTAACACTACCTTGCCGCGCTCTCCAACAAATTCAGCCCAATCAATTTACTGTAATATAGTTACCTCCTCTGAACTTATCGTCACTGCTTTGGGGTTTTGCTTGTTCATGGTCCTGGTCCTCTGATTTCAAAGTAAGAAAGCCAAATGTAGCGTTCCTTTCCATAAAATGTAAACATTGACGCATATTTGCAGCATTATCAAAGTCTGCATAGCATGATGCAAACTTCTTGATGATGCTCCCCATCAGGTTTTGTTTTTTGTATCTCCTCACAGTCTTTCGTAAAAAGGGAAAAACAAACACACGCGCGAGACCAAGAAAGTTGATTGAATTTGAGATGTTGAAGCTGCGGCTGTTGCAAGTTGCAGCAATTTCAAGATGTGGTCGGTGAACATTGGGGAAGAAGCATGGTTTTACTCTATCAAACCAGTATTAACAACACGTTCTGGCACGCGGTTAATGTCATTGTCGGAGTTGGCCATTCGTCCTTGAGACACGTGCTGCGTATAGGCGATTGTCCATGCGCTTCGGCGATCTAATGCAACAAGAGCGTTTATATAGCAACCACCCAGCCGCCGAGTGGCCCAATCACTGCACGGCTTCATTAATTCAGTGAATAGCCATAGACACTGAATGTACTTTGTGTGCTTTTCCGCGGACAGTATGGTTGTAGCCTTACATTCTTCCACCTGGATAGACCACCCCTGTCGATCGCTCTCACCAATGGAGTCCATCATTGTCTAATCTCGGTGAATTGCGAGATATTGAAACAATAAATATCAGCATCTATTGAAACAAAAATGTAGTAAATGTCTGGTCTCTCGTATCTCTCTTCTCACCCTATACCCAAATATAGGTCTCTCTAAAAAAAATCTTCCAAATACCAAAGCACATCACCACCCCTCCGACCCATCCTCATCCGCAAACACGGCCACCCTCTCCCTCCCTTCCCCATCCACCCACGCCCTGAACATACCGCCGCAGTTCAAATCATACCCGACCCAACTCCTCTGCACCGCGCTCTCCGCGCCCGCCTCGGCGCCCGCGGCCTCCGCATCCGTCGTGACCAACTCGATCCCGATGATGCCGCCCTGCCCTTCTCCACTGTTCTCCCACCTGTCGCCCGCGCTCCGCTGCAGCTCCCCTCCGGGACCCGCCACCCACGCCAGGCCGTCTCGCAGGTACTTTTTGCTGTCGGCCGAAGAGGAGAAGCGCGGGATGGCAGCGGCGGTGCGGGCGGCGCAGACGCGCAGGAAGGAGTCGCCGTTGCCGGTGCCGGACATGCCGACGGCGTGGCGGAGGCGGCGGGGGTGAGGTTTCTCGTCTGTGGAGGAAGAAGGCGTTGCTTGGCCGGGAGAGGGAGAGGAAGAGGAGGACATCGTGCTCGAGCTGGATAGAGGGCCGAGGCAGTCGGAGAGGAGGCCGGGGATGTCGCCGCGGGAGAGCTTGTCGATGGGGGAGCGTGCGGCGGAGGAGGAGATGGCGGGGTGGTAGGACATTCCGCCGGCGGCGGCGGAGGAGGACGAGGAGGAGTCCTCTTCGATCCACTCCTCAGCCCAGTATCCGGCGCCGAGGGTGGGCGTGTCGCCGATGCGGCCGGGGAGCTTGTTGGTCAGGCCGCCGGTGGAGGTAGCGGCGCAGATGGTGCCGAAGCGGTCGAGCACGACGGCGCCGACGGTGCCTTGCGGGAGGTATTCCTTGCCGTCCCAGGACGGGTCGTTGGGGTTGCTGCTGCTCTTCTTTCCCTCCTCCTCCTCATAATCACCACCAGCCAGGGCCTCCGTATCCTCGCTCACCACCGCGCCCTTCCCACGCTCCAATCCCTTGACATGCTCATCCCACCTCTTCTGCGTGAAGAAGTAGTCCGGCTCCACCATCTCCAGCCCCCACCCCTTCGCCAGCTCCTCGACGTAGCCGCCAGCCAGCTGCACGTGCGCCTGCGCGCCGCCGCCGTTGCCCTCGGCGTCATCACCGCGCACCAGGATCTCGCGCGCCAGCTTGATCGGGTTCTTGACGTGCCGCAGCAGCATGACGCCCGCCCCGCGCTTGTGGTGGCCGCGCGACACCATGACCGACGCCTCCAGCTCGTTCGTGCCCGCCCGCGTGAAGACGGCCCCGCGCCCGGCGTTGAACAGCGGGTCGTCCTCGAACAGCGACACCGCGTACACGGCCACGTCGAGCGCCGTTGCCGCCGGGTTGTTGGCCAGCTCCGCCCGCGCGAGCGTGAGGATGCGGTGCAGAGAGGCGCGGTATGCCGCGTATGAGTCGGCGGGCACGTTGGCGCGCGAGATGTTGCCCGCGCCGCCGTGGATGATGATGCGCGGGGTGATGGTGGGGGTGGGCTTGGAGGAGGTCATGGTTGTTGAGGCTTGCCGAGGATTGCTTTTGTTTTTTTACCACTTCTCGTTCTCTGTTGGAGACGAAGAGTTGGGATAGAAGGTAAGGCGTGCAGAGTTTTGGGATCTGATGATGCGATGACAGGATGCAAGCGCTCGACGTTGTAAAGTGGGGGAAATGAGACCGTCTATCCCAAGCTCTTGCAGGTACTCCAGGAAACGCACAAACGCTGCTGTTCTTCACCGATCAATGGAAAGCCACAGATATACAGGTAGGAATCAGGGGTTGGTAGGTCGTCACAAGATGGTTTGCGTTCAAGGATTTATAGCGTCGCGCACATCTCCGCCCGCGGAGTCATTCCGAATGGACTTCTGCGCGAAAGCACCGTCACACGGAGAGCTAAAGTCTAATCAACCAATCAGCTCAAATATTGAGATATTATGTTGCAAACGGTGAGTATAATTCGCATTGTCGACGTTCGCATAAGACACGTCTCTCAAGAAAGAAAAAAAAAGTCATACATGTCAAAAATAAAAGAGCAAGATATTCCTGCAGGTCTGGATCGTGCAAGAGTGGTACCCGACAGAAATGAGCATCAAGCTAGAATTAGAAAGAGATTTTTAAGGTCAAGGTGCTTCTAATGATGTTTTTCAAGCCAAAAAACTGCACAACGGTAGAAAAAATTCTCCTGACATCCCGTCCACAGCACGTCATAATGCTGCAGAATCTTTAAAGTCCCTGGTAGTGCATCTTGATCATCACCCCAGAGCTTCGTGTTGAGCTTGAGTCCGGCAAAAATCCATCAGCTCCAATCGCTATCCAGCAAAGTCCACTGTTGTCGTCGTTGGAAAGCGCCTCATTTGCTCGTGGTTGTGTGGGTATAAGCGCCCAAACAGGCTCCCATGGTTCGTCGCAGGGAGATAGTATTATACTTCTGTATCCGCTGTGACGTACCTAAAGATGAGCTATTTGCGTAAGAATATGATCAAGGAGGACTGTGCCATATCAGGCGACCTTAGCCTTTTCCTATGCAGAGGGTGTTCAGCGGATCAGAATATTCCGTTCCTGCATTTACAGTCACTAATTCAGTAAATGGTGCCAGTTGCCCAAGGGTGATGGCGTTGTGCTCCCCGGATGGTCCAAACTGTGTGGTGATACACAAGGGCGGAAAGTCACTTCCACAGCGACGCTTCACTTTTTCCGCTCCGAGGAATGCCGACCTTGCATCGTAGATGATATCATGTCTCCTTTTGCTCCATCGAGCGTTGTGAGCATGTCCATGCGGGGAAAAGGAAATCTAGTATCGAGATATTTGATGTGGCACATTATCTGCTGCGACGTCATATAAAAGTATGGATATCACTTGGCTGGTGCTTCTTTCAACCCATCTTTCGGTCATAAGAGATTTTCAAGAGAATCAAGCAGCTGCAATCATGAAGTGCACTCTTGTTACTTTGTCACTCCTCGCTTCAGCTCATGGGCTCGCATTCAAAAAGCCATATCAGACCCTTACCATCAACGTTCCCGCCGGGGGCGCCACATACACAACCACCATTCCTCCCTGCGGCACTCTTCCTGGCTACGTTCTGATCCCGGAGGCCAATAGCACCTTCCACCCAGGCACGACGACAGTCTTCGTGCCCCCTCAGGCGTCAAAGGCCACCCGAACCTTCGTCGACACCGAGTACGATGAGACTGCGATTCTCATCGTACAACCGCTTCCGGGCTCATGCGCGCCGAAAGACTTTGGATACTTCCCAACTACCACCTTCACCGATCTATCCCAATTCACCGCTACCGACCTCTTTCTAAGCCCCACTGCAGCCGCTCTTGCAGCCATCTGTCCGCTCACAGACGAAATCGACTACTCCGCCGCCAAGGGCCCCGTGAAAGATGTCGTCGACGGAATTAACAATGCCACGTTGATCCTGCAGAGTCTGCAGTGGTGGGCGGAGCAGGTCGGCGCCGTCGCGGACAACACAACCACCTCCTCCGCTTCCACCACATCGTCCACCACTTTCTCCAGCACCCCTTCCACCATCAAACAAGCACGCAACCCTGGCGCTGGCACGAACCTAGTCCGCCGCCAAGAACCCATCACAGCCGTCCTCCGGCTCCTCGGTGGGCTGCGTGACGTCGGCACGACGCTCACAGCCCTGCTACCGGACATCGCGGTGCTGCCGCCATTCAAGCCCAGCCGCAGCGTCATTGAAATCCTCGACGATGATGACGAGGACGAAGCCGCAGGAGACGCCGTGGTCGGCGCGCTTCTGTCGTTCGTCACGATACATCGGGCGCTGCTGAACACTTTGATCGGACGCGCGAGGCTGGTTCACGATATCCCCGTCGAGAGCGCCGCCGTGGACCAGCTCGCTGCTATGGCACAGGAAAGCGCGGATGAGCTCGGGCATGGGCGGCTACTGCGAGGACGCCATGTCAATCCTGTCGGGATGACGATTGCGAAGGTGCTGCAGGCGTTGGAGGATGTGGTTGATCAGTTGGCGTTTGAGATCATCAGGCTGGTGCCGGCCAGGGAAGAGTGTTCCAAGAAGCAGAAGAAGGCGGTTGATGAGACGTTTGAGGAGGCTATCGCGGCTTATGAGGCATAAGACAGTGGTGGAATGTGTGCTCACTGACGGGTAGTTTAAGATCGGACCCGATGGGCTCGTTCTTCCAATTTACGCATAACGACATGATTCTTTTCAATGTAGTATCAATACAGATTTTTGAACCTGATTTATCTCATAGCGTAATATTAATGACATTAACGTAGTACATGTCTTCCTAGATCTTCACCTAAGTTCCCGTGTTTTAGATCTATGGGGAAATCAAAGCCAGCAGCCCAAACACCTTAGTTGCTAATCTCAACAATAGCCGGGCCCGCCGCAACCGTGTCATCCGTAACAGCATCCTTGCAACCCGTCAGAACAACATAGCTCTGACCATTCACACCCTCAGGCACAACAACAGTGAAGCCGCCCTCGACCCTCGTCGCCTCAGCGACGACCGGGCCCGTCACCGTAATGAAGGCGCCGTAGATCTGCACGCCATCGGCGGCCTGGACCTCGTAGCCGGGCGTGCTCAGCATGACGGTGCTGCCGGTCTTGACCCACTCGTCCTCGGAGCTCGCGACGAGCGTCGGGAACGCCTTGACGGGCAGCGGCGCGTTGTCGGACGGGCACGACGTGATGAACTGCGCGGCGAGGGTGTAGACCTCGTTGAGCGAGAGCGGGTCGTCGAAGGGCTGCGGGAAAGGTGACTGCTTGATCTCGCCGCGGATGTACGACGCGTGCCGCGCTTCGACCGTCAGGATCGAGCCAGCTGCCGTGAGGTACGTCTTCGACATGATGTCCGCGGCCGCGCCGAGGTAGGCGGAGACACCGACGCCTACGAGGATGGTTAGTGGTTATGTGTGTGTGAAGGAGAATGGGGAGCAGGGCGGATAGGAACGCACCTTCGAGGATGGCGGCGGTGGCGAGGAAGGTCTTGACATCCGTTGCGCCGAAGGCGTAGGTGCAGGGCTTGACGGGGGTGGCGCCGGCGGCCGTCAGACCCTTGGTCAGGAAGTCGACGTGGGAGGACTCGTCAGAGCCAACCGTCTTGATGTTGTTGTAGAAGGTGGAGTCGTAGCCGGCGGCAGCGAAGTCGGCCTCGGTGTAGTTTGAGAGGCCTTCCTTGTAGAAAGCATTCTCAAGATGCTCGAGCGTGAGGGCATATTGGAGAATGTCGGCATCAGTCGGTGCGGATTGGCGCTTCTGGGTGGGAGCGGCCACAGAGAGACCCGCAAGGGCAGCAACAGCGGTGGTGTACTTCATTTTTTAAGTAAGGGTAAAGGATGAAATATTAAGTAATTGTGAAGAGGTGAAGACCGGAGAGTTGGATGATTGGCGACTGATAGAATGGTGGATACCTCAGAAGTCTCTTTATATCAGTGCCGTATTAACACAACAAGGGCGAAGCCATCAACAAGGCGGTCAATTGATCAGCGCGGAGAAGTGTGGTTCCGAATACGGAAGCAGTCCCTCTGAGTGGAGCGGTACCCTTCTCCGCCCCTTGTCCATCTAGGTGATTACAGTGACCCACTGCCGTGTGGAGCTGGATAGCGGCGGCGTACATTCCAGAAGACAATGTGCAATTTGCCAGATGCGGGGTAGCATTAGTGCCCGATCGAGGAACCAAGAATGAGACTCGAATCCTGAATTGGCCAATGAGATGCTGATGGTGTACTTCCGCGGGATGTTGTAGCAGCAAGATTGGTAAATTGCCTGGCGTCCGGAAAGCAGTCTTTCCGCGCCTACAAACCAAAGTAGTAAGTGATTCTCGTAAGTGGCGCAGCAAAAGTTGCTCGATGGAGTGCTTACGAGTAAGCTTAAGCAACAAGCTTAGGGCGGATCGTCCTGTTTGGTGTTTAGTACTTTGAGTAGCGTCCCGCTATACTGCATCTGGTTCGAGGGAGTTGAAACGGAACGTGGACATCCGGGCACGCCAAGTGTTTAGAGGCTGTCCCCGCTCAAAATCTGCGCTAAATACCATTCGGCGTGTCTTGAGCCCCTGAGAGTAGAGATCTGGGCAAGAATATCGTCATAGTTGCGCACAATGGGAGCGGCGTTGACGCTCCGCAGGAAATCTCCGCACGGAAGAGTGCCTTCCGTGCTGTACGCTACTGCCAGCATGTGCCCCTTAATTCTCGAAAATGTTTACCGCCAGATCGTGGGGTATCCGCCTTCAATGTGCCGATCACTTTGACTACATGGTGTGAGCGTTGAACTGTGAATAAGAAGCCGAATCCGCATTCAGACCCACGTCTGTGATTGCCTCTTTTCTGTCAATCATTTATTGAAGTCGCGTCTTTGTATCGCCAATCTTTTTACAAAAGCTCGTCGGACATATCAACAACTCTACCAAGATGAAGTCGTTCCTTGCCGTTGTCGTTGCCGCTGCTATTGCGCCAGCATTTGCTACGTAAGTGAAACCATACCAAGGACAAATGAGAAGCAGCAGGAATCAAGTTGTTCAAGCATGTATTTGGCACATACTGACCTTCGCCCAGTCACAGCGCAAGCGCAACCATCACCATCTCTCCTTGCCCGTCAAGCGCAGCCTCTACCAACGATATCGTCACTCGCACCCCGATGGCGATGCCTTCGCAGAGCACGCCTTGCCCTACGTTGTCTATTGTTAAGACGAACGGAACGACGGTGACAATGTCGCATGACGGTGCTGGATCCTCTCCATCAATGACTCCCGCTTCCTTTACCGGTGCGGCCATGGCGAACAATGCCGGGCTCTCTGGTGCTGTTGCTGCTGCCTTTGGGTTGGCGGCTTTTGCATTGTGATGGGTGAAGTAATGCTGGAAACAAATAACAACGAAACGGGTTGATTGTAATGCGGAGGTATATGGTGCCAGTCTGCGATAATGTAAATACAAGAGAACAAGATGCAAGGCCCCGCGGAATGCGAGTGGAAGATCTTCAATGTGCCCATTGTTCAAGGGTCTGTCCGAGAGGTCGGTGTTCCGAAGTAAATGAGCTTTTTGATGCAATGCAGGACTTAATCAAACCGTGAGAGCTTGAAAATGACATTGAAACTTTGCTTCAATGAGACTCCGACAAAATCCGATTCGTATAGGCGTTTAACAGCAAAGTGCCGGAGTCTCAAGAAGATTATCGCTCGTGTTGTAAGACGCGATAAATGGAGAGGCAGCTGAACGTAAGGAGCTTTGGCCTCCCACGCTCATACATAGAAGTTCTAGATTTTCGGAGCTCCCCCCAAGGTTCTCCGCAATGACGATGGTTAAGGTTGGTTGATGATTCTGGGGGTGAATCAACTTAGAATGCTGCGTGGATTCAGTGGGCGTGTGCCTGTAATGGTAAGCTCTTTCATCCGAGCTGGGGAAGACAAGTATAACAAAGGCAGCATAGTAGGGGTCGACAACACTCAATGCGGAAGTTGGTTGTGTTGGAAGAAGTTGAGGAGTGTTGAGGAGGGCAGGGGAAGAGCTGGCGCATGACTCGCATGCAAGCTTATCACGCGCAGGTGGCTCGTGCGCTTATCTTCCCAACCGCGGGGACGGGAGTGACTGGAGGCGGCCATCAAGGTGGCAGGTGGATTGCTCAGCCGCTCATCTCCGCTCTTCCTCAATTACCTCGCCGTTCCCGTCTGTCCTCGGAGCTGCGCCATCAGCTCATCCCTCCGATTCTCACCTTACCATTCTCCACACCGTTTGCGCAGTCGTTGTACAACATGGGTAGCGCTCCGTCGAAGCAGATCGAGGCCGGGGCGCAGGAGAAGCTGGCCGAGGCCCTCCGTGCCATGGAGCTGAGGAACGATCGCGAGCTTGTCGAGAAGGATTACGTCTACGTCCAGGACGATGCGCGTTAGTCTTCGATGCCATGAAGCCGCAACACCCGGCACACTGACACGCCTTTCTCTGTAGCTCCCAAATACGCACCCTCCGAACACCAGTCGACCGTTTCTGTATCCGCGACCGAGAAATGGGAAAGGGAACTCCTCGACGACCCCAAGAACCAGCTCGCCCTCAATGCGCTGCAGTCGAACAACGCCAACGCCATCCTCATGAACAACCGCGCTGTCGTTAGCGACTCGCAGATCTTCAACCTGTCGATCCCCTTCGAGGGTGCTCCCGTCACCAACCAGCGCTCCTCTGGCCGGTGTTGGCTGTTCGCGTCTCTGAACGTCTTCCGGGTATCCATAATGAAGAAGTACAAACTGGACAAGTTCGAGCTGAGCCAGCAATACGTATTCTACTGGGACAAGATTGAAAAGGCCAATTATTTCCTCGAAAATATCCTGCAGACGGTCGATGAGCCCCTTGATGGCCGCCTGCTTCAGTCGCTTCTGGCGAGCCCGGTTGGCGATGGCGGCCAGTGGGATATGGTCGCCAATTTAGTGACCAAGTACGGCCTGGTCCCGCAGTCTCTCTACCCCGACACCTTCAACGCCAAGAGCTCTTCCTTGATGGACAAACTTATCACCACGAAGCTCCGAGAGCACGCCCTCAGGCTGCGCAAGCTTGCCTCATCCACGAACCCTTCTGTTCGGGCCTCGATTGGCGGCGCCAAGGACAAGATGATGCGCGAGATCCACCTGATCTTGACGTTGATGCTGGGTCCCCCGCCCTCGCCGTCCAAGGCCTTTACCTGGGAGTTCTACGACAAGGATAAGAACTTCAACTCGATCACAACGCGGCCAACTGCCTTCGCCAGGGAGCTTTCGGATAATCGCACGGTCAAGGCGTGTGGCGGTGCTGATGTGCACAAGCTGTTCAGTCTGGTGAACGACCCGCGTAACACGTACAACACGCTGTTGACCGTTAACCGGCTTGGCAACGTCTGGGGCGGCCGGCCCATCACCTACGTCAACGTTGACATGACGACGATGAAGAAGGCTGTGATCGAGATGCTGCGCAAGGGCTTCCCCGTCTTCTTCGGCAGCGACGTTGGCAAGTACTCGGACTCGACCAAGGGCATCATGGACACAGCGCTGTATGATTACGAGCTCGGCTTCAACACGCGTCTTGGTTTGAGCAAGGCTGAGCGCCTGATGACTGGCGAGAGCGCCATGACCCATGCCATGGTCCTTACTGCGGTGCACATCGACGAGAAGACGGGCAAGCCTGTGCGCTGGCGCGTTGAGAATAGCTGGAGTGAGTCGGCAGGATCGCAGGGCTACTTTGTCATGAGCGACGCTTGGATGGATGAATTCGTGTACCAGGCTGTGGTGGACCCTAGCGTCGTGAGCAAGGAGGTTCGCGAGATTCTGAAGCAGGACCCTGTCGTCCTTGATCTGTGGGATCCTATGGGTGCTCTTGCTTGAGCTTGTCTTTTCATGGGCTGGAAACAGGGACGGCGTGGATTAGGTAAAGGCGTTGTTCATGGGCGGAATGGTGCTTACTTACTACAGGGTTACAGAAGATAAGATGACAATGATTTTAAATTCGCCGCTCTGATTATGCTGCATCCGTGCAGTCTGGACCACGGGGTCCAGGCTTAACATCGAACGCCTGCGGGAAGAATGGCATAATGCAGCGACGGCACAAGTTGTTCGTTTCTAGACTTGCCTTTTTCTTCGATAGTTGGAAATACAGACCGGGGTGCCGGGTATACATTCCAGCCCGATGACGCAGCGGGGCCATCCGGCATCTGGTGAATGTAGCTGAGTCATCCCGCTAGCACATGCCGGACCATACGTAAAAAGCTCCGCCCCGCAACTTTTCAAACCCCAACATCAGCAACAAACACTTCTTGGAATGCTTTGGTGGAGAGCTTGAAGCTCTCAGCGCCATTTCTGCCACTGTACAACCTAATTGACATTTGCTTACCTCATTGGAGCCATTCGGGCCAAATCATTTGCGGAAGCCCACCGCTGTCAGCGATGGAGGTAGTCACAGAGAAGCCGAAACCGCTCGTCGCGGATCCATCTCTCGTACCACTCCTGGCCTCAGTTCTTCTCATAGTCCTGCCTTCCGCCTTTTTCCTTCTTCGCTATCTGGGCCGCAATGTCGGTGAACGATCCCTCGGTGTAGCACCGGCGCTGCCGCCAGCCGACGAAATCATCAGCCTGCGCATCTACCCGATCAAGTCCTGCCGCGGGATCCAAGTCAAATCGGCCAAACTGCTGCGTACGGGACTCGACCTGGACCGCAACTGGATGTTCGTCTCGCTGCCGAAGCGCGACTTCATCACCATCCGCAACAACTCCAAGCTCACGCTCATCGACACGGCCGTCGACTGGGCCGCCGACGAGCTCAGCGTTTCCATCAAGGGCGACCCATCCAGCAAGATCACCATCCCGGCCCACCCGTCGCGCGACTGGCTCGAGGCCAACACCACGCTCCGCGGCGGCAACGTCATCTGGAGCCAGGAGACGGACGGCTGGGAGTACCCGGAATCGCTGACAAGGCCTTTCGCCGCCTTCCTGGAGACAGACCTGCGGCTGATCTACAAGGGGCCCACGCCGCGCGTGCTGCGCGGCGGCGGCGACCCCACGGTGCTGGGCCGCACGCAGGCGACCATGTTCGCCGACATGATGCCTGTGCAGGTCAGCTCGCTGGCCAGCATCACCGAGCTGAATTCGCGGCTGCGCGCGCGTGACGAGGCCGAGATCGACATCGAGCGCTTCCGGCCCAACGTCGTCGTGCGCGGCCACGAGCCGTGGAACGAGGACGTGTGGAAGGCGCTGCGCATCGACGACAGGCTTGAGTTGGATGTCGTCTGCCGCTGCCTGCGATGCCAGGTGCCCAATGTCAATCCGGATACGGCGGAGAAGCATCCCAGGCAGCCGTGGAATGAGCTCATGAAGTACAGGCGCATTGATGAGGGGTTGAAGTTTAAGCCTAGCTTTGGCATGCTGTGCGCGCCGAGGGATGAGGGGTTGTTGGAGGTTGGGATGAAGTTTGAGGTCACGAAGACGACGAATGATCATTACTTTGTCAGTCCGATGAAGTAGTGGCTGTGTATGCTTGGGGGGCTGAGGGTGGATGGTGTTGTAAAAGGATTTGTCGCCGGCACGATTCTGGAACAATGTGGTAAGGGGCCATGTTGTGGGTTGCAAGCGTATTGGGCAAGTCTTGTATCACGGCTGTATATCATGTTTTGTCTTCATGATTCGAAAAAGGACTAACTTCTCCAAATCCTCCTTGTTGACTGCTTCTTGGTTCCTTTGAACCGTGATATTAATAGCTTACGATAGCAAAAGTAGACACTATCTGGAGATGTCGAACTTCAAGTGGGCGCCAAACACACAATCTTCTTGCAGTAGCATTACAGAGGCCGTGGAATCTGGTGCATATTGTGGCAGGTAGAGCAGGCAGGGGCAGCAAGGTGTTAACGAGTGTTGTGATTCAATGTGATAACATGGTAGAACAGACGCTGGGTAGCAGCTGAGCGTCGCTTAACGCGTCATCACGCGCCCTCTCCACGCGTTGACATTTCAGCCAATCATCTCACCTTGATCTGCTTTGCCCCACCACACACAGGCAGCTTACAGAACTTCACAGCCATCGCCTCGAGACTCGGTCCGACCTCTCCCTTCGCAGCTGATGTGAGACAGAGTCTATCGAAATCCACAAGTATCGGGCAGCATTTCCGACTCTTTTTGTCATCTCTCAGGCAGAGACGCTAATTCGCAGGTCATTCATTTACGGGGATCAGAGTGCTTCCGTCTCTCATGCTCGTGTCTGACGCTACGAGCCATGGTCCTACTCGATATGACGCGCAAAAGACACACCGCCAGTGGTTCCCTTTGCCGGATTGACAGACCATCACCCTATGTGTGTACATAACTTCTCCGCGCCGCATTTATGAAGACAGCACTCGAGTCAAGCTGACGTCCCGGAGCGGCGGTTGCCGCCTTCCCGTTTCGTTCCGCCTGCCACCCGCCGTCATCCATGCCCCGCTCCCGCTGCAAATCACACAGCGCTGGCCAACACGCAGACAGGTTAACACCTCTCAAGATATCTCGAAAACGACAAACGTTCGCATACGTGCAACCATCTGTGTCCCATGAGCGCCGGACTCGACGGGAATTTTTGACGCAGGGCTGCGGCGCAGCTGGTTGATCATGCGTGGGGCGAGACCTGACGGCTGCCGCGGCTTTCTTCACAGCGCCCTACTTTAGTCTCCGACGGCCAATCCAAGCCCATTTCTGCTAGTGCCTCCGCTCTCTGCCACCATTTAAAGCCATCACTGACTCGCAGATACCGCCGAATCGAAAGATGTTTGGTCCTGATCGAGTCCAGCCAGCGAAGAGGCGCAGAGGTGGGCACGATGGACAATAATCTGCTGAGTAGATTCGGTGCGGCTCAGGAGCTATTAAAGACAGCAGCTTATGCTTGTGATCCCACTTCTTGATTCCACTCTAGGTCACTAATTCACCCACTTCCCACCGTCTGCGTTTCGCTGTTGGAGAACCAAACCCCGCGTCCACAGGCCATCCAAATCAACAGCTTTTGATACGGATTTCTCCAGACCGGAATCCTTTGTTCACTACCAAAACCAGCCACTGCCATGGCATCTTTCAAGGGAAAAGTCATCGCTATCACCGGTGCTGGTTCTGGAATCGGCCTCGCTACTGCCCACCTGCTCGCCGCCCGTGGTGCCGCCGTCTCTCTTTCCGACATCAACGCAGAATCCCTCGCAAAAGCCAAATCCTCCATCCTTGCTAAAACACCCGATGCCCGCGTCCTGATCACCGCACTCGACGTTTCCAACCGCCCCGCCGTGGCCGCCTGGATCAGGGCAACCACCGAAGAACTGGGCCCGTTGAACGGCGCCGCCAATATTGCTGGCATCATTAACAAAAGCCTGAACGTCAAGAACGTCGAGGAGACGCCGGACGAGGAGTGGGAGCGTGTCATCGGCGTCAACCTGACCGGCGCTATGGTGTGTCTTAGCGAGGAGGTGCGGGAGATCAAGAGATCGGCAAAGAAGCTGGAGGAAGGCGGTACTGGTGGATTCTCTATCGTCAATACGTCGAGTATCGTGGGCTTGAAAGGTAGCCCTCGATCGAGCGCTTACGCCGCTTCCAAGGCAGGCGTGAATGCTTTGACGAAGAGCGTAGCCAGGGAGACGGGCGAGTGGGGCATCCGGGTGAACGCGATTGCGCCGTAAGTTGTTCCAGTCTCTACTTGTGGAAGCCACCTCATTTTTTCGTTTCGGGAGGACATACCCAGTGTTCTTTCTGGGATTTGGAGACGCTTGCTGGTGTTTCCCCCCTTCTTTTGTCAAATCTTTTGGAGCATGGGCTGACGCGTACTTTTCCCTAGCGGTGTTATTCTCACACCATTGACTAATCTCGATACTTCCGACGCAAAAGAGGGCCAGGCAGAATGGAACAAGCTTGCTCCCCTTGGCCGCGTGGGACAGGCGGAAGAGGTTGCTGAGGTGATTGCATGGCTGCTGAGTGACAACAGCTCGTATATCACTGGCATGATCCACGAGGTCGACGGGGGTATTATGGCATAGTAATGCGGTGTATATTGTTAAACCTACTGCCGAGCTCTAATTATAATCAATTCTCAGGTCTCGTAGTTCTAGCATTGTGCGGAACTGGCTGCGTGTTCCATTTCATTGCTGACACTGTCTATCTCTTGATGTCTCAGTGTGTGTACCCTTTCGCATAGTATTTCTATTTATAGTCAGAGAATCACTACCTCAAAACAGCATGGCAGGACTGCAGTCCGAAAAGCGGGCGTGGCAGAGTACGGACGTTGCTCCAAAGTGAGAATCGAATGTTGAGCGAAGCTGAGGTGGGATTAAGCTCTGGACTGACTGGGTTGTGTTACCAGCAGGAAAGGCTTTGCCTAGGTAGGTACTCAGTGACCGTGCATCACCCTGACCGGCATCACCGTCACTAACATAACACGCAGAGCTATGGAGCTTCTTCCTTCCATCACATACTGCCCACGGGTACCGGCACGACATTCATCCGTGCTGCGACCGTTTATCTATCCTGCCCCGAGCATGGTCACTTCACCTTCACTTCTTCCATCCTCCACAGTCCACTTGGAACACAACCACCCTTGCACACCGCGCTCCGCTTACAGTTCCTCATGGCTTCCGCACCGCCTGAGGACGCCAAAGGAGGGCACAAGCCTAACTATGTGAACCCCGAGAACCAGATTCCGCTGCTGGTCGGGGTTCAGACACCGATGTTGGCTCTAATGTTGCTCATTGTCGCGGCTCGTTTCTTCGACCGGGCCTACAACCGCATTCGTCTCGATGCTTCGGACTGGCTCACCATTCTCGCTTTCGTATGTACACATTCTCATCCTCGAGCGTTCTGGTTTGCAAAGAGATACCGCTTATATTGTGTCAGGTCTTGGTCATTACCTGCAACATCATTCCGTTGGCAGGGATCGCAACTGGAGTGGGCCGCCACACCTGGGACATCAAGGAAGAGTGGAAGGTCATCAACCTCAAGCTCACCTTCGCCTTCCGCATTTCGTTCTCGATCGCCGCCGCGCTTATCAAAATCGCGGTCATGCTCTTCTACATGCGCATGTTCCCCCACAGCAAGGCGAACATTTGGTTCTGCCGTTGCATGATTGGCTTCTGCGCATTCGCCGCAATCGCCTTCATCTTCATCACGACCTTCGCGTGTAGCCCGCCATCGGACTACTGGAACGCAGAGAAGGGCGGGAACCGCAACTGCCACAACGAGTCTAAGATCCTCCTCTCGGCGTCGTGTCAGAAGCTTGTGACGGAATTTCTGGTCTTTGCCTGGCCTTCATACTTCATCTGGAAATTGAAATTGCCAAGGATGACGCGCGTTTCGCTGGGCGTCTTGTTCTCACTTGGCATCATGTAAGTCCTCTTTCTCTCTCTCCCCCTTCACTTCGCTTCACCGCGAAAAGAACATGCAGCCCTATGACAAAGAAAAAAGAAAAATAACTTTATTACAGCACCTCCTTCCTCGGCCTCATCAAGACCGGATACCTGTGGTACAGCTTGAACCACCCCCCGGACTTCCCGTGGACCGCCGCTCGCGTCTTCATGATCGAATGCCTGGAAATCAACCTCTGCCTTCTCTGCGGCTGCCTCCCGCACATCAAACGCCCCTTCAAGATCATCTGCTGCTGCTTGTGCCGCCGCCGCCGCAACCACAACCGCAACAAGAGCAGGAACAGGAACAGGAATAGAAACAGGAAGCCCCGGACGCCCGAAATCCCACACGACAAGATCGGCCTCTTCGGACCGCAGCCGCGCCAGCCACCGCCCCTCGCGCTGCGCGGCGACCTGGACAACCGCCGCAACGGCGTCGTCTTCCGCTCGTTCGCCCGCTCGTTCCCCCGCACCGTCGACGATGACGACGACGATGCTTTCGTCAACAACCCGACGCCGCTCATGTTTGAGAGTGGCAACGACAACAACGTCACGTCCCGTCGCATCAACGGCAGCAACCCGCCGCCGCCAACTTCGCTGGTTGGCCCCCGTCTGAGCACCCCGCCCCCGGACTTCGACGACATTGCTGCTATCGCCATGGACAGGCTCCAGCGCTCCAGCAGCCTGGCCATGACGTCGCCCCAGTTGCCACCGAAGACGCCCAAGCGCCACCACCAGCAGAAGCAGCAGGGCCAGGCGCAGACGACGCCTCGCCTTCCCCGCTCGCCCGGCTCGATGAACATGGTCGCGCTGCGTGAGGAGGCCGAGGCCCATGCCCACGCGAACAACAGCCCTTACGCTGCCAGAGGAGGCTCTGAGGAGTGACTATTTGCTGGGAAGATGAGCGGACGGCGGATGGTCAGGGACCGCCGCAGGTAAAGGTGTGATGCTGTGGGCTTTCTTCTTCTTTTTCTTCTTCTTCTATTACTTTTAATAATAATCATGTGGCATGAGTGCCTATGGGGGGTACCAACCTCGGAATGGGGGAAATTTCAGGGATTCACGGAGATATCGGCTTGCGAAAGAAACGACCAAGAAAAGATGTCTCCGGTAAATAGGATATGGATTTTCATAGAAAGTGAACGGAAGCCCAGTACATTCTCTCTGCCTTCGTCTTCTGCGTTGTGATGTCTTGGTGTCCCCTTTTTGTTCGGGCTGAATTCGCTCGATTCATGAACAATGTAGCCTCTTGAAGTCGAGGTGGTTCTTCACGTTTGCGCCGGCGGTGTGGCTCCCGGTGTTCTTGTGGAAAAGGTTGTTGGAAGTTCCGTATACGAAATTAACATTGTTCTTGATACAAGTATACACAAAACAAGCGAAGACAAAGGCTAATGTGGGAGGCTGAGAAGAACTCCTTTCCGCAAAAAAAAAGTAACAAGAAGGGTAAAGAGAACTTTTTCCATCCCAGGCGAAATGAAGCATTGCCGAATGGCTAAACTACACGGCTTTGCCACAGAAGTGAAACCCAAATGCTAGGAACGAGGGTATCTCCGACGAAGAAGGTCAAGGAATGAGAAAATGTGAAGTTGACGAGTAGGTGTACAGAAAGAAACGCGCGTAACCGAGTTTTTCGCCTTTGCTGAGTCATAACGGCGTCTTGACTTTCGTGCCGAGCTGTTTGCTTAGTTGGAGGGTTGATCTGATGCCTCTCCAGACCAGGGCGGGGGAAGAACGCGTAGCGGCGTGGTCCTCCGGTTCATTGTTCAGGCGCATCCAGAAGAAGAAGAACAGTGCTCACGATGATCAGCATATCACAAGTCCAACAAGCTCTCGCCCAACGTCTCCCCGCTCCTCTCCTTCTTCAGTGCCCTCCCCTCACTCCTTACACTCAACGCAGCCCCGAAATTCATCCCTCCCCCTCCACCAACAGCCCCCTTCCCAGGCACCTTCTTCTTGGCCCCTGGCGCGACCCTCAATACTTCCACACCGGGCTGCATCTCCAGCACCCTCCGCAGCCCCTCCAGCGCCTCGACCCTCCTCCGATACAGATCCGCATCCTCGACCATGGGCGCGGGCTGGGCCTCCATCAGGCGGCGCAAGCCCTCCATGGCCTCGACCTTGCGCCGGTACAGATCCGCGTCTTCTTCCTGCTGGTGCGTCGACCTGCTGCCCGCGCTGCTCCTCCTGAAGTGCCCGTTGTGCTGCTGATCGGACCACGGCGGCACGCCATTGCTGGTGCTGCCGCCGCCGTTCTTGACGCTGTTGGTATTGTTGTTGTTGTCGTCGCGCCAGCGCCGCTCCCAGCCCTCCATGACGCCGACCACCTTCTCGACGGCCCGCGTCACGCGGCCGACGTCCTTATCGATGCTGGAGGCGCGGACGGTGTCGCGCACGGCGGTGGTGCTGTCGCGGATGGCGGTGGCCGTGTCGCGGAGCTCGCGTAGTAGTGTGTCGATCGCGGTCGTCTGGCTGGCGGCCTGGATGCGCTGCGCCGCGACGAGGGCGTGCAGCGCGTAGGCGATGTAGGCGAGCAGCGGCAGGAGGACGGCGAGGGCAGCCGTCTCGAGCGGTGAAAGGGAGATGTTGTAGGTCCGTGGTTGCGCCGCCATGTTTTGTTCGCGGGGGTTTTATCTTGCGCCGGATGGAATGCGCGCGCGTGGGAAGGATTTGCGTGTATTTGCGGCACGCTCGGAGACGATTAAGGAGGCTTGGGATTGAGTAGCGTGCGGGCGCGGGTAGGTATTTTCGTTCTGCTCTCCCCGTCGTGGAGTCAGAGTCGGAGCATGTGCGGCGGGCGCCCGGAGCGGTCGGTGTCGTGTGCCGGCAACTGCGGGGTTCGGTCTCGCGATTTCGGTTGGTGGCGCGCGCCGTTGGTTGTTGTCGCGGAGACGGGCGGGAGCTACGGTGGTGGTGATGCAGCGGCACGCGCTGGGCGACGAGGAGCTCTGCGATCGGGCATCTGCAAAGCGGGCGCGGCGGGAGACGGGCCGCCAAGGGAGGAAAGGGAGGAGCCGGTTGGTTTACGCACGAGAACGGGCGGAGCGGTGGGAAAGAACGGGAACAACCAGAACCCCTTTGCCGAGGTGATCGACGCCCCCCGCAGCGCGCTAGTGTAGGGCTGACACCTGACCCAATGGGATGGTTGAAGAATAGTTTAATGCAATGAGCGGAGATGTGATTAGCTGTTGGATTTAAATACTGTACAACACCCCAATTCTTGAACCCCTCCCACATACCAATCATGCCGATTCCGACTCATGCTCGCTAGACACAGCAAACTTGCTCTTGCTGCGGACGTGGTGGCCATATCGATACAAGACGTATGGCACCGGTACCATGACCGCAGACGCACAGGCCAGGATTGTGCACGTATATGCTACCCCTAGGCCTTCGTAGATTGGAAGCCCGGCAACAGTCATCCCGCCAGCTGCGATGTATCTCACCACCGCAACGAACGTCAGGGCCGAGGCCGAGTACATCTCGTAGGAATCGATGATGTACATGTACGTGCTGATGAAAACTCCCGTCGTCCCATATCCGAAAAGAAAAGACGCAATCATCGGCGACCAGATGCTGATGGATGGCCTGGCCGTCCATCCCATCCAAAAGAGCGAGATAGAGATCGCCGGTGCAGTTACCATGGCGTACCACAGACGATCTTCTGGAGTACTCTGCTTGGCCTTGACCTTGTGGGCCGTGTGTCGGTAAACAAATGGAACTACCACGAGAATCGATACAACACCGGCGTCCATGGCGACAAAGATGACATTCGTAAGTCCTTGCGTGATACCATAAGTCTCCTGGTAAATGTACGGGTACCCGTCCAAAAACGTAAACAGGATGATGTAGATGATGCTGAGGTAAAGTGTCCACAGCATGATGATCGGTTCTGTCGCCATGAGAAACGGTCGTGTCATGGCAATCTTCAGACGGGCGGCTGCTGTGATGTGCGCCATCTCGTGTGGTGAGCGATGCCTCTCATCGCCTGTCGTCTTACGCAGATGCTTTGCCTTCCACTCAAGGAGGATAGGAGCAAATGTCTCTGGCATGAAGAGGACTATCAGCGCTAAGACAACACCTGTTGCAAGAAGCGAAACCCATTCCGCCCAACGCCAGCCGATTGTGGGTCCCACATAGGAAACCATGACGAGACCAGTCAAGGGCGCACCAAAACCTCCAACGGCGTACAACGGGAAGGCCCACGTCTTCTCTAGGCTGTTGTAGAGATCAGATATGGTACCCCCGGCGCAGGTCAGTGGGGTCGAGGCCGACAATCCGGCGAGTGTGCGAAACACAAGCTGAGCTCCGAAGTTTGGTGCGAGTGCGGCGGCCATGATCCAAATGCCAAATATTGTGAGAGACCCTGTGTAGACTGCAAACCTTCCAAATATCTCAGAAAACGGGCCTGTAATCAGGCATCCCAGTCCGAACCCGATCAGGAACATTCCTGTAGACCAGTAAGTAATGAACACTCACACAAGTCGAGTTGAACTCTACCAGTAGCCAATGTCTCCGCCACCTCGCTAACGCCGAGTTCAGCGGCTGCCTGTGGTAACACGGCCGCGTCGACAGCGCCAGTGGCACAGACGACCAGAGCGATCGCTGCTACCTGGAAGGTAACTCCAATGCGTTTCACGTTACTCCAGTTCCTGGGGTTCAGTGGGTCGTCTTCACTTTGCCATCCCACAACAAGAACTTCGCTCTCCTTGTCTGAGTCTGGCTGTGAGACTTCGAGTGTTGGTCGTCCAGGGGAAAGTCGGGTTTCCTGTCCTTTCGAATCGCTCATAGCGCAAACGATCTGTCTGTGCTGCAGCCAGGCTTGCATATTGATTGTTGGGGAGGGGAGAAAATGAAAGCGATCAAGCTTGTATGAAGTCGCAATTCAGTGCGGTTGTTAAACGCTGTGTAGGCAGTTGGGAGTGTGCTTCATCGCAATCGACGCAGATTTTGAACTGATGCGTTTCTCATCCATTTTGCCACGAAATCCCGCGCTAGATTCCTCTATAGTCATTCGGAATACATTCCGCAACTCGTTAGCATCAAACACAGCACGGAGGGTAGGGCGAAGCGATATACCCCGTTACAGTAGTTATGGAAAGAAATACGTCCTTGAATGACGTGTTGGGTCATACGGTCCGGAACGCCCACTTCCGCGCCATTTCCAACAGCAACGCGGATGCAAAATTGCGGACCCAGCCCAACGAATCGGTCCGCAATCCCTTCGGAGGCCTTCCGCACATCATGTTCTGCCTTGAAATGCGCTGCGGGCTAAAGCATATTGGTAGAACATGTGAGTGATCTGCACATGCAATGATCCGGGCGAAAAGATATTGCACAACTACATGTGCGTACAAACGTATCTGCAGCATAATGAAGCCTTCGTTGTGCATTGATGCATCTCAAACGCAATATATTAAACGTTATGAATTATACAAGGCGAGTGTGCTCTTCTTCGGCGAAATGGCTGCAGGCTCCGTCCGCCACGCTCGTCAGATCCCCTTTCTAGATGTCTGTAACTGTACATGCTTGTAAGAACACTTTCGCGTCAAATTCAACGACATCGAGCTACGCGTAGAAATATCCGGTAACACGGCTAACCAAGGTTGAAACAGAAAAAGGGGATAAAATGTACAGCAGGAGCTTCCGAGCGGGATGACGTATCTCGCACTGAATTCAGCAAAGAGACCTAACTGGATATATTTTTTAGACTTCTATAAGCTGATGCTAGTAGTCGTAGAGGGACGCTGTCGTGTTATTCACAACGAGATCCGTAATATCATCGTAGGTAACGCCGAAAGCAAAATCGTTCCGCGTGGGCCAGTCTTCGTGGCTGCGGGTCTACCTGCCACGCAAATTTGGTCTGTTCAGAAGTCTCAGTTTCCCAAGCTAGTACGCCCCCCTAGTACTCCCGGCATCTTTTGCGGCCCCATCGAGCGAAGGACGCCAATCAGTGTGTGAGCGGAACGTTTACTGGTGTCTAGAATAATCCTGGTAAAGACAGCGTAAGTATAGCGTTTTCGTCGCATGCACTTGCCAAAGTCAGTTAGTTGTAGCGTTGAGAAGGTTTTGAGCGGTCGGCATATTCGGCACATAAGTCGGCGAATTACAAACAAAAAGCGTCTGGCCAGCCTCCGTGCAGGCGCGAAGTCCGCGCAAAGGGCGGAATGTTTACCTTGCCAGATATGGGTACTCAGAGGGTGCTCAAAGGCGTTTTCGCTGTTCTGTGATTACCTCTCGGCGAATCATTGTGGGTCTCTTTTGGCCGCGACTGTCTCCATATTCTGCACTTGCTCTCTTTCTGTCATCAGAAAGCCGAAGGCCCGCATTGGTCGCTTTTCCGCGTCTCTAGGAAGGCTTAGCTTCACAATCATAGCAGTCCAGAATGGCAAAGATTGTAAAAGCGGCACTTGCTCAAAACTCAGTCGTCATATTGACGGAATGGGACCGACAGATGTCGACGTTGTTGGCCAGTAGTGCATCAACATGTTTCCCACAAAATCTTGCTTATAGCACTCGGTGCATACAATGGTCTCATTTAATCAAGAGTGACAAGACCTGACGGTAATGAGTGTCTAAGCGTTCACATGTCACTGTTGCAAACTCGTCCAAGATGCCATTTTTATCGCTTGAAACCACGACCTGGCGAAAGATTCGAAAGAGTTTCCATCGTCCAAAGACACAAGATACACGTGGATGGATCTATCTGAATATGAAGTATGGGAAATAATGAACACCCATTCCAGCGCTCCAGTAAATCCTACATCTATAGTTGGTGACTCATAAATCCGAAGTCGGCTTCTGCCACCACAACGCGCAGCAGAATCCCCTTCATTTTCGCAGCCATCTCAGTTTATGCCTCTGCCCCATTGACCAGCTCCCTCCTAATATCCTCCAACCTCCTCCTCTGCTTCCCCTCCCCGTCAAAGTTCGCGCCATCCAACCACAGCGACAATGCCTCCCGGGCAGCCCCTTTCCCCTCCTCTCCAAACCAATCGGCCTCCACCATCGAAAACCACACCGTGTCCCTCCGTCGACCCCTCACGATCAAATGAGCCCTGAACAGCCCTTCCCACACGAACCCAAGGCGCGCTGCTGCCCGCTTACTCGCTTCGTTCAAATTATTCGCCTTCCACTCCAGCCGTCGGTAGCGCAGGTCCTCGAACGCATATTGCGCGAGCAGGTAGATGGTCTCCGTCGCGGCGGCCGTGCGCTGCAGCGGGGGTGCGAAAAGCAGGTGTCCGACTTCGACAACGCCGTTGGCGGCATCGATGCGCATAAACGCGGACCAGCCGAGAACGCGATCATTGACGAGGATGGCGAAGAAGAGGGGGTCCTTGGAGGCGCACTGGTTGGCGACTTGCGTGCGGAATAAATCCAAGGCGTCGGGTGAAGAGGGGAAGGGTCCGTACGGCAAGTAGTCGAAAAGCCAGGCATTGTCGGGACCGCTGATCAGAGGAAACAGCGCGTCCGCATCAGACGGGGCGAGAGGACGGAGCGTGACGTGCTTGCCTTGGAAGGTTCTATGTTCTGGGCGCGTGACTGGCCGTGGCTCGACGACGGGGCCAAGCGGCCTGGTGGTTTCCGGAGTTTGGGTCATCATTCCGGCCGAAAAGGGCTTGGGCTTGTATAGGTGCGGAGTGTGTGTGGGCAAAATGGTGTTGACAGCGATGATTCACACGCTCATGCATTTATGTCCGAGGTCGACAGGGATTAGGTAGCGGGATTACGCTAAACCAATTAAGGTCAACATGAGCACTGCCAATGAACGCCTCTTTTCTGGCCAATGCTGGTGGCCAATATAAGCTGTGCGGAAAAAGAAAATGAAGAATTAAGGTATAGGCCTTCCGCCGCAGTGAGATACAAGTATCTCAATCCCCAAGCTAACATAACACCTGGGTATTGCCTAAGCTAACTAGTAATGCGAACTCGGACCACGAAGATGGTGGATCTGGATCCAAGGTCCAAAGCATTAACAATGATGGTGAAGGATCTGGACCCAAAGTCAAAAGCATTAACAACGATGGTGGAGGATCCTGATCCTCCCTGACCATGACACTTACCTTCTCATTGACAGACTCCTTCTACTGGCTCACATCTGCCTCTCATAATCTTCTTTTACCGCCCTTGTTTCTCAGAATTTCCGGCTAACGTGTGCTTGTTGTTACCCTCTTATCCTGAGGACGAGCTGCTGGTGTGTGGCGAACAACACTCCTGTCCCTGCTCCCACCTGCTGTGGATTCCGAAGTCTCGTTCTGTCCAGCATCAGAAGTTCTGACGTCCTCGTACATCGCGCGATTGCGTCTGGCTCTCCTACTGGCCGTTCTTGCAGCGTCTTCGCCCCTCAGCTGGGCTTCGTATTCCATAGACCATTTGAGAAAGCGCTGTAGTAGACTGTCCTCTTTGCTCTCATCCCAAGGGACTGCTAGAAGATCTGCGACGTACCGCTCTGGAAGGCCCACGAGCGTCCTAAATCTCTCTTTGTTCATCTTCAACCTCTCTTCTTTCTCTTTTTTCATCGCTTCCTCCTCATCGAGCTCGGCCATGGCGTCTTCCAGATCTTTGAGATCCCCGTTCCGCTTTGACTTTTTAAAGTGTGCTTGTGCGTGTTTGAAATCAGCGAGGGTGACTTTGCGAGATGCGTCGCCATTCCTCTCCTCTCGGTCCTTGATCGCTCCCACGACAAAGAATTCCTTCATGACCCGGCTTGCGTTGGGATAGGCGGCTGCGAATTTGGCCATGCGGCGGAGTAGCTTGACATCCCAGCCTAGAGCAGAGCTGTCGAGAGTGGCACTGTACGGCAAGCCGGACTCGACACCTTCGCCCCAATGCTTGACCAGCTTATCAACAGCATTGAAGTGGCGCCTGAGGCTAGCGAGTATGGACTGTGCATCCCGGGAGAGCTGGTGCGCCTCTTCTTCCGGCGTTAATGATGGCCTGAGAGTAATCTGAGGAGTCTCGTTGCGGTGTAGGGACGCGTATGTCATTTCCTTCAGCTGCTCAACAACGAAGTCGCGGTCCTTGACGGTACGAGTACGGATAGCCAGGTCGAAGAGGGCTTTGATGAGACAAGGCGGCCATTCGGCCGAGGACTTGTATCGCATAAGACTCTGAGATGGCAGCCAGTTCTTCTTCTCCTCGCCCCATTTGTCTCTCAGCGCGGCGAGGAGATCTTCGGTATCGATATCCTATTCTGTGCATCAGTGCGCATTTGGCACTGCGCGTCGGGTTTGCGGGTGCTGGAGAGGTCGCTGGAGACTTACGTCGGGTGAGCTCATGATGAGCGTCTTGTCTGTGCGGTTCGCGTGGTCGCGTGCCTAGTGGGGTGGTTGAAGAAGGTCGGGGCAGGTGCTTGATCGAAAAGGAAGTAGAGCCCGACGCGCCGCAAATGTCTCCCCTAGCAACGCACCTGCCGCGGGTGGAACCCGTAGGCACCGCACAGAAAGCTTCCAGCAGTCGTTCGGCGGCCTTTCAATTTTCATTCACCGACGATTGGCGTAGCAAGTCTAGTAATATCCGCTTCGCAACCCACGTTCGCTACTTGTCGTACTTTTTTCTGGCGCATTCGCGATAGCTTTCTCAGAGCCAGATGTGTAGTGCCTTGGCTCCTGGCAGCTGGCATCGGCGCCTCGAGCGTCCTAGAGCGGAAGTGGTCCTCGGATTCTTCTGAGTCGCTGTCTTCCCTTTCCTCCGATGCCACGCTCATCAGGTATGCCCCTTCGGACTGGGTCACGATCTTTGCACCCGCTCTCTGAAATCTCATAGATTCTTTTCTGCTTGACTTGGCCGGATTCCCTGTGTCATTCCTTTGACCAGGCGCGTGGTCTCCTCGTTGTCGGCCGTGTCGACTCTTCCGCCCTGCATCTTGATCCATCTTTCGAGCTTTGCCTTCTTGCCAAACAGAGGCAATGCGCCTATTATCGCCGCCAGGTGTGCCTGGAGAGCGTCGTCCGCGACGACCGCCGCGCCGAGCCTTTTAGTACACTGAAATGTCCGGGCCTGCGCCTCGATCTCTTGTAGAAAGTTTCGCTTCTGCTACCTTGGCCTGAGTAGGCGGCAGTATTTCGGATGCCTTTTTCAATCTTAAACAGAAATTTGGCAATTCTCCATACATTCTCTCATCGATTTCAATTTCGGTGCACCGGTGCTCGGTCTCACTGAGAGTTCATACATTGCTCCAATAATCGCGTAGCGTTGGACAGAAAACATCGCAACCAGGCTTCATACACACACCCCTCTCCATTGAATGCTCATGGCATCATCAATTTAATCACAAGAAACCGAAGTACGACGAAGTACTGATGAAGTCAAAATACGGCCAAACCACCGGACGCACCTCTTCCTTTCCGCAGGCGCACCTGTAACCTTGCGTCTGTGTCAACGATGATCAAGAATATACAGGTTACAGAAGGTTTCGGAGAAAAGATGTTTGCAGCGGAGTAGCCTGAACCGGCGGTATAGACTATTGGGAACTAGTGCCGCTAACTACGTCATCACTAACAGAGCCGCCATTATCCCTCAAGACTCTGTCAACTCCACACTACCCAACAAGACGCCGCCCGCTCAAAGAACATCGGCCATCTCAAGTTCTATACGTCCAAGCAGCTGTGGGTCGACACCACCGCAATCCCTGTCCTGGCCGTGCCCCCCATCCATCAACCGTGTGCAACAAACTTCCTTCCCGTCTTCCCTATAGCCAGCAAGATCCAAAGGCGTTTCCCTCCTGCAATCATGGCGTGGTCTCAACTGGAGCCCACGGCGCCGCATCTGACCTACATTGTCCTGTCTTCTTTTCTCATCGTCTACGCGCTTTTCTCCCTTTTTATCCGCAACCGCCTGCACCTGTCCGAGCCGCCGCTAGCCACGCTCTTTGGCATCATATTCGGGCCACGCGGAGTCGGTATCCTGTATCCGCAGCGCTGGGGAATGGACGACCTTCATATGCAGGAATTCACCCGCTTGATCCTCGGTATCCAAGTCTTCGCCACCGGAATCGAGCTTCCACCGCGGTTTTTCAGCATAGGGCCGCAAGGCAATTGGCGCAGCATACTGATGCTGCTGGGACCAGTGATGATATTCGGGTGGCTCGTTTGTGCAGGGTTGATCCAGGCACTTCTGGGAGTGGACTTTGTCATCGCGCTGATAATCTCGGCATGCCTGACCCCTACTGATCCAGTGTTGGCATCGTCAGTGCTATCAAACTCACAGTTCTCGACCCGCGTGCCTAAGCGGGTGCGGCGGCTGTTGTCGGCGGAGAGCGGTTGTAACGACGGCGTGTCATTCCCTTTCCTGTACATCGGCATCTTCGCCCTGATGAGCGCGACGGCAGGGAAGGCGGTCAAAGACTGGATCCTTATCACACTGCTCTGGCAGTGCGCGCTGGGAATCGCTCTCGGTGTCGCGCTCGGGTTAGCCGCCAACCGCGTCCTGCGTTTCGTCCACGCGCACGACTTCATCGGACGCGCCTCCTACCTCGTCTTCTACCTACTCGCGGCCATCTTCTGCACTGGAGTCGCCGCTACGCTCGGGACTGACGACTTTCTGGTCGCCTTCAGCGCGGGCGTCGGTTTCAACCACGACGGCTGGTTCAGGCGCGAGATTGCGCAGACGCGCCTGCCGCACATTATCGACCTGCTTCTCAACAGCACCATGTTTGTCCTCTTTGGTGCGAGTATCCCTTGGTCCCATTTCGCCTCCTCGCACCCAATCTTACCAGACTTCTCCGTGTCTCTGAATCCCGGCCGCCTTTTTGCCCTCCTCGTCTGCATCATCCTGCTCCGGCGCATTCCCATCGTCCTCCTTTCGAAGCCGCTCATCCCAGACCTGCAGACCTACCGCGAAGCCCTCTTTGCGGGACACTTCGGCCCCATGGGTGTGGGCGCCCTCTTCCTCGCGCTCGAGGCGCGCGCACAGCTTGAGACGGGCACCTCGCAGCCGATGCCGTATCCGCCGACCAATGGAAGCCTTCCGCCCCGAAGGGAGCTCGCCGTGCTCGTTGTGTGGCCCGTCGTGTGCTTCGTGGTGCTTGGCTCGACGATGGTGCATGGTCTGAGTACGCTGGCGATCAGTGTAGGAAGTCACTACGCACGGAAAGAGGGAGAGCGCGCGCCGCTAATCGGGGCGGAGACAGAGGGGTTCGGCGCCATGGTGCATGATGAGGATGAGGTTGAGGAGGAGGAATGCGAAGAGGAGACGTAAAGTCCCGAATACCTCGCAATCTCCGAATGTCTATTTTCTCGTTCCTGTGTTGCTGCACGTATTTTCTTGTTGCTTATTGGCTTCGTATGCTGGTCTTCAGCTGGCTCTGCGCTGTTCTCGCGTTACCTATGCGCCAGCAAAGTTTATTGAACCTCTGACGTCATGCGCTTGACGATCGGAGCTGGCGCTTGCGGCGTCCGAACGTCCGAACCGTCCCGCAGATAGGTAGACGTCGTCGCGGTCTTCTGTCCAGTGCGTTGTCGCTTTTCACCTTTTTTTAGACAATGCCAGCCAAGCCTTCAGCCGCAACTGCGCGACCTCCCGCTTTCGCCTGCCACCGTTTGTCGCCTTTGTCCACGTTTGCATCCAAACAATGCCACGTTTGAATAGCGTACAATGCAACCACAGAAAATGAGGACGATGCAAAGAGGCTCTTTTGGAGGGTCACCGAGTGGGAGGAACATGCAGAAGTCTGCGCTCAGGGCGCTGCCATGGGTTTCGCGCACGTGGCCGGGAGGTGGAGGACAGGTCTGATAAGAGCGGAGGTGAAATTCTGGCGGCTAGGCATGGGCGTTGGTAAAGTTCTGGCGAAGTGAGGTGACGCACTCTGATTCGGCGATGATCGCGATTCCGCATATACGAGCGGATTATTCACGAACTTTGGTCTCGCCGAAGAGACAAACGGCGAGCGGGCGCAAAAGCGGAATCTTCAGTAAGTGCAGAAAAGCACATATGGGCGAAATCTCAGTGGTGGCATACACGTCGTAGAGGCGACAGCCTCTTTTTCAGGCAGAATTTCTGTCTTGTCGTTTTGATTTCACATACCCCATTCTCCCTGGTCGTTTTCCTACTAGGAAGTCGTCGTATTGGGCTGCAGCACTTAACTTCACTCTGACAGGGACTCCGAGCGTCAAGCCCGACCGACCTCACCACTGAGTAGGCCGCAGACAATGCCAAGCTCCCATCTCTGTTTCTCTCACCGCCCATTGTCTGTATTTGTGTCGTAATTCTGCGAATTATAAGGTGCGCTGCCGTCGTTTGAGCTCTTTGGATTTTGCTGTGCGGACGTTGGGGTTTTGACCAGCAGTTGGCGGCGCAGATTTCTGTCGCCAACACTTCGACCACCAATACGTCACCAGCCACTTCAGGCTCTTGAAGTGACAGCATAACCAAAGAGAGAAGCTGGCCTGTGAAGAGGTGAGGCACGGACGCGGCAGAGCAAGCGGCTGATAAAACACGCGACACCGCAGCCTCCGCGATCGCGCGCCAGTTTTACCTGGGACAGTCCTCGTGGGCATCCTCATCGCAGCCGACACCGATTTCGCCGTCTTTTCATTGGCCCGATAGCCTCCGCCGTCTGGTGGCTTGGTTGACAGACGACCAGATCCGACCTCAGTGTTGGCCTTTTGCCCACGCACGCGCCACATCCGGATATCCCATGATGGGCCAGCTGTTCGCGACGCCCGTTTAGTCAGTACCTTCAGCACGCCTTTGTGCGCGCAGGTCACTCGGCTGCGCACGAAATCACCATAGCAAACATATAAATCAACCTTCCGTGTCGCGCCAGCCTCTCCCTTTCAACATTTCTCTCCTGCGTCCAGAACTTTCGCAACTTGACGACTCCATTGTTGTTTTCGACGCCACAGACACATCCTCCACACCCTACTTCAATCTGCGGTCCGCACTAAGCTTTCAGACCATTTCCGCCTCTGGCTTTCCGCTTCTGACTGCCCCGATCTACACAAATATGATCCACCGCCTGAACTCTTCTTCCCCGCCGGGGCTCAGGCGCACCTCTGCTCCACCCGTACTCCCTTCCACGCCGACTACTCGCAGACCCAGAGACACTATCGACGTCATGCGCGTCGAAGCCCTTCTCAACCCTGTGGATGACGAGCACGGATCTAGAGTCCACCATGAAGCTGCCACCGCTCTCCTCGAGCTTAGCTCAGGACCAAGTAAGCCAGCCAACCATCCACCATCCGCTTCTGACCGACCGTTGCTCATAACTGCATCAGGTACCCCGGCAACCTCGGTATTGGCTCAGCTCCCTGGAGCTCACGGCGACACTCGGAACAGCCCCTTATTCTATTCCTCTGCTGCCTACCACACCAATATGCCGTCTACTGCCTCTGAGGCTGGGGAAACCTCATCCGAATTCGCTCCCTCTCCGTCTCCGCTTGGTGAGGGTTCACCCCTCTCACTCATTCGCGCCGAAAACCTCACGCTCGATCATGACGACGAACTCCTCCTCGCACGTGGCAGCACTCTCCCTTCCAGCGACGGCGTCGATGACGGCGACCATGGTATGTCAAGCTCCTCTCCGCATCTCCACCCTTGCTCACACCCGCTAACTTCTGCACCTCCTCCTCCAACAGAAACCGCCGGCGACCCGCAGAACCGCGAGTTCACGTGCTGGGTGAGGCAGGACGGCTGCGCGACGGGGCAGTACACGCTGGACCTGTCGCGAAAGATGGTGTCGGACTACTTTGGGCGCAACAAAGCGGGCACGCGCAAGGTGCAGGAAGGGCGGTGGATCCGGGCGTGCCGCAAGCACTACCAGCGCAAGTCGTACCAGGACCAGTGGCGCTGGCACAAGGGCTTCGTGGTGATCCAGCAGCTGCGCCTCATCGCCGAGCAGCAGCCCAGCCCGCCGCTGCGCTTCAAGGTCAGCCTCAAGAGCAGCGAGGAGAAGCGCCTCGACCGCTACAAGAGCACCCTCGTCGACCAGAAGCGCCTCTTCGATGCCAACGCCGACGAGGCCACCCGCGTCGACCACGACCAGCCCGACCACGCCCCCCTGGCGGTGCTGCAGGAGATCAAGGAGTTTGTGAAGGCCAATGGCGATGCGGAGGCGTGCTTGGGCCTGGACGAGTGCGTGGCCTTGGTCGGACACGCGATCGAGATGGTCAAGAGCGATAGGTGCCGCCGCTTGCCGCTGTTCGAGATGATGCCCATGTTTGCGGATGAGGGCAGCAAGGCGAAGAAGACGCCGTCCCCGAAGAAGGGTGCGGCCAGTCAGAAGCGCAAGCCTGCTGGTGGCAATGGTGGCGGCGGCAGCGCTCTGAAGCGCGCGAAGGCGTGAGGTACTTGCTCACTCACCGGTTTCTTTCTGGCTGACGGATACGGGTGGATGGTGTGGCTCAAGTGCTATGGTGTTTTTTTCCTTATGTTGCATGAGCGGGTAGCTCTTCTTCTCTACGGTTTGTAGAGGACTTGCATTGGCTGGCTGAGAAAGGAATCGGCGTCTCTGTGTGGTTTACTAGCTCTCCTTTCTCCTTTGCGGCCTCAGAGGCGCGGTATGATGGAGGAGCGATGGAAATTTTCTCATGATGATGTTTCTCATGACTTCGATCAGGCTCTAGTAGATAGTAATGCACATCGCAACACTGACATGGACTCCTTGGCTTGTTAACAATTCACGAGGCGTGAGTGAGGACTGTCTATAGATAATAGTCGCGATTGTAGAGTTGTGGGTACTGAGATTTGCGGAGAGAGAGATTTAGCTCAGTTCCGGACTTGTTACGAGTCGGCCCATCGGCATTCAGTAGGTTTGGATGCTGTAGCTCCGATTTGTGTAGCTATTGCTAGTACAAGTGTGTTGGTAGCTAAGCTTGCATTGCTGGAGACCATACGCATCTTCACATGACGCAATACCACCTTCCATCACATGCTCTTCTCTTCCTTCCCTTCTGGGTAGCTCCTTCCTATTGCTCAACCTCATCCGCATGTGACGGGGTTGCTGCGTCCAGCTGCCAACCTTCTGCCGCAAGCCCCAACCTATATAAACCCTTCCTCCAACTCCATCTTCCGACCCTCGCCTATCCAAGCTCACCCAACCTCAACCTCACAGCTTTCAAGATGGGCGACAACCAGAAACTCGTGACTCAACTGCGCCTCGACGACCTGGTGAAGAAATGGGGCCCGGATCCGGTCAACTGGGGAATCCCTCACACCTCGAAGCTTCTTGAGCAACCCCAGCAGAACTTGCCGCGTCACCTCATCGTCGCCCTCCATCGTCTGGCGAAGCACACTCGTACGCATGCCGACCGCGACTTCGTCACCCGCAAGATCTGCGACAAGATGACCGACCGCATCACCGACGCTCTGTTTGAGCCTCCCACCGCGCCCTTGGACAGGGACGATCTCATTCCCTCGGACGTCGATCACGTCTACAACAAGCTCCAGAAGACCTTCGAAGCCGTTGACGCCCTGTATGAAGCAAGTGGCGACAACCCTTTCCGCTGGCTCCCTCACAACCACCAGCTGGCTGATTCCGCCCTCGCCTGGGACTTCGCATTCATCAAACATTTCACGGCCCTCATGAAGGCTCACCCCGGCGGCCACATCATCATGTCCACGAAGGTCTTCCCGCGCGCTATCGAGAGTAGGCGCGAACTCAACCCGAACAGCCCGGACTGGCTCACCACAAAGGACTTGATGTCTGTTCCCGACATCTACGCCAAGGTTCTTAAGGAGATGCCGGAGATGGAGCAGGAGGAGAGCGAGGAGGCAGAGGAGGAGAATAAGGAGAAGGGAAAGGAAGAGGAGGAGAACAAGGAGAAGGAGAAGGCTGAGGAGCCCGAGTACCCTTCTGCTCCGCGCTACAAGACCGCATATGGCAAGATGCTCGCGGGGCGTCTTGACAATCTGGAGTTGGGCTTCAAGGATCTCCGCAAGGACGTCGAGGAGGCAAAGAAGGAGATCCGTGGTCCCTAGATAGTCTCTCTGATTGCTTGATACACAAAATGGGAGATCTGAACTGATGATGAGATGACTTCAATTTATTTTCGCCCGTGCCATGGGTATCTGAAGCTATCGTCCGGATTTAAATGTCGAATTAATAATTATACATTCACATCCGGGCGATAGCTTCAACTACCCATATTTGTTCCTTTTTCTGTGGCCTGTAGCCAAGACCAAAAAAAAAACAGCTTTCGCCGAAGCAACATTATACAACTCCCATCACGCCTTCACTCCCTGATACGCGGTTACCGCGCAGTTCCATCAAGCCGGAGGGATCGACACGTAGTTCCCCCAGCCTCCCCGCCGAGCCTCACGCATGGCAGCACCGTAAAAGGAAAGTTCCCCACGGGAAGTCCCGCAAACGGGCATAGACACCCCTGGCAGTTTTCAAGCCACGCCGATTTCCGGACCTGCATCCCGTCCGCGCTTAATTTTAACCCGCGGGAAGCCGACGAGAGCGCGGGGGTGGGTGGGCAGAAATAAAACCAATTATTCAGCCGTTCCTGTGGCGTTCGTACCATGAACGCCCCACGATGCAAGTGGCGGCTGCGCTAAGTAATAAGCTTGATCGGCCGGCTGGCTGGACCATGGGTCTGGGCCGGCATGGCCATTTTTGGTATGTGCTTGGTGGCATTTTTTCGAAACTGTCATCATGATGTTACATCTGTAGGTGGTGGGGTTGAGATGGATTTCCAGAGTTCATCGTGGAGTTGGTTCCTGATGCTATCTATAGCTTGTGGTTTAGCCAATGCCTCGCGATAGCGAAAATCCATGACTCAATTAACTTTTTCAGACAGCAAATTTTCGAAGTACGCTGGTTTCGTGGTGTTGCATCAACTCCGGTGCCGGACCACAAAGTAGCACTTGAAGCAGAGCGAAAGTTGGTATAATCGTCAAGTCATCTATTCAATCATCTACAGAATCTTTACAGTCGTATTACTTTCCAGCTCTTCAGTGGCCGAATTTATGCCAGCCAGAACCAGAACTTCTGCAGCCAATTCTTCGGCACGGGCGGCTCATCCAGTGCTGCCAAATCCTCCATCTCCGCCACGCCCGTGACAACATCGACGTCCTCGATCTTCCGCGCGAGAGGGGTGCGGAACCAAATCTTGTGGCCGATGTACAGGGCGAAGAAGATGGGCAGGGTGATGTAGGCAGCGAGGAAGTCCTCGACGCTCCACTGGCCGGGGAAGAAGACCTGGAAGCCGTTGGTGAGGGTGAGGAGCGTCAAGATGAGGAGGATGAAGTAGGTAAAGTAGGGCTGCAGCGGGGTGCGGAAGGGCAGGCGCTCCATCATCTTGTGGTAGATCATGGCCTTGCGGAAGCGCAGGTACGTGATCATGACGACGATCCAGGCGATCAGGCCCGAAATGGTGCAGATGTTCATGAACCACGTGAAGACGGAGCCGGTGTTGCTTCCGACGTTGAGGTAGGAGAGGAGGCCGATGGCCCAGGTGCCCAGGACGGCGGCGTAGGGCACACCGCGCTTGGTCGTCTTGGTGAAGATGCGGGGGGCCTGCTTGTTGAGGGCCAAGCTGTAGAGGATACGGCTGCCCGAGTAGAGGAAGGCGTTGCCGGCGGACCAGGCAGAGGTCAGGATGGCGACGTTGATGATGTGGTTGAGCGAGCCGATGCCCGCGCGCTGGATGCCGATGACCCACGGCGACGCGCTGGCGTCCGAGTCCGGGCTGAGCAGGCGGTCGTCGGTCGACGGCACGATGGCGCCGATCATCAGCGAGCCCAGGCCGTAGAAGATGGCCAGGCGCCACACGAAGCGGCGGGCGGCCTTGGGGATGTTGCGGCGCGGGGCGACGGTCTCACCGGCGGCGAGAGCGATCAGTTCCGGAGAGGTGATGAAGGCGAAGCCGGCGCGCACGAAGGCAGTCCAGTAGGCCAGGAATCTTCCAGTGTCGCCATCGACCAGGTAGGGCGTAATAGCGCCTGGGTTCTCCCAGTAGGAGAAGCCGATGCGACCCTCGGCGGGAGAACCGCCCAGAATGATGACCAGGCTCACCAGGATCAGCCCGATGATGGTGATGAGCTTGATGCTGGCAAACCAGAACTCGGCCTCGCCGAAAATCTCGACGGCAAAGATGTTGAGGCACAGTGTAACGATCAGGATAATGGTGATCCACACGGCCGTCGGCACAGGCGTCTTCCAGTAGTCCAGCAGGATTGCTCCGGCAGATGCCTCGGCTCCCACAAGCATGGCGTACGCGTACCAGTAGTTCCATCCCGTTGCGAACGCGAGACTGGGTTCTACAAAGCGCTCGACAAAGTACGGGATGGAGATACCCTTCAGCGGCAGGTACGTCGCCATCTCGCCCAGAATGTTCATGATCTCATAAACCACGATCATCATCGACAAGTATCCCATGAAGAGCGGTGCGGGGCCGACGGTGGAGAGAATGCTGCCGGAACCAACAAAAAGTCCAGTGCCGATACTAAGAAGTGTCAGTGTTGAACGATTTGGCGCAAACAATTAGGAGAACGTACGCTCCACCCAGGGCAAGGAACTGAATGTGACGACTCTTGAGACCACGCTGCAGTTGATCATGGCCGGCGAGTAGGTTGGCAGTGCCGTCATGGTTCATGCGAGAGACGTCGATGTCGCGAGGAAAGGTCTCGCCCACGGCTTTGGACTCGACATCAGCGGGCTCGGCCGCGCCGTAGGCCTCCTTGTACTCCTTCTCCATTTGAGTGGCTCAGAGGGGGAGAAAGAGGAAAGGGTCGGTGGAGGGAGGGTGTGACAGGGAGTGAAGCATGATGTCGTGAGGGCGCGACGAAAATATATGCATGCGGCGGAATCGTGCTTGGAGCCAAGCGTAGCATCCAGGCTGAGAGGCGCATCCCGTTAGCCCGGTACTTGTTCGAGAACGACGCGGGGTTCGCCGTGGGAGCGGGTGTTGATTGGGTGCCACAATTATAGCAGAAGGGCCGCATGGGTTGGGGCGCGGAGCTTATGGGTGGAACCAGAAGCCGATAGGCAAGTCGAACAGCAGCCCGTGCTTTTGTATCGTAATTTTTTCATGGGTCACCCCGCGGGGTAACAAACAAGAGCGACGGCGCCGCCCGGCAGCTTGGCGGGCGGCTCCCATTGGCTGCGCCGCTGGCTTATCTTGGCGGGGCCTGAGGTACTCCGACGCAAACCGAACAGAATGACTAATGCACCCCAAATAGGCAGCTCTTCACGATGACTCTTTCGTGATAGTCAAAAAACTTCAGCCCTATCGCGACTACACATCTTTCCCGTCAATGGTGAAATCCTGTTCACTCCTTTGGGATCAGACCATATGATGGCCCTTCTATAGCCGAACGCCTCTTATCTATTTCCCGCGAGGAGCAAGGATCAATTTTTTTTAACAGGGAACCGGTGGTACCATTCTCTCGCCATCTTATCTCATGTCTCTGCCTTGTACACTTTATCTATAAGCAATTCACATCAAATTTCATAACCGGCCAAGATGGGAAGCGTTGGCATAAATGCAGCGGCTCTGCCAAATGGACTCACCGTCCACGGAACCGCATACGTTTCTGGCAATGCCTCAGGCGACGTGGTTGCCAGCGATGTCGAACTAAGCTTCTGGGGCGGGGTCGACCCGCAGACTGGTGAAGTCATTGATCGCCATCATCCGTTGAGTGGAAAGAGCCTCAAAGACTCTATCCTCGTCATTCCCGGCGGCAGGGGATCATGCTCGGGCAGCGGCGTCATGCTGCAGCTGCTTCTCAATGACATGGGGCCCAAAGCCATCTTGTTTGAGCGAAGAGAAGACATTCTGACCCTCGGTGTCGTGGTCGCTGAGGAGCTCTTCGGAAAGTCCATTCCCGTCATTACACTGAGCTCCACGGACTTCCGCAGCGCACTGAGCGCCAGCTACCTCTACGTCGACGGCACCCGCGTATCCACCCAAGCGCGCAACCCCGCCTTAGTCAAAGATGGTAGCGAGGCCAGCCCAGCACCTTCCGCCGCTGCCGCCATCAAACTCACGCCCACCGACCAAGCCTTCCTCTCGGGCTCGCACGGCGCCGCCGCCCGCGCCGCCATGCGCATCATCCTGCGCATGGCCAGCCTGCAGGGCGCGCGCGAGCTGCTCGACGTGACGCGCGTGCACATCGACGGCTGCGTCTACACGGGCCCCGCGTCGCTCGCCTTCGCCGAGAAGCTGCGCGCCTGGGGCGCTAAAGTCGTCGTGCCGACGACGCTCAACTCGATATCCGTCGACCAGCGCCGGTGGCGCCGCGTCCACGGGGTCCCGCCGGCGCTGGGCGAGCCGGCCGAGCGCCTCGGCGCCGCGTACACGGACATGGGCGCGCGCCCGACCTTCACCTGCGCCCCGTACCTGCTTGGCAGCGATGTTGGTGGTGGTGGCAACGGCGATGACAGAGAGCCGTCACCGCCTCGGCTTGGAGAACAGGTTGCGTGGGCCGAGTCGAACGCGGTCGTTTACGCGAATAGCGTGCTCGGCGCGCGCACGATGAAGTATCCGGATTACCTCGACGTCGCCATTGCGCTGACCGGCCGCGCGCCGCGGGCTGGGCCGCACGTCGAGACCAATCGGCGGGCCGAGATCTGCGTCAGGGTGCCCGAGGTGCAGAATTTGAAGAAGGACGTCGTCGATGACTCTTTTTGGCCCATCTTGGGATACTGCGTGGGCGGTGTGGCGGCGAACCGCATCCCGGTGGTAGCGGGTCTTGCGGATCTGGCTCCCTCCAACGACAACTTGAAGGCCTTCGGCGCTGCTTTTGCAACCTCGTCGAGCGCCCCCATGTTCCATATGGTTGGCGTGACGCCTGAAGCCCCGACGCTGGAAGCTGCGGTCGGCGAGGATCGCGAGGTGCCTGTTGTAGACCTGGACTTGAGAGGGCTCAGACGAGCCTGGGACACGCTGAACAGCGCCGACGCCGGTCAACCCGTTGATCTCGTGTCTTTGGGAAACCCGCACTTCTCGCTCCACGAGATCAAGAAGCTTGCTCAATTGTGTCGCGGGCGGACGAAGCACGAAAAAGTTGCTGTCGTCGTCACTTGCGGCCGCAGTACGCACGGCCTGGCTAGCCAGGCTGGGCTGGTAGCAGAGTTGGAGCAGTTCGGCGTCCAGTTCGTAACCGATACTTGCTGGTGCATGATTCAAGAGCCTGTTGTCCCCCACGTCGCGAAGCTGATCATGACCAATTCTGGAAAGTACGCTCATTACGGCCCCGGGCTGACTGGCAGGCGCTTCTATTTCGGCAGTCTTGCTAGCTGTGTCTCGGCTGCTTGCGAGGGCTTTAATAGTGGAGAATACCCACCCTGGCTGAGTCCCTTTACTTAGTGCACTTGTCTCGCGTCTGTGCTTGGGAGGCTACACACCGAAGTCTTCTACATTGCATAGTAGAACAACCATCTAGAATTAAACTGGGGGTACTCTTGTAGAATGAGCATGAGCGATTCTGCAATATTGTGTCATGAATTCTACTAAGATAGAGTCCATTCCTTATCTATTTTTTTAGGCTCAATTTTATGTTGCCATCGGCTGCGCTGGAAGATCCCACAGTGTAGTACATTCACAACGTCCCCAGCACAGCCAAAACACATAGGTACGCTACAGCGTAACGTTTTAGCCGTAAGTATTTATTATGCAACCATCCTTTTCTCGCTCATGATGCCATATCTCGCGGTTAGCACCTGCGCCCTGTTGCTGTAAGGGCCGTACACCTTACTTCAAGGGATATTCAAGGTCAAGATATTCCTGTTTCAAGACTGGCAAAAGTCTTTTGCAGCAAGCTTGCATGTATTGAACATTGATTTTTCCAGTGCCAAGCTGAGCTCATTCTCACCGGGCTCAGTGATTCTGCCAATGAGTAAGATTATCTTCGTGGCATCTCCTCCTACTCCAGCTACTACAGTATGTGCATAACGAAGCTTAGAGAAACAGCTACAGCAGTTGATGGCTCGAATGAGCGTCCTGCATATCAGGTGGCCCTCATTCTTCGTGGTGCTACGAATCGCCGGTACTGTTGTGACTCAGCAAAAGAAAAATGTTCACTCGCTACCACCGTTGGCACCCTCGCCAGAGCCCACAACCCGGATTGCAATTTGATTTCAAGAAAATGTTCGAATATGCAGCGATCAAAAGGAAAGGAAAAGGAAAAAAGAGAAAGCAAAGAGCCAGTGAGCAAAACTACGGGCTCTCCCGGTGGAGAGCCCGCAGAAACCCTTCTCAGCCCGACCGTAGGGCATCCTCGAAGGATTTTTTGCGATTCAAATAAGATGGCGTTATATGGCAGAGGAGATGGTTCGAACACCAGCCCCTCGGTAGGGCTGGCAATCCGCCGGTGTTGCCACTGGACTATGCCAGTCTTAACACCGGCGGATAGGAGAGATGTTGCAGTTATTCATTATATAGTATCCATTTCTATGCTGCATAGCTCTAAAGCAGATCGTCTGCAGTACACGCGTGATGAGAGTAGTAGCTTTTCATCCGATCAGGCCATTCAGTGGACGCATCAGTATCGGCGACAGGCGTTAGGTACTCGCATGGATCTGCAACACTGTAATTCGAGGCTGTCCTTGAGATACTAAGGTCATTTGTATCTGAAATGCCTAAGGATATTTTTTAAGGTAGTGAATTGGTTTCTATTGCCAGCCCTCCGGCATTCGAGTCTCACTCTCAACCTAGACAAGTACAACAGAAGTGTTACTACTTCGATTTAAAGAGATAATTTAACTAAATCTTTTATAATTATAGCTAGACGCAATATAAATACAATTAGAGAATCCGGCTATTCTTATATTCCTTCAATCAAGTTACGCTAGGACCAGGGTAGAACTTAATGGTGGTGTTCCCGCGTAGTTTTCCTAGACCCCTGATTTCAACGAAAATTTTCTCCACGACCCTGACCGTTCCAATGAGACTTGCAACAGTTGAAAAGATCACTTAGTGTTCGCATTTAGCTAACTACGGGTCTTTTATAGACCTGGTTGACTGATTTCTGGCATGTTTGCCAGGAATCTACTGGAAGTTTGCTTGTGCCCGGCTCGATTTTTCAGTGTAACAGGGCCCATGACGTAGTATATACACCTTTAGATATCACAAAGAAAACTTCTTTCTATTGCTCAGCCAGAAGTTTCCGCTTGATTTACGAAAATGAGTGTATGAATGGTGAGTGAACAGCAACGCCAAACAGAAAAGCCTCAGTTCATCCGTGAATCAATGTAGAAAAGTCCGCCCGCCCATCTCCCACACTACCTCACCTATCCCATCCCCTTATTCTTCCATCTCACTCTCCACCAGGCTCCGCACCAACCGCCGCATAAACAGCCCTCTCAAACGCATTCAACAACTCCACCGTCTTCTCATCTCCACACGGCAACATATGCATCGCCTGCAACCCCGCCACCCCACCCTCCCTATCGATCCAAAAATAATAGTTCCGCATCCCGCTCCACGCAATACTCCCGCGCTTCCTCCTCCTCCCACCCTCCACATCCTCCAAATTCAGCAACCCGCCCAACCCGTACTGTATCGCCGCCCCGCGCGGCACGCCGCACAGCGCGCCCGGGTCGACGTTCTCGATGCTCGCCAGCCCCTTCCTGCTCTGCGCTGATAGCTGTGGCGAGAAAATCTCGTCGACCATGGCGGTGCTGAGGATGCGGCTGTTCTTCTCTTCCTCATTCTTCTCGTCGTCATCGTTGCAGCAGCGCAGGATGGCGGCGTAGATGGCGAGCAGGGCGGGCGCGGTGGCGACGAGGCCGCCGCCGCCGAAGTCGTCGGCCGTCGGCGCCGAGGGGTCCGGGATGCGGTTGAGGATGCTGCCGGTGGTTGCGTCGCGGCGGAACGTTGCGGCCTGGCGGGCGAGCAGAGACGGGTGGCGGTCCGGGTGGTAGAGGATGGAGTCCGGGGAGAGGGAGAGCGGGGTGAAGATGTTTTGTTGCATGTAGGCGCCGAGAGGCAGGTTCGTGACGCGTTCGATCTGGCAGTGATGCTTTTATTTAGAGTAACTCTTCGAGGACTTGGGGGATTGGGGGCAGGGAAGTCGTGCGTACCATCAAACCTGCCCAGTCCATGCCTGGAGAGTACATCCATTTTGTGCCGGGTTCCTCGACGAGGAAGAGCTCGTATGCTTCTTTCTGAAATTACTGTGTTAACCTTGTTTGAGAAGCACCCCAATGGCAGATCCATCAAAGGTATGCGTACCACCGTGGTTGGATGAGGCTGAGGACCACGCAGTTCCTGGTACTTTTGGAGGGTCGGACTTTCGAACGCGTACGCAATACCGCTGTTGTGCGAAAGCAAACGCCTGAAGGTCTTGTATCAACAATACCATCGTTCACTGTTCATCAAAATGTGCCCAAGAGGAGGGCTACACGAACCGCAGAGTAACAGTGTTCTTCGCGGGCACAAAGATTGGTTCGTCACTCTCGGTAAAGCCGGTCAGGATTTTGGGATTCTTCCATTCCGGCAGAACATCCCCGATGTCACCGTCCAGTGTCAGCAGACCTTTATCGACGCACTGCAGAGCCGCGATGGTGGTGATGAACTTGGTCGAGGATGCAATCGTCCACAGAACGTCGACGTCGTCCGACGGATCGGCGTTGTGGCCGGGCTGCGCGTCATCGCCGAAAGTCTTCAGATACTTGAAGGTTCCTTGAGAAGCATCAGCGCTACGCCTGCATCAAGCCGGCGCTGCATACCCGAGCGGTTCACTGCTCCGAAGGAGACACGGGGCAGCGGAAGTGCATCCGGGCCTTGCGGGTTGAGGAAGGTCGCGACAGTGCTGTTGAATGACTCCATTCTTGCTGTTTACTCTCAAAGACAACTACTGTTGGCTGCATTGGATACTGCAGAACTCGGAAAACTTTATATTCAGCGCTGCCAGTTGATCACGCGCGATGACGTGCAGGAGGATTCAGCCCGCGGTGTCGCGAATTGGGCAATCGCTTACGCCGGTGTCCAATGTCATGGCCGCCGTGAGAACGGCGTCTCATCGCGTAGTCCACCATCCTCGGTGCTTCAAATGCGAAACGGAATCCAGATCGGGCACGGAGAAGAGGACTTCAATGATAAAGATGCTACATCTGATTCTCTGGTCTGATGGTGCGGTGACTGGCGTGCAGTGATTATCTTGGGTCTGATGTGCCATCGCCAATAGTAGCACTATCTTTCCCGAGGGGCTAAAAAGAGAGTATAGCAAACAATTCACGAGGAAGCCCATCGTCTCTCGAAATGAAGTCTACTCAGCTGATAAATAAGAATGTCTCACTCACATGACTTGTCTTGTCAGTCAAGTCTACTTAATTACATAGCTATTATTAATTCGCATGCCGGGAGCCTGTTTTAACCCTGCAGAGCTAACGATCGATGAAAATGATAGTGAAATCTTTCGGTAACTTTTATTCCTTCTTCTTTTTCTTGTTCTGCGAATCAATTAAAATGCGAATGTGAAATAAGGGGTTCGTTCTCGTGTTGGTAAACGGACTGCTCAAATATTTATGCACTCCTTGTATACCCATGATCGGACTCATCTCTTTCACTACGCAGAAGTCGTCGTCATCCAATAGGGGCTCACAGGAATCAACCGAGAAAATAATTCGAATGTTGATGTTTCTGTGGTATTCCAAATTCCTCGCGCCGGGTTCACTTCCGACGAGCAGTAACGGGGCTATAATGTATATCAAGAGTTTGAGTACAGAAGGAAGTGTTCATACTGAAGAGACTACACTTTGGCGGCACCACAACTTAAATCCATGCTGTAGTTTGGAACGATTTTCCGTCGCTAAGTGAATATGTTTCAAACACGCAAGATAGTTCCTACATCAATGCATGGTAGTATTGGGTTGGACCAAGCTCTACGGATTTAAGCTCCTTCTGACCAGTCGTTTTGGACTTGTCGTTCGGAACCAAACCCGAGAGTGCTCGGGCCTGTAGCAATACCGTGATACAGCAGACCGTTCCCCCTATAAGGACCAAAAAGGAAATAAACAAGCGAACAGGGATTTTCAGCTGGTATCTTCTGACTAGGCGCCCTATCAATCAACTCGTTAGGCCAGAAGCTCCAAACAAAACAGGAGTCATTTGATCTCCTAAAAACATGATAGAACCACTCAATTGCTGAATCGCCTGTACAAGACCAACGACGGAAAATGATGTGCTGCCAAGCCGGCTACTATTGCCACGGCGCCCCGAGGGTTTGGTTTTGGTGGTACGATGCTGGGGATCCTCGCGTTTCTCTCCCACGCGGTTAACAGTAACCCGGTTTCCGGCTGGGCGGGGCGCATACACGACTCAGTTATACGAGATCTTGCCAAGACTAGTTTTTTGACACCACCATCGTCGCAATGACGCGGCCTGACGAGAAATTTGTTTCGATCGACGGTATGGAGCGATTCGAACGCTGAGTCATGTTATGAAAGTCGGAAAATTTAGGATCCCCAGATCGGGAGCCCCACAGGCACGATTCATTTCCGTATCATGATGGACCGGACTTCAATGCCTCTTTTGACCTTGCACAAAAAAAATGGTGATGTTTTCCGCAAAAAAACTTTTTAAACGTTGCTACTATCCAAGGTGCTATAGATACACTCCTTGATCTCAATATTTACATGATATGAACAAGAATACAATGTTGGAACAGTCTAGCTGTACCAGTTGTCGAACTTGTAGCTGACCTGTAGGAAAGTTAGCGTCTCATTCGAAATTTTCAATGGATCAGTCTAGACTTACGTAGCGGGTATCAATCTTCTTCAGGTCGGGAACACCAAGGTTGCCGGCATCAATAGCGAGCTCGTGCTTGAAGAGGTCGATGGCCTTGGTGACACCCTCCTCACCGTAGACGTTCGAGTACATGAAGGGACGGCCGAGACCGACAGCCTTGACACCAAGAGCGAGCAGCTTGATGGCATCGGCACCGTAGCGCACACCACCGTCAGCGAAGACCTCAGTCTTCTTGAAGACCTCGGGGGCGGTCTCGTAGATCTCAAGGGCGACCTCGAGCGGCGAGGGGCTGCCGTCGAGCTGGCGACCGCCGTGGTTGGACAGGTAGATGGCCGGGGCGCCGAGCTCGACGGCCTTCTGGGCATCCTCGACGCTCATGATGCCCTTGGGGATGATGGGCAGCTTGGTCATGTTGCGCAGCTGCTGAAAGTAGTCCCAGGTGAAGTAGGTGTACGAGGCATCAGCCGAGCCGACGCCAAAGCGGGCGGCACGGTGCCTGTTGCCATCGGCAGCCGAGTCGACGGTCAGCACGATACCGGCGAAACCCGCCTTCTCGGCAGTCTGCAGCTGCTCGCGCACGGCGTCCAGGCTGTCCTGAACGTACGTCTGCTGGAACAGCAGCTGGCCGGCCTTCTTGGCCGCCTGGATCTCGGCCTTGCTCTTGCTGGAGAAGTCCGAGACGATGTACAGAATGTTCTCGGCGGCGGCGGCCTTGACGAAGTTGACCTCGCCGTCCTCGTGGGCGTAGCCGGCCTTGGCGCAGGGGCTGATGAAGAAGGGCGCCGACACGTTGTGTCCGAGCAGGGTGGTGGGCAGAGTCTGCTCGATCTTGGTGATGTCGACCAGGACACGCGGCCTGAAGCGCACGCGGCCGTAGGCCTCGAGGTTGTTGCGGTACGACCACTCGCCGGCAGCGCCGTTGCGGTAGTAGGTGTAGCTCGACAGGTTCATGTAGTTGCGAGCAATGTAGTCGAAGTCAGGGAGGCCAACGACCGAAGTGATGTTGGGGAGCTCGCCCGGCTGGAGGTCGGCCAGGACATCGGCGATGCCAGTGTCGGGCTCGTTGAGGAAGGGCCTAGTCGCGAAGGCGAACTGGGCCAGGAGGGCGACGGAGAGACCTTGGAAAAGCATGATGGAATTGTTCTGGAACGCCCAGCGTTCAAAGAATGACAAGTAGTGGGAAGTGAACAGAGTGCGTCGTGATGAGGAAGTGAAAATGCAGGGTGTGAAGAAGGATACTTATATCGAAAGGCTGAGGCCTAGGCGCGTCAGGCAGGGCTCGACGCCATGTGCAATCCGGCATCTCGTGAGGGCTGGATGTCGGTTAGTCTGATAGGAAGTGCTCGGCGGCGCGGAGGTGATGTCAAAGCTCTGGTCGGCACTGCTAAATTGGGGAGGCGTTGGTAGCGATAGCGGCGCATCGGGAGGCGATCGAGGTGCCTTTCGAATTAGCACAGCCTGATCAGGAGCCAGGTTAAAGCGGAGGGTACCGGTGGTTCTAGAATTCTGAGTCGCAGAGCGTTTGCGAAACCAGGCACGAAGCTTGGCGCTGTCTTGGCGGCGGCTGCGATTGGGCCGTTTGGATGACGTTGAAACGGGGCTCTGGGAGCGTTAATGGAGATAAATGAAAGTGTCGATCCGGACCTTCCTATAAGGCTGCAGGCAGATCACGTAACCCGCGGCGCACTTTCCGCGTCGGCCTGAACCTTGGGGTTGAGAGCCACAGTGCTGGTAGGTTTAAGCATACCAAAGCCATAAGAAGTTTATCTCTCCGATAAGCCCAGATAGGCAGTCGCTGCTCGCTTTCGCGTCCGACTCGAACACTCTTGCCGCTTTCCCTCTAGCAGTGATTCCGATGGGAGGACATTTCCAATCAATCCGTAAGCATGCCCGCCAAGCGCAGCCGAGAGCGGTACCGCACGTAACCCGCCGTCCCCGGGCCGATGCAGCGGCGGAACGCGGGCGCAAACGGCTGCCATGCTCCGCTCGAGTCAGTGGTGCCGGGAGCAATTCTCGCACCGCATCCGATGATTTGACGCCGCTTACGCGCACAGGGCGGCTACGCTGCGGACACACCTCCTGTCACCTTCATAGTCGAAACCGTTTCATCTTCCAAACGAAAAACTTCTTCCACTTCGCCACCGGCGCGCCCTCCGCCCGCACTGTATTGCTTGCGCGGCGTGCGGATTGCGGCGCGAAAGACACGTCAGGAGAGCCTCTTGCTTCGCCCGTCGGCCCGCCGCATTACCATTCCGGTGCCGGGGCCAGTTCCTGCGCGCTTGCTCTCGCCAACTTTCCCCCACAGAATCCTACCGCAATGAATCCGCTGCAAGCGGTGTCGGAGAAGGCTCGGTAAAACATAATGGGCCCCGCTGAAAGAGCACGTTTCAGCCCTTTTGCGATTAGAGTGCTGTCCTCTCACTAAACATAGGGCTACCGTGGGGCTCTGTTCAAGCCCAAAACCAGGAGATTGACAAATTGCCCATGGTGTGGGTACCAACCACAATATTGCCCTTTCCCTGATTTTGTTCCCTTGGGAAGTGCTTCCGCGGCCTAGTTTTCCGCTGTTTGAACACGTCGCAGACAGACGGCTTCCCGCAGTCTTTAAATGACAAAGGCGTGACAGGAAACTCCGCTGGTACCGAGGGGCACAAACAGCAGAGTAGACGATGCAGTGGCGCCGGAAGCCCTTGCCTGGCCTGATCATGGAAGATGAAGGTGCGAGGGGCTTCGTCTGCGTTTTTGTCCCCACTCCACCGGCGAAGAACATCCGTCAAGCTTTGCAGACCACTTGGCGCATGATCCGCCCCTTAGACCACGAGGCCTTTGGAAAACTGCGGAGCCAACACGTGGAGTGTCATATGGAGATGCGTGGTTTTCGCAGGGGTGCAAGATTCGTGCGGGAGAATTCGGAGCTACCACTTCCCTAGGGAACAGCTTCGGAGCCGGACGCAAAAAAACATGAGAACACCTCATTCCAACCCATCGCATCGTCTATCTGTGGCGCCTGTACTATTTGCTGCGCCATACCCGCCCAGAATCCTTTTAAGACGCCTTTGCAGGCATGCTAGAGAACGTGCATGCATGCATGACTCTGGACCTTTATCTTATCTCGTATATAAATTGCTTTCATCCCCAATGCTCACGTACTTTATTTAGTGCAGTACCTGCCCCGCTGTATTCCTCTCTTTGGACATTGATCTACACCCTGTCTTGTACTAGCCCCCTTCCATCCCCCTTCTTCGGCTGACAATAATCACAATGTTTATGCTTATAAATCCTAATATATATGTTTGCTGAGCATTCACATGCTTTAGATTCTTAGGTCCTCACGGGAAAAACCTACCCGCCAAAAGGAGAAGAGACAGAAAAGGCACACCGGGAAAGTCGGCAAGTCTGACGACACTTGGCTGCAGTAGCGTCATTACGAAAGGTTATCACAGTAGCGAACCAGCTCTGGTAATAGCGGTTAGATCCTTCGAGACTTTCCCAGACCCAGCGAAGCATTATACCCTCAACGTGACCTGACAGGTACTCCAGGGGCAACACGTAAATCTTTGGGCTCCTGTTGGGGATTGAGCTCCATGATGGTGGCTACGGTCCTGTTTTAGTGACTTAGCGAGTGTGACCGACTCGTTCAGCTAAGATGGAGCAATATTAGATACCTATGACTAATGGTAGTGTATTTCCTGCTCTTGGACTTCAGCCAGCCGTCAGAGGGAAGCACGCGAAACTTGTAATATTACATAATATCAGCGAACGCCGCCGTGCTTGAGTTGTTTAGTGAGTGAGGTAGGCTGATATGTCCGTTGAAGAGCCTTCAGCGGTCACCCGTAGACTTTTCGTAATGACAAAGCGGAAGCTCGGAACAATACCTGTTATCAAACGGTGGGGGTGGGGGCGGCATGTCACGTGGTAACATTCTCGCTTTGTTATACATAAATGATTGATCATAGAACGATATTATCAAAGAAAGTGGTAAAAGGATAGAAAAGAAGGTCTATCTTCGTCACAATAACACAACGGCAAGATTCCGATTGTCGAAATCAAACCGCAGTTCCGCACTATTTTGTAGTCTCGCATCACCGAAACCCACATTGATTGCCTTTGAGTTCACCCGCTCCACTTTCACACACCCCTTACAGTTGTGAAAAAAAAACAATACTTAACGCTTACATCGCTTATAGAATCTCGTCCTTTTTATAGTAATAATTCATCCTTAATCAGTAGACTAAATAGCGCACAGTTGCATACAATTGATCAAGCAAGAAGTTCACTCGGAATGCTGATAGAAATTATTAAATAGGGAAAATCGCAGCTATAAAGGATAGCATAAGTCAAGTTTTCTCATCAAACAGCTACCATTGCAATGCCAACCTCACCCACTCATTATTCATTTGTACGGAAGCGTGCTGCTGTGATGTCAATGCAGACCATCAAGAAACCCTTGCCCTTCTCTCTAGACTCAATAGGGCTCTGCAAGCGCGCACAATATACAACCTCACGTCAACCAAAAGCCATCACTCAATGATTAGAGACAACTTCCCGCCGAAAAATGCTTTTCTTTCTTGAAATATTGGTCTTCCACCGGCTCCATGGACCTGGCCCCGAAATTTAAAAGCAATGGCCAAAGAAAACAGCGAATGGTCTACAATGACTCCGAATCGACAGATACTGTCTTGTCTGTGTGTTTGCCTCTGCCTTTCGCATATTGATGTGTGTGAAAGTCTGCGTACTTGATTGCTCGTATATTGCAGCGCGTTGTTGCTGAGATTTTTCGACGCGGAAAAGGCCGGGGAAGCTGCGTATTGGAGGACAACTTTCTGACCAATGCAATTCGGTCCATCGGGAGTGAAGCTCAAGTGTGAATTGAGGGGCAATAGCTGGAGCTGAAGCTATCGTGTCCAAAGAATGCCCGCTCAACCTCACAGAACGTTGGTGCCGGCCAAATTGGCGTGGATAATGTTCGTGGTGATCGTAGTTGTGTTTGGGGTGGTACTTTTGCAGTTGAGCTTGTCCGGAGGGATGATGACGGCCAGAAACAGATAGTGGAGGATGTTGGTGTCTATGCGGCTCATTGTGTGCGAGCTCCGGGGGCCCAAGATATTTAGAAGAGTCGCATGTGGTGTTGGCAGACTTGGTGTTGGAAAACCACTGGAGGGGAGGCGTAGACTCTTTAGATAACAGTTAAACTCGACTAGATTTCCACCGCTCGGAGAAATGGAAGGGAGCCATGAAGCTTTCGTAAAACTAAGCGTCATTAGATGATGCGGTAGTGGGGAAGGTAAGGCCGTGCGTGGAAAAGAAAACAAAGAGGACATATGTGAGCAATCACAAAACGACGAACGTCCAAGTCGATGAGCGAAGTTTCCAGATATCGCAGCTAGGCAAGTTAGTTACGGCACACTCCTGAGCGAAGTTCTCATGGGCAGCCAGCGTTGCATTCGACTGGGTTATGAATATTTTACCAGTGAACATTACACTTTTCGGCGGCTTTCCACCATCAGTTGTACGCGATAACTTATGATCTCGACTTTTCGGTAGGCATAATCGGTGATTCAGCGACTGGTTGTCATGCAACTACGATACTTCTAGGGGCACAGAGGAGCGTAATGGGGTCTTGTCCAGATGAGCCGCAATAAGTAAGCAAATGCTTTCGAAGTCTTTGCTTCATACTAATTGTAACACGCTTCCGTTGAAACGAGTATCTCTTATAATGATTCAGCTTTCCAGGTACGAGTGCATCTGAGTTCTAGCGGCTGGGGGAGGAGACCAACACCAATTTCGGGGTGGGGGGTTGCATCTTGTTAGCTGCTTCAGTATCAGCGGTCAACGAGTCAATGTCCGAATTTGCTTGGATGAAAGCTCAGCATGATCCTCAGCGAAAAATAATGGGAGTCGGAAGCGGGGATTTAATATATTCACGGTGGGGCTATGAGAGGAATCGGGAAACGTTTCTAGGAGCAATGCAGTCAGCATATGCAAAACTGGTGTGGTTATTTCAATTGATAAATCGCTCAAAAAGCAAGTTCGCTAAGTTTCGCCCTGCGAACCATACAACCGATGTGAGAATAAGCTGGTTTGCCTCCTGCAATGCAACGTCGGAGAGGCGGCAACAAGCCAATGACTTAGTTGCTAGACAGGACGCGGTTCCGCTGCGGCAACAATTTCTGTATTCGCTTGTTCCCGTCCTCGCTGACGCTTTCCAGCCCACCCTCCTCATCTCTCCACACTCGACTTGGTCCCAATCTCCGTGGCCGAACACATGCGGCGGCGATGTCGCCATCCGCGGATTTCATCCAGACCGATCGACGGGACGAGCTCCGGGCCCCGCATCGTGGAGATATCGAGGGCGCAGTGCGACGTCTTTGCGGCACACCCCGGCCAACGAATGATTGCTCGCAAATCTCGTCTTTGTGCGACATCCGTTGCCAGGATCAAGCCGCTTTCCGCACCGCTGGGCCAGAGATTCCTCGCGCTGCTTTCTCACCCGTAGAACCTGCTTGCCAAGGTCGCTGGCCTCAACGTCGACAATGACATTGTGCGATAAATCATTCTTCAGCCCGGGTAGCCTGAAACGTCGCCGAACTCCTGCCGCTTCCCACCGCCCGTTTCCGATGTGAGGTGCCTGCCGTCGATCTAACAATCTTTGGCCCCGATGCTGTGGTCAATACCCTAGGCAAGCGCATCGGGGAAGAAGAATCAATCTCCGTACCCGCCTCACTTCCATCCTGTCTGCTGCATGCCCTTGTCTAGATGCACAATCAGAATCTGGTCTGACGGCTGAACATTTCCGCCTGAGAGCCAGAGCCGCTGTCTTGGGAATGCCGTCCCTGCAGCGATACCGCAGTCCTACCAGCTTGATCCCTTCAACGTAAATGCATGCCTTTCCCCGTTGGCTCTTGCATCCGTATCTTCTCCTCGTTGTTCGTTCCAAAAGCACTGGTCCCTGGCCCAGCAGCACTGCAGCGCCCAGTTGCCGGTTTCTTTTCAGCTTTGCGTTGCAGAGAAGGGTAATGCTGGAGGCCGCGCTCGCATCGCCATGGCATCATCCTCCACTGCCGACGAGGATAGAAGGTGGATTGTGCTCACCATGGTGTGCTTGGCTTTGACGCTGGGGTTGTCTTCCTTGGCCCTCCGCGGATACGTCAAGCTACGTGTGCGCAAGATGGTCACAGCAGATGACTGGATCATGCTGATCGCCGGAGTGAGTACTACAGGAATCTCTCTTCATCTATCTCGCATATCTCCTACCCCGATAGACTTTCACTTCAAGCAAAGCTCGAGCCACATGGTGGCCGACTCCACCATGCTCCGCGGCTTCTAAGCGCCACCATGCGCCATGCTGCAGGTTCTCAAAGCCACTCGGAAAAAGGAATCCTCTACTAACAGCTTCAAAGTTGCTGTGGCTAGGCTACATGGCCTCCCAGATTGCTGCGTGCGCAAACGGATTCGGCGCCCACACAGCGGACCTGCGCCAAAACTCGTACTATTATGTCGTTGGCACTGCGCATAATGGCGACGTGGTGGAAGCGCTGCGGGTACATCACTTCTCCTGAAACTTCCTGCTGACGCGTACCGCTGACATCTTTCAGTTCTGGTTCGTTTCCACGCTTCTCCACATCGGGACCACCGCCGTCGTTCGCCTCAGTGCTAGCCTTACAGTCCTTGGCCAGCCACACCCTCGATCTACGTTCCGACGCTGGACCGTCATCCTCAATCTCGCCATTGTAACACTCGCCAGCATCGCCTTCGCTGTTCTCCTCGCGCTCCAGTGCACTCCGCTCTCGGCGTACTGGTCTCGCAACCGGGCCGAGGCCTCATCGCCTTCCTGCCATTTCGCAACCACCGTGGTGCAGCCCGGGTGGTACGGTTTCGCCGCATTGAGCCTCGTCGCCAACCTCGTCCTCGCCTTTTTCGCGCTCACGCCAGTGTTGCAGGCAGGCCTATCCTGGCGCAAGCGCGCCCCGGGTGCGGTGCTCAATCTCTTCTCCGTCACGTAAGGACCCGTCACGTTTTCGCATCAACCGTCCGTCCCTCCATCGCCCCAAACAAAAAGCGCTGACATTGTCACCACCCCGAGCTCAGTAGTGTGGTCATGTCTGCGCTCCAGCTCGCGCAGGTCCCGACGCTGCGGGATACCGCGGACCTTAGCTTCGCGGCCGGCGACTTCGCTTCCTACGCCCTGCTCGTGCCGTCGCTGGCGCTCGTCGCAGCGAATCTGGCGGGGCTGGGCCCGTGGGTGAAGGAGCTGGGCTGGGATGCTGAAGGAGGCGAGGCGCGCTGGCGGGAGGGGAACAGAGGCTTGCGGATGCGTACGTTGGGACGAAGGAGAGGGCGGTCGGCGATGAATGTCATGAGAGGACATGGCGAGGAGGGCGATGAGGCGGTGTTGGAGGCGGCGATCGAGGAGGGGCTGGGCAGGTTGGAGAGCACGGGAGCGGAGGCAAGGGCTGCGTCGGGGTCGGAATTGGGGCGTGAGAGGGGTTGATAGAGAGTAGAAGGAAGGGAGAGGATTGTGATACCCCATCTGTTGTTTTCTTCTCGGTTTCGTAGCTGGCGTACAAGAAGTATATATCATCCAAGAATGGATGGTGTTCGTCTACTTTCCATCCTTTCGGGCTATCACGCCTCCCTGTCAAAAGGCTTTTGTAGAGGTGACTATCCATTTCCTTCACCAAGAACGACATATGTGGGTAGATGAAGCTATCGTCCGGACGCAAATGTACAATTAAAAATTGTGCATTCAAGTAGAGATGGTAGCTTTAACTGGCCATGACATGATCGAGATTCAATTTGCGCTAGTAGCCCCCTCTGTAAGCGCCAGCTATTACTGCCGTCAAGATCTAGCCCGATTGGGAAATTTCTTTTCTCTAGCGCAATAGCTACGCGAGGCTGGCCCAACGACAAACTTCAAACTATAGTAGACAAGGCACAATGCTGCCGATAGTGTTGACTGTGGTGTGTGTTATTGGGTGGGTGTGTGTTGAACCATGTTGGTTTTCGTTGGCGCCAGCTGTGAGACTAGCGGTCGCGACGCCGTGTCTGTTGGAACGAGGGGTGGGATGGGTGGAAGGACGCGACATACATCACGGATCAGTGCGGGTGAATCATGGCACTTTCAGTTTCTGGAAAGTTCAAGTGGCCGCGACGGAGGTGGCCTGGGCAACGGGGGTCAGTTGCCATAACCATCTGCGACGGCGCATATCTGCCGGTCGCCGGTTTTCTGCGCACCATCACCTAACCACCCTCCTTCGCGCCTCTTCTTCGAAGCTTCTGAATTTGCCGCTGTTCTTTTGACGCAATCGCTTCTCGCTCACCTGGCTCATCCGACCAGTCAGAGTCGACGTCACAACCCGCGCACGCACGTCCACGTTTTCGCGTTGTTCAACAACATCCTGTTACGGTCGCGACATGGCTGACCCACCCAACATTGCCGGCGACATGTCGAGCGAAGGATCTCAGCAGGTACTGTACTCACAACGTGTTTTCTGCTATGATTAATGTCTACTCTCTCACTTCGCTCGGATCAATCGGCTGGGTGGCGCACTTTTTCTTCCGCGGAGTTTGGCTGACTGAACCTCATTTGCAGTTCCACACGGACACCCCACCTGACGAGGTTGCAATAGCGAAAGACGAGATCCAGTATCGTTGGAGCAAGAAGGCTGAAGACTGTATTCCTCCGATGTATCGGCCCTCCGAACCGCTTCCAAGCATCGTCATCATACGCATCTCCCGACTCGCACGCATGGCTCCTGGCACGAAAGGCTTCAAAGTTTGTGAAAAGCTCGTCATATCATCAATTCTGGATCGGCAGCGCACCTCAGGCAGCGGTAGCGCCTCCTTCGTTCGGGAGGCGGATCTGAAGAATGCTTTGAGCAAATTGGTCCAGCTGCTCAATGCTGTCCGTGATATCAACCTGGCGGTCTGTCTCCACAGTTCATTCCTCCAGGGTCACAAGCTCGCGTCCAACGATCCCTATGACTGGGGATTCGAGACCGTTGTTGCCCTTTGGGATCTAGTGAAGCTGGCTGCTCCCACCCGTGTCAAGCAAGCCGGCAACCTCTGGCGCTCTCACTTTGCAAAGAGACTCAGAGCGCACCCCAACAGCCCGAAGCATGTCATTTCTGCCGACTTTCGGCTTGCTATCGATGATCTCAAGAAGCAGCACACTGGCCCCGATGACAGCTCACTTGGTCTACGTAGCCTCACCCACCATGAGCAGCAGCTAGGGCCCACTCCGAGTGGACATTTCTGTACCACTGGAGCCATCTTCCAACCGGCCCTACCTCCTCCTGGGATTCTCCTGGCGATCGGAAAGATGTTCTACTACGCCCAGAGCCACCGCGACTCTCACTTCAAGACCATACCCATAATCATGACTCAGGAAATGGCATCCAAGGGCATTTTCCATGACAATACGGGCGCGACTCGGCTGGGAACGTTCCTCAAGCAGGACGGAAGGAACTATTCGTACAAACATTTCTATGTCAACATGACTGCTATCCTGGAGCTGGAGCAGCGATTCGGAAAGCCATTCTACGAAATTTTCGAGTGTCCAGACATTCAAGCTCACCAGGCCCTGCGCACGGCAAAGGGCATCCTCCCCACCTTGGCCGGAATCACACGTCGTCACTGCATCGACCAGGTTGAGACCCTCAAGAAAGTCTGCAATGAGTATTTCGACAAGTACCCTGATCCAGAAAAGTCTCGCACGTTGACGACCGAAAACGTTCGCCACCTCAGCGAGCAATTGGCAATTGCGGCCGCTAAAAATGCTGATGGCGTGAAGTACATGGGATGGCCCTCGCTCGGCGGCAGGGCTGCAGGACCCGCTACTCCTCTTGCCGCTCCAGCCCCAAAGCAGCAGACACGCCGCCGCATCCGCGAAGCCTCACCTACAAGTCCCCGTGAGCAGCCAGCCACGAAGAAGCCCAAGCCCTCCTCCACCGTGGCTGCCCGTGCGGCTTACGTCGCCAATCACGTCCCCGGTCGCGACGCGATCCTGGATCCCTTGCCATCTCGCCGCCCGGCAGCTGTCCAGCTTATCGCTGCCGCCATCAGGTCCAGGCTCATTATGACGCCGACCGGCATGCGCGAGGTCGTTCCCACTCGCTTCCCTGAAGTCAGCGCCACCCTCACACCTGCGCCGGCATCGCGCCACATCCAGTCCGGCTTTTCTGCAGAGGGAGAGACCAACCACCGCATCATGGAGGATCAGAGTGAAGAAGTTGAGTCCGACCTTACCGCTGGTGAAGTTCAGACTACCTTGGAGCATTCCTCTGTGCCAGACAGTTCCCTCGTTGTTCACCGAGACACCCCGGGCGAAGATCCTGCCGAAAGTTTGGAAATGGTCGGAGGAAGTGCTGATGAGAACCTTCAGGCCGGCATGCAGCTGTATGCGGAGACCTCTACTGACTCGGAAGTGTTTACCAAGCTCGGAGAAGAGTTCCAGCAGAGGGGCATCGCCACTGCTGAAGGCCTTCACTCACAGATGCAGGTTCAAGCAAACCAAGCCGAGAATGCTCGTGCTTCCACTCAGACCGAAGTTCAGGAACTGAAGCAACAGCTCCAGCAGGCAATGGACAAGATCAAGGAAACCGATATCAAGGCAGAGACGGCAGAGGAAAGGGCGAAGAAGGCCGAGAAAAGGGCAACGGAAGCTGAGCAGAGGCTCGAGCAGAAGGTCAAAGATCTGCAAGAGCTGGCCGAAGGTTCTCGTAGGCTCTGGACTCAGCTGTTGGAGATTGCTAGCGATTAGTTGCGAGGCACACAGTCTAGCTTTCCACAGGGGAATCTTCTACCAAGATTCTGACTTTGATGTTCTTTTGGTTTTTTCAGGTTGACCTGGGTTTCATTCAATCGGTTTACCCTTGAGCAAGTAGCCAAGTAGCTTTACAATTCAAAAAATCTCAAGGGAGTACTCCATGAAGATGGAGCCTGAATAATGTCCTTTCCGGACGCTGTGTCGGAAGGTTATAGAGACGCTCATGTCTACGCCAGTTCACCTCATTCCCCTTTCTTTCGGCCACCTATTATCGCACTGCATGCTTATGGTGTACCCTCAAATTTCTGCCATCGGCTTACTTTTTGTGTCTACGATAGTTGTTAACGGTGCAAAACACTAAAGGTGAGTTTGGGGGCGCCGTACATATATCGATGCACAGGCAACATTGGGAGAATCATAATGGACTCTCCTATGTAATCCGAAATTCGTAATAATGGCTGTATCAGGCATTCCTGCGAGCTTCTCCTGCATTTTCGCTATGGCGGATTCCTGGTCGAGTATCCGTGCATCTGCTTCCTTGAAGACAGTATTGGTCGTAATTTCTGTGAACCGGTCCAATTGCGCTGCGTGTTGGGTGATAGTCCGGAAGCTTGACTGGTCGTTCTCGGCATTGCTCATTTCGGGGTCGTGGTGGGACTCGGTTCCTTGGCCCTTTCGCCGCCGTCTCAGAGTCCTTGGATCGCTTAGGCGACATTTCGTTGTCGCTGCCCTCTGTCTCCTCGCCGAAATATGCGCTTAGAAGTTTCAGGTACTTCTTTTCTGTCAGGATCGCGATCTTCTTTTTCTTGTTCTTTGACGTTAGCGTGGAACAGGGTGCGACTGACATCGAATGGCGTTGATGCGGTGGACTTGGGAGCGAAATTGAGGAGGTGAACGGGTGATATATTGAGCTACCCGAAAGAAAGCGCTAAATACCCCCTTTGGTCATCGCGCCTGCCAACAGCGTCTATTCTGCAGATTGAGCTGCTGCTCTCAAGTTATGTGTTCGTCATTTTACACGTGAGGACTTGGTCAGAAGGTCAGGTGGAGAAATTGGACGACGCAAAGGCAAAGAATGAGAACGACAAGGTGTGGTGAGTCGCAATTAGGCCGTGGCGTAGGTTGGATGTGGCTTCAGTCGACCTGCCATTTTTCCAACCTTATAAGTGATACCGGCGAGTTTCTAAGTTATCCACGAGAGCCACGTGCGTATGGCTTAGTCAAGATCATGTATACTTGGACTACGGTGAGAACCTCCGTTCGAACCCGACTCCTGGGGCCGCATTTAGGCCATATAAAGCAAGTCCACTAGAACTGTGATCGACCTGCCCGAGAGGGTCGTGTTGGCATGCGTCGAGTGGGGATGCAGCTTTAGAAAGCGAACTTTTTTTTTTAGTCTCCTAACTATATAATTCTAATAGACGCTATCTCTCCTCCTAGCTACTCGCTATTTTCTTTTAAGCTAAGCTACTATAGATAGCTTATGGGTCATTCTCCGCATTCATCAAAGGGCCAGTTTCTTTGTCTTCTCAACGCGGGCGGCAACCCTGCAAAATATTATAAGCTACCAGATGCGCTAGATAGCTATAGGCGCGCTCGAGTCTGACTCCAGCTAAAGCGCTGTGAATGAGGTCGCTACGGCTATGATTGTGTGTGAACCTACTGCACAGCCTGCGATGCTTTCATGTCTATGAATGCGTAATTCTTTGTCTCCCCAAACCGAGCGTCCACCCCCACGCAGCGCTACAAGCTACCAACAAACTTACTCCTCGCCCTAATCCTCTCCCCATACAACACCAACACCCACGGCACCATCGTCAGCGCCAGAGCGACGCCACCCAAGCAGCTCCCTGCCGCGCCGTACCCCATGTCCACAAACATCCGCCGCGTCACCAACGTCAAGACGCCGCCCAGCCCGTTCCGGCAGAAGCTCTGCGCCGCCAGCGCGGAGCTCGCGAAGCGGCCGTACGCGTCGGACAGGTAGTTGAAGACGGCGAGGTACACGGAGAAGACGCCCATGGTCGCGACGCCGACGGCCAGCACCGGCACGACCCAGTGCACGTCGTCTGCGTCGCCGCGGCCGGCCGCCGTCCAGCCGAACAGGAACAGCCCCGCCGGCAGCAGCGCGCTCTCGACGCAGCTGAAGTACAGCCGAGCCTCTGGGGGCGGCGCATCGTTGTGTGGAATGAGGCCGCGCTGCCGTGCCCACCGCTCCTGGTAGATGCTGACGGGCGTGATGACGACGGCACCGGCGCACATGGCGGCGAAGACGGCGTTGGACTGCGCGAGTGTGAAGGCGTGCGTCGTGCTGAAGACGAGCGGGACGGCGGCCAGCGCGACGTAGAGCGTCGCCCATGCGAAGGCGGCCCACAGCGAGAAGAAGAAGGCGACGGTCTCGGTGAGGAGGAGGTGGAAGGGCCGCGTGAGGGAGGTCGTGATGGTGGCGGCGAGGCTGCCGCGCTGCTGCTCGTCTTGCTCGCTGCGCCACCGGATGCGCGTCGGCGGCGACGGCGGCGACGGGGGGTCGCTCGTCGTCGTCGTCGTGGTTGCGGGTGAGGAGGAGAGGCGGGCGGCGCGCTCCATCTCCTCGTGCAGGGCGTTGAACTCGGCGGCTTTCCAGCGCAGCAGGACAGAGGCGCGCGTTTCGGGGAAAAGGAGGATGAGAAGAGCGACGAAGACGCCATCGACGATGGCTTGCGAGTAGAAGATCCACCGCCAGGTTGTGTACTGTGCCGTGAAACCGGATGCGATTGCGCCCGTGCCGATTCCGAAAAGGGCAGTGCATGAAAACAGCGCCATGGGCGTGTTGCGTTCCTCCGGCCGGTAAATGTCTGATATGACGCCACCCACCATGCTTGAGTATGTCGAACTTCCCACACCGGCGAAGAATCGAGCCAGAAGCATCCTGCACCGTGTAAGCGAGACGACTTGGACCCCTATTTGTTTGTGTACTCACCCTGGGTAGGATCGAGTGAGTCCACAGCAAAGCTGGCAGACGACAAACAGGAGCCCAGTGCCAATGAAGACCGGTTTCCTGCCGTTGACCTCTGAGAGAGGGGCCAAGGCCATGGGAGCCAGAGCGAATCCCGTTGTAAACATGGTGATGCCGACCAGTGTTGCAACATTGCCAATATTCCAGTATGCAGACAGTTGCTCCCGGGCAGGACTGTACCCACTGGCCGCGTGTGAGGCCAAGCCTGAAGCAATGTAGCACATCCAGGAAACAGTGATCCTGCGCCATTTGGACATGTTCTGGGGCGACCGAATATTGTCATGTCGAAGTCGCTTTCTCTTCTCGGGACCTTGGCTATTGAGGTGTTGTTGCACTTCCAACGGAAGAGGAGTGTCAAAGTCGATATATCGGTATTCGACATGCCCATCGGGTTCCTCGTTAGAAAAGGCGGAATCTTCCTTCTCATCCATGTCTGTAGGTCTAATCTGTAGAGAACATATGGGGACAAAGGACTCACCGATTTGCGATATTCCTCTATGGTGCATTTCCTTCAGCATATATGTGGCATGAAGATGCTCTTATCTTGATTACAAATGAGCTCTGTTGATTTGCGTGACTAACTGACTCGGGAATGAACACTTGGTCGGGAGCAAAAACACCCGGTTATTCAATCATTGAGCCTCGGGATTGCACCCGACACGCGTCTAAAGGCTACAGTGCTTCTCTTCTCCAAGATTTATAAGAAATGCACTTCGGATAGTGCGTTACGTTCCAAGGGAGGGCACTATGACGAAGATATCGATCTAGATTGGGTCAACTCTCAATATCCCTTAGGCTGTGCTCTCTTCACGTGGGTGTAATGACATTTGGAGAAGCAATCACAAACAATTGATCAGCGTAGCATACTTTTGACGGTATAATTTGTAAAAGAGAATCGTTCACTGTACCCGTTCCTGAGCGGATGTGGGCTTTGCAGCTCTATTTCATGACATTTCTCTATACGAACTATCCGAGGCTTGGCTTCGTTCTCGGATTCACAACACTTATGCCTTGCGCAACTACGTCTTTAGTCCTAATAGCGAAAATTGTGCAGGAAATTGCGCCATGTTCTGCGGGGAATTGTGTCATATTTCTACGTGTTCGGCACAATGAGTGGAGCAGTGAGCTACCCCAATTTTCTACCCCAACTTACTCCAACAGCTACTACTTCAGCGATCTCAGAGTAATTTGTCAGTGGAACCAATGGACAATAGATGCATGCTTCTACTCAGCCTATCTGCATTGTTCATCGAAACTTCAAACTCTAAACAATTCAGTCGATACTGGTGACAACGAATGTTTTTGTTTCTACCCATCATTCCTATGTAGTGAGATATATGCACCAAGTTAATGAAGATGCCACTAAGGGCATGACTTCGTATAATAATCTATCTACGTCCCTTCCCCGCAACATGCCCATACAGGACCCAATCCCCTCATCCCCTCAGGCCTTCGTCAACTGCTCCGGCCCACCCTCCGGCCTGACCTGCTCCTTCTCGCGATAATCGACGCCCAACCACAGCAGATCGGGGCGGCTGTAGTGGCCGTGCACGTCGAGCATGGCCTTGACCTTGAGGATCTCGGACATATCGCAGTCAGCGATAACCAACCCCTGCTCCTCCTCACCCAAGTCAACCGTCAGCTTGCGGCCGTCGGGCGCGATGACGGCCGCGCACCCGCCGCCGCCGATGTGGTACAGCTGTCCGTCGCCTAGCCGCATGCGCTCGATGCCGGCCTTGGTGAAGAAGGACGAGGCGAGCACGACGAAGCAGTTACCTTCGATCGCGTGCGTGGTTGAGAGGTTGTGGGCGCCTGGGAATTGGGATGCCGGTGTTAGCACCTCCGAGTTTTGGGGGAGGCAAAGGGGGAAGTGAGGCTGGAGAGGTGGGGGAGTAAGGATGCGTGTATACCTTCGCGGCACTGCGACCACAGGGCTGAGCCCTCGGGGAAGGAGCTGTAGTAGTTCATAGGTGGCCATGCGGCTACGTGGATTTCTTCGCCTTGGGAGTACGTGTGGTAGCGGAGTAGTGGCTGTGAATGCTCCCAGCAGGAGAGGGCGCCGACCTTGCCTGGAGAAAGTGAGCTGAGTGGCACTCCCAAAAATTTGTAAAACTGATGGAATCTCCCTTGATCAAACACTTACCAATGCCGGGCTCGTAGGCTACGTTCAGCAGGGAAGCCCCGCTGCCGTCGCCGTAGATAGTGCGCTCAGCGTGCGTCGGCTTGATCTTGCGCCTGTGCATCTTGATCTTTCCATCCTTTCCAATGAACGACTGCGCCAGATACAGCGAGTGATTGTCATTCTCCGAGTAACCCAGTGAGACGGCAATCTTGTGCTTCGCCGCGCAGGCACAGATTTTGTCCATCTCCGGCCCATTGCGGCGCAGAGAGTTTCGCATGTATTCCTGCACCATCTCGAAATCGATGGGTCGTTGCCTGCACAGTAGAAGAGTTAGGTCAGGCAAAAGTCTAAGATCAGTATGCTCTGTAACGTACCAAATCCATCCGGGGTAGTTCGGAATCCAAACCTCTGGGAATGCGATCAGATCACACCCTTTGACGGAAGCCTCTTCAATCAGCTTGCATGTCTTAGCAACAGCGGCCTGCAGGTCGAAGTAGCAGCACTCAGCCTGGACTGCGGCCACGCGAACGTAGTTTGAGTGCTCGGACATATTGGTACCTGGATCGGAATGATAGGTGCTGCTTGAGGGAGTCTGTTCGAGCTCACCAGGCCGTTCCTGATGCTCTTAACTTATATTTGCTATCATTTGAGACATGGAGCTCATTATTCAGCTTCTTCTTCTATGGAAGCGATAAGAAGAAAATCTCAGCGGGGGATTTGGGGCAGTTTCGGAAGATTCTTATCAATCCGGAGCAGAATAGTTAAGGCCACCGAGTCTTCTACCATCATTTATCAGTCGCGATTACTTGACCTGATTAGAAATTTTCAGTTCTCTATCAGGGTGCTATCAATCTTTTGGATGTGCATGAGGATACTTATCGGCCCTATCTTCAATTTGTACCCTACCTGAGGTGTCAAGTTGGGGTAGCTCGAGCCAGTGACGTATGCTGGTGCTTTCCACCCATCCTACACCTCAAGGCTGGGCAATGGTAAACTACGCCTAAGTAGACTAGAAATACCTGTCTCATTTCTGCCCGAAAAACGACATCTTGCCTAAGAGCAGATCAACAAATAAGCGCAACTCAAATAGGCAAGATAGGGAAGAACTGATGGCCGAACACTAGCTCGGTAGTTGACGTTGTTTTAAGTTGATAGACTAATCACACTATAGTCTCTTGCTACAGAATCCCCATCCCATCTGCTTCGCCACGCTGACTTCGACTCCAAGCTCTTCCGCCCACTGCCAAACCAGACCGGGATTCTTCTGGAATCCGCGCCCCACCATAACCGCATCCAAGCCTTCCTGAAGAAGTTGCTCTGCTTGTCGAGCCTCAGTGATGTACCCCGCAGTGCAAACATGCATCTTATCGCCCACCTTCGCCTTGACGGCCTTCGCAAACTCTGCCTGATACAAAGGTCCCACCTTGATGGCTTATCGCGGATGCAAGCCGCCCGACACGACGTCCACGAAGTCTACTCCCCTCTCCGCCAACAGCTCTGCCAAGCGGACCGTCTATTCCAGCGTCCAGGAAGCCTCGCTCCGACCATCGTAACCGTCTACATCTTCTAGCCAGTCCGTCGCCGCCACGCGTACGAATAGTGGCATGTCATCTGGCATAGCCTTGCGCACGAGCTCCACGAGTTCCAGAGTGAGCTGAATGCGGTTCTCGAACGAGCCACCGTATTCATCTTCACGCTTGTTTGCTGCCGGCGACGCGAACTGGTGCAAGAGGTGTCCATATGCGTGATGGATCTCGATGACGTCTATGCCGGCGGCCACCGCGCGCTTAACAGCGGCCACGTAGGCGGCCTTGAAATGCTGGATATCACTGCTCGTAATGGCTGTCGGTGTCACGTGGCGAGGGCTGTATGGTAGCGCGCTTGGAGCCTTGACGCTGGAGGGCCATCCGTTGAGCTGTGCGTGAGGTGCATCAGTCCAGCAAGTTCTGGGGACATGGCAGAGAAGCGAGAAAAGAGAAGGGAAAAACGGCTCACCTCTTCCGGAGCGGCCACTCCGCCAGGACTATCCACCACCCACGGTGCCGTAGAGCTAGCCTTCCGTCCCGCATGTGTCAATTGAATGCCAACTTTCTGCCCCTGGCCGTGCGCAAATTCGACTATGCGGCGCAATGGCGCGATGTAGCTATCCTTCCACAACCCCACGTCCTCGGGCGTGATACGGCCCTCAGGCAGGACAGCGGCGGCCTCGATGACGGCGAGGCCTGGACCCCGCGAGGTGATACCGCCGAGGTGGGCGAGGTGCCAGTCCGTCATGTGTCCGTCTTGTGCCGAGTACTGGCACAGCGGAGCCAACATGATGCGGTTTTGGAACCTGCATCCTCTGATTGTGAGGGGTTGGAACAGCTTTGGTATGTTGCCGATTTCAGAGCGCAGGGCTGTCCCGGCGGACGGGTCTTGTAGAGGAGTGAAATAAGAAGGCTAGAGATTCGCGGAGCTCAGTTGAAGCACGTCGGCTTCTAGCCAGATTATTTAGCAGTGAGGACGATTGCTTACGCCTGGAGCTGGCCTATTTGCGAGCGGATGAGTATCTTTTGGCTTTTCAGAAGACATTGAAGCAAGATAGCCTCGGTACTTGTACTGATGGAGTGGAAAGCTTAGTCGCGGCTTTTTGAGGATATTGTTGGGTGATCGGTGGTGCAGTGTCATATTGCTAATTGAGACGGAGTGTTGGACTCTGCAGGTTCGCATGTCTTGGTAAGGATTGGCTCAGCTTGAGTGGTGCGCAAGGAGTGGGTCTGATGGCCTGAACTCCTGAATTATGAACATCAAATACTATTATCCGCATCACTTTGCAAACCCCATACGCTCTTGCTCGTTATTGAATTGCTTAAATTCCACTAGCTCGTTTCATGACAGCACAAAGATTGGCACTAACCCCAATTTATTTTTTTTTCTATTTTTCAGACTTTATACTTCTAGGTTATAAAATGAAGGACTGGGTTCGGAGAGAAAGGGCGCACTTCGGAGTCATTCCAGATAGTAGCTCCCAATGCTTTTTGGCTGTGGCGTTGGGGTAGACAAGCGTTGGAGTAGTTGGCTTGGGGTAAGTGGGGTAGTTTGGATGCGCCGGCCGCTAACAATTAGGGCTCCGGCGAGTTTTAATCATTAAACGCTGGATGATGGAACAATAGCAACTATCAGCTGTTGCATTAAAAAGAACGTGAATGCTTAGGGATGGGTAGAAAAGATATCAGTAGACGGTTCATTGCCCTCCATGGAACATGATTTCGGCTATTCATTTTGTCGATATGGAAGTCTGAGTGGTTTTATGGCGTAGATAAAGACGCCGACGATGATGTAATAAGCAGGAATTTGCAATGACGAGGAGCTTTCTCCGCGTGAAACAAAATCATGCTACACAACTGCCTCTCCACCATCGTGCCATCAGAGGTGAGAGAAGGTGAAAATGATCACTCGCAACCGTGCCGGACGCTCTCTGACTTGTACTACTTGTAATCGCACGTTTGCAAGAGCCGAGCATCTTCAAAGACACACTCGAACCCGTGAGTTCCCCTCTGGGCGAGGGCAGCCAGAACTGACATGGGCTATATATAGACACAAAGGAGAAGCCGTTTGAATGTTTGTGTGGAGTAGCTTTCTCTCGGCAGGACCTCCTCACAAGGCACGAGCGTCTCTCACATGGGGGAACAGCGCGAGTGTCGGATGAAAGAGGCGCGCAACTTCGACTTTCTACTCCACGCGCGTCGCCGAATCGCCGGCAAGGCATCGACGCTGGGGCCTCGGTGGAGCTTCCTGCCGTCTCCTTTCAGCCCCAGGCTAATCAAGCATCACGACGCTTCCCCAGTCATGACTCCACAGTCCAGTCCTGGGATTTAGGTGGCAATGGTTCGTTTTCTTGCCATCCAGGGGAGTGGTAATTCTTGCTCATGCGCAAAAGCCGTTGAATTTTCCGATACATACGGAGACGTGGCGCTGGAATTCTCTCGGTTTCTGAACACGGCTGGTTTGGATTTCGACCTTGATTTGTTTCCCTACAGCGGACAAAATTTTCTTTCAGCTCCGCCACAGAGCCCGTCGGAATGCGAGTACGCTGGCCTGGTTCCAGATGGAACCGTAGGTGAAGGTAAATGTGCCCGTGTAGCATCCAGCCGTGCGCTAACTGCAAGTCAACTGCAGACGACTTCCACGAACTGAAGCCTCTCCACGTGACGTGGCGGATCAACGAGCAACAACGCGCCTCGTACCTCGACCAGCTCTCGACATTCAGCGGGGTGCTACCGAGTACCTTCGTGCTGCCTTCCAGACTTTCAATATCACGTTATGTGGCGGGCTTCGTCGATGGGCTCAGCCACCACTTTCCCTTCATCCATATGCCCACCTTTGGCATCACCGCCAACCCGGACGCGCCCGAGCTCGTGCTCGCCCTCATGGCCGTCGGCGCGCAGTACCGCTACGAGCGAAGATCCGCAACAGCCCTCTACCACGCCGCGCGCGCCATCATCAGCGAGCGCATCCGCCGCCGTAAGCTGCCGGACCCGCACGCCGCTTCCTTCCACGAAAGGCTCCCCCGCATGCCGCCCAACCTCCCGGCAACCACCCGTGCCATCCTGCTCCTGGCCAAGTTCGCCGCGTGGCAGGCTTCCCCCACGCTCATCCGCGAATCGCTCTCATACCGTGCGCTGCTAGCCCACAGCGTCCGCCGCGCCGGCCTGTCCAAATCCGATGACGACGACAACAACGAAGGGCAGATGGATGATAACGCCTGGCTCCGCTGGGCACGCGCCGAGACGGACCGTCGCACCAAGCTCTGCGTCTTCTGCTTCTTGAACCTGCAGGAGCTTGCGTTCGGTCTCGAGCAGCCAGTGCTGCTCGCTAACGAGATTGGCGACATCCGCCTCCCATCTTCCTGCCGCGAGTGGCTCGCCGAAGGCCAGGCCGACTGGCTTCAGGCGCGAACGGCAGGGCCCGCGCCCGTCGGCTTCCGACACGCTCTCACATGCGTGCTAGTGGGACCGCGACGCGACTCCGGCGAAGTATCAGAAGCACTTGACGACGTGCCCGTCACCTCGCCCTTCGGCAACTTCATCCTCGTGCACGCGTTACTACAACGCATCTACCTCGCGCGACAGCTAGCCCTCCCCTCAACAACATCTTCCCCACTGCGTCCCGCCGACGTCGACGAGCTGGACGCCGCCTTCGACCGGTGGCGGCTGGAGTGGCAGCGCGCGCCCGAATCCGTCCTCGACGTGCGCCACTCCAAGGACTCGCTGGCCTTTGCGTCGACGGCGCTGTTTGGCCTCGCCCACGTGCGCCTCGTCTTCTCGCTGGGGCAGACGCCGCACGCCGCCGCCGCCGCCGTCTACGCCCGCTTCCAGGCGTGCGACGCGCAGGCCGTGGCGGAAGCGGCGCTGGCGGCCGCGCCGCCGCCGCGGAGGGGCCCGCACGTGCTGAAGGCGCTGCTGCATGCGGTGCATGCGCTGAATATTCCAGTGCAGTTGGGGGTGGACTATTTGGCAAGGTGCCAGGCGTTTTTCTGGAGCGTGCAACATGTTTTTTGTAGCTTTGAGTGCGCGGTTTTCTTGAGTAGGTGGTTGTTTGTGTTGGCGGAGGAGGAGGAAGAGGAGGAGCTAGGTCCGCGGCCGCTTTCGGGTGAGTGGTTTTCCCAACTTTTTTTCTGTTGTGTCATGGCGGACATTTTTTGGCGTAGCTGATGGACCATTCATTGTTCAGAGATGGAGAAAGAGATCAGCTCGTGGATTTCGAGGGTGGTGCAGGAAGCAGGAGACTCTTTGGATGAGGAGGAGGCTGCGCTCGGCTTTGACAAGTGTGCAACGCAGGGAGAGCGCTTTCGCGTGCTTGGTGTCGCTGTTGTGAGGCTTTGGGCGCGGCAGTTTCGAACCTCTAACACGGCGTGGCCGATGATGAAGCTGGTCGGGGAAGCGCTGGAACGGTACGCTGCTCTGCTTGTTTCGTTATAGAGTGAGAGGGAGATTGCGATAGACAAGGAATGGGACGTCGTTCTGAGTTAAAATATCTGATACCGATCTATAATACTAGATAATAAAGAGAGGAAAACACCCATAAATAATGTTGCCGAAACAGAAAGATAGCTGACCTATGCGCCTGTATAAACCGAGCTCGCTGCTTGAGCCCCCATTAAAAAGAGAAAAAAATTGTGACTAGCTTTTACGCCTCTCCGTGGAAACTAACATGCTTCTAGGCCCCTCTCAAGACCGTACGTCAGCCTCCTGCGGACTTGCTACTACTAGTCTTTGGAAATCCAGTCCAGTTCCAGGTGGGTGGTTCGAACGCGGGGCCTTGTGTTGTCCAAATCCGGGGTCGGGGGTCGGGGGTCCTGGGTCCTGGCATGCATGATCTTGAGATAACTCTGCCAGAGGTACATGGCTTTTTGGATGAAGAACAATCTACCGCTTGGCATCATAAGCACAGGCTTCTGCCGCTTCGTACAAGCTGCCTGGCGATGTCCGGCTGTTCGCATGTGACGTATGCGATTCCAGGACGACAAACGACAAGAACCGTACACTTCACTTCGCCAGGTGAACCCACCGAATCGCAAATACTGCGCAGAGACAGTCACGAAACAATCGTGATGGAACGGAACACAACAGTCCTTGAAGTCGCGGACTCGCGCGAAGAGGCTGTTTACAGCGGATCACGCTGTTGCTTAACAATACTAAACTCATTTCGGAAGAGAAGTAGAACGAGGAACGCGCCACTTGATGTGCAAAGAAACCATCCGACAGAGAGATAAGCCGTGACGGTGCCTTCTTGCCGATTCGCATAGCAACGATCCGTGGTGCCATGAATCCAGTGACCAGGCATGAAGGTGTTGATACGACGCCCAAGTCCGGCAGCTACAAGCAGTCATGGCAGAACTTGAACTCCATGCTGCGAAGCGGACACGTACGTCTAGACGTTGAGCGACCTATAAGAATGGCTAAGTTAGTAGACCATGTACATGGCGTATGGAGGTGAGTCCATGTGAGATGCTCGACATCCAAGACAGGTGAGCGAGTCTCTGAGATTGGAGTTGCACCAGCTGAGTGCTCAGTTCTCACAACTCCCGCGCGTGGAAATTCTGCAGATCTGGTTACTTTTCTAGAAGCATCCATATTCCCAACATTGGGGTCGCGGTTGGGGTCGTTTTGTGATATGGTCGGCGGTGGTTGCACTGACAACCACCTCAGCTGCCGCCGTTACGTCGCCCGTGCACACCACGCCTATGTAAATCGCCCTTCCCTTTCATCCTCACTTCGCTCCACCTTCCCAAATTCCTTTTCCAACCCTTCTCGCGTACAAGTCTGCCGTTTCCTCTGCGCCACGCACCAACTGTCGCCGCTTTGCGCCGACACCGCAAACTGTGTACCAAGCTTGCCGCTATCCGTCCAGCGCGCCGTGTAGAGCCTCCGCAATGCCTGACGCAGTCAGCTCAGCTGGCGCCGAGCCAGATCCACCTGGAGAGCAGGTACTTTCCTCACAGTTCCTGTCCACGCACACATGACATGTGGCTTATCCTACACTATCAGCAAATCCCCGCGGACACCACCTCTGCTCAGCATTGTTCCGATATCCACGAAGACCAGATCATGTGCAATTGGGGAAGGAAGCCCATCGACTGTATTTCTGCAATGTACCGCCCGGTCGAGCCTATGTCGGATGGCTTCATCCGCAAGCTATCGGAGATTTCCCTCATCGCTCCTGGCAAGAAGGGTCTCGATGCCGCTGGGGAGCTTATCAAGTCTGATTTCGATAAACGCTGCTCCGGTTCAGCCATCTCTTTCGTTAAAGGGATCCAGGAAGACAGCCTTCGGGACACGTTGGTTAAGATTCATCAGAAGCTTGCCGCTGCTGGAGAGATTTGCAAGGCGCGTCTTCAGAACAATACGTTCCTGCGTTCACACGGTTTCCAGTCGAACGACCCGTTCGATTGGCCATATGACACTGTGATGGCTCTCTGGGCTCTTGTCAAATCGACTGGAGGATCTGCCGCGAAGATCTGTGATGCAGGCCGTTTCCTTGAGCGTCACTTCTTTGCGCGGGTCACTATGGATTCCAAAAGCCCAAAGCTCATCATCGTTGCGGATGTGCAGCATGCTATCGATGAATTCACGAACTCCTCTAGCCCTGATAGCACACCTACGCGTGGCTATTCCGTTCGTAAGTGCTACACTCTCTCGTTTGATTTTACAAGTGGCGCTGATGTGGTCACACAAGCGGACATTGGCATTGGTGCGCCGCAGCAGGACAGCGGTCTTTGCACTACTGGATCCATTTTCCATCCTTGCCTTCCTCCCCTTGATGTCCTTCTATCCGTTGCGAAGGCCTTTTACAATGCGCGGAAGCAGCGTGGAGCTGCATATGGGACTGGAGATGGCCCGACCATCATGTCGCGGAAGGTCGCCTTGAAAGGCATATACAACGATAACAAGGATTCCGAGGGCCTTGGGACGTTCTTGAGACACGATTCACGCAATTACTCCTACAAGAATCTACGTTCTAACGAGGAAGCTATCGCGGCTCTCGAGAAGAAGTTCGGCGAGCCTTTTTGCGAAATCTTCTCTTGTCCAGACATCCAGGCCGACCAAGCGTTGCGGACATCGCATGGGTTTCTCTCTGAGTTACATAGGATTGCGCAGACACACCACATCGACAACTCTCAGAAGCTTCGAGCCATCATAACTGAGTACTTCGAAAAGTGCGTTGGAGATGGAAAGCCTCACATCCTGACCTCAGCCGGACTTCAGCAGCTTGCCACCGAACTGGCCAAGGCATCCGCTCCAGACGATGACGGCAGAAAGTACAAGGGCTGGACTTCGCTCGGTGGTGCCGATGCGCCAATCACCCCCACAGCCCAGCCTGCTAAGCAGTCCCGTCGTCGCTCTCGCATGAGCTCACCATCGGGCTCCAGCCAGCAGCCAGACCCCAAGAAGTGCAAGCCAGGCTTGACCAGCGCCGGTCGCGTGGCGTACGTAGCCAAGATGATCCCCGATGCCTCGCTTCGCTCAGCCGGCTCTGCTTCGCGCCGCGCCAGCACGACGACCATGACCGACCTCTCCGAGAGCGCCGAACGCCAGAACCATGTTGCCAACCACATCACGGAGCCGAACAACGCTGCCACTCCGACTCCAGCTTCGCGCACTGGCGGACTCTGGCCCAACATCGTAGTCATCCCCGGCAGCTCGCTCGTGGCGGCCGAGGAGAGGCCTCGAGTTATATCCGGCGCCGATAACGACAAGAATGTGGCTGGCACTTTTCCATCCGAGAACGCTGCACTCCACGTCAGCCAAGATACCCCCGTCGAGGATGTGGCCAGGGATACTGCGATAGCCGGCAGCAACGACAAGAACCCAGGCAAGGAGCTTGCTAAGCAGCAGCCGAGTTCTCAAGTCAACCCGCGCTACAATGGCGCCAAGGCCTTCGTTGGTAAAGACAGGACAGACGTGGATCGCGACTCTGCTGACATGACCGAGCTGCGCTCGCTACTGCAGAAGGCGACAGAAAAGTTGGCGGCAATTTCGCGCAGAGACGTGCACCGTCGCTTTCAGGACCTTGGCCAAAAGTACATCGAGTCTGAGGCTAATGCCAACTTGATCAAGACCGTTTGCGAAGAGATGAAAGCCAAGATTGGCATTACTGAAGCCGAAAACGCCGATCTGAAGCGACAAGTTCAAGAGGCTAGGAACATGACTGATGCTAAGCGTGACACCATTCGGAATGAGGTTGCTGGTCTAAAGCAGGAGCTTCAGAAGGCAAAGGACAAGGCTGAGGCAGAATGTACTGCCGTTCAAGCCGAGAACAAAGCTTTGAAGAAAAGGTTGGAGCAGGCAGAGGAGAAAGCTAGGAGCACCGATGAAGCTCACAAGGCCCAACACGATGTGCTCGAGGAACAGCTTCAGGCGGCCATGAAAGAGGCCGAAAGCGCTCGTGGTAGAGCCTATGAGGTCGAGAAGAAGCTCAAGAAGAAAGATAAGGAATGGGAGGAACTTGCCGGAAAACTTGAAAACATGTCGAAGTCTCTGAGGGCTTGAAAGATTGAAACATTTTCTGTGGGGAAATGGCTATGATTAGGTGGAGAAGTTTGTGGAACATTAGGTGGAGGATCCTATAATTTTGCTTTCTTGCAGGCAGGAATTCTAACAAAGAGCTAATAATGTAGCAATCAAGATGCTTTGTATGGTTTCTTTCAGTTAGCAATTTTCAAGTTTGCCGATTTGTATGCAGAAGATATGATGAAAAGTCTGGAGCCTACGTCGAACTATGTCCGTTTGAATGTCTTTGCAATGATCTGCGAAAGTACCCCGACACAGACAGACAGCCCGTGTATTCCAGAACTTGTTGCGTGCTCACTTAACTGATCCATCTGACAGCTATTGCTCAAGTCCACATGCCCTAGAGCTTACTTGGTAAGACTCTGCAGTTCAATCGACGTTGTTCAGCCATTTCCCAGAAGTCAGTTCCGGCAGAGCCTCCCGTCCTCCCTCTCAGACCACAGTTCACTTTCGACACACTTCTCGCACCACAAAAGAGTAGAAGGATCGTACTTCTTTTTGATAGCGCCCAGCTCCGCATAGTTGGGTCCATATAGCGACCGCTGCCAGTCAGGCTCGTCCTTGTCCGCCTTGGGAGTGTTAGCTTTGCTGCTTGCTGGGCCGTTCAGGATTGGCATTGTATACCTCGTTCCAGTAAGCACCGGACTCTGGAGCCAGTTGACGAAGTGCGTTCCCGCGGTTATTGGTCATGTCATATTGCGCCTCTTGCACCTTCTCCTCAGACAAACTATCATCCCAGCTGTTCGATACGATGAAGTGTACGACGGTATCCCTCCAGGCAGGGTTCAGAGAGCTGTTAACCGCGACAGGAGACGCAACCATTGACCCAGAAATGCCAAAGTTCGATACACCGCCCTACAGCACGTTAGCAACACCAACAACCCTTGACGGTTCGAAACACCACGACTGACCTTCTCCGGCGCATTCCTCGGCCCCGTATACTCCAACACCTCCGCCAGCAGATCCACATCCTCCGTCAACGCCCTCCTCGTCAAGAGCCTCGAAGTCCTCGCGCCGCCGCCACCACCAGCGGACCCGATACTCGGCACAGTCTCGTAAAACTCCGACCACTTCGCAAAGTGCCGACAAACCACCTCCACATCAACCAGCCCCTTCGCCTTCGCCCCCTCCAACACCTCCCCAACCGTGCCCTCCCACGCCGCCCGCGCAGTCCCGTTCGGCGCGCCGTGCAGAAACAGCGTACCCGTCAACGTCACCCCGCCGACCTCGCCCGCCCGCGGCCCGTTCATGATGTAGTACCCTTCCACGCCCGCGTCCTTCAGCGCCGGCAGCCGCGCATGCCACTCGGCCACGACGCGCCACCAGTCTCCCCTACTCGTCCCGTTCCTTTGCGTCACGACGAACGCAATCGTGTTCGTGCTCGGCATCGCGTACGCCTTCATCGTCACATCGACCACGACGCCGTACGTCCCCCCGCCGCCGCCGCGCAGCGCCCAGAAGAGGTCTGCGTTCTGACACTCGTTCGCAACCAGCACCTCCCCAGTCGAGAGGGTGACGACGGTCGCTTGGAGAATGTTGTCGGCGCCCATGCCGTACTTGCCAGTGAAGAAGCCGTGGCCGCCGCCGGAGGCCCACCCGAGGACGCCGACGTCGTCGCTCGTGCCGGTCACCATGATGGCGTTGTGGGATGTGGCGAGGGCGGCGACGTCGCGGCCTTGGGAGCCGGCGCCGATGGTGGCGGCCATGTGTGTGGATGTGTTGTGAGGGGCGGAGCAGCCGGCGGGGGTGAAAGGGGACGGGTGGAAGGTGGCGGTTTTCATGTTGTGGGTCCAGATGGAGAGGGAGCCATAGGCGACGGCGCTGTGGAGGGACACACACGATCATTAGAGCGATTCGGCTGGTTGTTATTCAGGGTGCGTGCCATACCGCATGGAGCTGTGTCCAGTGTTCTTGACGTTCAGCCTGAGGTTATGCTCCGTCGCGAACCTGACGGCGGCCTGCACGTGGGCGGCCTCGGTCGCGTTGACGACGTACGGCGGGTACTTGCCCATGTGGCAGCCGCGGCTGCCGGCTGCGGTGTCGCTGTAGAGGTTAGTGCCGTTGGCGTAGATGGGGTTGCAGCTGTTGTTCGCGTAGCTGGGGTCTGGGATGCTGGCTGGGTCGTCCGAGTGGAACTCTGACGTCTGCCATTCGGGTATGAGGGCATCGCAGGCGGCACGATCATAGTCCGGCTCGGATGGGTAGCAGACGGAGGCGGGGAGCGTGGTGCGGATGAGCCGGCCGGAGATGGTGGTGTTGAAGGTAGCCCATTCGGAGTCGGAGGGCCAACATGGCTCGGTCGGTGCCTGTTTGAAGTTGTTAGAGTTGCTTCCCGTTTGAGCTGTGACTGCTTACACATTTGCAACTTTGTGTAGCTGCTGAAAGCGGTGCAAAGATGGAGAAGATCAAAAGTGAGCGAATGGTCGCTGAAGCCATGGCCTTCCGAAATGCGAATGTGCTGAAGAAGGAGTCGAAGCTGGATCGCGAAATATTGATGGTGACCAGAGGCATTCAATTTATATATTCAGCAGGAGAAACGGCAGGCAACAGTGACCTGGAACGGAAGGACAACGGAAGTCTTGATGGGCAATGGGAGACCCACGCATCGTATTGCGTTAGGGGATCTTCAAGGAACGCCCCCGGATACGAACGCGGATTTTCTCAATTGGCTGCTTGGTTCCTTGTTTGTTTGCTCGCGGGTACGAATGTACGAATACGGAATTTTACGTATTCTTAAATCGACGTCTGACAACATACCAATAGCTACCACTACTTCTCCGAAGGGACTTTTGTTTTCACAGATAGCAAGATGGGTAATTGTGTAAGGAAGTTGGATTGATGAGAAAGAGTTATGCTCGTTATCGATGGTGGATCAGCTACAGCCCTGACTGTTCGTTATTGTGGAAGGATAGCTTTCCCATGAATCATGATCCAAACCAAGAGCGCCCTGTCTGTAGTCTACGTGCCTCCCAGGGCGTTGCGGGCATGAAGCGCCTTGAGCTCGTCCTGCTTGAGCGCGAGCTTCTTGCTCGCGTCGCGGACCTGGATCCTCAGGGTCTCCATCAAGCGTCCCAAGTCCTCATTGTCCTTGACCAGCTTGTCCTTGAGGTTGGCGAGCCTGGCCATCTCCTCTGACCAAGGAGTAGCAACATCCGCCTCCATGCCGAGGGCTTCCTCACCCGTGTACAGTCCGGAGCTGGTGACGACCTCGGTGAGGTTCTGGAGGAAGGCCGGGATCTGGTACATGTTGTCTTCCTGCTCCTGGATGCTCGTGATCTCGGCGAGGTTGGTCTCGTACTCGGCGGTGAAGTGGTTGAGCATCTGGACGACGTTCTTGTACGATTCGAAGTGTTCGTTGACCTCCTTGTTGAGGGACATGATCTGGTTCAAACGGTTGCGCTTCGTGTCGGCGGATGAGACGGTGTCTTCGCCTTTCATCTGGGTGTCTTCGCCTTCCATCTGGTTGGTCGTGACTTCGGCTTCAGCGGCGGCCGGCGAGGCGCGTCCGTCTTGGTCCTGCGCGTCGGTTTTTAGCTGTAAACATGGCGTGGGTCTGACGTGCTGTACTTACCGAGCCGGCTTGGTCGACCTCCTCTTTAATTTCGACAGGCATAGTGTAGCTAGGCGTGCGCTTAGGCGTCATGGCGTGCAGCGGGATCAGTGCCAGGTGGGTGGCGCTGACGTGGATTGTCGGGTGCGGCACGAGATGAGTGTTTGCGAGGAAGAGTCAGGTAGACGTGCAAAGAAAGCAGGTTTATATAGTTAGGTGATCAATCTTGGATTCCAGAAGCGGCTACAGCGCGCCTGGCACGTGCTCAGAGCAGCGTGCGTCCTAATGTATGCTATCTTGTTCTAAGGACAGACCGGATTCCATTACCGCCAGATTCGTGAGATCTTCCTTCAGCGGTTCGCCAGCTCTTGAGCGCGCGCGTTCTTCTGCTTGTCACGAATCTCCTTGGCCCACTCAGCCAGTGTAGCATGCCTGACAGCCAAGACGGCTACGTCGCGCCTCATGTCACGGATGTCCTGCATGACGCGTTCGAACTCGGCATCCAGCAACGGGTCGTCGGTAAGGTTGACAATCTCCTGGTCATTGTAGACGCCACCGCCGCCCAGGATATCCGCAAAGTGAGCATTTAGCCTACGGATGCGCAAGAGGTTGAGCAGATCCTCCCTATTGCGAGTGGCTCGATCAGAAAGGTCCTGGCGTACGATGTCGAACTCGTCCCGAGCATCCTGGAGAGCCATCATTTCGGCATAGATCTCGGGATAGTTGAGCTCAATGGTGCTGAGGGAAAGCTCGGTATCATCACTGGCCTTGAGTGGTAGTCAATGGGACTCATACAAAGAAAGTCAGACTTCGACATACCTCAGCCTCGGGCGCAGGGGCAGCATTTTCCATGTTGGTATCCTCCGTGTCGGCGGAGTCACTGGTCTCGAGTGGTAGTAAATGTCGATTCTACAAGCTAAAGATAAGTGGTAACGTACCTCAGCATCAGGAGTAGCAAGCTCAGCATCGGGAACAGCAAGTTCAGCATCGGGAGCAGCAAGCTCAGCCTCGACCGTCTCGTCACCAGTGGCGTTGCTGGTCTCAAATGGTAGTAAGTTGGCCTCTTTGCGTTGTCCGTAGCGAGCCAGAACATACCTCATCCTCGTAAAGCGACATGTCCGGAGCCTCAGGGCCCTCATCGGAGCCGCCAGCGTGCTGGTTGCTCATAGACATCTTGTGGGTGTTTTCGGAACGTTCGCGGATGAAGAGCACCAGTGGTCGCAGATCTTTTCAAGACGTAGAAGATCTGAAAGAAGGTTGGAGGGTGTTGTGGAAGGAGACGAACAGCGGTTTTAAAAGCAAACATCAACGCGTTCGCTACATTAGGAAAGAACATCAATTTAGGCAGCTGCCATCCAACCGCAATCCATTTTTCGCTGTTTCTTCACGGCTTTGCCGAGGTGAGAGCTTGGACTTGTCGCTTCGCCAGCATCTCAGCACCCACTACAGCTCTACTGCTTCCTGTAGTCTGCTTTCAAATGATGCTGAGGCTGCCTGACCAGCCCTCCCCTCTTCAGCAGCATCTCCTTCTCTCTCTCCTCCAGATTCTGCATCAATACCGCCATTTCCTCCTCCGTCACCGAATTCACCCGAGCCTCCTCACTCTGCGGCTCCCACCTCTCTCCTTCCCTCTCGCCTTCCGGCAGCACACTCAACAGCATCTCCTGTCTCTGCCTCAGCGCCCTCTCCCGCTCTTCATACTCCCTCATCATCTCTTCGACCTCGCCCTCGCCTTCCGTGCCCATGAGACTACCCCTCTTCGCGTCGATCTCCCACATCAGGCTCGCGAGGCTCTGCCTCCGCACGACGCTCTCCGCGTCGACCAGCGTGCGGTACTGCGCCGGCGAGAGGCCGCGCGCGCGGTAAGTGGCCCACGCCTGCCGCAGGAGCTCGGCGTAGAGCCGCTCCGAGTCGTTGACGTGTTGGAGGACGCTGAGTTGCATGAGGATCTTGGATATGTCTCCGACCGCCGTGTCGACGTCGGGGCCGCCGCCCGGTTGTTCATGAGGTGCGGCGGGTTGTTGCTGGGTGAGAAAGGCGGGTGCGGACACGCTTCGGTGTGAGTGGGTTCTTGCGACCGGTGGAAGTGAGGCCACGGCAGGAGTGTTGATGCTGCAGGTTCGCAGGCGGGTGCTGAGATCTTCGAGCTCCTGAGACGGGTCAGCAGAGCTACTTTATATGAGCGGGTGGCAAGTGAGGCTTACTTGAGAAGGATCCATTGTGAGGCGTCGTGTGGTGGATAGGAGTTGGAGCGCAGTTGAGGTGCGGTTGATTTTATGCTGAGTTATGTGTTCTTCACCTACAGAACGGGATGTGTGCTGGTGAAGTTAAGAAAGCTAACAGCGACTTCAGCTGGTCAAGTGACGTGCAGGCCGATTGATTCACTAATGGGGAGAAATGATGGCCACAATAGGATTCGGAACGGATACAAAGCATTCAGTGCTTCACACGCCCCTCTATTGTTCCTGCAGCAGCGCCATGAATTTATGAGAATCAAATTTGTGTCTACCGTGCTACCTACCGTGCTATACTCATCGGGAGGATATCCACTCTACAGGCAAGATGGACTATACAAGAACAGTATCGACCGAAGATACCGCAGCTCCGGCTGCTTACGCATCCAGACTCATACCAAGCAGCTTGAACAATCTCCACCACGCCGTTCGGCATCAACCCACCGGCTTCTCCGCCTTCTCATGGGCACGTCCAACGGGCACACCAAGCTCGTCAAGCTTGGCCCTCAACGCCTCATTCTCCCTCATCAACACCGCATTAACCATCTTCAACTCATCATCTCCCCTAATAACCCTCACCTTCTCAGCATCCACATCGCACGCCTCTTCCCGCGCCTCCGCCTCCACGCACTTCTGCTGCGCGACCCGCATGTCTACCCTCAGCCCAGCCGCCTCCCTCTCGAGCTTCTCCTTCTGCATCTCGACCTTGGCCAGCCTCTTGTTCTCGCGCATGATGGCGCGCATGCCCGGCCCGAAAGCGCGCCACTTGCCGGCGTCGGCCTCGGTCGCGGCGCGCGCGGCGTCGGTGAGGTCGAGGTCGAGCTTGACCCGGTCCATCGCGGCGGCCAGCTCGGATTGGGTGGCGCGTTCTTCGGCTAGCTGTGCGGTTTGCGTGGCGATCTGGGCTTGAAGGGTGGCAAGCTCGGCTTCGAGTTTGGCGATGAGGTCCTTGTTCTTGTTGTTGTCGTCGTTTGTCTGGGTGGCGGCGCTGTTTGTGTTGGCAACTGTCTGGGTGGCAGCATTGGCAATATCCTTGGAGCTGTTAGCTTGGGTAGTGGTGATGGTGCTGTGAGGCTGTGAGGTCTCTGCAGGAGCTGGCTGGGACGTAGACGGCTGCGAAGCCTTGAAAGGAAGTGGTGTCATGTTAGCATCGGTCAGCTTGGATTTCTTGTTAGTCTCGTCAGACTCGGTGTCATCGCCCTCCAGCAGACGCTTTGCGCGCTGGGGATGAAGCTTGGCAGTCTCGTCTTCGGTAACGGCCATGATGCTGGTGTTGTTGCTCTGCAACGGCTTGGGCACACTTCCCTGGTCTTCCTTCGCAAACCTCTCCTGGGGGTCCGAGGATGGCTTGGTGTAGTGACTCTGATCCACCTCGGGAGCGACACGCTGCTCCTGCTTCGCCGATTGCTCATAAGAGGCGTAAACCCGCTCAGACTTGTGATACTCACGCGGCTTCAGCGACTCGCGGCTCCTCATCTCCCGGTTGAAGACACGGTCGACATCGCCGTAGTACGCGTCGTCTCTTGAACTGACCCTCCTCTGTCCCGCCGCGCCGCGGAAGCTGAATCCCACTCCCGCATCACGCTCGCGCTCGTCCTCCCGGGCATAGCGCCTGTCGTCCCCATACTCCTCCCTACCAGCAGTGCTGTGGCGCCTAGCGTCCCTCCTATCATCGCTCGCACTAGCCCTCCTCCTCTCCTTCGCCTCCGCAGCCTCTCTATCCAAGATCTCGGCCGCCTGGTTCACGTGCTCGGGGGTGGCTTTGCACAGCCTACCATCCTTGCGCTGCTCGCGGGCGACCAGGTCTTCCACCAGACGCAGCGCGGAATCCCTCTTCCTGGCGCCGCGACCGGCAGCGCGGGCCAGGTCGGCGAGGGCGGTCAGCATGCGCGGCGGCCAGCTGAGCGGGTGCGAGCCGAAGCCGCAGTCGGCCGGCTTCCACGCGGCCGAGTCGCTGCCCCAGAGGTCGGAGAGGATGGCTATGGCCTTTGGTTTCAGTGTGTTGGCCGGAGCGCCTTTTTTTTTTTAAGGGAAGAGGGATATGGTTGCTGAAGGCTTACCTGGCTGGAGCTCATGCCGGGCGGCGGGCTCGGGCTGCGCGGGCGGGCGGGTTTGTGGTAGTGGTGGTAGTGCTGGTGTTTGGGGCGGTGATGCTGGTATTTGCCGTGGTACGTCATGGTGGCGGTCGGTAGCTTGCTTATGATTGTCTTCAGAAGCGATGGGCGTGTTGGCCAGAAGTAGTTGTGGTCGTGGTCGCGGTCCAAACAGGAATGTTGTGGTCGCAGTCGGAACTGGATCGCATGGAGTGGAAGTGGATCAGGTTTGTGTCGGACACGGACGCGTTTTATATGAAGGAACTTTTAGCTCGGTGAGCAGAAAGCCGTGCAAACTCCGTCGCGGCATCCAAAGAAGGCTTGCGCTGGCGCACTCACGGATAGACACTGCACGCACTCCCTGATTACCCAGCCATGGCTCATGGACAGTTTCTCAGATAGAATTTTTGACTCGCTTCAAGAAATTTATATAGACCTTTCCACGATCATTTCCCGCAGGAGATGTGGATAATCAGACCCAGTCCAGCAGATACATTACCCAAGGCGTTGTCTATCAGCAACAATGCCTGCTATGAGGAGTTTCGCTGTCGGCACCGAATCTCTACCTTTTCAAGCTCATCCTTTCCCTTTTTCCTTCTCTCATGCCGCATGACAAAGTATCTACTGTTGTACTGCTCGTTGCTAATCTAGCCTTGCATGCACTTCTTCGCTTCTCGCTGTAGCCTTTCGTTCAGAGGACCTTGGGTCCTTTCCGATGCAGATTGAGTTCCGAACCAGGACTATCCATAGCCGCTGAACCTCCGTGATAGGCGCAGTGGCCTAATCGTCCTCATCAGACTCTCCCTTCATCATCAGCAGATCATCGTCCAAATCAACCCCCAGTACCTTCGGCATCTTAGGACTGCTCTGGCTTTGACCCGTGGGGCTGCGCTTGAGCCTCTTAGCAGGCGGCGAAGGCGAGGCGCTCTCCAACTTGATCCGCTTCTTAGAGTCATCTCCATCCTCTTCAAAGTCGTCGTCGTCGTAGTCCTCCATCTCCTCGTCGTTGTCTTCCTCATCGTCTTCTTCTTCTTCTCCGTCATCTTCATCATCATCATCACTAATAACCACAACCTCCCTCACAACCTCCACCTCACACTCCCCCTCCTCCTCCTCAGACTCGGAAGACTCCTCCGGCACCTCCGGCCTCTCAAACGCCAACCCGCCGAAACCCCTCGTCGCCTCCATCGCCAAATTCTCCTCCTCGTACGCCGTCTCCTCGGCCCGCACGCCCGCCGCCGCAGCGCGCGCGTAGCGCCTCTCGCCCATCTGCGCGCGGTGGCGGCGCCGCATAGCCTCGCGGTGGGCCTCGACGCGGACCTCGCGCTCCCACGGCGACATGTCGCGGAAGAGTTCTTCCATCGACGGCGGGTGGGCGACGTCGATTGCGGGAATGACCGTCTCGACGGCGTTGACGAAGGCCTGGCGCGGGTCGACGGCCGTGAGGAGGGAGCGCTGGGGGCGGATGGGCTCGAAGTCGTGGCCCCAGATGCCGAGGTTGTTGTTGTTGTTGTTGTTGTCGTCGTCGCCGGCTTCGTCGTCGGCGTCGTAGGCGGCGTCGGGTGTGGTTGATGGTGGTTGGAGACGCGTGCGCAGGTAGCTCAGGTTGCCCGCGAGTGCGCCGTCTTGCGTGGCCTTGCGCGCCGCCAACTCGGCGTTGTAGGTGGCCAGGTCGGCTTGCATGAAGGCCCGCTGCTGCATGGGGGTCAGGCCGGAGGGCATGTTGAAGGAGTCGGGCCACGTGCGGGTGCAGGCGGCGCGGGTGGCGGGACTGAGTGGGTCGACGCGATTCTCGTAGTCGCGGTAGGAGGAACTTGCGGTTATGTTGCTGCGGATGACAGGGCGGGCGGGTGGAGTCGAAGAGCCGGAGTCGTCGCTGGTGGTGGTAGTGCTCGCGACATCGGTGCTGCCGGAGGATGCGGTGGATGATGCGCCGTCGGGAGTGACCGTTGCTCGGCGACGTTCGCTCTCTTTAGTGCTGCTGCGAGTGCGGACTCCGAGGCTGGAGCCTGAGTCCATGCCGGGCGAGAGTGAAGATATTGGGGAGGGAAGAGGGCTTTGCTTCATGGTCTGCTTGTTCAGACTTTGGGTGGGCGGGTAGAAGTTGAAGCGGCTTGGAAGTTGGAAGCAGCCAGAAGAATTTCTGACGCACCTTCTATTATAGACCTATGTGTTCCATCACTGTACGCACGCGAGGAGAATTTTCAGACCGCAGGTGATTGGCCATAGATCAGTGGACGTGTGTTAAAGCCAGCAGTGTTAGCACATGACTAGCGTCCGTACAATAGTACATATCACTTGATCACTTGACTGTCACCGTCGCTGATAAGATGCCTGTATTGTTCAGGCATGATGGACAGATGGCTATCCTCATGGAGGTTTGGATAAGACCACAAGCCTATTGAATCTATCTCATGAAGTAGAAGTGTGGGTATCAGACAACTAAACAATAGCCCCAAGGCAATGCTGCAACATCAAGATCGTCAACATCCACCCGATCACGCATCTCCGCCTGTCTTGCAGATTCCCATGAGCTCCCGCTCCAACTCTTCAACCCTACCAATAGCCTGATCCCGCTCACGGACCGCCTCAGTGATGTAGGCATCCTTCTCCTGCAACGCCTGCTTCAGCTCGCTATTCTCCCTTTCCAGACGCGTCTTGTAGATCTCAGCCACTTCCCAGTACATCTTGAACATGTCGCGATCGGTAGCAACAACCGACAAGGTTGCATCCATGTCGAACCACTTCATCTCCATAGCATCAATCTGCTTCTGCTTCTCCATCAGCTGTTCCTGTGCAGCCTTCTTGGCCGTTTTGACCTCCTCCCGCAGGTCCGCAACCTCCTTCTCCTTCTGATCGGCAGGAGACTGGTTGTAGTTGGCCATAGCAGAACCGCGAACGGGCTGGACTTGGGGCGGGCGCATTTTTTCAGCCCTAAGCAGCTCAGTAGCCTTGACGATGTGCTCCGTAGATGCCGTCACGGTTCTGCCCATGACTGCGGCGACGATCTGCATGGCGCGAACGCGGTAGTTGGGTCCGGCCGTCTGCGCGAGCGCGGCGAGGGCGGACAGGATGCCCGGCGGCCACAGGTGAGGATCGTCGCCGAACTGGCAGCCCTTGTACTTCCACATGCGGACGTTAGGCGACCAGACGGAGGAGAGGATCGCGATGGCCTGAGCATGGTTGTCATGTGTTAGCTAAGAGAGATCTGAGGCGGGCGCCGGGAAGGCGGGTGAGACGTTATCACTGTACCTGCTCTGTGGTCATCTGTCGCATAGTCTCGATGGCCACAGGTCTGCTCTGAAGTGATATTGGTGCGGTGGTATGCTGACCAAAACGGTGCCTTCTATTGATGTGCTCGCGCGAGTTTGAGGAAGATTGTGGAAGAACGCGGTGGACGTAAATATGTGAATGTTTTGCTGTCAACATGGCGCTAGTCGAAAGTGGTAGACCTGAGAAAGGCGCGGTTCACACCTGCGGGTGCCATGCATTACGTCACTGCCCTCATCAGGCGAATCACTCTCCAGAGGGCATGGGCGGACGGCAATCTAGCTCTCTTCCAGATGGGCCTGCCCGTGCCGCGGCTTGTGCCCTGGGAGCTGAAGAGACTGTCCGGAAATATGCGTAGACTTGATCCGGACGATAGCTTCCACTACCCATTCAAGTTGATATTGTAGGACCTTGCTATGCTTCGCTCTAGTCGTCGGCTGCACTGCCACTCTGCAAGAGATGGCTGGGTTATGTGCTGGATTGGAACATTAATTTCATAAAGCGGCTGGCTGAAAACATGTTTTACAACATATTACTCTCGTCTCACTGTGTGACATTGATTCTTTCAAAGCTGGTTGCCACTTAATTTCTAGACCAATCTACAGCAGATAAATACGTGGTATATAAGATCGTTCCTCCCATGCCATCAACTCCATCCAAAATTACATCCAGTAAGCTTTTCCAATACTAACACAAAGTACAGAAGTCAATCAAAGAAGTTTATCCACATTGCTACACAACGAGCCGATGGCGACCCATATAAGTATCAGCGCAATCGCTACGGTTGCAGCAAGGCTGGCATTCATAGTGACGCGATCCGGGGAGCCCCCGCTGCCGAGGAAGTTCATGAACTCCATGACGAAGACCCAGGCTGCAGCCAACAAGATGAACAGGATTGTGATCCAGATGAGGCTCTTGAAGAACTTGGACGTGTACAGGCGATCTCCATGCTCATCCACGCGCGCTTTCTGTTCGTCTGCGTTTGCTCTTTCTTTTTCTTCCGCGTCCTTTTCCAAATCCGAATTTGGTGTCCTGATTTCGCGACATGATGTTGGCGGAATGGCTTTCGTTATGTCGGACGTAGAGTCAATATTGGCATTGTAAGCGGGGAAGCGAAAGTTGGATACGGAGGAGCCGCTGGTTGCTGCCGTCCCGGCCCGGGACATCGAAGGAGTAGCAGAAGATGACTGTGTCCGACGATGCGCAAGAAGAGGAAGCTCAAATGTCTCAGCCCTCGACCGTGCCGTGGCCGTTTCTCTGGCCTCCACCGTTGTCTTTGCCAAATGGGTTGGGTAAGCGGGAGTCACGGTCTCTTCTTTAGCTTCATCTTTCCGTGTTGCCACCGAGAATTCCTCCACGACCGACACGAGGGGCAGCAGAAGAAGCAGCATGGGAAGGACTTGACCGAACTCCCAAGTATTCTCATCGGGCCCGATGAATTCTGCCAGTAGCTGTCGGGGTAGGAGCAGGTTGGCACTGCCCCAGGCAAGACTGATAGTCAGCATCAACAACGATGCGGCAAACGAGGAGCCGAAGTCGAGTGCGGCTATAAATAGCACGTATGCTCCAACAAGTAATGCATAAGGCCAGGCGGTGATGAAGCGGACGACGCCACCTCTTCTCAGGCGCCAATTTGCCACCCGACGCAGCTGCCGCGGTACTACTGTCCGCACTGTCTCGCAGCGCATCAACGCGCGCTGTTGCGGACGGAACAGCAGACTGCCCACCTTCCAAACGTAGCCGCTGCTCAGCATAAGGAGCGAGAGAACAGCGTCCGTAGTTGGACCTTCGAGGCGATATTCAGGCAGCCAGAGGCACGCGGCCGGGTCGGCCGGGGTAAAGGCAAACTCTGAATCCATGTTATACCACATGCCAAACATGGGATAGTGCACCAGCGCGTCGCCGAAGGTGCGCGACGTTGTGGGCACGAGCGCGGCGAAAAGCAGCGCAAATAGCGTGAGCATGCCGAAGAGGCGGACGCAGCGCGCCGCCGTCCTACCTCTACTCCTTCTATTTTTCTTCTCATGGGGCGCCAGCGCCACAGTGAGGGTGGTGAGATGCACGTTGGACGACATCCACCCGAGGTAAATGACAGTGCGCCAGTGGTAGACCGTAGTGGACTGCACGCCGGCAAAGGCGGCCGCCAGGATAGCGATGCCCGTCACCATCTGCTGATCGCTGCAAGCGCGCAGCGCCCCACGGAACGCCTTGCTCCATCCCGAGTCGGCACGTCGGCTTGTGGCGCGGAAGATGCGCCTATCGACAGGACTGAGCAGTTCGTCTGGGATGAGGCCGGTCCAGTAGGCGCAGATGGTGAAGAGAAGGGTGGCGTAGGCGGTAATGAGGAAAGCGAGAATGACCTGCACGAGGAACGTCAGCCTTATGGGGTGGCACGTGTGGGGACCAGGAACGAGTTCGTACACCAATGCCGGAAATGTCCGGATTTGGTTCGATGGTGAAGGGCAAGTCTTTTCTCGGATACAGAGATGCATAGACGGCGCAATTGGTGCCTGAGTAGGAAGGCGGGCGCCATTTCTCGTCTTCTGGTGGTGCAGCCCGTGGGGACGGGCTGCTGGATGTCATGGCGCAAGGCAGAGAGAGGAACACGACGATGCGAAAGAGCAGAGCAGGCCTTTGTCAAGACCCTTCGTATTGTGGCGGAGCATGTCTTGCAGATCGCCAGGGGGATTAACAGACGCGTCTGTTTTACGAGCGGGAGCGTGCAGCGTGAGGCGCTCTAGCACAGCAGCTGTTTCCGATTGGCTTGCTTTGCCAGACGTTACGTCGACTTCGGAAATTCTTGCCAACCCCTGCGCCAAAAACACCACCATCCATACTCTTTTCCGCAAACAAGTCTGTCCTCATGCCAGTCACGACCAGAGCCCATTCGACGTAGCCATCTGCCTCCAGCCTTTCTTGATCACAATTGGATCTCCGCCTTACTCGATAGCGTCGCCGCAGTAACATCCCTGCAGCGCCGGGGAAATTTCACCGGGTCTCGGGAGCGGCTGTGCGGCAACACGCCGACAGAACCTTAAAACTGGACATAATTCGTGGCTGTGCCTAGGTACGCTGGTCGTGAGTAATCAATTATCGACAGTCGAAATGTGGAAACATCACCACAAGTCAATGTTAATCGAGCCCAGCAGTGCAAGCCCACTGCAATGCGTTTTCTGAAAGATGGTGGTCTGGTCAGCTCTGCCGCGCAAGACTTCTCAGGCCAGCCCAGGCCTTCCCAACCAGGCCACCAACGAAGTTTCTCTTCAACCAGATCGCCCTCACTCCCCACCAAGTCAGCCCTCCACTGACTGCGGTGATGCCCATGACGACGGCCCAAAGGTCCCAATTCCTCGCCTTCCAAGTCGACATCCGACAGTCGGCCGTTTGCAAATGCATTGGTCTCTCCCCTTTTCCTGCGCCACCCTCCCAATCCGCCAGCACCTCTTCGATGAGATCCGCTGCTCTATGTTTTCCTTTCGCCGCTATTCTTGCAATCCTTTTCAGCCGCTGAACGTTCTTTGCGAACATTCCGTCTTCGTCGCGCACCACCGTCTCAATCTTCTCCACCACCTCGCCAGAGTGGAACGCAAACTTGTCCAGCTTCAGCCCGACGCCCGCATCGACAAGGCGCACGGCGTTTGCCAGTTGATCAAACCAAACAGGTAAGCACAGCACACGCACGCCGTGATATGTGGCCTCGTTCGCCGACGACCCGCCGGCGTGCGTGAGGAAGAGCGTAACGTGCGGGTGGTCCAGCACCGCGCGCTGTGGCGCAAACGGCATCACCATAAAACCATCAAGCTTGCCATCCAACACGTCCCCAACCACAACCTCCGTCTCCATCTCTTCCGCGCCGTTCCCAGCCACGGCGACGCGCTTGCCGCGATCGAACCGCTTCCTCGTCACCTCGGGCAGCGCCCAAACGACACCATCCACGCCTCCCCGCCTCAACACCTCCACCAACCCCTTCATCAACTCCACCCCCTTGTCCTCAGGCAGCACCACGTGCGTCCCCAAACTCACATACACGACGCGCCTCCTCCCCTCCAACCACCGCTCGAACCCGCTCTCCAGCGGCGCCCACGAATCCGCCAGCACCGGCCCCACGGCCGCCATCAGCGGCGGCAGCGGCCGCGGCGTCTCGAGCCCGAAGAAGGAATTGACCAGGACCAAAAACCGCAGCCTTTCGTACCCCATCGGGCGGTCGCGCGCTGCGCCGGCACGCCGACGCATCTGGCGCGTCCAGCGCTCCTGGGCGCGCACGTGGGGCAGCGCGCGCAGCAGGACGACCTCGTTGCGCAGGCGCTGCCACACCGACAGCCCCTCCGACGTCGTCGCGGGGACGGGCTGGAAGCCGGGGACGCCGGGCACGTACGCGGGCTTCGCGCTGGGCGCGGCGAAGGGGAACTGCGGCCACAGGACCGCGACGGCGACGCCGTGCTCGCGCAGCATGTCGGTCGCCGCGGCGTCGGAGAAGTAGTCGGCGAGGATCATGTCGGGGCGGTGCGGGGAGGAGGAGGCGCAGAGGCGCCGCAGGTGCGCGTGGCTGTCGGCCCAGGTGTGCGCGTCCATGGTGCGCTTCGACGCGAAGATGGCGCCCAGCCCGCCGCTCGTCGCCGCCGACCACGCGTAGCTGCGCGCGAAGATGTCGTCGTCGACGTCGGCTGGTAGCGCGGGCCCCAGCGTGTGGACGGCGCTGATGAAGGGGTAGGAGCGCGCCCAGTGCTCTTGGCCTGCGTTGGTGGCGAAGGTGATGGTGTGGCCGCGCGCGGCGAGCACGGCGCCGAGTTGGAGGATGGGGGCTGCGTAGGTAGGTCAGTTATCTCCACGTGGGGATATGTGGGTGGGTGAATTGTGCGGGGGAATGGCCTTCTTACCTGCATGGGTGTACCCGCCTACCGTCGAGAGCAGCATGATCTTGCGCTTGAATCCGTCATCGTGGTCGTCGTGTGGCACTTCCATGGTTTCCTAAATTCTCTTCTGGGGTATCAGACATGGGATGGTGGTTAGTGGCGGAGGCGGCTCTCTGACGTGCAGCTGCCCTTCATTAAGAGGCATCAGCCATCCCAGCCACGTGACGCGCGTCCCTGCGTGCCGGCCTCAACATTTCTGGCGCCTTTGCGTGCGAAAACGATTCAGCTCGCATCCTGCTCTGGTGATCTGATTGCTGCCTGACCCGCGGGGTCGTCGTTTGTGGAGCCACACCCGGGGTATTTTCTGGCCCGGAAGGATTCGCGAATGATAGGCGCCATTGGCTGCCATTTTCTCTTCTGTGGGGGCGGGAAGTCGCACCACCCCGTAAAAGCATGCATGTTTTACAGCACGCGTTGTGGCGTTTTACTTTTTGGTTCCTTGGTTGCTCCCGGCGCTGTGGGACACATTGCTAATCTGTTGAGGCTTGCGCCGTTTGTTGATGACCACGTTGCCGAGCCGATGCACCGAATGTACGACCATTTATTTCAAGACCTCGCTGGAGACTTGCAGCCCAAGGAATACTTGCCATTGCTGATGCTAATTGAGTTAATGTGTTGCCATGTCCATAATAAGTGCGGCTTTCTTGCTTCGTTTCTTCCGCCGAATGTAAGAGTAAAGAATTGTAAAATTTGAAGCCATTTATCCTTCCGAGATGAATTCAGTTTTAATTTTCTAGCCATGCGTATAGAGCGCGGATTGTGTGGGGTACACACGTCATACCTATCACTGCGTTAATGTTTCTTTTTTCCAACTCATCCAATGCCCTCTCATTGACATAAATCATTTCAACTCTGTTTGTAGCATCACCTAGACGATTGAAGCGTGTGTTCCTGAAGAAGGGTACTTAGAGCTCATTACGCTTGGAATCCTTATCAGTGCCCTTTGAAGGAGCATCCGCCGCGTCCTGCGCATTGCTAGCAGGGACCTCCACCTTTGCACACGGTCAGACACGCACCCAGAACATAATGAGATCGGTATCAGCACTTACTTTGGAGATCTTGAAGCCTCCAGGAACCATGGTCTGGAAGACCCCTTCGGGATCGTACTTCTGCGCCATGGCGCGAATGCGCTCGATATTGGGGAGCGGGTAGCTCTCAAGCGGCTTCTGGTCATTGTAGGCGTAGGGCAGATAGATGTACGGGTGGTCCTTGCCCTTGCTCTTTGAGAAGGCCTTCACCTCGGCGATGAGCTCGCGCTGGGCATCTTCGAACATGGCGTCCTTCTCAGCGCCCTTCCAGCCGCAGTAGGTCATGAACACTTGGGAAACATCAGCCACAGTCGGTTTCGTAGGAGACAAGCTAGTAACTTTGGGCAGTGGGGGTATCATACGGATGTTGTTCTCAGCGGACTGGTCCAGGCCGAGCATGTTGCCTCCACGCTCCACGCCGAGATCAGCAAAGAGGGATGGAAGCGGCTGGAACATGGTGAGAGTGAGCCAATCGCCGCCGTCCTTGTTGAGCTTCTTGACCATGGCGTCAAAAAGTTCGGCGGCCTTCTTCATGACTTCGGCGTCGTTCTGGAAGGTGATGGTCATGAAGCCGTCGCTTCGAGGGTGTCAGGACCGATCAGACATGGAAAGGAGGAGAATATGCTTACCGGTAGCCAACGGCCTGCTCAAGTTCTTCGATGAGATCGGAAATGTTGGTGATCCTCATCGAGTCGGAAATGTTGCCGGGGATAGAGAGGAAGTCATTGAATATGGCAGGCGGCGGAGATGGGTCGATAGTCTTGGTGTACTCGTAGGCATTTGCAACCACGACTTGACCGATGGAAGAATCGTAGTTCATGATAACGATAATGGAGGCGTACGGATCCTCGGAAATCTTGTTGGTGAAATCCTCGAGATATTCAAGCTGCTGAGATGCGGTGTCAAAGGGATACGCGACCACTCCACCCCAGAGATTCTCATTCTCAAATGTCATGAGGTCGAAGCGAGTGACAATGCCGAAGTTGTTGGTGGAGCCCTTCATGGCCGGAAAGAGGTCGGGGTAGCTATCCTTGTTGACGTAGACGATCTCGCCGCTACCAAGAACAAGCTCATACTGTGCAACATTGTCGCAGGCCATGCCCTTGCGGGCCGAGTAGAACGAGTTGCCGCCGCCAAGCAGGAATCCACCAACACCAACAGAGCTGGCGCGACCGCCAACAATGAGGAGATTATCCTTGAGAAGGGTCGAGTAGACGGATCCCCATCGTGAGCCAGCGCCAACACCGGCAGTGCCATTGCCGAAGTTGGTAGTGGTGTTCATAAAGCCAAGGTCGATGGTCACACCATTCTCAATGTTGTTTGCGCCCGGCCAAACGGTGTGACCACCGCTGCGGATAGCAAACTGGCATGTCTGGGTTTTGTTGGCCTCTTTCAAGGCGATGACGGCCTTGGAGACCTCAGCAGCGTTCTGCGGCTGGATCAGGCACCACGGGCGCAGTTGAGCAGCAACCGAGAAATATGAGTCGATTCTCTCTTCGTACTGCTCATCGCCGGGGTACTGAATGCTCAGACCAGCGGTTTTCAGAGCGCCGCACTGATTACTCCATGTAAGCTTGCTTGCTTGAAGACGTCACTTTAGGTGCTTACGTACGCAGTGTGATGCGCCGGAACCACTGGCCGATGCCGCGGCAGGGCTTGATGTTTCAGAGGCCGACCCCGTGTTGCTTTCGGCAGCGAATGCCGCGGCAGAGAAGAGAGTTGCAGCGACGTGGAGGCGCATTGTGCCGCAGATCAGTGAAACGAAAGAATGATGAGAGGCAACCTCGCCAACGATCCGATCAACAGGAATGAAGAGCAGAACACCTTTTTACATGACTCTTGCTCCAACCCCACCGCCACACCAGTCCGGACGTGTGGAGGCGGTCATTCAGCCGGTCGTTCATGGATGAAACGGCGATCGCCCAACCAGTTAACGCTTGCTGCGGGCCGGCCGTTGTGCCTCACGCGGTTTTTTCTGCGGTGAAATGGCCTATCCTTGTTTGGGATAGTGATATGTACACGACACTGCATTGCGGGGACGTCAGCAACAGTCAGCCAGAACATCAAATTTCTCTACCACTTCTGGATCCGCATTTTACGAGGATGCATTTCTCTCGAAAAAGCCCTTGGGGTGTTTCACAGAGGTTGGCTTCCGTTCCACACCGCACCGTGGGATCATCCGGAAGTCCGCTTCCCCTTCCGCGTGCCCGGGGAGATGTGCATCCTCACCAATCCCAAAGCGTCGCGAGGAAGAAGCGGTGGGGTATTGCGGCGAGGCGCATCGAATTTCTGGGCGCCTAGGCGTCCCTTGACGGCGCGTGCTTCGGAAAAGATGGGGCGTCCTCGGTTCCTGCATTGTTGTCTGTTCTTGGCAAGGAGAAGATTTTCGGCGAACCAGTCACAAAGACGGCGGGCGGGTGGCTGCCGGGAGCTTATCGTTGGACACAACGGTCGAGTGTGCCAATCGAAGAAGAATCCTGTTCTCTCCATTGCATTGACGCGCCCAGTTTAAACGATCGTGAACTATTACATAACGAGGGATTCAGGGGATCTGCTCGGCTATTGTGGTCCAGTCAAAGTCTCGCCTAAGTAGATCTGAGGGAACCTAGTGCTTGTACCTTCATGAAAGCTCTGTCCTCATCCTCCAGCATAGTGGGCGCACAGGGCGGTTCCTTCGAGCTTTGCAATTTTTTTTCATTCTCATGGCACAGCAGTCCTTATTCACAACCTAATGCACGCCACTAAGCCACAAAAGCTTGAGCTTTGATCCAGAAAGAAGGCCAGACCGGCCCGCGCCGCGTCAAACATACGCACGTCTACCTCGTGCCGCTGTGGATCGCATATTCCTTGTATCAGCTTCGCTACGACGGTTACATCCTTGCGGTCCTTGCTCCCTCAGGAGCATATTAAAAAAAAAAAAAAAAAAAAGAGGTCGCGATGGGGACCCCGTTTTGTCCACAGTCGGGAAGCCTTCGGCGACTTTGAGGCATGACGCACCATAGAACGATTCATGCATGGGTTCTCGGATGATTCTCCGGGATGCGCAAATGGGGGATAACCTTGCTGCCACGAGATTGCGTTGGGGGGTGGCCTATAGTGGATCCGGGTAAGGCGGACAACGCAGCAATCCATGCCTGTTTTCGCCGAGGAACTTCAACGAACGGCCTAGCTATTCTCGGGTGTACAAGGCCATATTATAAGCATCGAGCGTTGACCCGAGTTCGTACTGTTCCTGATGTGGATCAGTGCCGATGGAGATCATACCAGGGAGTGAAACCCACCCTAGGTGCGGAGAGTAAGCGTGCATCCGGCCGGAAGGCTTTGAGTAATTCCTTGAACTGTGCCCATTTGTTAGTGCAATACTTCTCAACCCACTTCCCGCCTCTCTTCCTCAACTTCACCCAGCCACGCGCTGGAGGGCGTGAGCCGCTGCCATGGCCGCCACATACACTACAACGTATCTCGCCACAACAAGCGGCACGTTCGCGACCGCTACCTCGACGATTATTGCGGTACTGCCACCGCCCACGGGCTATCATGTCGATTTTGCCAATCCCGCGAGAAAAGGCGATACCACCGGCTACTGGGTGTTTGCTTTCGGCATTATATTTGCCTTTTTATTCTTATGCATGCGGCTATACACGAAGATAGTTGTTTCACGGTCTTTTGTTGTTGACGATGGTGCGCTGCTCGACCATGAGTTCCAAACATTTCTGTGCTAACCATGTTTCTAGCATTTATTATTGTCTCCTTTGTCAGTCACTCAGTGTACCTGCCACTCCAACTTCTTCTAACATCAGTCAGGTTCTTGGTTTAGGCTGCCAGAGCCTCTTAGTTTGTACGAACTTATCAAACCCATCTGCCAGTCTCGGTCTAACCATTACCAGATATGTGGAAGAACGAGATCCAAGGTGTGCACGCCTGGGAGATCCCTCTAGAACATTACAATCTTTACAACCTGGTCAGTCTCCAGAAGACACCATCCCGCAAGCATCGCCCGCTGAACATGATCTCCTACAGCTCATCATGTGCGCCTCGGTCCTCTACGCGCCGACCCAAGGTTTCGCCAAGCTCTCCCTCCTCCTCTTCTACCGGCGACTCGCGCCATTCACCTGGTTCCGCGCGGCAATCTACGTCGTCATGTTCGTGGTGGTAGCGTACACGCTGGGCATCATGTTCTCGCTCATTTTTCCCTGCAAGCCGGTCGCGTCTAACTGGGACGTCACAATCGAGGGAGAATGCATCAACAAGGCGGGCATATACATCGCTACGGCCGTCATCAACATCGCGACCGACCTCGCGCTGCTTGTGCTGCCCATCCCCGTGCTCGTGCGACTGCAGATCCCACGACTGGAGAAGGTGGCGCTGATCGCCATGTTCGGCGTCGGGTCGATGTACGTAGCACACACACCCCCGCCTCCCATCATCACTTCATCCCCATCTGGCACACACACCTTCAACACGTGTCTCCGCTAACACGAATTGCTACACAGGACCTGCATCACCAGCGTCGTGCGCCTCATCATCCTCATCCCCATGCTGACCGACCTCGACCAAACCTGGGCCGTCTCCATCCCGTGCGTCTGGATCCTCGTCGAAGCCAACCTCGTCGTCATCTGCGGCTGCCTGCCCATCGTACGCAAGTTCGCGCGGCACGTCGCCCCGAAGCTGTTTTCCTACGGCTCCTCGCCGGGGCCGTCCGACGACGACGACCCTTCGTCCACCGGTGGCGGCAGCAACATCAAGGGCAAGAAGAAGAGCAGGATGGCCGATTTCACGTTCCACACCATCGGGAGCAAGAGGAGCAAGCCGCTGGTGGGCGGCGCGAGGAGAGGGATTGGAAAGGGGAGCTATGGGGAGGACTTGAGCAATATTGAGCTGAATACGACGTGGGCGGGCGACGAGACGGTTATGGGAGCGGGAGATACGGCGGGGAGCTTGGCGGACGATGATGGCAAGAGGGGCGAGAGTAGGGATGGTAGTGGCATGAAGAGAACGTGGAGTGATGGCGGGAGCGAGACGTGCATAGTGGAGACGAAAACGACGGTGGTGGAGTATGGGGAGGCAACCGAGAGCATCAGGAATGGGTTCGCAAGGCCAAGAGGGGTATGAGTGGTATACCGACAACGGAAAAAAGGAAGTGTGTCCGGCAGCGTTGTCGGAAGAGAAGGCGTTCACGGAGATTATGGGTTGAGGATTACGCGTCACGCTTTACTGGAAATGTTCGCGCAAAAAATTCTAGATGGGAGTCTGTCTTTGCCTTCACTGTTGCCTTCGGTGGTGTAGACCTTTTTCGCCTTCTATTTTCCTCTTTGGGAACGAGCTTGCGTATGAACTGAGACTGTGGAGAACAGGAGAACCCCGATGGCCGCTAAGATGAGTGATGTAGCCGGAAGTATCCGACGGAGCTGTGAGTCGGTGGGACAAAGCTCTCCGCGACTGTGGTTGCACACGCGGTTTGCGCTTGAAGAAAGGGGGCATCATTAGGGTCCAGGTACTCGTACGAGCTCGATCCTCCATGAGAGCAAGAATCAAAGCCTCATGGCAAAGCCACAGTTGTTAAATGTTATGTGTGGCTTAGGAGGCTCTAAAATAGATGCTCAGGTACACTGCATCTCGGCCCCACGAATTGAGCCGCTGCGGAGGCGGGCCGTTCCGCATCGAACTACGGCCGAGCGTCTGACTTCTACCCCGGCCGTGTACTTTCCGCATTGTTTGACAACAGGTAGACACGTTGAAACAATGAACACGTGGTGCTGCAATGGCATTGAATTAGAGTATATGCAGGTGCATGCAAGCCCCTGTGCCTTTGTCTGCAGCTAGAGCCGTATGTAAGCTTATGTAGCACTTGTTTAGGCAGTTGTGGCACTTGAACGTCACAAAGTGAGTCCTGGCCAAGCCACATGTGGCTGGACCTATGGTACGACCATTGATAAATGCAACGCAATCAGACTTAGCCGTCGGATCCGGTCGGCCGTGGGCCGAATATAACAGTGTTGGCGGAGGTTTGCTGCGGGGTCTGGACCGATTTAGAAACCAGCGCTTGTCTCAATTTTGCGCGGGCGACGCTGGCCCTCTCAGCCCTACGCATCATCGAGTCTGGATGGTACCTGGCGGCAGAGCGCCACAGCCGCGAACAGATGGTGTCAGCAGCCACCAACCGGATTTCTTCCTGCATGCGGCTCTTTGTTCCCCACAGTAAATCACATCCAGGCCTACTTGGGTCACTATGTTGTCTCGTTTGTTCTGCGGTCTGGCCAATTCAACAGTAAAACGCTGAGTCGAACTCGGGTGAGCGGCAGTCAAGCGGGAAGTCTATCCGCACTTCTGGTCCATACAACTTCTCCACGAAAAGCCCACGTGCTGCTATGTGATTCTCTCGTCTGGGGTGAGTGCGGCCTCACTCCGCCCCGCAAGACCCGTACACACGGAGTCGGGCATCCGAGCCAGCATGACGTCAGGTAAACAGTTCTCTCTGGCCATCTCAGTTAGCAAAGTCATACAGAAAGGAACCCTTGGCCCTGGGCCTTGCGACTTCTTTCTCAGTCTCTGACACATACTCGAGGCCAGATTGGTCGCCTGGGCAGTCTCGGCGTGCTAGTTGTTTGTGCATCTTGAAAGCAAGCAATGATGAGCCAAGCATCTCGGTCGAGACGCCCCCAATGTTGCGCCGGGGCGGAGGGAACAGCTCCGCTGCCGGTGGAAACTGAGGGCGCTTGGTGGAAGGAGTGAGGACCAACTGGGAAGGCGCAGGCCGCGACTTCCTCGTCGGCGCGCACAAAGCAGCGCCTCTAACACCCGTCGCCGGCCGAGCCCAAACCACAACCATCGTTCACCAGTTTTGCTCTTCGGGGCCGTCTCACTCGTTCTGAATCTGCTGAAGCCAGCACGTCGGTCATTACCTCCTCCCTGCGATATAAACCAAAGAGGACAGCGCTCCAAAGTCGACATCAACAGCAAACAGCTTCCTCCAGCACACTACCCATCAGCTCACCAACCCTTCTTTCAATCAACATGGTCTCCCTCCGCATCTTGGCCCTCGTAGCTCCACTCCTTTCCCTGACTCACGCTGTCCCCTACCCCTCTGACGCTGTCGCTTCCGCTGAGTTCAAGTCTGCGACCTACGATGGCGATGCTACGCCCACTGTCACCTCCCACGACCCTGCGACCATGGTCCGCCGCACCACTGGAGGTGTTGTTACTGGAGCCGCTGCCGTCGCCAGCATCAACAACCGCGACGGTATCGGCGCTGGCAAGGACAGCTACACCTTCTACAAGGGCGACGGCTCTCCCGGTGCTGGCTGGCCTACCAAGGACAAGTGGGTCTCGTTCGAAGACATGTGGAACAACAACAAGCAGAAGATCCTGTCCAAGTCCTGCAGCTACAACAGTTGGGGCGCTGAAAACTCTGCCGCTGAGATGCAGGGAATCTACGACGCCATCCAGAAAATTGCCGTCGAGACTAAGGTTGACCACCGCTTCATCCTGGCCATCGTCGTCCAAGAGTCCAAGGGTTGCGTTCGCGTCCCCACTACCGGGTAATGAAGCATACACCTTACGAAGAGCTTCAAGAGCTAACATGTTACAGCAACGCCGACCCCAACATCTTCAACCCTGGTCTGATGCAGTGCCACAGCGGTGATACTAGCTGTGCCAACAAGAACCCGTGCCCCAACTCCTCCGTAAGTCATTACAGCACACTCAATTGTTCACTTCTCCGTTACTGAACCACAATCTAGATCTTGTCAATGATACGTGAGGGTACGGCCGGCACTCCTAAAGGCGATGGTCTTGCGCAGGTTATCAACCGTGAGCACTCCCCGCAGCATCTCTACTCTGGAGGAGACACATCGCTGACATAATGTACAGAGGCCCAAAAGACCTTCTCCACCAGTGATGCCCGCGCCTTCTACGCTGCAGCCAAGTACTACAACGGCGGCTCCATTCCGCCCAGCAACAATCTTGAGGATGGCTGTTGCACGCGCTGCTACTCCAGCGATGTCGCTAACCGCCTTACCGGCTGGACCTCTGCTACCACCAAGTGCAACCTTTGAAGGACAGATGATCTGCATTGCCGCTGCATTCAGACCCGGACTGCACATTACAGGGACATTTAGCTTTGACCTCTTTGAATTTTATGTTTTCTGCTGAGTTGCTCAGCATCTACTGCATAAGTGCTCTCTCGTTGTGTTTCCACCATGTCTTGTCGGTATTTTACGAGTAGATATCCTTTCGTACAGCATTTTGTTATTTTTCACTTTGTTTCCTCTCTTTGTTCACCAACTCTCGCGTTGGATTCATTCCATTGATGCCAGTCCACCAATATGACGTACTTGTTACGCATAGTCAAGTAGCTCGCACTCATATAGCTACAATGCGCAGATTTGCGTTTCTTCGAAATGTGTTCAGTGAGTGTCTGTGTAAGCCATCCATTTCTTTCCGCCTCTCAGGCTGTGACGGCGCCGACTGTACATTCTGAGACACCACCGTGGCGCTCAAGGCCTAGACCATCTGGCCAGAAGGCACAAGAGCGCAGTCTAGACAGTGGAGCAAGACACCCACCAGTGATGTTTTCAGCTTTGTACTCTGTATTTACTACTAAAGATTCACTTCATCTGTAAACATATTCCAGCACAGCAATTTTTCTAAATCACTTAGCTCATTGCTGATGTCAGATCTGTTTTAATCATGCATGATAAGCCCACCGTGATACTCGACGTCGATTGCGGGACGCAAGCGAGATGGGAAATTGCCTCTTTCGGCTAGGCCACGCGCTTTTCCCAACAACCAGGCATTACGCGATCCCCGATATGCCACACGTCTGGCGCCAGTATATAATCCTGCATGGATGTCTTCGAAAACTCGATGTCAATATGCTCGTGATACTCCTGTGTCAGTTCAGCTCCCTCAAAGCCCAACACGGAAGACTGGCAGCAAGCCATTCATCGAGGCGTCCGCATGTGAGAGATTTGCTGGACAAGGCAGGTCTGCAACAGTCTTGTATTCAAACAATGGCAGTCGAGAAATTAAAAGCAAGCAGCCGTACTTTTCATACAGTGAACCCTGCTTGAAGTCGATGATGATGTGTCAATTGCCTACGGCGAAAGGCTACCATTTAGTCGCGTCGTACTCCCACATGCGAGCAACGTATTCATCTCCCCCGCGCGCCCATCCTTTGATACCTCCATCGAGAACGACACTTTGCATCTCCGAGTCTCCTTGGCTTTTGATATGGTCTGCGAACCAGCCCGCTGAGCGTGGACCTCTGCCGCTAGACGAGCCTAATTTCAATGAGACCTTCGCTCGTAACGTCAAGGAGACACGCAGACTTACCACACCAGAAGATGACTTCTTTGATACCTGCGGCCTTGAAGATGGCGTAATGCGTCGGAATAGTAACGTACAAGCTATGTGCGGGTAGATTTATGGCGCCCTCTATCGTGCCACCCTGGACGCGGATGTGATTTAGCATTGAAGAGACAGAGGTGGACGAGCGAAAGCGGAGCCATACCTCAAAGTCCGTTCGACGGACGTCAACCAACACGAACTTTTGTCCAGACTTCTCACCATTTTTCATTCGGCGAAGCAGCTCTTCTCGCGTGATGCGCTTAAGGTCCGTTGAGCGAGGCTCTGGGTATGCTGCATACCAAGGCGTCTCAGCGGCTTGGCTCTCTGATGCCATAGTGGTAGTCTTGTTGATGCCGAAGTAGTCGGATTGAGTGATGGAAAAGCTTTGTAGAAGGAGAGAGACTGTTAGAACTAGAATGAGGGGTACGTCTCTGCTTACTCAGAAAAGGCGGGGTGGTCCCTGATCGCCGCTGATTGGCCAATGCCCGTACAGCAGAAAGAGACAATGGATGGCACTGTTCGTTTACAGCAGGACTTCAACACGCACACAGCTACAGTATTGTGCTCCTCTTGAACTAATATCTCAGTAATATCGAGATCTGTTAGTGCTGAGACTAATTCATGGTGTAGCATTAAAGTGTGCACCAGTATATAAAATTTTATACAAAACTATTCTCTTCCACATGAGCACGGCTACAAGCAACAATAGCATTAAAAGGCCTTTGAGCAGAGCATCTTTTAACATTGATCTAAGAACTGCCTTTTGGGGGGTAGCGACAAATAGAGTGAAGAGAAGTTGGACGGCAGGTGAATATAAATTTCCTTTTCCATCCACGCAATCTTTTGTAAGAGTGACTCCGTGACGGCGTATTACATTCCAAGCATCTTGTAATCTGCTTATAGGGGCAGTAATTTATTAGAAAAATATATAATCAGGCTTGACCTAACCGTGTTTCCGGGCTTTCTGTGTTACCTTTGGCTTAAACAGCTTTCAGATACTGTGGTGGGCGACATCAGTCACTCAGCCCTGCTGTTGCTATTGTGAAGCATCAATACTATTGTCTTCCTGTCAATAGCAGTGCTGCAAACTCCAAGCATAAAAACCCCCCTCCGCCTCAAATTTACTCTCTCTCCTACATCCACCCACCTCCGCACCCACCCGCTTGCGCTCGCCGTCCAGCGACACTATAATCACTTCCAAATACCTTGCCATCACCCGCCAGCATCATGCCTCCCAAGCGCACCCGCGGCCTCGGCCGTCGTACTCAACAACCACCTGCTGAAGAGCCCGCCCAAGAAGCGACCTTGCCAGCCACGACGCCTGTCCAGTCCGGCGAGGCAGAGGCGAATGACGCCCAGGTCAACAAGCCGGCCGTGAGGAGGTCGAAGCGCTTGAACACGGCTCCTCAGGAGTCCACGCAGCCCGTCGCTCCCAAGTCCAAGAAGAAGGGCACCAAGAAGGACAAGAAGAAGCCCGACGATGAGGTTCCTGCGGCGGCAGAGCCTCTCGCCGTCACCACCACCTCCACCTCCAACGAGGACGGCAACAACAACAAGCCGCCTCCCACCCCAACCACCCACCCTCTCCCCAGCGACGTCCTCCGCACCAACGAGTCCTCCTCCTCCACCACCACCGAGGCCGGCGGCGAGCAGAAGCTCGTGCGCGAGCTGAAGAACAAGAACAAGCTGCTGGACAAGCTGATCGAGGAGAACCGCGAGCTGCGGGCCAGCGCGGGCCCGTTGAAGCTGGAAGTCTACAAGCTGAAGAAGCGCGTGAGAGAGCTTGAGGAGAATGAGAGGAAGAGGGAGGCCGAGGAGGAGCTGAAGTGCGAGAGGAGGAAGAGGGTCAGGATGGAGGCGGAGCAGGCGGCGAGCAAGGATGTTGTGGTCCTGGATGATGACGACGACAAGGACGTTTAAGATGACGGAGACGAAATGTGTGGGTGGTATGTCATCTCAGGGTGTTAGTGGAACACTTTTGGGTACACTTCGTTGAGAAGTTTGGAGAGGATGCCCTATCAAAAGACGAGGCTTGTCATTGGGACGGGAGAATTGAACCGCCACCATCAGAGGCCTCGAGAGGAGACACACCGGGTATTAAATTGAAGAAAGCCTTTCATGATCTGCCATAATCACAAAGCACCATGCCAGCCAAAGTAACCGTCCGTCAACACCACCCGCAAAACCCAGTGATTCTTGCCACTATTCCCCCGCAGACAACCCAAAAGCCAACAGCGCCACGTTGCCAGAGTGTCCAAACGCCATAAACACCCATCCATGAAGTAGGCCTTGTCCCGCAAAGACACCCACTAGCAAGTCCTTTTTTACCTCCACGGACTACTCGCACTGGCGCCCCCCATATCCACGCTCTCAAACTCCATCTCCCACTCATCTATCTCCTTGAACTTCCTCGCCGCAGCCTCAAGCTCCTTACTCTTCATCTTTTCCCTCATCTCCCTCGTTTCAACCACACCGTCGTCATCTCCATCGCTCTCGCCACCGCTCCTCACGTACATCGACGCGTCCGCATCCTGGTTCTCCTTGTCGCTAGACCGACGGCCGTACGTCCGGCTGAGCCGTTTCTTGCCCGGCTTATCCTTCGCCGCCGCTGCAGCAGCTGTAGCGTTGGGCTGTTTCTTGCTCCGGACAGTGCTGTCCGATGTCCTCGCTGTGACCTTCTTTCTTCCCCTGCCTTTCGTTGCTGCCGGTGGGCGCTGAAGCTCGTCTTCATCATCGCTCTCGACTTCGACCTCCTCTTCTTCCGCTTCCGAAGAACTCGGGATCTCGAATGTTCCCACCGTCGCCGTCTTCGCGGAGCGTGTAGCAAGCTTTTTGCGTCGGCGAGGCAGGAGGGATTGCAGCGTTGCTGTCGAAAGGGACAGAACCTTCGGTTTTCTTGAGTTCGTCTTCTTGCGCGACGTACGCTTGGAGACGGGGGTTTCAGTAGCGGTGTCCGATTCCAACTCAGAGCTCGAAAGCGGATCGGCTGCGTGATCTTCTGGATCAACGGTGGAGGCCCTCCATGCAGTTCGGCCGGTAGATTTGGTGGTGCGAGCGGCAGCGCGACGAGGCCGTTTTGCTGGCGCCTCTTCTGGCTCCAGTTCGGCGGGGATGGAGGAGAGAGGCGATGTAGAACGGTGCGGAGCCGCAGTCTCTATGGCAGCTTTATTTGTCGTTGCTTCCTCATCCTCCTGGGGCTCGGGCTGCGTATCGACGACCATCTGCTGCGCTTCAGAAACCTCCGAGTAGAGGTGCTCCGACGACGTCTCTTCTCCATCAGCAACCAACTGGTCTTCCATGACCGGCGGCGACGACCGTGGCACTTGCACTGTCGATATCTCCATCATCTCATCCCGCTCAGCCAGCTTTCTCTTCCTCGAGCTGCTCGTCCTCGGCTCCGACCCAGGCAACGCCGCCGCCATAGAGCCCGCTCTCCCCAAGTTCAGCGGCGTGCCCTCATGATCCGGCTCAAAGTCACCCAAGCTGTAATCCAGCGTCGCCGCGCTGTCGTCCATGCTGTCATCGCCGCCCGTGTCCTCCGCATCGCTCTGCTGCATCATGCGCAACAAGCTGCCCTGCCTTCTCCTCTTCTTGAACTTCGTCAGAGCGAGCACGCTTCTCTCCGTCGCCGGCGTTCCCTGCGCCTTGACAGCGCTACCAGGCATCGTGTTGTTCCAATGGCTGCTCGAGGCCCTGCGCACCCTGCTAGCCGTTCCCGGCACCTCCTGCCTCCTACCCCTCTCAGTATCCTCTTCTTCCCTCTCCGTATCTGCCGCAGCGCCCGCCGTCGCACCAGCCGCAGGGGCAGCAGCAGCAGCAGCAGCACGATCACCCCCACCCATCGCCTCCTCTCTCCTCTTCCTCAGCGCCTCCAATGCCTTCGCCTGCTCCGGATCCTTGGCCGCCGTCCGCTGCTTCGTCACGCCGCCCCTCATCCTGCCCCTCGTCCTAACATTCCTGTTGTTATTCTTCCTCGCCGCGCCGCCGTCGCCTTCGGCCAGGGCGCCCGTCATCACGTAGTCCTCCGCCGTCGTGGTTGAAACCCTGTCGGCGCGCCGGAACAAACGCGCGGGCCGGGTCGAGATGCCGAGGGTGTCGCTGTCTTCGCCGCTGTTGTTGTCGCCGCCGCCATTGCTGGTTTCGGTGTTGTTGTCGGCGTCATCGTTATCATCGGCGGCGCCGTCGAGCTGTTGTGGTCCGGCTGAAGTGGGCGCTTTCATCTTGCGCGAAGGAGCGGCGGCGCGCTTCGTAGTGGTTGTTGTGGTGGTAGTAGAAGTAGTACTCGCACCGCCAACAACAGGGTGTGTGGTAGTTGCGTCGGCGCGTGTGGTGCGTGTTTGTGCTGTCGTTGATTTCGTCGTTGTCGTCGCCGCCGCGGCGCGCGTGCTGCGTTTTGGAGGCATGGCGGGGCGGGCGCTTGAGCACAGGGAGCCCTGGCGCGATTGCGATGGCGCGTGGGCTTGAGATGTGTGTGCGCAATTGGCAGTCGCGTTGAGGCTCGCGGGGTACGGCGACTGGTTTGCACGTCGCGCTGATGTTCTGCGAAGTCAGATGTGCGCGCGAGGCTCAAGGTCAACGAGGCGGTCAGATCTCGTATGTGGTGTTGACGTGTTGGACGCGTTCCACACCCGTGGCGCAAATCGGGCTTGGCGACGCGATGCACGTGATGGCGACTGACCCCTGCTTGGCCTACCACCCCGCATGTCCATTCCCTCAGCAAGCTCAATATCTCATATTGATATAGTACTACAGAGTTTGTTCACTTTTAGGAAGGACTATAACATGATTGTGGTTCACTGCTCTCCAAAGAGGTCCTTCTCCACCATGGCCCTACAGATGGGATGGTAAAAGTCCTTGTTGCGCTCAAACGTGTCTTTCGCCATCTGGAAGTCCGCGTCCTTGAGGGCCCTGAACAGAGGCCGAACGAACTTCATTCTGCCCACCCGTCCCAGCAGCTCTGCCGTCGGCTGATACGTGCTGATTGTCTTGCTCTTCAGGCCGAGGACGAGGAACCTCGACACGATCTCCACGTTCGCGCTCTCCTTAAACCGGTAGTTCTGCCACATCAGCTCAACCAAGTCAGACTTGAGTGGCTTGTCCCAGGACTGAATCTTCTCAAGGAACACAACGGCCTGGTTGCCGGTCCAGCCTGCGATGTCGTCGGATGTAGGTTTGAAGCCAGAGATATCATCCGAGTTGTTGGCTCCCTCCCAGCGCTCGGCGAGCTCGTAGCAGACCTTGACGAGAGAGTCATCGAAGTCAGGCTTGGGCGGGTAGCCGGGGGCGTAGAACCAAGTATCCCAGTCGAGGGACTCGAGCTTGGCGCTGGCGTCCTTGTCGGAGGCGAAGAAGTCGATGAGGGTGGCCTTGAAGTCGTACGAGTCAAGCGACTTGTACTTGTATTTTTTGAAGTAGTGGGGGATGAACTTGTCCCACTTCTCCTTGCCGAGCAACTTCTCGAGGTAGTAGAGGAAGGTGGAGCCCTTCTCGTATGGAATCGACGAGAATGCGTCATCAGGGTCTTTGCCCTTCAGGTCTGTGATCAGCTTGGTGTATTCGTGATCCTGGCCGTATCTCTCTACGGAGTCTTGCAGAGCCTTCCAGCCAATGATGGCAGAGAAGTCCCTGTATTGCTCTCCGTGAATGGCGGCGATGATCCTGCGCTCAAGATAGACGGTCCAACCCTCGTTAAGCCAGAAGTGCTCCCAGCTAGCATTGCTGACAAGGTTTCCGCTCCAGCTGTGGGCAAGTTCGTGGGCGATGACATCGATGTTCTGCTTGTCCCCGCTAATGATGGTCGGTGTCGCAAAGGTATAGATGGGGTTCTCCATTCCTCCGTAAGGGAAGCTGTTGGGGAGGACAAGCACGTTGTACGTGGTCCAGGCATAGTCGTAGACAATCTTCTCCGCAGCTTCGAGGAACTTCTCCATGTCGCCCTCCAGCTCCCACTGGCATGCAGTCAACGCGTCCGAACTGGTCCAAACGGTGCTTCGCGGGCCGATTGAGGCACTGGCAATGTCGCCAGATGCGAGTGCAATGAGATAGGCGGGAATTGGGATTTCCTGTTTGTACGTGTAAAGTAGCGTGCCAGGGGCGCCATCCTTGCTTGGCTGGAAGTCTTTGATACCAGTGGGGAGACCGCTGGCCAGCACAGGAAGCGGAGAGCGGATGTTGAAATCCACAGTAGACTTGACATCCGGAGTATCCTGGCAAGGAAGGACGGATCTAGCATGGATGGCCTGGCATTGAGAGAACATGTAAGGATGTTTCTTGTTCGACGTCTGCTCAGGCGTCAACCACTGTAGGGCAGTGCACTGCTCGGTCGTGCTAAGGGAGATGTCGATGGCGATCTCCTTATCCTTCTCAACACCCTCGCCAAGCTTGATGGACAGAGGGCTTCCATAAGGCTCCGACCGCGCAGCAAGATCCCATTTTGCGGACTTGCCGTCGACCTTGATTTCCTTGATGTCGAGAAAGCTGTGGACATGCAGTCAGAATTTTTATGATAAAAGAAACGATTGATGAGAGTAACAAACCTCGTATCCAAGATCACTTCATCTGCCTCCTTGTCCGTCAAGCTCTTTAACAGCAATACGACATTTCCCCGAAGCTTCTGCTTGGCGAAATCAAGCTCGAAGTTGACGGTCGTGTGCTTGGTCAAGAAGCTTCAATCCCGTTCAGCATCGCATTCGATATCGCTCTGAGGGTTGGCCAAAGCTCGCCGCAAAGTGCGTTGAACTTACTTCTGATAGTTGCTCAGCGTATTCGGATCCCTGTGCTTATTGACCGAAACCGCTGACGCGGAGGAATAGCGCGTCACCATTGTTGCAGAGAAGCCGCGGAACTGCTGGCTAGAGCGGTAAGAGAAAGAAGTCAAGAACTGCGGGGCCTGTGGGAGATATGACCGCAGACGGTTCATGAACGGCTGCAAGGGTTGGGGAGCGGGGAGGGAACGGAGTGAGGTTGTGGTGGTGACGGAAGCGTGGGACGGAATGTCATTGGGCAAGCGACAGGGCGGTGGGACGCCATCGCGGGCGGGCAAAGCGCGCTAATGCCCTTCAGGAATGTGGGATGATTTGTTGTGTCCGTGAGCGAAACAGACCCGCCTTCTGATGTAACATCGCGTGCGGGAATTTGGTGCAAAGATCTCTGGAAAGACACAAATAAAAATGTGCTACGATGAGCATTGGCACTGGCCGGAAATGCGCAACAACAGGAGGCATCTGTGACAACGTAGCTCGTCATCGATACTTGAAAGCAACTATCATGCATATTTCATTTCATCGTTCCACTCAATTGACCTTGACTGTTCTACAAGCTCATCGCGCCGAAGCTCCGAATGCTCGCCAATCGAAAAAGGGCTACGACAAACCTCAACCCAAGAAACCCTTTCCGTGTCTACCACCCATTTTCCACGCAATGCTACCTTATAATGAATAGTGAAGAAGCGGAGTCCCCCAAGCCCAATATTTTTTCGTCACTGTCGTCCAACCGCCACCAGATGCATCGATTAGAGCTCCCGTGAATCAGATATGTGCTTGAATTTGATTTCGAAAGCGCGTCTCCTTCAGAGAAGCACCGGTAATAAAATGAGAGTAATGAGAAGGCCGGCTAGTGCTGGCAGGTTGTCGAGCGCGAGCGTCTTCATAAAGATGGCGGTTGTGAATCGCCCACGTTTCTTTGGCCAACTGAAAAGTGCGGCCATTGGAAGTTCTGTGCGATGATGGGCTGGGCGGTTTACATCTCCTGCTGAAGCGCGGAAACTTTGTCCCACAGTGCCTCGGCATTCTGTTGCTTCACCTACAAAATTGTCAGTATTTGCTTTTGCAATCCATGAGAGACTGCTCACCTTTAGCTGAAGCATTTCAAGATCGTCGCTGTCCATGGTGCCCATGAAAAGAACAAGCCCGTTCGTGGGCTTCTCGCCCTTGACGTCGCCAACCTTAAGCTCCTTCTGGATAGGGGAATTGAGAACAACACGATGGGAACCGTCCGCGCGCATGACGAAGCGTGCCTTCTTGGGAGCCTTCTTTTCAGCATCCTCTGCGGATTGCTTCTTGACATTAACCTTGAGGTTGCCAAGACCACGCTCCTTCCACTCCTTCTTGGTGTCTGAGACCTTAACGAAATTGTAGAGTTTGGCACGGCAGACGAAGATGGTCTCCTCATTCTCCTCGCCAGTTTCGACTGCAGTTGTTGTGTTAGACCCGCCGTCAAGTCGTGTTGCCGCTGACATACCATCTTGCTCGAAGAATCTTTCATCTTTTTTATCCTCTTCGTTGGTGGGACTCAGGACCTTCTCCTTTTCTTCATCACCTGCCTCATCGCCAGAACCTTCCTCTTCTTCCTTCTCATCCTTCGGTGCACCGAAAGGCCGCGCCGGCTTATCACTCAGACCGGTGATCTTGGGGCCACTGCCACCACCAAAGCTTGTAAGCTTTCCACCTCCGCCAAATCCACTGCCAAAGCCGCTGCTTGCGATAGAACCAAACCCGGAAGTGGCTGCGGCGAAGGGAGACTTATTCTCCGAAGAAGTCAATCCGCCAAATGCAGAGGGCGTGCTACTACCTGAGAAGCCGGTGATGGTGGGCTTTGCAGTAGCAGTAGTAGATCCGAAGGGACTCGAAGCAGGCTTTGATACAGCGCCGAGAGCTCCAAACGGGGACGTCGAGGTACTCGCCAGGGCACCGAACCCGGAAGCCTTGAAAGCACTATCCGATGTTTGAGGCTGGGGCGTTGGGGACTTGCTAGCGGCCAGCGAGGCGAATGGCGAAGCCGCGGACGTGTTAGCGAATCCGCTTCCCTGTGGTATCTGAAATTTAATTAATATCAAATATACAGCAATGTAAATGCCAATTGAACGTACCTTGGTTTCCGAAGTTTTGGTATCCGCCGTGTTGTTCTCCTTGCCAGACTCGGGGCTGTTGCTATCTCTGTGACGCTTGACCTTGGGCTCATCGCCAGAGGGTTTCTTCGTAGAGATCTTCTCCGTAGCATTGGTGTCCTTCACCTCGGCAGATGGCTTGTCGCCTTCCTCTTCAAACTCCTCGCGGTTCCGCTTACCCTTGGGACTAAGCATGCCCCTCCGTGTCCGTTCCGCAGAGCTCGAAGGTGTGGATGAGCCCTCCTTGATTGTGCCATTCTTGTTCTCGGCAGAGGCCTTTCGCTTCGTGATCTCGGGCGCGTCAGCGAGGGTGACATCCCTCGAGCGCTTCCTGCCCTGCTTCTCTGCTCTGATGCCTCCCATATCCTCGAAGCTTCTCTTCTTTCGCACGCGGCCCCTCGGCTCCTCGTTGGTGTCGGGCGTCCCCGCCGCGTCCTCGGTCGCAGCTTCCTTCGACACGTCGGAAGCGGCGGACATCTCGTGGTCGTCGTCGGAGAGGACGTCTCTCGGCAGGCCGGCGATGGATGTTTTCTTCAGCTTCTCGCGCACAGGACGCTCAGCGCCTTCGGTATCGCTGGCTTGACCGAGGCTCTTCAACGAGCTCGTCGACGCAACCCTGTCAGCGGGGGTGATTCCGGTGGCGGCTTGGTGATCGGCGGACGTGACCTCAGGCTCCTGAGCCTGCTCGTCGCGAGCCATTGTACAGTGAGAGTGATGGTACGGGTGCGAATCGCACAGGAGAGTGGTGCTCTTGAGCTGTCTGTCTTATCCAAAATGACGGCGTGGCCGTGCGCGCGCGCGAGCCGCCAACGAGGACGTGGGTGAGGTGGTCGGTCGGGTCTTCCGTGCGCCGGGCGATGCGGCGGGAGAGGTTCAGACAGCAGGCGGCCCTAGCTACGCGTGCGAAGCCAGCGTCAGCCAACAGCACGCGGTGGTGAACCGGTGAGAGAAAAGACAACTGACCTGGCCAGCGACGGCGATGGAAGCGATAAGATCTGCAGGCTATGTGGGGACGGCGGTACCGCGCGACGAGGTCAGGCCCCAGCGGAATGTCAAAGGCGGCGAAGGTGTCTCAGACCCTTGATGCTAATGGGGACGGTTGTCGAACACAGGTCTTTGGGGTAGGATTGAGCTGACGCAAGTCTTGGGCGAATGTGAAGGCGCCTTCGATAAGTCGATCAGCTCGACGCAATTTCAATAGACGGCGTGCAAGGTGAGGTAGCACAAGCGGCGACTCGGACACGCCAGCGCGACTGTGGACGGGTGCGGCAGTGAGGGGAGGTGGGCTTGTTATGGGCTTGGGGTTGGCGGCAGACGCAGGCCTGGCGGGGTGGTGTGCCAGCCGCCGTGGATATGGAAACGCGCCCGACGGGAGCCAGCACCAGCCGATGACGGGCGTCGATCCACGAAAGCCGAGTCTCCAGCTCGGCTTCATGGCCAGCCAATATCCCCGGCTGATGTTGAATGCGACACGCACCCTCAACACAGATCTTACACGTACATTGCCTATCTGAATACCTGCAGATGTCAACCCTCCGATTGGCGCCACGCACCATGCAGCACGAATGGAGGGACGAAGGCTCCGCTTGCAAATCCTACACGCGCCGCCACTAATAAAACAGGGATCCATCTGCGAACGGTATCGAAGCCTCCCAGCACCCAGAGCCTGCTCCAGTTTCGCCAATGGGTATTCATAAAACAGGGCGCGAATTAATGTGCCAAAACAAACTCCACGCCACTCTAGCTAATGAAGCACAGGCAGCCCAAGCTCACGTAGAAAACGAACAGTGGGTACACCGCAATGCCTACACGGTTCCGGACCACGCCAGATCCACCGAGAATACTGATACCTGCAGCAAGTGACCAGGCAACCAGGGCGATGTAGACGGGTATGCGGATTATCGTGTGGACGCCAAAGGCACTGAGTATGGACGCAATGACGAGCGGGAAGAGGGTGTAGCCAATGATGCAAACGGACTGAAGGAATGAGCTGTATAGACCGTTAGTAACTGATCCCCACTCGGTGCAGCTTGAAACTTACATGCTGCCACCCAAGAGCTTGATTTGCAGCGTGACCATGGCCTCGCCAATCCAGACCATGGCGAAAACACCCGAGAACACGAGCGACTTCTGCTCATCGCGGGCGGGCCGTGAGAGGAAGAAGCTCAAGAGAAGGCAGAAAATCAACGGGCCCCAGAGATCCCAGTTGCGCAGCCCCTCGCTCATGCTTCCGTGCAGGACCGCATCTGCGTCGGGCCAGCGTCCCACAAGGTTCCTCAAGCCTCCAGCCTGGCCGGCCTCGCCGCGCTCTTCAGCGCCCATGCCGCCCCCGCGCTGGAGCATGCCGCCCAGCAGGTATTTAGGCCACAGAACCTGACGCATCTTCTCCCATATTGCCAGCAGGTCTCTCGACAGGGTCTCCCAGACAGTTTCATCGATTGTGTTCGTCGGCGCACGACGGTCCTCGCCGGGGATAGTAGAGGTCAGGTAGTTTTGGGTGTCGCGATTGCCAGACGATTGAGAATTGATGTTGCCCGTGAGCGGAGCGCGGTCGGAAGTCGACTGAAGGGGGTCGTCGAGGTCGTCGAGAGTAGCTATCTCCCAGTTCAGAGCAGTTTCCGGAACATGTTTTATCGTAGCTGCCTACCGTCATCGGGATCAATCATGTGGTCGCGCTCGATGGCGTCATTGTCGTAAGGGTTGCTCGACTGAGTGCTGGGCATCATTCCGGCCATGGTGAGGTCCTTTTGTTTGCTTGAAGAGGAGTTGTGAGAGCTTGAAGCGCAACGCGTCACCTGAAGCTACGTTTCGAGAACATGGAGCTCACGGCGACCAAGGGAACGCGCACGGGCCCCATCCCGGATCAAAGTAGCAGCGGCGTCCCGCGCTCGGCCTGTGATGCGCCGCGGGACGGCAAGAGCCAGGGAGCCCCTCCATGCATTGGCACGTCATTGCGCTCAACATCTGCCCCAAACCGCCGGACCCCGCAATCCACACTTATTTTTGTCCAAACCAGATGTAAGTTGTATTCTGCTATGTTCCGGCCTGTCACCTATTTCTCCGCTAAGATTCCGTCTACTGTCTACTTCCCTCTCTCCGCATAAACACTTGTCCCACCCCGCAATGCTCACACGGGGTTCGCCGATCACGCGGTGGGCGCGGCCTTTCCAATGCAACCGTAGCGATGGTACCCGCGCCTCATCCCATCCAACTCCGGCGCTATAAAAACAAGCTGCTCAGCTGTTCGCGTCTCGTTTATATTTTGGGACCTTTCTCCGAGATTTCTCGCTTGCATTCTTCTTTCCTCTCCTTTAAATACTTGCACCTCTCAACACCGCTTCGTCTGATAATTATTTTCAGCTCCGTTACTCTCGCATATTTCTAGCCCAACATGCCGGAGGAAATCCTCAATGACATCTCGCACCGCCGATTCAACCCGCTTCGGGGCTCCTGGATCCTGGTCTCGCCGCACCGCACCAAGCGTCCCTGGCAAGGCCAGCAAGAGGCTGCTAAGCAGACGACGCTCCCAGCCTACGACGAATCCTGCTACCTGTGCCCGGGTAACCAGCGCGCGGCGGGCGACTCGAACCCCAAGTATGAAAGCACGTACGTCTTCGTGAATGATTACTCTGCGGTGAAGGAAACGCAGGCCGAGTACACCCCGACGGCGCAGGACACCGACAGTCTCGAGTCACGCCTCCTCCAGGTGGAGCCGGTCACAGGCAAGTGCTACGTGATCACGTTCTCACCGGCGCACAACGTCACGTTGGCAGACATGGTCCCCGCGGACATCGTGCCGGTCATCGAGACGTGGACACGCATCTACACCGCGCACCTGTCGCCCAAGTCGCCGCTCGCCGCCGTCGCTGGCGCTACTACCCTGCCGCCTCTTGGACACGATAGCGCTGCGACGGCGCCGGCCCAGCAGTTGCGGTACATGCAGATCTTCGAGAACAAGGGCGCCGCTATGGGCTGCTCCAACCCGCACCCTCACGGCCAGGTTTGGACGACGACTGGCATGCCCGAGGAGCCTGGACTGGAGCTGGTGCAGCTGCAGAAGTACCGTTGTGAGCACAGCGGAAAGAACATGCTGGAGGATTATGCGCAGCTGGAGGCTAGCAAGCAGGAACGCGTCGTCTTCGAGAACGAGACGTTCTTGGCACTATGCCCGTGGTGGGCTGTCTGGCCGTTTGAGGTGATGATTGTGAGCAAGAAGCACAAGCGGGCTCTGGTGGACTTTGATGCGAAGGAGAGGGAGAATCTGGCGGAAGCGATTGCGGAGGTCACGAGGCGGTACGACAACTTGTTTGAGACCCATTTCCCGTACAGTAAGTATTCCAGAATTATTGGACTCTCCGCGATGTGTTTCTAACATTCTTTGTAGGCATGGGTCTTCACCAAGCTCCTCTCGATGGTACGGATGAGGAGATTGAGGCCAGTCATTTCCACATGCACTTCTACCCGCCTCTGCTTCGGAGCGCTACTGTGCGCAAATTCCTTGTTGGGTATGTAGAGTATTTTGGACGATCTGTTATACACTCCGCTAACATCAGTTGCAGATATGAAATGATGGCTGAGCCGCAACGTGACATTACGCCAGAACAGGCAGCCGCTCGTCTCCGCAACTGCGGCGGAGAGCTCTACAGGAAGAGGCTTCAGAGCTAGGTGGAGATGTAAATATTGGAAACTTATTAGAGCGTAATGATACGAGTTTTTGTTGGTGGATCTTTCGAGAAGAGCATACCCCCATGGACCAGCAGCGCGGTTGTCTACAATGGTGACTGAGCTATCAATCTATCCAGCCTCCAAGGGATTAGAGACACCGACGGCCACAGTCTGGATATATCCGGATCTGAGCTCCTGTGTGACATCAGACGGTCTGTCTCCACGGTTCCTTCTTTACCTTCCTTGGCCACCCGTTTTATTTCACATAAAACCCATACTGCAACGTCATCCACAAGGTTGTCCCAATGCTCACAAATACCGGTCCTGCCAAACCCTTGTTCCAGCTCGTGGTCCCAAAAACGAACCACTCGGTGCCAAAGTGCCACATGGCAACCACGTTGGTCAGCATGGCCAGCTGGTATATGCCGGCAACTTCGATGTTGTAGGCAGCATACAGGCGCACGATGCCCTGCAGCAGGGTCCAGGTACCGAAGGTACGGCTATGAAGCGGCGTGGTTTCGCTCGGGTGCTGGTAGCCGGGCGGCGGCTTGACGCGGTCCGGACGGGGAGACAGGTAGACTTGAGAGGTGAAGTGGAGCGTGCGGTAGGCTTGGAGAATGTTGCCGACGGCAGTAACGCCGACCTATCAGTCATGTTAGTTTATCGGACTTGGGTCCTTTCGAGTAGTCAGGGTAGGTGGTGTTGAACGGGGGGCTACGGACAAAAAAGAGCCATTTGGGAAGAAGGCCCTCGTGTTGGGGCAAGTATTCGAGGAGAGAGGACATAGCGCCCGAGATTTGGTGTTGTCGGTCGGGAAGCAAGAGAAATCAGCTGCTTGCTTGTGACGTGTAAAGGAAGAGACCTCGGAGAAGGGTGTGAGGAATTGGTCAGGTTAGTTCCACGGCGCCGCGCTGGAGAGCTTGGGCCAAGCACCGGTGGTGCGACTGCGGTACCAATCGCCAGCCTGCCATTGAATGACGAAGGCTTTCGGGTTTTCTCATCCAGACCAAAAGACTGACCAGATGAAGCAATTAAGTGTACTTTGCTGATTGTAAACGTTCAGCTGGCTGTAAGCTGAGCTGCGGTTGTTCCTGCATTCTCGGTGCTGGTCCCTGCCGAGGCCAAAAAGTTCCCCAACCATGCCTGAGCTCTGCGTCCGTCCTCCGTTATCCCATCCACCGAACACCATCACCACAAGCCAGCAATGGATGCCCTGTCCAACGTCCCTCAACCCGTCATTCTCGGCCTTGCCGGCATCGGCGCTGCCTGGGCTGCCGTCAAGGTTGGCAGTTTCGTGCGCGTGCTTCTGAGCCTATTCGTCCTGCCGGGTATCTCGGTGCGTATCTCCTCAACCTACATTCGAGTGCCCAATTGCTGACAGTTTCGTCTCCACAGCTCTCCAAGTTCGGCCCCAAGGGTTCCTGGGCTATCGTCACTGGCGCTAGCGACGGCATCGGCAAAGAATATGCGCTCGCGCTTGCGAAGCGGGGTTTCAACGTGGTGCTGGTGTCGCGCACGCTGAGCAAGCTCGAAGCGCTTGCCTCGGACATCAGCAGCAAGAACCCGGGCGTGCAGACACGCGTTCTGGCAATGGACTTCGCGGCAAACAAGGACTCGGACTACGCTGCGCTGGCCTCGCTGATCGCGGACCTGGACGTCTCGATCCTGATCAACAACGTCGGCCTCTCGCACAACATCCCAGTGCCCTTCGTCCTGACCCCTGCGGAGGAGATGCGCGATATCATCACCATCAACTGCACCGGCACGCTGCGCGTCACTCAGCTCGTCGCACCCAAGCTGGTCGCACGCAAGAAGGGTCTCATCCTGACGATGGCTTCGTTCGGCGGTGTTATGCCGACTCCCCTCCTGGCGACCTACAGCGGTAGCAAGGCCTTCCTTCAGCACTGGAGCGCGGCTCTCGCCGGTGAGCTGGCTCCTTCGGGTGTCCACGTCCAGCTGGTCCAGAGCTACCTGGTTACGTCGGCTATGAGCAAGATCAGACGCGCCTCGGCCATGATTCCTACGCCCAAGGCTTTCGTCGCCGCCGCGCTTGGCAAGATCGGCAGGTCTGGTGGCGCGCAGGGTGTTGCGTACACGTCCACGCCCTACTGGAGCCACGGTCTGATGCACTGGGCCATCGCGACGTTTGCGGGAACCACGAGCACGACGGTGCTGAAGATCAACAAGGATATGCACGAGAGCATTAGGAAGAGGGCCTTGAAGAAGGCTGAGAGGGAGGGCAAGAAGGTTGCGTAAGGAGCCAGAGAGGGAATACTTCAAAAGTTTGGTGTTCCGTGACTGGAACACAATTTCAAGGTGACATTACATCGACTTGGCCTCAAATCGAGATCATCAAAAGTAAGCTCACGGTGTGGAAATTCAAGGAAGGAGTAATGTAACACATGTCTTCAGATAAATATGCTATGTTGAATAAATGTCTAGGAAACATGTTCAATTTCAGCCCAAGCTATCAGTGCAAACGTTTCATCTAGCCCACAATCAGCGTTCAGTCGGCCAGCCGGCATTTTCGATTATCTTCCCCTCGAACAGCGAGTTAATTGGCTGCTTCCTACAGCCCCCAGATGAAGCAGCTTTACCGGTGGTCATCAAGAAGGCCTACTTAAAAGAGCTGTCTTCCAGTAATCCCAAGGAACCGCTGCACTCAGCAAACGTGGATATATTTTGAGGATACGAAACCCATCCAACGTCACTTCGATGCAGGCATGGGAAGTGTTGCATTCAAGAGTATATGTGCCCAAGAAAATATGGTAAGAGAGAATCAAGAGATTCGACAGCAGTTTGAGGGGTCCAGCGGAAGAATCGGCTTACTAGGCCCACAAGCTCTGGTATTGGAGCTTTCCCAGCCTTCATTGGCTCGTTCAAGGGTTTTCCATTCTGCCGGGAGAAGATCAACACGATTGGTTTCTAAATTGGATTTCGGGTATATTTCAATGGAAAGATATCATCCGATCAAGCAGAAAACTGACAGTGTACAGTAGTGGCCTTCAATGAGGGGCAATAAACCAGAAATATAATGCCAGCAGCGTAGCAGCACCAAAGCGATGTAACCCTTCACGCCCCATCTAAAGTGGCCCCAAAACTGACCGACGATGTCACACATTCAATAAACTTCTGCTCCTGTTCGACAAACACTGAGGCTGAGACCGAAACAAAAAACATCGCGCATAAACAACACCGATGTCATCTTACATCAGTCTCGCCAGGGATGGTCCTGCGTGCCCAAATAAAATCGCGATCAACATTTCGGCCCGGGAAGTCGGTTGATGACGGCTGGGCTCGTCGCACGACGCCGAAGATAGAAAACGAGGCCCGAGTCGGTAGACAAGTTATTTGGCGGGGACGAGTGACGCCGCACGAGGAGGCTGTTAGTTGTGGGTTCGGTTGGGCTGGGCTGGGGCGGGGCCATGGATACTTACCCCAGCCCATTGGCGCGATGCTTGTCTTGCGGCGCCACGCAGACACGAGCTGAACGGCGCCGTTGCGCGCCAGCTACCACACCTTCGACCAATGTCGCGTTGCAGGGTCCCGTTGCGATGACGTTGCACGATATGGACACACGACGGGGCACGCAGGACACTCCACATCCACGAGATCGACCGGCCAATCCGGCCCCGTTCCTGCATGCTTCCTTCCCACATCAGGATCCGTCTTTGCCTCTACCGAGCGTAGAATGGGCCGCCTGGTGCCGCGTGTGGATTTGACCGTGGTCACAAGCCATCCCAATTCTCCCTTCCAACCTCCTTTAAGCCCAGTACTTCTGCACCGCCGTCCCTCTGCAACCCTCGTATTCAAGCTTACTTACGGTCCGTTAGGCGCACAGGTACATACATTAAACTCCGACGCCTTCCGACGCTCGGAACCTCGTTTGGTTCTCGACTACAAAAACTCAAAAAGAAGTCGCCGAACCGCACCCGCATTCCACCACCTATACTAGCTGGGTTCCTCTGAACGAACAGGCCAAGCCTACGTCATACCTTGCCATCCCTCCTATAACAAATCTCCTTTTCCTCCCTAAACAGCATACATCGACTCCCATCTGAAGACATCAAACACAAAGAAAACCCGGAAGCCGATTCCAATTGACCAACCTACCACGACTACCAAACCAATTACCACTTTCACAAATCCCGCTGTCATCTCAGCCAAGCTACCATCAGCCTGAAAGCCTCGGACCAAAAAAAAGTTCAAAAGCACCACCGCCATCATGCGCTTCACCACCATCGCCTCCCTCCTAGCCGCCAGCCTAAGCGCCACCACCACCGCCTCACCAATCCTGCAACAAACACAACAACAACAACACGAAGCCCGCGCCGGCGCCCCGGCCTACGTCCCCATCACGCCTCCCTGCAGCGTCTCGTACCCTCTCCCGCAGACGAGCACGACGGCGGCCAACCAAACCTCGACTGACGGCTACCGCCCCTCCGCCGCCCTCACCGCCGCCCACCAGATCTACGCCTGGGACCGGCCCGCGTCCGACGCCGCGTACATCAACGCGACGACGCTGTGGACCAACTGCATCGAGCAGTGCAACGGCCTGTCGGGCTGCAAATCCGCCTTCCTCGCCTACGACGTGCCCGCCGAGTCGCACTACGGCGCTCCCGGCGGCGCCCTGGGTATCGGCTGCCGCATGTACGATGTCGTTGTGGCGGCTGCGGATTTCGAGATCATTACCAATGGGTCGTACGTGAGGCCCGTGGCGGGCGTGATTGGGGGTGAGGGGTGTGCGAAATGAAAAGTTCCGTGAGAGGGAAAAAGTGTTGCCTGCGTTGTGAACAGGAGGGTCCTTTTGTTCTTCTTGAGCATGTTATATTAATTGGCATTGTACGCAAAGAGTAATGACATGGTAATGAGGGCGTACGGATGGAAGGAAATTGCCTTGATACCTGGGGAAAGGCTAGGAAACATAATGCATGGCTTGGAACTTTTGTAGCATTAGCGTTTTTTAATGCTTGTACAATAATCAGACCTCTTCCACCTGACTTCTTGTGTGCAACGACAGACCTGTGCAAGTCGAATTCTCGAATTTATTCCATCTGCATTGTCGCAGAGATCAGCACCAAACATTGTGCAATGATGCTATTACTCTGAATTCGCCAATCTTCGCCTCGCAATTCCACTGGTTCCCTCCACCTTCGCCTGCTCGACGATTTCCAGCAAATCGCCAATCCCATAAGAAAAAAACTGCCCGAAATTATGGAACAGAACCCGCATGCCGTTGAGGGCAGTTCAAAACGCGGGTCGGATATCTCAGGAGAAGTAAAGAGGAAGAAAATACCGCGAAAGGAAATTAGTTTACCGAAACAAGCCCTTAAAAGGTCATCAAAAGTCTCATAATCTCGTCTTGTATGTTGAAGTGATGACGCCGCCCTGATTCTTTCCCATTTTGTTTTTTGATGCCCCTTAAGATATGCAAAACCCCCCTTTTGAATGAGCAATTGTTGTCGACATTAACATTGCCTCTTTTTAGTTTTGCCTCATGCCCATGATTGTGTTGAAAAATTCCCCCGCCGTGTGATGTTGAAGAACGCCTTGTTCGTAAGTGTTGAAAACGCCCAATCCTTTTTGTGTCGTTGAAGGAAAAAAGCTCTTGAGAGTCGTTAGGAGGATGTTGAATGATTCCCCCATGCAAAATTATCCGACGCCGCATGCGAGAACTCTTTTATCTTCTCTTTTGTTGAAAACTCCAGAAACGCCAACGCTGGATGCACAATATTTTCGCCGGCTGCGAGGATGAAAAGCAGCCGATGGATGCAATTAGTTGAGAAAATTGCTTTAGTTGGCAGTTCCGTTCTGAACTGCCGAAGTTGACTTGCCATTGACAATGGTGTCGGGGATCTTGCTCTCGCCGTTGGTGTGGGCTACGCCGTTGGCCGTCGAGTGTCCGTTACCGTTCACCTCTCCGTTCGCAGAACCATGAAGTTCCTTGTCGAGATCCTTCACCTCGAGGCCATCAAAGAGAGCGAAGATGCCGTTCTCAACGTGGAAGTCGTTGTGTACGATATTGACGAGGTACCAGGTATCCATGATGTCTTCGATGACATAACGAGAGGGGCTGGCGGAAGTGTAGCACTTGGCCCAGTCCTCTCCGAGGCGGTAGAACTCATCCTTCCAGGCAAGGAAGGAAATGGTCTCGACAATAGTGGGCTGGACGATTTCCTTGCCAGGGAAGACACCCCAAGTAACAGCATTGGGACCGTCGCTGGGGGCGTTAGTCTTGAGGTCTCCAGCCTTGTTGACGGCGTAGTAGGTCATCTCGGGATCACGCTCGATACGCGTGATCAGCTCTGCAATAAGTTCAGGAGACACAAGAACCTCGAGGTAGGCCTTCTGGTACACGTATCCGTTGTGAGGTCCCCATCCATGCACCGGGTGGGTGGACTTGGCGCTATTGACAGCAGGCTGCGAGTTGATGGTAAGGAGACCGCGCTTGTTGAGGTTGACGAGGTTGTCCTTGAGCACATCGGCCTCGGCGGTGATTGGCTGCTCGCTCCACGGAAGGCTGTCGAGCTTTCCCTCCATGTAGCGAACGAAGAGGTTGGCAATATCACGAACAGACTTGGGCGAACCCCAGAGTTTGATGTTTTGCTCGTTTGTGCCCTTCAGACCGATGCCGTAGGCGTCAAGCTCACCAAAGGCAGGAGACCTCGAATCACCCCAGCGACCGTTGGGGAACTCGTCCCAGTCCTGGGTACGGACGACATAGGACCGGTTGCGGTTCCTCCAGAAGATGGGACGAACGTTCTCTTCGCGACGACCGGGAGCGAGCGACTGGCGCCACGGAAGAGGCTTCTCGAGCGGGCTGTACATATCCGGAGTAAGACCGAGCTCTTCCAGAACCATGCGCGTGGATTGGGCCAAGTTCATGGTGTAGCTGCAGAGTAACGTTAGACGAATCACAACGGACGGAAACGGCTCCACTTACAAGTGCAGGTGAATGATGCCAGCCTCCATCAGCCGGCGGCACATGTTCGCGATCAGATGCTTGCCGATCTCGCGCACCTCCGCATCATCATTCTTAACTGGCTCGAGAGCTTCCAGCCAATCCGGCGGGACGCGGCATTTAGTCCAGGTCGCCCGCCTCATAAAGGCAGCGTATGTGTGGATGGGCATGATGCCGGGGACGATCGGTATGGTAATACCCTTGGCGCGCACCTTCTTGACCCAGTCGAGGAAGAGGTCGACGTCGTAGAACATCTGTGTTACGATGAAGGTGCCGCCTGCGTCGACCTTCTCCTTCAAGTGGTCCAGAAGCAGGTTTGGGTCGTCCTGGTCCTCGCATCCCTCGGAATATCCAGCCACACCAATGTCGAAATGGTCGCCGTAGTTGTCCCTAATGTACTTGACCAGATCCTTCGCGTAGCGGAAGCCGCCGGCGGTGGCCTCCCACTTCTCCTTCTCACGCGGAGGGTCTCCCCTCAGCGCCAAGATGTTCTTGCAGCCGGCATTGTATGCTTCGCGCAGCGCCTCGTCCAGCTTGGACTTCTCCATGTCGGTACAGGTCAGGTGCATGCAGGTCTCCAGGCCGTAGACGGACTGTGCGACCTTGACCATTTCGCAGGTCAAGGTAGAGTTGCGGCCACCGGCGCCCCAGGTGACGTCGATAAAGGTCGGGCCCAGGCCGTGCATGCGGTCCATACGGTCATAGAGGTTCTGGACACCCTGGGCGGTCTTCGGCGGGAAGAACTCGAACGAGAACGAGGGCTTGCCATTCTTCTGGCCCTCGTAGAGCTTTTGCGAGATGTGCATCGTGGGCGAAGTCTAGCGAGGATGGTCTGTCTTTGTCAAGTCGTCAGCACATGAGACAATAGGAAGACAATGAATGACTGTTATATTTGGGAGGCGACTTACAGGCAACTGTCCGAGACAATTAATTCGCCGATTACCGGAATAACTTGGATCCTCCTCCAGGCCAATTGCCTGCTAACCAATGTAACGAACGCGAGCCCAACGATCTGCGAGCTCTCGCAGCATGTACCGCGGGATAGATGACGGTGCGGTCGAGGAGATGGGGGAGATGGGCGGAAACTGGAGGCGTGCAGCGGAGCGGCGGAGTGATTTGTGGAAGAGCAGGCGGCGGGGCCAGGAAATTCATTCCCCGCGCCATTGTCAGTACCTAGCGCTTGATGCGCCTTTTCGGTAGCGGTATCGGTGCCACCGAGGAGAACGCCGACTTCCAACTTGGCTTTGAAAAATAGAATGCTGCGGGCGGACCCAAGTCTCAGTGTGCGCCACGGCTTTGTCGCCTCGATGACTCGCCGCAGAGTTTTCCGCCGCCAGAATTGAGCAGCTTTCCATTCCGCTACGATGTCCGGCGCCGCAGCCCAGGATTCTGGTGAGATGGTCTATCCCAACGCACGGGACTGACTCTGGCGCCCAGCCAGCTGGTCCGGCCGCAGGCGAATCGTGACGCAGACCAAGCGAACGAAAAAGTCGCCGGGGGCACCGTTTGCACATTTTTCCCTCCGCGCGCCGCATCCTCCGTCTCCTCCAAGCCCACACTGGGCCACAGGGCGACCGTGCCCCAGAACTCGGATTACCCAATGTAGCATTCCAGCGCACCCGCGGGGCCCCTCATCCTACAAGAATGGTGCTGTGGGCGCATCGCAGTTCGCATAGTAGCTCAAACGACTGCCCGGCTGCTTCACACGCGCTGGCTCCCTCAAATCATGGCCGCACCTCGCCCACGCCGCATTGTCGGCACCAGCCTCAAGATGTACTTCGATCTGGACCGCACCATCTCCTACGTCAAAGGCGTCGCCGAGCTCTCGTCGCACGCGGAAGCGAACAACGTCGACCTCTTTGTCATCCCCGACTTCGTCACCATTCTCGAGGCCCGGCGCATACTGCAAGACACGTCCATCCTGCTCGGGGCCCAGGACGCCTTCTGGGAGACAAGCGGCGCGTACACTGGCGAGGTCTCGCCCTTGACGCTGCGACAAGCTGGCGTCAAGCTGGTCGAGATGGGGCATGCGGAGCGCAGGAGGATATTCGGCGAGAATGACGAGCAGGTGGCAAGGAAGGCTGCGGCAGCGGTGGAACATGGACACATTCCTCTCGTCTGCATCGGCGAGAAGACGCACGGCTCGGTTGCGTCAGCAGCCGTCGGTTTGGCTGTCGAGGAGTGCCGCCCGCAGGTCACGTCGGTGCTGGCCGCCGTGCCTGATGACGCTGAGGTGATCCTGGCTTACGAGCCTGTTTGGGCCATTGGCGCGAAGGAGCCTGCTGATGCCGACCATGTGGTGAACGTGACGAGGGAACTTCGACGCATGGCAAGTGGAAGGAAGGGCACGACTAGGATATTGTACGGCGGGAGCGCCGGCCCTGGCACCTTTGCAAAGCTTGTCGACGGTGTTGACGGGCTGTTCCTGGGCCGATTTGCCCACGACCTGGCAAATCTCAAACAGGTCATTGCTGAAGTCGGACAGCCGTAAGATTCTTAGGGCTCTTCTGTGCAGCAATACACAAGACTAGAACAGCCGAGCCGGGAGTCCGATCAGCAGCGTCCATTTAAACAGAAAAAGTTGCCTTTGATGGAGGGCGGGGGTGCACATCACTCCCGTCCGCTCATTGCTAAACGCCATGTTCCCGGCCTGTTTTGAAAGCGTTGGTAATCGCGCGGGGAAGTTAATTCTGCCATTCATCAGCAACAGAACTCGCCAATGACACCGATAAGCACCGGCCATCTCAGCAGTCATGGCCAACTCTCGTGGTAATTTATGTTTCATTCAAAAAGCCCGAGACACCACGTCGCGAGGCGCCCCGAGGCTTGTCTGCAGTCGTTCTTTCCGTTCAGGCTGGAGCGTGGTTACGTCATCGCCTACTTGCTTCGTCTACGACACCCCCACTACGCTCTCACGGCGCATCATCGCAAGCAACGCCAACAGATTGAGGTACGTAACGATGCCACCCAGAGCCATCGAGAGAGTTGCTCAGACGGCTTCTCAACTCCAATGGTGAGCTTTCTGCCGCAAGTCGAGAATGCTGTTGCCAACGACGTGCTGCATATGAAGTCTCTCGCAACCCATGCTGCGACTAATGGCCTCATCCGGGAATAGAGCTGGTAATATAACCGCTTCATCGCCTAGGTGAAGGTCAGGTTGTCGTGGCCGATTGGAGAGCACTTGCTTCGAACATCGGCCGGCAACCAGCTGCATCTCCACAAGTTCGCAACCAAGAGATCTTCAAACTAACTTAGCTGTGACCAGTTTTCATCCGGCATCTCGCCACAAAAGCACCATGACGGACGCAACGACTAACCCATTGTCTGGCCTGTGGAAGCCCACTCACCTCAAAGCGCTATGGTACGGTCCCAACAGCGTCAAGAACCATCTCCTGGAATCTCTACCTGCGGAAAATTCCAAGGCCTTCATCGTTACCGGCTCATCTCTGGCAACAAAGACGCCTCTAATTCAACAGGTTGAGCAGCAATTGGGATCGAAGCATCATGCAGGGACTTTTGCGAACATCAAGCAACATGCCCCTGTCGCTCAATTAGACGAAGCAACCGAGGCAGTCATCAAGGACCCCAACATCGACACCATCATATCCATCGGAGGCGGAAGCCCCATAGACTCCTCCAAAGCCATCTCGTATCGTCTCAATGAGAAGGTCGGCAAGTTCCTCTTTCATATCACCATCCCAACCACCCTGAGTGCCGCCGAGTGCACTTTCAATGCAGGCTACACTCAGGAGGATGGAACGAAAACCGGCGTAGCCCACGCTGAGCTGGCGCCTCACGTCATCATTTACGACTCGTGAGTAGACCAGGACCAAAATCCGATGGACGTGCTAACGAATCACAGCAAATTTGCGCTGGAGACGCCTCCGCAGCTGTGGATGTCGACGGGTCTACGCGCCCTAGACCATGCGGTGGAGCTGCTCTATCATCCGACGGCTACCGAAGTCCCTGCGAAAGACGTTTGTTTGTCAGCAGCATCCAGATTGTTCAGCAGCCTCCCGAAATACAAGAACGATCCTAAAAATGAGGACAACATTACCCAATTGCAGCTGGCTTCTTTTGGATCCTTGGGCTTGCTTGGTCTCAACGTCAAGGGCCCCCTGGGTCTAAGCCACACCCTCGGATACGCCCTGGGCTCCCCGTATTCCATTCCGCACGGGATCACGTCCTGCCTCACTCTTGGGCACGTTGTTAAGCTCAAGGCCCATGACCCCTGGGCTGCCTCGCAAGTCGCCCGACTCGCTCCCTTCATTGGTTTAACGAGGACTGGTAACGATCAGCAGGACGCCATCAATGTCGGTGACGCCATCTTGGAGTTGGTTAGACTTCTCGGTCTATCCAAGACGTTGAAGGAGTACAACGTTGGAGAAGACCAGGTTCCCATTATCGTCAAAAGAGCAACCAAACAAGAGCAAGGAGAGGTTTACGACAAGGTGGCGAGCCTCGTCAAGCAACTGTACTGAAAGAATTTCGGCGGCAAGCTCGACAATACCAGCAAAATAAAATATTTAATTTGCGTCTGCAGCGGTTCTCGCCCATTGTGCTGGGTCTTGACCTCGTTTCCATGGCCCCGTTACCGCCGCATCCGACTTGCGACAGATCACTATCCCCATTGTTCTGCATCCGCTAAGCTGTCGACAGGCAGATGTCTCACTTGCGGTTCTCTTCGTTTCTTTTACGGGCTAACGCTAAGAGGTATCATCCAAACCGTTAGACGACCATTCCGTGCCGATTTTTGCTTTGATACTGAAGGGCGCGAACTTGGCTACAGAACTCCCACGTAACTTGGCCAGCGGGAGGGCCGGCGCGAGGTGTGCCGCAAGACTCGATTGCGCCAGTGGCGAGGACGACTGCTGCGCGTCGTCGTAGGGCTTACGACTGGGTGTTTGGTGGTGGAGTAAGAGTGGCAGCCCACCCTTTCAGCCTTGTGCGCCCCTCGAGAGCGACTACTGCAACTGTGCAACCCCTTTCGGACCTCGCGCTCGGCATTTCTACCTTCTGTGCTACCCCGGCTGCCCTACGACAAGGGCGTGTGGAGGTCAGCACTTGCCAAAACAGGTACTTCCCCGCGACACGTCTGATAGAAAGTCCAAGGGCGCGAAGCGGTGAGTTTGTGGTGTCCCAGATTGCACGCTTGCCGGGGAGGCTTCACAAGGTAGTCCCGTAGGGCGGCGATCGTTCACGTTGACCCCGATGGAGGTCGAGGCCAGGTCGAAGTTCCGGAAAAAGAGCCTCTTCCGCGGCTTAGTGCGGCCGCGTTGAGCGACGGGCGGCCTGTTTGGTCACGTCCCGCATCGCTTAAGCTGCATGATGCACGGCTGGCAACGGAGTTCCCACTCGCTTCCGCCACATGACAGCTACCCTCGCCGTTACAAGGGTCTGGTTTCCCGCGCTCACTGCAGCTATGCAGCCGCGCCGCCAATCAGGCATCCAAATTCTGGCTGCGGATGCTAATCAAGGCAATAGGTACAATCAAAGCGCGTGCCGCGCCTACATCACCCTCTCAACCCAGGGTGTGATCGCCTCCGTCCCCTCTCGACCGGCGGCCAATGTGGTCGTGCGGGTGTATGAGGCACAGTACGGCTGCCTGGTGTTTGCAATCAGATGTCAGGGCTTTCTGTTCCCTCTTTCCAGCAGTTCCGACGTCGGTGGTTGTCCAGTGTCTGGGATGAGACAGAGGAATATCTGCTTTGGGGCCGAAGGTGCGGGCGTAGGGCTAGCCTCAGCGGCATGCATTGCGGCGAGCAGAGCGGCAAGGCTTCGTATCAAGCCGCTGCAACCGTTTGCTTCGGCATGGCCAGGCAGAGCAGTTCCGCGCTTGCAGCGCAGCAATTTCTGTGCATCGCTGGCCCGGAGCGCTAAATCTCACCCTTCAGCCCTACCAGATAAAGCTCGTGCTGGGCCAGACGTCCTGCAGGCGTTTCTTCCTCCCGGCTGCCCTACGTCAGGCACATGGCTTTTAGTCATTGACGCTGACATTGACTAATGGCCCTCATGCGCTCATGGGCTGAGCCCTGGCCCGGACGAGCAGCCCAAGGGCCTGCCGCTAAGTCCGGCCAACCTTGAGCACGCTGATCTTGCTGCAAGGCTGACGCTTGAGACCTGGGAGCATTCCACTGGAGCCGAAGGCTGCGTCCAGCCCTCATTCCCGCCTCTCTGTTCTCGATGAGCGGCCCGCAGCCGTCCTGTCCCGCTGGACCCAATCGCTGCGCCGGCTCGGCCATCGGACGTCGGCTCAGTGCGACTTGCCTCCTCTGCCTCGCCAGCTCAGAGCATCACCACCCCCGGAAATGACGCGAAAATCCCAAATGCGTGGCTTTGGTGCTTACCCGCCCTCTCCTTGCGCAGTTCGGGAGACCTTGTCCAGTAAACCTGCCCATGTCGTCGGCCTGGTTTAGCAAATCGCACGCGAGCGTGGAGCCGCTGCCCTACGACGTGCAGCATGCTTGAACCGTGTTTGCACTAATGCCATCAGCGATCTATAAGTCATCTTCCACTCCTTGAGCATCGCCATACACCTCTCTTCATCGCCAACCCTCTTACCACCCTGGACCTTTCCCTGCCGTGCGGTTCCGTCGAGGCTGGCGCCGAGCAGTCGTGCAGCCCCCGCATTTCCGCACCTCCTCTCAGCCCTACGAGCTTATTTACATACGGCTCCAGGGCTCCTTTGCCTCTCAGCTTGATCATTTCTGTGCTGCAGCCTTCATACTCCCCTTTCTCCTCCTCCTCCCTCTCCCCAACCCTTGTCTTCTCCCTTTCCGCCTATTACCATGGCGTCACAACAATTCGAATACTGGCATTCGCCACGAGACAGCTACTCGCAACATTCGCAGCCGACCTACTACGAGTACGCAACACCGGATCTTGCTAGCATACCTAGCCTCAGCGCCTCGCCAGTACGTGCAACAGCCTCGTTCACTAATCCCCACCTCGTATCGCCCCAACCCTGGTCACATCTTCACGGCCCGCCCAGCCCCGCGACCACTCCCGTCGCTCTGATTCCCCGCATGCATATTCTACGTTCTCGTATGGCATGATCGGTGGCTTGGGCGCTCCCGCAAGAAGACAGTCGCAGCACATCACAACGCGTCCTCCCAGCCACTGACCCACCGCGAATCCAGACCTCAACGGCAACGTTCGACGCAGCTGGCACACCGACCCCTGTCCCGCAGCAGTCCCAGCAAATGCAGCACCACCAGACCCTCTCCTACCACCAGCACAATACTCAGGCCCAGCCGCCTCACGCATCAACCTATCACAGCGCCTTTTCCTACGCCACCACCGGCCTTCCCGTCACCCCGACCGAGTTTGGCTCGGCCGACGACGCTGCCGCTGCTATCACCGCTGCGGGACCGGCTGCGGGAGGTCTGCCTAGCCCTCCGTACGTGTGTTCCCCACAGCAGAACCACACAGATTTGGGGGCATATGCCGCCGGTGCGCTCGAAACCGGCGTGAGCTCCGCCGCGACGACGACGACTTTCCCTTTGCAGATTGTCAACGAGCAAGGCTTCGGGCACGGGCGCATGCCACCGGCCAGGAGCGCCAGCAACGGGAGCACGTGGAGCGTTGGAAGCGGCAGCAGGAGTATCGGCGGTGGTAGCGGCAACGGGGGTGGCGGCGGAGCGGCGACAGCGAACGTCGAGAGGACGCATGTGACGAGCGGTGTAAGTGCAAACTCCCAGTTTCTAATCTATTTCCTATCTATCCTTGAACCTTGCGTTGTGCAACAACGAAAGATACCGGTCAACATGGGGTATTCTCCACGAATAAACGGTTTTCTTTCTTTTGCCCATCTTTCCTCTCTTGAAGCTGCGGGAATAAAGTGCTGACGATTATGGAAATAATATAGCGTCGCCGTGCACAAAATCGTGCCGCTCAGCGGGCCTTCCGCGAGCGCAAGGAGAAGCATGCTAAAGATCTCGAGGCCCAGCTAGCCGTGCTGAGCGACAGGTACGGCAAGCTCGAGCAGTCGCACGCCGAGCTCAACACGGCGTACGAGCGGCTCCGACGGACATTGGAGCTCTTGACGGCACCGACATCCTCGTCTTCGCCCTCTTGCTCCTCGGAGATGTCGCCGCCAGCCTCGTCAGGCGCCGGCGAGGATGCCGACGCTGATGGCGAGTTCGAGGCCGAGGGGTTCCTGCTGGACGGCGTCGCCGGCAACGAGATGGTCGATGTGGAGGCGTTGACGAGGGGCTTGCGGCGGCGAGGCGAGTGGCTGGGAGATAACGGCCAAAAAGAGGTCGTGCGGCGGTTGGTGGAAATCTTGCATGCGCCACCGCCGCAGCCGCCGCCACCACCATCACGTTCGTCGACCGTTGGCTTTGGAGTGAAGAAAGCGCCGGTGGACGGGGACGACCACGCGGGTAGAAGGAGGGGTGTGAAGTGCGAGAGTTGAGAGACCGCGAGAGAGAGACACCGCATTTCCGATTCCACAGCGTTGAGAATCTCGCTTGGTATGTTGTGCACAAGTGTGGGTGGGAAAATTGCTCTTTCGATATTCTTGTTTTTTCACAAAGCGGGGAAATTATTACTAGGCTTAACTTTGGCTGAAGACCTGGTTCCTCTAATTCGGCCACATATACGTTTCGCTGAGCGGGGTGTTGGATGGCGTTGGATACCAATTCTCAACTGTCGTTGCTGCTTTTCCTTTCTTTTTTTGCTTCTGCTTTTTTGTTCCTATCGTTTGGAAAGCGGGGCCCGTATTTCCGCAACGCTCATCAATATCGCATCATTCCCAGCATTCTTACCTGGCAACGTCCTTAGATGGTTCCATTCACCGATCTGATGGATATATGTGGATTATGCACGTCGAGTCCATTAAGGAGCGTAAGGCTTTGAAAGCGGAAGCGGCCGTTTTTAGATCACATGCGTCCACTTAAATACGGATGCTTGAAGGTATCATGGATGGGAATCTCCATTTTACAGCCTTGGGTAAATAGGCCCCGTCGAATGACGAAGACAGACGTGGCATAAAGAAATCTATGCTAATTACGAGAGTTGAAACAGGTCGGAGCACCACGATGCTTTTCTTTTCACAACAAACTATTAGGATAACGCTCGTGATCGCTTGCCACACGCAAGAAATGATTTAGTGCGCAGAACCCCTGAGAAGCTGCAGCGCAAGACTTCCTGCAGCTTGCGTTTTTGCGGGGTCATTGTGGGCGTACAAGAGAACTGCACGGCGTACGATAGTCACGCCATCGCCAGGTGCCGAATGGACCTGCCCGATTCCCCCATCAAAACCCTGAAACCGATATACGTTTTCCTCGCTTGCGATATTGAAGAGCGGACAATATTCATACGCATAATTTATACTCTATGGCCCTGGATTTTGTCTCAGGGTTTCTTTTGCCCCTTTGGGGGTGCTTGTGCTGCACTCACTTTATGAAGTCTGTGCTCGCAGCCAACAAAGACGGCTATAACCCCAGGAAACAAGAGTCAGCTGTCATGTTCCGCGGCCTCGTCTATGATTCTAGTATTCCAACGTAACCCCGGAATGAATGGCGATGATTGAGATTTATTATAAACAACATTGCCTGAATATGGATCTAGCCGTCTAAATCCAAATGTACAAGAAGGCGCAAGTCCGCTTGGTCATGTTGTATAGCAGAATGGGCATGCTCTTGTACAGAGATACAGCCCTGTTAACATCATCAGCAGAACTCCCAGCGGGCCGGTCGAGCTGGCAGAGCTAGCAGAGCTGGCGATGCCGGAAGCAAGGGTGATTTGCAGGAACGGAGGTCCAGCGTCGGCAGCTCTACCGGCAACCCGAGTTGCTGTTAACCGTATGCGTTTAGGTCCAGTTGCTTCTAACTAAACTTAATTTTATCCGTGGTAAATTTTGCTGATGCTTGCAGCAAGACTCCGTCATTTCTGATTGCGGTATGCTCTGTGTCAAGCGTAAGGATCTTAAACTGTAACGAGCTCTGCAGAATATTTAAGCACCGTTATTCTAAAATGAGTACTAATGATTCGTACTAGTAACAATTATTCATCAAACGTTCCTTTAGCCGGCCACAACTCCTGGCCATGAACTAAAGGCGAGCGTCCTTCGTAGTATCTACTACAACGTATGGTTGCAGGACCCGGCAGATGAGGGGTGTAGACTCAAAACTGGAGAATTTCCCTGTCTATGGAGTATCTGTCTATCTTTTAGGCAGTTCCGATCAATCAAGCCGGTGAAAACGTAAGATAACCCACTGCGGGTGCTAGCAATCCAGAAGACTAGTCACAATCCCACGAAAAGCATCGCCTCCAATGCTGACTGATTCTCTCAGCTTGAAGAACCAACTCTCCGTGTGGGGTCCACCATGAAATTTGTACATAATCATCGAATAAGCAAGTGATAAGCCTTCAACACCAACCTATCAGCCATCATAAAATCAGACACGATCTCTCTCATGAAGAAGTGTAGGGGATACAAGTGAATCCGTAAAGCCAGATATCAACAATCGGAAGAGCATGACTGAAAATGCGCTTTATCGAGGATGCTGCCTGCCTGGAGCGCCCGCCCGTGTCCGCAAGGAGCTGAAGTGGCCAGATAAGCAACAATGACCATGATTCTTTCACGAATCTGCAGATGGATTGGCTATTTGGATGCTAATGCGGTGTATTTGTTTTTGTAGTGCTATTCCAACTGGTTTCCTGAAATGACGGAGGTTGAGTACATGACGTGCGGGCGCCACACTGACTCGGATGTCTATCACCACACGTGATCAGAACATCTCTCCTTCATAGTTTATTTAGATACCTTGATGTTGTTTCAACAAGATGTTCGTCTCCCTGTCTTGAAATACTACTTTCGGAGGTTCTGCGTACGCAGGGGAAAGCATTGCAACACGTGATCTGCTAGTCTAGACCCATGACCGATAACGAGGCGCAAGCTGAACTTCATGAAGCCGTGAACAACTCTCGTAGATAAGCGTCTGGCAGGCTGCCGCCTGACAAGAGTTACCATGCGAAGAGTTGTTGACAATACTTGGTCAAACATCGGTCAAACCACAACATCACCTCGACTTTTACACTGTTTTCGCACTCTCAGTTAGCGCGATACCATGGCTCTGGTTCCGAGCTCTGTGGAGCCCGCATTTCCCCAACAGGGGGCCTTAGACTGGGTGGCCCTCTCGAACATATCCTTCAGCGCATCCCTCGCGATTCTTGGACGCCTATCGGGAGCCGGACTGGAGCCGCTCACCGTCGCCATAGCTCAAGCAATAAGCAGCAAGCTCCCAATCGGTATCCACGGCGAACGGAGACTCGATGAGGCCATGAAATCCTTCCGGTATAGCGGCAGCTTCGGCCAAGTTGTATGGTTCGGAGTCGGAGTCCGGCACGTCCTTCAAACCCTCGTCCAGACGTCTCAGGGATCTTCGAGTGTAGCGCTCGCTGCCGCACTGTCCGAGGGCTTCACCAATCACGTTGCGGCTTCTGTGCTTTATGAGCTGTCAAAGTGTCACGGTAGCCCCTCAGAACTGACGCCATCTTTCGCCCAATGGGAGAGGTATGCTCAGGTCTGTTCTGGCATCTTCAAAACCTCGGGGCTCGGCCGCAAAATTACCCAACTGGCAAGGAATCTCGGCTTCGTCGATCGGAACAATCCAGCTCACTGGCGGGCCAGCGATCCCAAGGATATCGCCAAGTTTCTGTACAAAGTGTCCGACATCTTAACCGGAAACATGTGCGCGATGAGAGTCACCGGTGGCGCGACCTGCACCTGGGCTTTGGCGTTCTGTGATTACGTACTTGGCTTGCGGGTGCAACTGCTCAAGGTCTCGGCAGACAGTTCGGAAGTGATCTTCCAGAACTACGATTCAGCAGTGCATCAGTACCAGATCAGTTTCGTCGTACCGTCAAATCCGACTGGATCTGAGCTTGCCCAGGCCAGCGGAACATACTCACTTCTTCCCGCCGAGCAGAAGCTCATTCACCGCCAACAACACTCGCATTATTCGAGAAACTCCCTTGATCGGTGCATATCACAAGATGCGGTGCTTAGAGACTATTTTGGTCTTGATACTTTGAAGAAGATTCAGGACGTATCAGAGGACTTCTCGGAGCTGCTCGGCGTTTTCGCCGTTCTGTACCACTTGTCGCCTAAGTCAAGATTCCACGGGAGGTATGCAAGTGCCACGGATCTCCTTTATCATCTCACTGGATCTTTGCCTGAGACAGAAACATGGGTTTCAGCTGCTCAGGAAAGCATTGAGTTCATTTTCGAAACCTGGGCTGTCCAGCAAGGCGAGACCTGGGAAATTTCGCTGCGGAACAAACTGAATACTTCTCAGAGTAGCGCAGGAGGGGAAGAAGAACAGGCCTTTGTCGACAGCAGCTTCGGCGGTCTTTACAACGAAATCTTGCAACGGATATCTATCCGGGCGGGCATTGATATTGCCGACGACTACTGCACTGTCTTGTTACTTACGGGGATTCTTTGTGATGTTGTTCTTGATGATCCACTCGAGCTGAGGCGATTCGGGTTAAGTCGCATCTTCGCTGCAATTCAGGCGTACCGGGAGACCAGACACCAATTCGCTCTTTATGACTCGGACTTCATCAGTGGACTTCCCTCCGCGCGACTTTTGAAGCAGTGTCTGTGGCTCTACACTGGAGATTCCATTAGCAATGACGACAACCTTGGCCCGTCATTGGCTCCCTACAGAGCTGATATGAGCAACTTATGGGATCATAGCGCTGCTAGCTCGGGCGGCATTTATTGCTTCATGGGCTACCTCATGGAGCCTTTCCAGTCGCACAGCACCGCTTGCAAAGTGCATGTCGGCCGTGGATCGATTGAGTTCAAGGACCGATTGGCGCCGACCATACTCGATCGGGATGCGGGGGAGAAAAGTCCGTACAGTGCCAGTATATCAAGCAGCTTCCCGAGAAGAATGAAGGCCGAGGCGATAGTGGAAGATAGTATGGTCCTGAGGCTATGGTTTGAGCAATGGGATGAGGATGGCGGGGATCAGAGACAGGCTGTGGTTCTAGGTGAAGCACTGCAGGCCGGGTGGTACGGGTCTAAAGGATTCTGGCGGGGTCCTTGCGGGACGTTGGAGGATCCAGACAACCTGGATCAGCAGCGACGTGCGCAGTGGATGAGTTCATATGGACCCCTTGAGACCGGAGAGCGCCCGCTGACACTGATACAAAGACACAGATCGCATTGATTCGATATGGCAACGTGTTTGCTCAGTTAAAGCACGCAGTCGCATGGACCTTCTCGCTTTTTTTCTTAGCGCCAACGAACATTCCTTCATGCTCTTTTCTGTTACCGTTTCTTGGCTTTCGGGAATGAAGGGGCATATTCATGGATTCTTTCACGCCGGTGCGCGTATAACGTGCCACGTATAGCACATGGATGAACCTTTCAAAGATTTCACCATCTCGATCGAATTGCAATTGGTCGTCCAGACCCTGGAAATGCACAGGATAGCAGTGTGACTCTTGCAGGCCTCGGGCAATGTCTTGAATGCGGTGGTCGAAGCAGAAACCTTTCCCACACATGGAGAGGCAGGTTCCGATATTTCCCGGGCATCCAAACGGGCCCATTAAGCAAGCACCCCTATACAACTGGCAACCCCACAGCGTTGCACGACCCTCAGCATGGCCAAAGAAAAGCCTAAAAAGTGGGCTTGACAGCGACGAAGTCGTGGGGTTGCATCATTGGCCGGCGGAAGAGAAGTACGACGCGGGCGCTCTCTTCGCAGAGTGTCAGCTTTAAATCATCACACACCACCGGCATCCACCGTGCCTGAAAGGGGTGGTCAGCTCGGCCGCAGGGGGCCGATAAGGCTGCAGCAAGCAAAACTTGTTGCCGGACGCAGCACGCGCCCTTCCCCGCTTCCCAGGCAACGTCACCCGCTGCGTATTCTCCACACAAACAGTGTCCTTGTGAACCGTGGCGGCGCACTGTCAATGCCTCAACAAGAAAGCCACAGCGGCGGTGCGCGCGCCGTGCCTGGCACCCAGCCAATAAATACTTGGCTGCCGTGTGACACGAAGAGGACGAGGGGGGTCATCCGCCTGCCAATGGCGCCACTACGCCCCTCCTCGTGATTCGCATCACAAACCTACAAGTCCCAACATGCGGCGTTTAGTCAGGGGACGGCCGGCGACGCAGCCGGTGCATGCGCGATAAAAATGGGCGGAGAGCTTGTCGAAATGCGGAATTTATTGAGTATCATCAGCGATCTCTGATCTGATCACTGATCCCCTTGCCTTGCAACCACGCGTCTCTCCCCATCCTCTTGCCATCCTTCTTAACAACAGTCCCTTCGCCCCGTCCCCGGTTTCTGCCTGTTCCCTTGCTCTTGTATCGCCGCAATCTTAATCCGTCCTCGCACCACTCCGCGCAACACCAACCCGGCGTCGTCTTAGCTCGCGTGATGCCGTCCATCCACGTCATCAAGTCCTCAGCCGCAAACATGCCCAAGGACAAGCTGAGCCAGCCCAAGGAAACCTTCTCCGTCTTCAATGACGGCGACTCGGACGACCTGCTCGAGGACGTGAAAAGAGAGAAGAAGACCAAGCGGAGTAATCTCAATCACGCCACGGACGCTTCCACTTCATCCGCTACGCGAACAGCTGCTTTCGAGATCGCCACAAAACGCAACTAGCACACAAGGTGGAAGGAAGAGAAAAGAACCAAGGGGTGGGCAATCTACCGGGCTCAACAGAACAACAGACCCAAACGGAGGGAGGACCTTCTCGTTTCCCCTCTCCGCGCCCTTTGTCGTCTGTCTTATTTTCCGATGGTCAATATCTCTGGAGCTGGTTTTCTTCGGAGCAAGCGTGTTTTCATTGCGTGGAGATGGAATGGCGGGCCGACATGCCAATACGTGGCTACGGCCATGCTGTGAGTTGCAAGGTTGTGCATCCTTGAGAACTGCTCTCGAGGTATTCTAGAGGCATCTTATGTAAGTCTGCAGCAGCGAGAATCCGTGTGCTATTTCACATTTTGCTGAGCCTGGATTAGTACAACAATTTTCTATCCGCTCCCCGCTATACAATACCCCATTACGTCATTCAGCTCGTGTCGATGGTTCGTGTAATACTGGGTGTTCTGGACGAGTTCAACCATAGACTTTGCTTTAATAATTTGCTCGCACCTTGTATTTCTTTGTATAATCAATCCTCCTTTTCGTTCCTTGACTAGCCAAACATGGTATGAAAACCAACATTGATGCTGAAGTGTGGTCTCCTAAAAATTGATGAACTTAGCATCGAGGCACGCACGAATCGATTCGCGGATTTCGACTTGCGCTCTAACTGTTCTAGTAACCGTATGGAAACCCTGTACCAACATCTCTAATGCGAGAGAAAATACACAGGCAGAAAGGTCGCTGGGAATCTATTTGAGATCAACCTATTAAGAGCCAATTCCCTGGCATATATTATCGACATACTTCCAAAAGGTCCAATTGATTCATTCCCAGCTGGACCACGAGCTGGCCCTCATTCTAGATAAGATCGTTTAAACACTAGGTCCGCCACTAGCTGCTCTAGTAGATGGAGGTCACCACTCCTTAGCACCGCTTCAACCGGCCAACCAATCAACTATCCCGTACTCGTCAAAATGCAACGCAACGAGTTCTTTTTCCTATTCATACGCATTATGAAATTCCGGTAGATTATCACGGAGCTACCCATCATTCACACCAAAGTATTTGGATCAGACAGTACGTCTCGCATTCGCATCTCCAGCTATAAAAAGGTAGAGAAATTTGAGTATTCGAACATCCAGCCCCTGCAAGCAAGCAAACACCACAGGGTAAAAAGAACAAATGGGAATTAAAAAGAACCTCCCTCCGCTAGCCCAGTCTAATCCCAGTCCAACCAAACCATTCCACTCCGTCGAATCTCGTCAAACCGCCAATTTAACTGCTGCCAGCGTAGGCCTTGTCAATCTCCTTTTGGTACTTCTCCAAGATACCCCTGCGGTTCAGCTTCTGGGCGGCAGTAGTAAGACCCTGGTGTAGGAGTGACGTCAGCAATCGGTCCGTTTACCCCAGATGATGAGGGGAATAATCAGCTAAAACTTACGTTGTGAGGGTTCCACTCCTCATCGGCGAGGACGACGCCGTCGAGGATCTCAAACGAGGCGAGACCACCCTTGCGGCCAGCATCTTGAAGCTGCTTGAGGACATAGGCGTTGATCTTGGGGTCGTGGACCAGCTCCTCCAGATGCTCGCCCTGCAGACCAAGCTCTCCCCCGATCTTCTTGAGGGCGGGCTCAGCGGGGACGATGATGGCAATGGGCTTGTGCTTGTCCTGAGCGGCGTAGATGCAGATGTTGGCGACGACGGGGACGGAGCGGTAGATGGACTCGAGCTGTTGGGTGTGAGCGACTACGCAACCTTCGGCGGGATCAGAGCTTAAACGTACCTTCTCCAGCGCAATGTACTCTCCTGCCAGAGTCTTGACGAGGTTCTTCTTGCGGTCGATGATGCGGAGCTGGCCCTTCGCGTCAAACTCGCCAATGTCGCCCGTCTTGAACCAGCCATCCGCAGTGAAGTTCTCCTTCGTCTCCTCCTCAAGGTCAAGGTATCCCTCCGTGACACCACCACCACGGATCCAGATTTCGCCCTGCGGCGGGTTGTTCGCGGCGAAGTAGCCGGCATCCGCAAAATCCACCAACTTGACTTCAATGCAGCCAGGAATTTCACCAAGCGCCGAGTCCGTGTACGCAAGAGGATCCATCAGAGCACCCATACTGTTTCCTGTTAGCAGTGGTTGCGCGGGAAGAAATGCAACCAACTTACGCAGCCGTCTCCGTCAAGCCGTATCCGCTGATCATAGGCGTGATGGCCATGGAAATGAAGTGTTGTGTGTCCTTCGCGATCGGGCCACCACCGTTCATGGTGATTCTCAGCCTGCCACCGGTAGCATCCTTGATCTTGTTGAAGACTATCGCGTCCAAAAGACCAGCGCCAGGGAGACCAGTGTTCATCAAGAAGTTCTTGGCAGCCATAGCTCCCCAGAACATGTTCTTGACGATAAAGTTGCCGTTATTGACCTTGCCCATGATACCCTTCTTCACCGACTCCCAAACGGCGGGCACACCAACGAGAATGCTGGGTTTAAACTCGCGAATATCACCCTTGCAGTTGCGTACCGACGTGTCGGAGAGAGTGCGCGGGTTACCGTAGCCCATAGTGCCACCCCAGAAGAGGACTGCGTTCTCGAAGACGAATTCCAAAATGTGTGCGAGCGGGAGGTAGGTGAGCAGGCCGTCGCCGGGGCCAATGTAGGGACCAACGATAACGTCAACACCGGTGACTGCACTTTTGTCAGCTTTACTTTCTTGCACTCGAAACTAATGTGGCTCCTTACTTGCTGCAACCACGTTCTTGTGCTTCAGCAGAACTCCCTTCGGTGTGCCGGTAGAACCACTTGTGTACATGATGCAGCACAGGTCCTCGGGGCTAGGCGGCGTAGGGTCAATTGGCGAGTCTGCTCCCAGCTTCTGAAGCTCCGTGAAGCCTCTGATAGTGAGGTGGGGGTGCTCGCCCTTCAGCTTCTCAATGTCCGACTGCTTGACCTCCTTGTCCACATCGTTGTAAATGACATGCTGAATGTCTTTGGCGGTCTTGAGCGGGTTAATGAGCTTGGTGAGAAGCTGGGGGTCAAGGAAGATGGCCTTGGCGTTTGTCTGTTGGAGGGAGTGCTTGAGGCCCTCTTCTCCGAGCGTGTCGTAGGCGGTAACGATTGGCATCGACTGCGAGCCAGCACCTACATTTTATTAGCGCCTTCCAAAGCAGCTACTGTGAGTATGAAGCTCACCATGTGCTATTGCGAGCCATTGGGGGCTTTTACGAAGTCAGCACTGATCAGACGATTAGGGGCAATGGAGCGGACCTGGTGGACGCAAAGATGTGCACACGGTCGGGGGAGGCGAGACCGATAGCACGGAAGCCAGCTCCAAGGTCCAACGCAAGCTTCTCAAACTCGACGAAGCTGATGTAGTTGTAGGGGCCCAGCTCAAAGTAGGTCCACTTCTTATCGACCTGCGTCTCCTTGCCATCGACCATTTTCTTGATCTTCTTAGTCTCGACATGTTCCTGGATGAGCTTGCGGTGGCCGAGCGCCTTCGCGTTGCCGAACTTGGCCGAGGCGTACTTCAGGACATCGAAGATGGTGGCGACGTCGTCATGAGGGCGCATCTTCAGGGCATCCTTGGTACGATAATTGCGGCGCGGGATGGTCTCGCCCTCAACCTTCTCGTAGCCGGGGGCTTCCACAGTGAAGGGTCCCTTTTTGTAGGGCCGCGGCTGCGGCACCATAGTCTTGTAGTTCTGCGGCATGGTGGGCGCGAGTGCTGAGCTCGTTCGCACTCAGAGGCTGGTGACGAAGAGTCGGCGGGAAAGGGGGCGCTGAGAGGTGCGCGGGACTCGCAGTGGATGGAGGCGAGCGCTGCAGCAGAGAGGGGGATGGAGCGGGTGCAGGCGTGTTTGGGACGGAGCTCGCGGGCGAGGTTCAGGATGAAGGCGTGGGAGCCGGAGTGACGTCTAGCGGCCGTCGCAAGGAGCTACCAGCCACGAACGAATCCTGGCCCGCCGGGCCCTGCGCTACCCATGTCACCAGCTTGTGGCCTGCGCTCAACAAAATTCCACCACCGCCGCCTCGAACCCGCCGCGCGACCAAACAGCAGGCCGCGCGCCCGCCTGACCCCCTACATACATACATAGCGTCCGCCCGCAGCCGCTGTTGCCAGAACACTGCCCCGGCCAAGGCTGCCGCAGGAGCCTGGCGCACGCGGCCGAATCTCTGGGCAGCTTTCCGGGGCCCCGGAGCCAAGCCATGGACGCGGTCGACGCGCTGCTGCGCGCGCTGCACGACGAGGTGGCCGATCCGGAAGAAGGTGATTCGCCCGCCCGCCGTGACGCCCGCCCGCAGCAACTCCTCCGCTAAACCCCCGCTCTGCATGCAGACGCCTTCCTCGTCTTCTCCCAGCCGGTGCCCTCGCACGAACTTGGCATTCTCGACCCCAAGGCCGCGTCGCTAGACGTGACGGTTGCCGGCCGCGACCTGACCATCGCGCAGTCTCCCGGCCTGCTCACCTCCAACCGCGCCCTAGGTAGCACCGGCGCCGTCGTGTGGAAAGTCACGCCGCTCTTCGCCGAATGGCTGGCGTCAGAGGACAACGTGCTCTTCAGGAGCCACGCCCTCACCCCGCACTCAACCGTTTTGGAGCTGGGCTGCGGCGTGGCTGGCATCGTCCCATTGGCGCTAGCGCCGCGCATAGGCAGATACGTTGCCACTGATCAGGACTACGTGTTAAGACTGCTGAAACAAAACGTCGCCCAGAACACCAGCCTGCCCTCCAGCCGCCGCGCAAAGCCTCAGAAGCCACGCGCCAACCCTGGAGGTGCCTCGGCTGGCAACATCGAGACGCTGACGTTGGACTGGGAGCGTGATTCGGTCGCCGCCCTTCCCCAACAACTGAACCAGCAGTCTGACGCATCAGATGATGTCGGCGTCGACGCCGTCATTGCCTGTGACTGCATCTACAACGAGGCGCTGATCGAGCCTTTCAACAGCACCTGCGCTGAGATATGCGCCTTACGTGCGAAAGGCAGCCGCCCGACCTTCTGCATCATAGCCCAGCAGAGGAGGACGTATGAAGTCTTCGAGCAGTGGCTGATTTCTTTCCACAAACGGTTCCGAGTGTGGAAGCTGTCAGACGAGCACCTACCCGAAGGCTTGAAGGAAGACTCAGGCTTCATGGTGCACATTGGTGTTCTGCGGCAGTAGTCATCGCACTGAACCTTCCCGTTCTGGCTTCCGATCTTGATATTGTTGCGCCGCTCAGTCCCCTGCGCGGCGTCTCTGACTCCGACGCCATCTACCAATTGATGTCGCTACGGCCGATACGGTTGTAGGATGGCTACCGAGTCGTGCGAAACGTATTTGATGCAATAAAAGGAGAAACATTGAATTTCCAGAAGATTGTGCTCGAAGACAATCATCAGACGCCTTTTGGTGAAGATCATCAGGGACCGATGTGGATCGCTCGGTCGCTAAACGTGCATGCGATACGAAGAGCACGCGATGTGACAACTGGCGATCACTTAAAAGGAAATGCTTGGCCGCGCTCGACCACGTCCCAACTGCCTTATTAGCCTAGGCTTTCCGCTCCGAATGCTTATAACTCTCTGAACAATACGCCTCCTGTAGTCTGTCTGTGGATGCTCTTAAGCGACATGCTATTTCGCTTCGCATTGCAGTGCCGCAACAAGCGCCTTCACGCGAGCGGGCTTGAGACAATTTTGCCCAGTCGCGGCACAGCAACAGGTCCACCGCCAGCAAAGCAGTCTCATGATAATTTAGCGCGCACTGAATCAACTCGCTCGCTCCTGCGACCACAGCCAATACTTATGCATTCCCTTTCCGCCAATGACGCCTGGAATTGGCAATTCTGTCCGTGCGATCGATGCACAATTGGGAACAATTGAAACGAATACAGCGGGCCAGTTGAAAAGTCGACATAGACGTGGACATGCCGTGAAGAAAATCCTCGTTACGTGCCTAAATGTCTTCATACGACCGTACCCGGGGAACAGACCTCGTATAGACTTCACTGCATTCGCAGTAGCGAGTGCATGACATCGGTGGGTCCGATACTCTTCTGTTTTGTCGGTATTTACTCGGAGAAGTAGTTTTACGTAGCTAGGATCGAGTTCGTAGGTATGTGGATCTAGCCCGTTCCTGCCTGCTAGGTAAATTGGACCTCATGCGTCTGATAGTCATCCATTCATTCATGATCTGAGGGTGATGTGCAGTGGTCAGATCTCATTCGTTATCCACTTGAATAAAAATACATCTGAAACTAACTACCAACCCCATATGCAGTCTTCAATTGGGTCAGGAATTTATGTTTCTTTACCCTCGATTATCCAATAAAGACTGACTAAGACGGCAAGCCATCAAAATGTCCAGTGGCTGAAGAAAGAAAAACCCACAACAATGACCACTTCCTCTGGGAAGGTTGGAAAAGCATATATAAATAGAAGGGGAAAAAAATTCTCGCCAAATTCAACTCTATTCAGTTGAGACCTTATTCACTTCCACACCGCAAATCACATTCCGCCACCTTCCGCGGACCCCAGCCACAAGCCATCCTGTCCCCGCTCACCACTCCCTCGCCAACGTCTCCTTAATGCCCTTCACATGCCACACCCCTCCCCTCCCCACAATCCACAATTCATGCTCTCCAAGGGTCATCGACACGGCCAGATTCGCCCCTCCACCCACCCTGATGGTCCCCAGCGTGACTCCGTCAGTCGGACTAATCACATCCACGCCATCACCCGCGCCCACAAAAATCCACCCTTCCTTCGACACCTTAATCCCATCGTAGAAATAGGCGACGGGGTTGTTCAGCATGCGCGGGTTCGTCAGCACGCCTCCGCCGTAAGGGGACACGTCGTAGGCGAAGAGGCGGCGGTCGCCGTACGGGTCCTTGTAGGACACGGGCTTGAAGACGGAGACGCCGGTGTCGGGGAGGTAGAGGACGAGGGTGGAGGGGTCGTGCGGGGAGCGGGCGACGGCGACGCCGTTGGCGTTGCCGGTGGTGATGTGCACGGGCTTGGGGGCCATGGTCGTGGCGTTGACGAAGTAGACGGTGGGGTTGGTCGGGGGCGTGAAGGGGATGATGTCGCGGCCCTGTTGTTGTGGGAGGGGGTCTGTTAGCCTTTTGATAGATAGCTTCTTTTTGGGAGTCTTTCTTCGATTCATTGCAAGCATGATGAAGTGTGGCTAGAAAGGAACTGGCTTGGAGGGATATGCAGAGTCATGAAGATGTTGGGGCTAGGGGAGGGGGGCATTTACCGCGCCAGACTTGGAGTCCGTGAGCCAAAAGTTGCCGTCGGGGTCGATTTCGAGGTCGTTGAAACCGTCAAAGGGTTGCTGGTAGTAGTTGTTGAGCAGCACGGTCTTCTCGAAGGTGATTGGGTCGATCTTCACGAGAGCGCCCGTCTCGTTGGCGGACCCATCAGTCACAGCATAGTAGGCGTCATTGTAGAAGACACAGCCGTGAAGGTTGACCGTAGGCGGGTTGGTGGTGATTTTGCGGAGCGTATTGTTACGCGTGTTGAGCAGGTACTGCCAAGTGTGCACGCCGTCATCACCGCCTGGCGGGCCCCACTCGACGAATAGGAGCTCCTCCGTATTGGGGTTGAAGCATGGCGCTTCGTGAGTTTGGTAGGTTAGGTTCTGGACATGGGTCACAGTTGCGTCGGGACCGATAATGTCGAAGAACCTTTCATCGTAGGCGATGAACTCGGTGGTATTGAGGAAGTCATTGCTGGGGTGGTTCAGCTGTGGGTTGCACTAGACGACGATCAGGTAGGAAGTCATACGTACACTTCTTGCAGGGTAGGGTCTGACGTGGTACTTTCAAAGGGAGCATCAAAAGCGGACCGATTGAAGGAACCACTCAGAACTGCGACGGATGGTTCCTGGTAAGACACCCAAGCCCATGTTGCTAAGGCGTCCCGGAAAGCTGAAGGCAGATCGGTGAAGAAGCTTTGGACAAGCCCCGGGTACATGAGTAAGAGTCTTGGATTGAAACGCTTCATGTTGCTCTCGTCAGGCCTCCCTGATACTGAACAACGATTTGATACTCAAAATGCGGCGCATCTTGGATAGCGGAGGACCACGCCCTTTTTTAAAGCCTACAAGCAGACACGGGAGAACCCCCTCTAGTGACTTCGGAGAACGAAAAAGATGAACAATCCGTAAACCAAATGAAGAGACCCGTCCGTTTACCTTGGCAATGGAGACGCTTCACTGGAGGGGTAGTAGCTGCCGAGAAGAGGAGTCAGGGAGCATCTGAGAGGGCGGCACGGAGTAGTCCGGGCAGATTCTGGATGGCTCCGGACAGCTTTGCACGGCTATATCTTCCGCGCGAGGCCCACCTTCCACCGAAATTTTTGATAGATTTGGCACTCTTGACTTCCGGTCGGCCCTCATAAAGGCTTGGCCTATGGGTCCGGTGTTCTTGGGAAGGTCATGAGAGGTACGTGCAATGGAAAAGATAACGGAAGAACCCATTCACGAGACCCTGCGCCGCGATAGCTCCTACCGACATCGGAGTGGCTTGGTTTGGCTACATGAATTGTGAGCTCACGCTTGTCAATTTGGTTGTAGTGGAGAAACAAGATGATCTTGCACGGACAGTTTTCCAAGGAGGGGATAGGTGACTGGATAGGAACGAGAAAAAGACGAGCCAACTTTGCAGATACCGCCAATCTACTTGCCAAATCTGAAGGGCTGAGAGGTCCTATGATGTTTCTCTTTTTTCTGTTTGATGTTTGCCGGTTAGTCACCTGGCCGCGTATACTCTACGCTGCCCGTAGATATTCTATGCATCGCATCGTCCTGCGCGGACCCATCGAAAGCTTCATCTTCACCTCAATGGATTCTCAATGGGGCTCTGAGGTGTAGTTTGTAGCAATTAAGGAAATAATATGATTACAAAAGTGGTGGCCGGGAAGGGTTTGGGGATGAATAACCGTGTGGGGTAGAAGCCTCGGCCCCAGGTACAGCTCCACGCTTTCCCCGCCGGCTGATGCGCATCATCCGCTGTCACACCCAATCCAACACGATGCATTTGCCGAAGCTCAGACGTTTTGTTTTTGATTTCTTCGCCAGCTAAGCCTTCCTACTTCAATTATCTCATCAATTGATTGTCACAATGTCGTCCCCGAGCTTCAGCACACAACCGCCAAAGACGCAGTACTGCATCCTCTCGTTTCCAGCCCCCTATGTCTTACTCGTCACGCTCAACCGACCCAAGGAGCTCAACTGCATCAACATAGCCGGCCATGCTGAGCTCGACCAAGTCTGGTCCTGGCTAGACCGCGAACCCGCCCTCCGCGTCGGCATCATCACCGGCGCCGGGCGCGCCTTCTGCGCGGGCGCAGACCTCAAAGGTATGCACACCCACCACCCTTCTCTTCCCTATCCCCGGCCCTCAAGCTAACCCGATCGTCACCGCGATGCAGAATGGAACCAGTCAAACTCATCCGATACGCCGCGCCCGCAAGTCGCCGCCTCAGGCTTCGGCGGGCTCTCGCGGCGCTCCGGGCTCAAGCCAGTCATCGCTGCCCTCAATGGACTGGCGTTTGGCGGCGGCTGTGAGATGATCATCAACGCGGATATCGTCGTCGCGGCGCCAACGGCGACCATCGCCCTGCCCGAGGTCAAGCGCGGTGTCGTGGCGCTGGCTGGAGCGCTGCCGCGCCTCGTGCGCACCGTTGGAAAGCAGCGCGCAATGGAGATGTCCCTCACGGGACGCACGATACCTGCGCAGGAGGCGAGGGAGTGGGGGCTCGTGAATAAGGTCGTGGGTGATGGCGAGGGAGAGGTTGTGAAGGAGGCGTTGAGGTTGGCGGAGATGATTGTGGACAATAGCCCGGATGCGGTGATTGTGACGAGGGAGGGTGTGAAGATGGGGTGGGATGGCGTGGGTGCAGAGGATGCGACCAGAATTTGGGGCGAGAGCTGGTACCCGCGACTGTTGGCAGGTGAGAATATGAAAGAGGGCGTGAGGGCATTTGTGGAAAAGAGGAAGCCGGAATGGAAGGCGCCTAAATTGTGAAGTATTCACAAGCTCATTAACTCGGAGGAAGCGAGGTGAATGCTGGGACCACTTAGCTATTATGTCAAGCGGAAAAGCACTCTCTTAGTAAGGTGCTCATCTACAATGTAGGCATGAACTTAGCAGAGCTCTATGACGTAAAGCAGTTAGGAAGTGAATATTCACGCGCCCATGCTATGTGTGGTCGTAAATGATCTTCAGAACGATCTGGACCAGAAGCCCCATAGTACGCTGAAGCCACGGCGCTTAAAATTACTCTTTGCACGAAGAGCACTGATTCAAAGAGAGGAGCGAGGAAGACTGAGCCTCACGCGCGACCTGTCCCAAATAGGCAATCCGACGGTATTTCCGTTTCGAGAGCTCCAGCTCCTCTCCCCTCCTCCACAGTGCCCGCATTCCGGTGCAGCGGCCGACCCCGCATATAAGCTGGTGCCTCTCTGTCACGCAAGATGGCGGCGCTCGAACGACGAGGTGTAAGTAATTCTTTGGAGTGCACTCTGCTTTCTGGCAGTTCGACCTTGCTTGTAAACCGCGTTCTTCTTACAATTGTCCCCAAGTATCTCTGCATCGCCAGCAGTTTCGTTCCAAGGCGTGACACAATTTCATAATGTCGGTTATCGTCGAACAAACAATCCCATGGTCGCCCGAGGCGCTCGATCTCACCAACCCCAAACGGTGGACTACGCTATTCCCTCTTATTCGGCCTTCTGTTGTCCCAGTTACTACCAGCAAAGGCCAGACTATCCTCCTCAACCGCGCTCTGAGCAACAGCCCGCACATCCAGATCGCAGCCATTGGACGTTCCGGGAATTTTTCCAGCAAGTTCTTGTCAGACTCGCACATAGCTGCAATCATCACTGAGACATCCGGCGCTGGACTTCTGACAGCACAGGATATTCGGCATACGCTGGAGCAGAATGGCATCAAAATTGGACAGGGGCTTATCGTTCTGCGCGCCGGAAAGGAGAGGCAAGTAGCAGGACCAGAGAATGACGTTGTCGAGGTTGAAACCGAGGGGGAGCTGGAGTTCGATCATCTGCTGAGTCTGCTTGAGCTTGCGACAGAGACTGCAAGGTCTGTAGCTTCTTACAACCTTGAAACCGAGAATCACCGCTTACGATGTGCACAGGACGTCTATCCACCAGACGATCGAACTCCTGAAATTGTTCATGAAAACCGCAGTCACAACAAAATCGGAGTTCCATCCAGCAAAGAAGGGAGAAAATGCTTCCATTGTCCACGAGGTTGGACACGAGGAATTTGAGACAGCTACCAAAGCACTCGAGAAAGACCTCACACACGTCCTGCGCTCACAGGCTTCGCAAACAGGCCCGGTGACGTACTCAGTCCACTACTCGGACATCAACGGCCTCTCGCAATTGGAGAACTACATTGTTGCGTATGAGATCTCCAACTATCTCGGTGCGTCTACCCTGCCAAATCAGCAACTTCAACAGGAGCAATAGACTTACAATACAAATAGATGCCCAAAGCATCCCCTACCGCCTCTCCTCCTCCCCACTCATCAAGCCGGACCCCCTCGCTGCGCGCGGCTGGGCCATCTCCGTCTGCGCCATACCCACCCGCTTCCTCTCCCCACAATCCAAGCCGCCAAACCCTCTCTCCGCACCCTCCAGCCCCTCCAACACCGCCGCGAAGCTCGCTACAGCTACTACAACCACCGACACGGCCGGTCCCGACCTCCCCGACGCCCTCGTCCGCTCGCGCATCACACGCGGCTGCTCCGCGCTCATCGCAGCCGAGCCGACCATCACACACTACGACACGGTCGTCGGCGACGGCGACTGCGGGCTGACGCTGCGCGACGGCGCGCAGAAGGTGCTGTCCTTCATCGACGGCGCGGACCTGTCGAGCCGCAACCTGCCGCGCGTGCTGGCGGCGCTGGTCGACGACCTCGAGGTCACCATGGGCGGCACGAGCGGCGCCTTGTACTGCATCTTCCTCTCGGCCTTCGGGACGGCGCTGGCGCAGCAGCGGGACGGCGACGACGTGCCGCGGGCGCTGGAGGTGGCATTGGAGCAGCTGTTGCAGTATACGCGCGCGCGGAGGGGCGATCGTACGTGCTTGGATGCGCTGATTCCGTTTGTGGAGACGCTGGCGGGTGGCAGCGGTGTGGAGGAGGCGCTGAGGCGTGCGGAGAGCGGAGTGGAGGAGACGAAGACGATGGAGGCTAAGTTGGGGAGAAGCACGTATCTGGATGAAAGTGCGACGAGGGGTGTGCCGGATCCTGGCGCTTATGGATTGTTCGTGTTGTTGGAAGGACTGTGTGGGGTGGAAAGAAAGTGACTGGAGACGGAGGTTAGATGATAGTGATGTTCGGAGAGAGATGCGCTGTGCTGTTGGTCAACGATATCTCAATATTAGCTGTTTTATTTTAGTTGTGGTGATGAGTTGAGATATCTGTGGCGCTGTAGGTGCAAATTCCCTTGACGGGTGGGGTAAATAGTTTGTCATCATCACTACGATCTCCGCCTGGTAGTCTGAGTGCAAGAAGACTCGCGGCTTCCAGAGGCTTAAGAACCTTGAGTTGCACGCCAGTGTCGAGAAAGAAATAGGATACTGAAGATGGAAGGCAGTGGTGAGCATAAAGTTAGGAAGTCACCCGTCGGGTGGGGATACCGCGTCGATAGCGCGTTGACGCGGCGGCGGTCCGAAGTTTAGCCGGCGGAACCCAAGTGTTTGGAGGCATCGCGGCGTGTTTACCTTCGAAGCAACGCGAATGCGCCAACGCCGACCGACACCGACGACGACGACGTAGCGCCGCAGCCATGAGGATTGTGGAGATAGTCGTAGACGTACGTCCGTTCGCCTGTTGCGCACCTTTATCCTTGCTGACCCCGCGCACAGGGCTTCAAGTCGTACGCCGTCCGTACCGTCATCTCCGGGTGGTGAGTTGCGTCAATACACCTTACAACTTCAATCGTGCGCGCGCTGACGCCTTTCTTAGGGACGAGAGCTTCAATTCGATCACCGGTCTCAACGGTTCCGGAAAGTCCAACATCCTCGACTCGATATGTTTCGTCCTCGGTATCACGAACATGACGACCGTCCGCGCGCAGAATCTGCAGGTACGATTAGCTGGAGGACACGCGATGGAAAAGTGGGAAGAAGCTAATACAGGTGGAAATGTAGGATCTTATCTACAAGCGCGGTCAAGCGGGCGTCACCAAAGCTTCTGTCACCATTGTCTTCGATAACTCAGACAAGAGCAAGTCCCCAATCGGATTCGAAGAGTATGCGCAAATATCCGTAACACGTCAGATCGTGCTCGGCGGCACGAGCAAGTATCTTATCAACGGCCACCGTGCACAGCAGCAGACCGTCCAGAACCTCTTCCAGTCCGTCCAGCTGAACATCAACAACCCAAACTTTCTGATCATGCAAGGTCGCATCACCAAGGTCCTGAATATGAAGGCTGTCGAAATTCTGGCCATGATTGAAGAAGCTGCTGGCACTCGCATGTTCGAGGACAGGAGGGACAAGGCGTTCAAGACAATGGCGAAGAAGGACATGAAGCTACAGGAGATCACCGAGTTGCTGAGGGACGAGATTGACCCGAAACTAGAGAAGCTCCGAGCGGAAAAGCGCGCGTTCCTCGATTTCCAACAGACCCAAAACGATGTCGAGCGGTTGACGAGATTAGTCGTAGCGCACGATTACCTCAGATACAAGGACAAGCTGGACAAATCGGTGGAGGATTTGGAGGCCAAGAAGCAGCGAGAGAAGGACCTCGAGGAGTCTGTGGAACGGATGAAGAATGAGATTGAACTGCTCAAGGAGGACATCAAGAAAGTCAAGAGTACTAGAGAAAAGGAACTGCGTAAGGGCGGTAAATTCCAGGGTTTGGAAGAAGAGGTCAAGAAGCATTCGCACGAAACGGTTCGATTGACAACTGTCATTGACCTCAAGAAAACCAGCTTGACAGAGGAAGCCGATAGGCGCAAGAAGCTCCAGAAAACAGTTCAGGAGCTCGAATCTCAGCTCAAAGAGAAAAGCAAGATTTACGAGCAGTTACAGCAAAAGTACAATGCATCGCACGCAGAACTGGCCAAGCAGACTGAGGAGGTTGAGAAGAAGGAAGAACTTATTTCCACTCTCCAAACCGGTGTCGCATCCAAGGAAGGACAGGAGAGTGGTTACCAGGGTCAGCTTCAGGATGCAAGAAATCGTGCAAGCTCCGCACAAACAGAACAGGAGCAGGCCAAGCTCAAAATCTCTCATTTGGAGAAGCAAATCAAGGAGGCTGAGCCGCGTGCGAAGAAGGCGAAGGAGCAGAATTCGGGTCTCCTCAAAGAGCTGGAAGGTCTAAGAAAGCAGGCGCAAAAGCTTGAGAGTGATCTTGGCAGGTTGGGCTTTGAGCCTGGAAAGGAGGAGGATATGTACAAGGAGGAATCACAACGGCAACAACGCATTCGCGAGCTCAGGGAACAGTCTGACGCCCTGAAGAGGAAGGTTGCCAATATCGACTTCAGCTACAGCGACCCTTCTCCCAACTTTGATAGGTCCAGGGTAAAGGGCCTAGTTGCTCAGCTTTTCTCTTTAGAAAAGGAGCACACACGAGCTGGTACCGCTTTGGAGATTTGCGCAGGCGGCCGTCTGTACAATGTTGTCGTTGACACCTCTGAGACTGGTACTCAGCTTCTGCAAAATGGCAGGCTGAAGAAGCGCGTCACTATTATTCCCTTGAACAAGATTTCCGCTTTCAGGGCATCAGCAGAGGTAAGCTTCTCTAGAGCCCGGTTTTGGCAAGTGTTCTAACTAACCGGTAAAGAAAATTGGCGCCGCCCAACGGATCGCTCCCGGGAAAGTTGATCTTGCGCTATCACTTATCGGTTACGATGATGAGGTGACAGCCGCGATGGAATATGTCTTCGGCTCCACGCTTGTCTGCGAAGATGCCGAGACGGCAAAACGAGTCACCTTCGATCCTTCAGTACGGATGAAGAGTGTTACTCTCGAAGGCGATGTGTACGACCCATCGGGTACGCTCTCCGGAGGTAGCTCTCCTCAGACGAGCGGTGTTCTTGTCACACTGTCGAAGCTGAACGAGCTTACGAAGGAGCTCAAGGCTCAGGAGCAAGCTCTGGGCTTGCTCCAGTCGACTATGGCGAGGGAGAAAAAGAAGCTTGATGCCGCCAAGAAGATCAAGCAGGAGCTTGACCTGAAGTCACACGAAATCAAGCTTGCTGAGGAGCAGATCAGCAGCAATTCATCAGCTTCAGTAAGTGATCATATGACAAGTATGAGGAGCTCTAACTAATTTGCTCCAGATCATCCAAGCTCTCGAGGAGATGAAGTCCACAGTGACCCAACTAAAGCAAGATATCGTTGACGCGAAAGCACGACACGATGAAGCATCCAAGGAAGTCAAGCGCATCGAGCGCGACATGAACGAATTCAGCAAGAACAAGGACAGCAAGCTTGCCGAGCTTCAAAAGTCCCTTGACCAGCTCAAGAAGGCATTGACCAAGAACAACGCTTCCATTAAGCCCCTGCAGCAAGAGATGAGGGATGCCATGCTTGAATCTGAGCAATGTGGCAGTGACTTGGCCGCTGCTCAGGAACAGTTGCAAGATTCCAGCACGACCCTCTCCGCCCAGCAGGAGGAAATTGATGCTCTGATTCGGGAGCAAGCTGCGGCAAAAGACGCCCATGAACTCGCAGCCGCGCAGCTGGAAGATGAACAGGCGAAGTTGACCGGTTTTGACGAAGAGCTGCGCGCCCTCGATGATGCCGTGAGCTCCAAGTCCAAGTTGATCACGGAAGAGGGTCTTGAGTTACAAAAGCTCGGCCATCAGATAGAGAAGTTCGATAAGGAGCTTCAGGCTGCGAAGCATGCCGTCTCGGCATTGGAACAGGAGCACGACTGGATCGCCGACGAGCAAGAACATTTTGGCCGATCCGGCACGCCCTACGATTTCAAGGGCCAAAACATGTCGGAATGCAAATCCACCCTCAAGAACCTCACTGAGCGCTTCCAAGGCATGAAGAAGAAGATCAACCCCAAGGTCATGAACATGATCGACAGTGTTGAGAAGAAGGAGGTGTCGCTGAAGAACATGATGCGCACAGTCATCCGCGACAAACGCAAGATTGAAGAGACGATCCAGTCCCTCGACGCGTACAAGCGGGACGCGCTGCAGAAGACGTGGGAGAAAGTCAACGCCGACTTTGGCAACATCTTCAACGAGCTTCTGCCCGGTTCCTTCGCCAAGCTCGACCCGCCTGAGGGCAAGACGATCGCTGACGGTCTTGAGGTCAAGGTCTCGCTGGGCAAGGTGTGGAAGCAGAGCTTGACGGAGCTGTCGGGTGGTCAGCGCTCCCTTGTTGCGCTGTCGCTCATCATGGCCCTTCTTCAGTTCAAGCCTGCCCCTATGTACATTCTTGACGAGGTCGATGCTGCGCTGGATCTGAGCCATACGCAGAACATCGGACGGCTGATCAAGACGAGGTTCAAGGGCAGCCAGTTCATCGTCGTGTCCCTGAAGGATGGCATGTTCCAGAACGCGAATCGTATCTTCAGGACGAGGTTCAGTGATGGTACCAGTATTGTCCAGGCGCTGACACCGGCCGATTTGAAGTAGATGGGTGATGGCAATGCTGGCGGACGTACGGCGTGATCAGTCGAGACGGCGGCTTTTGTGCGGGCTTTAACGGAGTTTGGCAGGTCAATTGGACATTGTGAGGCAAATGATTGGGCTACCACTATCTGGGGCGCTGGCGCTGGCTCTGGCATGAGGGGCATGGTGTCTTCTGTCTATGATGTCGATACCAGGCGTTTGCTGTGTGTTTCATAAATTATTCACCCTGGTACGGGCAGATGAAATCTTCTTGGTGAGTTTACCACTGGTTACGCATCCCTTAGTGAGTTCTATTACCTTATTCCGCTGAATGAGTTTGGCCGGATGAGTTTGCTGGGAGCGAGTGAACACAAAGTGTCTCGTATAGTCCCCTCTCGCAGCCGATGGCTAGTGTGAATTATTTTTGCTTATGTCATGGATAGTTGAAGCTATCGTCTGGATGTGTATGTAGAGTTTAAGTCCACATTCTTGTCCCGGCGATGGCTTCAGCTACCCACATATATTATTTTCTTGAGAAAGAGCTGAGGCATAGCTACGTCTGGGGACTTACTGTTCTTCATGCTCGCCGTCGGCTGCGATTCCCCGTGTTCTCGCATCGCGCATACGTTGGCGGTTTATGCGTCACCCGAGGAGGAATGGCTGCATGCTTTGTGCCTCGCTTGTGCTTCTGTGGCTTTGCTCCTCCATGCCAGCAACACCACCAATCCTCGACAGCATCCCGACCTCGATCGCATCGTCCGCCTGGGCGTCGGCATAAGCGGCCCCAGCCCACGGCACCTAGCTGGGCTGACACACCCCTGGGCTGACGCACCCCTGGGCTGACGTACCGCCGGGTTGACACACTGCCGGGTTGACGCACCGCCTGGTTGACGCACCGCCTGGTTGACGCACCACCGCGCCACACCTTTCAACCTAGACTTGCTCCCCTAGCTCCTACGGCATGGCGAGCTGAACAAGTGGGCAGGTAATGAAGGCGACAATAACGAATTCGCCGTCCGATTCATCCATCAGGGGTGCCAACAGGAAAGAGGGACGAATGGTTGATATTCGAGGAGCTATAGAAAGGGGCAAACTCTTATACTCATTTTCAACCAGGCGGAAAGTTGCCCGTAAAGTCTTCGCAAATATACGATCTCATGCTTCGTTGATTCCATCCAATACTTTTGTCACACCGTACTATACCCCCTTTTGTGCAGTGTCTCACGTGGTAACCTAATCCTCCCCGCATCTATTGGCTGTCATCCACTTTCTATCCATGTCTTCCGAGAACAGGTCACAGTTGCATCAATCTCATTCATGATCAAAGTGAGCTTGCACACGTAAGATAGGTGATATATTTCAGAGTGACATACGAAATATCACAAGGCAAAGATACAAAAACACGGAAAGTTACCACCCTTCAGTAAGGTTCCGGTGGCAAAACTGACTCAACGTTCTTTACTAACTCGTGGAGGCCACAATCAAACGCGGCGCCCAATGGCGAGATAGAGCTCTTGGCCACGGCCATCCTCCCAGCTGCGAAAGCCTGCGAATTCCGAATCAGCTGTACTCGATTAATCTGCAATGCATGCCGTTTACCTCTGCGCTGCTGATTCACCCGAAGGGTTACAAAGGCCAAAATGATGCTGATTATGGCGGCAACGAAAGACAAAGCAAGACCGACAGTGTTGATCGTATCCCCGGTAGACAGGTCTCTGGTTGTGAATGGAGCCATGGCAATGTGAAATATGGCAAATAAATCCCTGTGGATTGGCTGTGTTTTTGCTTTGTGGGCTCAATGCCAAAGATAGGAAACGACAAATAGGTAGCTGCCAGTGCACAGCAAGAGTCTCGTAATTAGGCTGAGCCAGACTGGAGAAGTGGAAGATAAGAAAATTAACCCAGACAAGCCAGTGCGCACCTCTCTCATTCTTATGCTCAGAACCAGGAACTTCACGAGAACTAAGGGCTTCGGGGGGAGCAATGGCCTCACGTGGATGAATGACTTCACAGCAAACCACTAATTGGTTGACCTCCACGCCTTACGTGGCTATTCTTTATGTGCCTCACGTTTTATGCAGTGGAACGCTGCGGCCAAATCTAATTTCAGCTCTGAAGTTGCACCATTAGCTCGCACCATTAGCTCGCACCTTGCGTTGTGTGTGCAGTTTTGTACAACTATATTTGGGTAACCATGATGCTGTAGCCTCTTGAAAGGGAATACCTTGTAGGCAAATCCAATCCATTCTCGACTCTTTCGACCAATCCACTCCTTGTTCGGATTCGTGTCTTACATGCATATCCTGTGCAAACACAATCTTGAATTTAGACGAAATAATAGAATGCCACTTGAAAGTAGTAAATACTCCAAAGTATTTCGCAAATATAAATACGTAGCATAGTATGATTTCGTCTTCATCGTCCGCTTTCGGGCCTTTATAAGAAGGCAGATGTTGGTACGCAAAAGCAACAAATAGCCAGGAGATGAATACCCAAAGCGTATGCAATTAAAGTCTACAGTGTCTATGACTGCTCGAATAAAGACAATACACAGTCACAAACCTATGCTTACCACCCGGGAGACCATATGCAAACAAGAATGCCTGTGCCCGGTCAGTAAACCATGGTATCGATCCAACGCCCGCTTAGCCCCAGCACCCACGCAATCTTGCCGCATCATGCCACCGACTTGCGGTCGCCTCCCCAGCTCGGCTCCTTGCCAACCGACTTCCAGAACTGTCTTCGCTCCTCGAAGACTTGCTCGGCCCAGTCCTTGATCTCAGGCAACACAATCTTGGTGGCGACCCAGGTGAACTCGCCGATGTCCAAACGTCCCTCCTGGCCGCGCTCGTACTCCATCATCTGAAGCAGCAGCTCCATCTTATCGATATCGTGCACGTACTTTGCCTCCAGCGTCTCGCTGTCCTCGTATTCCTGCCACACCTTGCGGATCTCGGCACCCGTGAGACCGCCGCCGAACTTGCCCAGCAGGCGGGTGCACAGGTAATCCATAGTCTCCGACTCGCGGCGCGACTTCTCCTCCTTCGAGATGGGGTCGACGGGTGTGATGTCACCGACCAACGCCTCGGCCATGTCGTGGATAAGGGCCATCTTTGTGCAGTGTGGGATGTTGATGCGCGAGGATAGCGAGGAGGGAGCCATCATGGTGAGGATGGACATGCGGTACATGTGGTCGGAAATAGACTCGCCGTGCACGATACCGAAGCGGCGCCAGCCCTCGCGCTTGGTCGTTTTCAGTCGCTCGAGCAGGTGGAAGAAGGGAAGTGGTGAGTCGGTGTCGGGAACGGGCGGCGAGGAGAGTTCGGCGAGCGCTGCAGTGTTCTGTCAGCACGGCTTCTGGGGGCTATTGCAGGCCACGGGCGAAGTAGAGCGAGCGTACACGGTTGAGTCTACCGCAACCACAACATACCAGATTCGGGGGTCCATCTCGTGCTCGGAACGTCCTTCTCGGAGATAATGCCTGAGGTAGGCTCTAGAGCAAAGTTTAGCGACTGGGTCCCCCAAAGTTTCGGCAGCGGTGAAGCTCACTGGGAGAATCATTTGTCTCTGGCGCATCGGGAGCCATGGCTGCGGCGGATCGCGGGGCAGCAACGCAGAAAGCCGGCAGAGGAGTGATGTTGGTGTGGATTGCGGCTGGCAGGTAGCAGAATGCGTGGGTTTAAAGGGGGCAAGAACGAAGCAAGTTTGGCGTGGAAGGTTTGCTGTCGTGTGTTCTTGGTGGGAGCGAAAGAAGCGGCGGGAGGGTAGACAGGGATGGTGCTGGGAGCGGCGGGACGCGGCCGTCATCGTGCTTGAACCCCTGTCATTGGCCGCTGTCCCACCTGCCGCTCAGGCACTGACACAAGCTGACAGGGCTGCAATGCCCGTTGCCGGGGTCTGCATCGCGACCAAACAAAGACAACGCGCCTTCACGCTCCACCGCAAGCGACGCTTCCGGCTGCCGAAGTATGTCGCGCCCGCTGTCCAGCCACAGCTCCCAGGCGCAAACGAACGCATTTTCCGCCGCGAAAGCGCTGTCCCTGAAAGGCTGCTCGCATCAGCTGTCCAGCACCGCCCTCTTCGTGACGAACCTGCGCCTGCTCGACTTTGATTCCTACGACGACTGGCCCGAGATAACTGTCCACACCTTCGCGACCAAAGATGCGCAGCAAAATCAGAAGAAGCGTATCCAATGCACCGAGTGGGCTTTGTTCCGCCTGTTCGAGCTGTGGGATAGAGACGAGACGCGCGAGGTATCACTTGCCAGGGAATTCGCACCACAACAAGCGCTCACGATTCTGATAGAAACTGTCGCCCTTCTTCCCTCCTCTCGAGCCTCTCCAATCGCTGAACCTGCGCGCCGCACTCTATCGCTGCCTCAATGACCTCAAGAAAGATGGCGTGTTGGGTCGGGAGACGATCCTTCGCAAGACCATGTTGGATGAGTGCAAAGGGGATAAACTCATGGAGATACTCGTTCTGTTTTCCACTGCTGTGTTGAAGAAGAGATTATCAAGGGCCAAGTCTAGGCGCACTAACCTCCCGGTCGCGCGCCAGTATGCGACAGCTGCAAGCCTAACCCTCGACCAGCAGGCCTCTCTACTGCCACTCGTCGTCGCCCACAAAGCCGCACTCACAAATGTTTTGAGGGGGAGAGACGATATGCGCGAGAGATACATGGATTTTGGAGATTTGTTGGAGCAAAAAAGCATTGAAGCCGTAGAGCGAAATGAAAAGTGTGGAGAGGTGCTTGAAACCCTCGAAGAGTCTGGGAAGGACTTGCCGGATGCCGCCTCCATAAAGCGCATACTACATGATAATTGGCTGGGAAACCCTGAGTGGCTCGAACTAATGATGCAAGGAGAACAGGCCGAGGCGGCCGACGGCCTTTTCCAGACACCGTTTGAGGATATTTGGAATCGAGTACAGCTTGGTCAGGAAGTCGAGGAAGAGAGCCACCACCACCAAAGTCTTTTACAAGACTTAGAGGTACGGGTCAAAGGCCAAGAGGAGAGGCTGTCCCGGTGGAAGGCTCTTCATGACAAGATCCAAGCAATGCAGCCCGAAGAGCCTGCACCAAAAGTCTCTAGAACTAGGAACACATCTCTGGACTTCAACTTTGATCGTCATCGGGATCTACGACTAGGTAGGGTCGCGACTCATGAGTTTGAAGATGACGAGCACACCGCAAGATCGTCAGACTTGCCAAGAAGATACAGCTCCATTCTAGCCAACATGCGCGAAGACCTGGCGGCGGCATCCAAGGTCAAGTCGAACAGACCTCCACCAAGCTTTGTGCACAAACCTAGGGCATCCAGCATTCCAATGCAACCACCAGTTCAGAGACGGTCTTTCGCACTAAGACCCCGAGCGAGGCTGGGACCTGTCGAACCACCCTCACCCGAGTCCACCGAACCTTCGAAGCCGTCATTCAATAGACCAATTTCCCCGGACTGGTTTTCTCCGCTTGGAAAGCCGCAGGCAGAATACGAGCAGGACGAACCTGACAGGAGCCCCTCGCCCACGCCAACACGACCTACCTTTGACCATGACAGTATCTTTGGGAAATACTCCTCAAGCCGTTATGAGGATAACCCAGTAGCACCGGACTCGCCACCGCCACCATCTGAAGACCCTATCGATGATGGATATGTCGAGGAGCCAGTCTCGCCGAAACCCCGTTCCCCATCCCCACTCGCGTCCTCATCTCCGCCACCAAACGAAGAGGACCTCCTCGCCGAGCAAATACTTGCCGGTATGGACGCCGCCAGCCCCTCTCCCGTCAAGCAGCAGCCGTCCTACCAGCCCCAACCTGTTCTCTCCCTCATGGAGCGCACCCGCCTCACCATGGAAGGCCACACGTCCTCACCGGCCAAAGCCGCCCCCGCGCCGCGCCCCCTCGCACCCGAAGAGCAGGCCAAAGCCGACGCGACGGCCGCCCTCATCGAGCGCACGCGCCAGACCATGCTCGCCATGGCGGAGCGCAACCCTGCGCCGACCAGCAACCCGTCCAAGACCGGCCGCGCGAGAGCGAACAGCACGAAAAAGAAGAGCAGCGTCGACAACGGCAGGGGCCGTCGGCGCTCCAGCCTCTTCCCGCCCAACCCGTGGGAGACGCGCAAGATCAGCCCGCTGTTCGAGGAGTGGGCCGAGAAGTCGGCGGCGATGGAGAGGGAGGAGGCGGGTCTAGGGATTTCCACTGCGGGTGGCAGGGCGACGCCAAAGGACAAGCTGTTCGAGGACAACGTCGACGAGCAGAGCGTGTTTAAGAGCCGGCCGAAGATTGCGGCGAGTCCGTTGTTGATACCCGCGGAAGATGATGTTGGTGGTGGCGCGGATGCGGTGAGTGAGTTGGGTGGTGGGAGTGAGTATGATGGGATGGAGGGAGAAGAAGAAGAAGAAGAAGAAGGGGATGAGACGATGGGTGCGTGGGAGAGTAGCCCGTTGAGGGGTAAGGGGAGGTAAAGGATTGAGCGAAGCTGCTTTGATTGGTCAATAGTATTCCTTGGGAGGGTATGTCAGCGACTGGGCTTGGTATTGATTCTGGTTTGCTGCAGTTTGTAAGTTTGAATTCTGCCGCGGAGCGAGCGAGGCTTACCATTGGGTGGCGAAAGACTCGTGATGTATTATATAGTTACTAGAGTGTAAGAGTTACGAAGTATTAGACTAAATAAGTTTGCGTATTAGAGCATATTTTCAGAATCTGGTTATAGAAGAGTGAGCAATATGTTGCGCGCAGTGGTCTCGCGATAGTTCCCATGAAAGAGGATATTTACGACTCAATTCTGCGGGTGAAAGCGAGGAGATGAGATCCCTTGTAATCCGCTTAGCGCTGAATCATAAACAGGTGATGACTGTTTCAACACTCTAGCAGAAATCACATAAAATGACCGAAGCATGTTGTTTCCAACCTTTTAGGTATTCAATATCTCAGACTTGGTCTGTCTAGTTCATTATCGCCACACCTGGCTCTAAAGTGGGCACAGTCGCCTATTCCCACATTACCATCATTTCCCTTCTAACAGCATTATCACTCTATAAATCTTTAAACGTGCTCTCCCAATACCCTTCAAAATGATCCTTCGTCCTCGAAGTTGTGTGATTTACCACTTGTCAATGGTGTCTGTACCCGTCAGGTTCGGCTTGACGACCTTGCCCTCCAACCAGTCCTTGCACTTCTTGTACAGGATGTCGCGCTCCGGTCCGTGGCTGTTGAGATCGAGCTTGGGAGGGGTGTCAATTTGGTCCTCAAGCCATGCCAGATAGCGGTATCCTCTGTGTAAACGCCGCCAAAGTCAGCGATGTGGTAACGGGAGGGGAAAATAGAGACAAGGACGCCACTTGGACGTTTTAAGACATAGAATGAAGAAATAGAAAGTACTTACGAGGGATACTTCATAACCTCCTTCTCAGGGATATCGAACGTCCTGCCGGGGTGGACGGGGATCATCTTGTCCTTGTCAAACAGCAGCGTGTAGAAGCAGATTCCCCAACGGCCCTCACGCTTCTCGAGCATGAAGAAGAACCGACATTCGGCCTCATTGTCGACCTCGATGTTGTTGAAGGTGAAGCGGCAAGTGATGGTCACTTTCATCTTGGCAACGGCACGGTTGCCCTGCACGTCGACGGTCTGGCCGATGATGCGGTGCATGATGTACATGAATTCCTTGCCGCGCGCAAAGCCCTGTTTGGGAGGGGTCAGTCGGGACTCAGTGAATACAGGAGGATGGTGTTGACGTACATCCTTGGAGGCTTTGATAAACTCGTCGATAGAGCCTTGCTTCCAGCTCGTTGCGATGTAGGCATCATCCCAGAACTAACGAGCCTTCTATTAATTTGCTTTGCTCTTTCTCCTCCATTGAATTGTTTGGCTCAAAGGCTCACCATGGACCGATAGTTCTCCCACTCGGCGGCGTCGCGGTAGCAGCCCCAGCCCTCACAGATCTCGCGGATCTTGAAGCGGTCCAGCACCTCGGCATCGGTGCCGGTGGCGTTGTTGCGCGAGGCCTCGGACGGCCAGTGGGGAGGCTGAGTGACAGGGTAGAGCTCTAATCCAAAGAACAATCGCAACTGTTAGAATTGGACGAGGAAGTAGAGCTTGAAGGGCGCTGGATCACTCACGGCCACCTCCGGCCTGATGGCGGAGGGAGGTCGAAAAGGCGCGGGCGACCTCGCGGCGCACGGGAGCGCGGAGGACGCTACGGGAGGCGGCAGGCCTGAGGGCGTTGAAAGCGGGACGGAACATTATGGGATTCAATTAGGTAGAAAGGAGAGAGGAAATGTGATTGAGGACGAAGGTCGAGCAAGAGCTTGTTCCCGTGGAGCATCACAGGCGTTATTTATTTGATCAAGGCACCGGAAACCACGGCTGGCGCGACAGCTACAACGCCGCACAAGAGTAGCTCCTGAGCAACATAGGGACATAGCTCCTTCAAGGTACCCACAGCAGCTTTACATCAGGAACTCCAGTACCGCCGATTGCCGCCCGCGAGTCCGCCCTCAATTCCCGACATCAGCACACCGCAACGAAGTGGAAACGAAATACGATAAAACAGCTCGGTCACGCCGGATCCCGTTCGGGTTGTGACGAGCGCGAAAGGCTTAAGGGGGCGAAGCTTGCGGGGAGAGGATTAGCATGAAGTCTGCATAACCATACCGTCCTAGACATAGCGGTGCTAATACAGTATCTTTCGCAACCATCACTACTCATGAAGCGGGTCGCTTCGGAGACTGATGAGCCACGAGAGCAGTTGCATGAATATTGAGCAAGCTATTGACAAGCTGTATTGGCAGAACGTGACCAATTGTAAAAGGCTACGAAGCCAGAAAATTGACAGGGGCTCCGCTCATGGCCGGTGAAGAGGATCTTAATACAAGGAGTATTATGAAGAAAGCGGTTGTGCTCGGAGAATAAAAATCTTCAAGGAGATCATTCCGGTTGATCAAGTCGGGGAAAGCGAAGGGGGAGAGGTTGACGGTGTAACATATGGAGCTCGCCTTATCGCCATAGCCGCGCGGTGTACAAGGTTGTCCGCGTGGAACTACCGGGGTCTGGTCAAGTAGAAGGGCATGGACCAGGCATACCGGCTGCGGGATATGCGGTTGCTGGCACCTCGGAGATCAGTTACGACTTATTCTTGATGCAATGCACACCAGGCGGATCTAGCTGCTTGATGCAGTACACAGAAACCAACATAAGATACAAACGAGGCGGCTGTGAACAACGGGAGTGGTCGTCTAGAGAGGGGCGGGATAGCCGACGCCGTTAACGCGAGGCGGGAGCGGCCCGAAGAGGGATCCAGTTTTCAGTCGCGTGCACAGCGTGCCGTCAGTGCTCGCTCTGCAAAATGGCTCGATGTGGTGAGTGCTTCGGCAATGGGAGTCGGCTATTGTGAAGAAGACAATATGAGGACAGATTCGCAGTTAATTATCGACTGATCAGACAGGGCCGCCGAGTCGTGCCCTCCTGCTGTGCCGCATCACGATCGTCTTAGCGGTGAGTGCCAGGAGCGGCGCGTCCTGAAGGAGAGTTCGGGTGGCTGCTTAGAGCCGCGTTCGGCTGCGAGAAATCGCCAGCAAGTGATGGAAGGTTGCTTTAGGGTGTTGTAGGGTGTTGTAGATCGAAGGATTTAGAGATGGGGAAAGAAAGCATACCAAGAAGAAGCACGTGATCTCGGGCTTTACTGGGCAAGGCTTTTGCTAACAGTGGAACCCAAGAAGCTGCATTTGTGCATAATAGACGACAAGAGTCAGTGAGGGCGAATGAGGTTCTGCGGCAACTTTGCCGACGAGCCTGGAGCTGCGTTAGGTCACGTGCCTTGGCAGGTGCACAGATGGAAGGAGCGCCACCCGACTTTTCCCGCAGGCAAGTGGCCCGAACGACTATGGCTTCCGCAACGTCTCCATCTCCAACTCTATATCAGCGATTGATACCCCGAGGCCTACCGCTGGCCGACCGTGTGTGTACCCATGCTTACGAGTGCCTGACCCGGGCGAGCCGCCTGTTCTCACCAATCATGACTGTCTCGCATCAGCACCCTGGGCAGAGACCGCGGCGCGATGACTGATCAAATGGATGACTGATCAAACGCCATATATGAGCCGAGCCGCGCTTTCCATGCAGTACGGCGACTTTGGAGTCAAATGGCACCTTTATCGTTTCCTAAAGCTCTTCAGCATCGGCTCATTCTACAGATGATCCTGCGCCAGCCTTGACTGTGAACGCGCAGTGTGACCGAGATTAACACCAGAGAGATGTGGATAGTAAAAGAAATGTCATTAAATGGTAAGCACTTCGAATGTCATTAAGAAGTCATGGTACGTATTACCCATCATTAATACCTCTCGACTTTTTCATTTTCTGATATCGTCCCAGTCCGATCTCCATCATGTCCATGGCTCATGCCATCCATCCTCAGCACTCAAGACGGTTACACCTGACTCTCTAGCTCCTTCTGCCTCTGGCTCGCACCCTTGATCAAGGTCGACAAATCGCCAACTGCAGCGTGTTAGTTCTGAACTGAACTATGTTATATGCGAGTTCTTACCTGGAAGCTGGAACGGGAAGTCCAACGCCGCGAGCATGATAGCGAAGAATATCCACCACCCGCCGGCACATGTCACGAATGTGCAAGCGCCAGCCGCGACCATCAAATTGCTCGCCAGATCCGTGTTTCCGTTCGACGTTTGCCAATAAGCCCCTGCAAGGAGACAGAAGGCGGGAGAAAGAGTGGCGAAGATCACGACGAAGACAATGTTGGTGCGGAGAGCCAGAATGAGGAAAAGGAAGCTCAGGAGGCCCATAAACAGCAGGAAGAAAGCTGGAGTGCAACATGATTAGTACGAGATGGCGGCGAAAAAAGGGAAAGACGTACCGAAGCTCGAGTTGAACCCGACGGTTGTCAGTCCAGCAGCAGGGTTGCTCGGATCAGGCGAGTAGGCGCCGTAAGCATTGAAATCTGGCTGCAGAGTTCCACCAAAGGACAACCAGAAGGCCCCGAAGGTGCCGAAGACGACAAAGGGGTAGGTGTTTCCGAGGATCCATTCACCCACAGCACCAAGGAGCATGAGGATTCCGCCAAAGAAGAAGTATGTCGCCGTTCCGGAAGCGCCGCTACCACCCGATCCCCTCCAGCCCATGAGGATGCAGCTGAGCGGTGAAAGCGACAAGAGGAATCCCACCAAGGCTCTGTATTCGGATTAGCCAATGAACACGGTCGTCGAGCCCAGGAAACCTACAGTGGAGTCGGGTTGCCGACCATCTTGCGGAGATCGCCTTTGACTTGGTTCTGAGGCGAGAGGTACATCTTCTCGAAGAGCTCGGGAGAAATGGAGATGCTGCCTGCTGTCCTGATGCGCCTCAATGCCTCGTCGGATCCCACATGCGGCTCGAGACGCTCGCTTTGGAGGTTATTCTGACTGTGGGTGAAGTCCTTCTCGAGAGGCGCATCAGGGTCCGCCGAAGCGACGGCGTAAGGGTTTTCCGAAGTCATTGTGGGCTGAGTGGGGGGTATCGCAAGGAAGAGCAAGGAGAGATTGGCTGCTGGATAGGGAACAGAAAGGCTTCCGGCGGGTGGGGAGATCAGATCTGTCACGGCAGGGTATTGGGGTGGGAGGCGGCTCGCTCATATATGGGTGGGCTTTTGAGTCGACAGGGCTACGGCTCCGCACGCTGGCGTCCTTTGTTGACCGGCTTTGCTCAGGTGGAGAGTGCTCTCACACGCTGATCACGATGCGGGCTCAAGCCAATGGGAGGTGGCGCAGCAGAGGCATTGGAGTGATCCGGGCCAGCCGGCGTTGTGCAATCCAGTCAAGGTGCAGCTGCACACGAAGCTCTTTGGCATTGTCGTTTCCCCAGACGCCAAACGGCCGGCTTATTTCCACGCGGGGGAGGCGGCTAGGCCAGGAATGATGGCTGAAGCACGAGATCCTTGATAGCGGGCACGAGTCAAGGGGCGGTGGTTGGTGAGGAGATTCGAGACTAGGGCCGGGTAGGCGGAGAGCAAAGGCCTGGGGAAGTCTGGGGCCAAAAGGCTGCGATTGGACTGGCCCGCTAAGACCGCGATCCACCTCTAGCAAAATGCGGGGGAAAGTCAAACCACGACTTGCATCACCACGACCTCCGCTCCGCCAGCTGCCGCCGCTGAGCACCCCATCCGCGCCGCGTTCCTCGTTGCATTGTGCGGCTCTGGGCCCGCTCGCTCTCGGTCGATTCACCGCTACGGTAGGAGCAGCTCCAGAAGCGCCATTGGAGGTCTAGCGTGGCCGCAAGCGCGACGCGCTGGCCGACGCCATCCCGCCCGCCAAGCTTTGCAGCATCGCTATGATATGCTCGGGCTAAGGGCAACGCTGGCCTCCGGCCCGATGATGACCAAACCCTCGCCATGCAGGAACCCAAACCCTCTCTTCCCTCAAGCATTATCTGCCGGCAGCTGTACCAGATTTCGCCGAGCCAGACGATCAGACTCGGTCTGTGCTCAAGAGCCTCGACACGCGCGCTGCTGGGATTCCGTTGACAGAACAGCCCGTAATGCATCATCAGCCCCTCAGAGCTTTGGCCCGCCCGTCTCCGCACCTACATCCACCTATCCCGCCACGCGGGGTGGTCTCGATGCTTCGGCGCTCGATGATGATGACGGCTGACCCTCACCATCTGGGACGCGCCAAAGCTTGTTCCCAATGAGACTGCCTCGTTCCAGCACCCATGGCTTTGTGCAGAATTCAGTCACAATCACCTGCCACATAGCTTAAACGGCCCTATTCGTGAATGACGCTTGCCACGTTCTGAGCCGGGACGGCGCGCCGTTCGCTGTCTCTTCATAACCAATCGCCTGGGTATCCTCTAGGCCGACGTTGGCGTTCGGCGGAACCAGACCCTGCGAACTGGGGTTTCCTGGTCACTACCTTTTTGGACAACGTCTTCTCAAAAGTCGCCGTACAGAGCCCGATGCTCCACACCCCTTTAACCTCCTCAACAATCCTCAATCTTCAAAGACTGATGCACCGTTCAAACATATCCGAACACGATGTTGTTTTGCCATCATAACCGCATGGGGAGCTTGATCATTCGGGACCGACGATGCCATGTCCGGCTCTTTTTTTTTTTTTTTTGGATGAGTTCGCTTCGAGGACGCCATAGCTGCAAACATTGTAACTTCATGGTCTCACATCGCCTCCAAGCACTGATCCCCGCAGCCGAGGCGCCACGTCTGAGGCTTGGCGCGGAAGCCGCATGTCCCCCCTCCTTCTCCGCACACTCAGCCATAGTACTTTTACTCCTGCCCTTCACCATTTTATTTTGGCATCGCCACACAAAAAATCGCTCCTAATTACATGAATCCTCAACAGTCTCGTCGTACTAGTCTCAACACTTCGGCCATGCGTCACAAAGCCGCCTCATTCCTTCGTCCGGACGTCCGGATGCGGCTCCGCACCGCACCTTGCGATTACGGAGTACCCACTCCCCCAATCTTCCAATGGCTGGCTGGAAAGCGGTCAGCTCTGTTTCATTGGGACTCAGATAAATTGTCCGACACTTGTCCTCGGTGTCCGTGTCAGCTTCTTTCCCCGGACCCGGCAGCGCGCATCGGCTTCGTCGTACTGCCATGACGAGATTTCGTCAATGCGTGCGGCTGAGGGTGCGAACAGCTGTGATGCTTATAGTCATGTCGCATATGATCTTGTGATTTGTGATGATCGCCCTGATGCGTACGGCCCTGGTCCGCAGTGCTTCGTTGCACTCGTCGAAGTCTCAGACATTTTTCAACATTCTCTCTGTGCAGACAGCAATCAGCTAGATAACAAACACTGGGTCCTGACGGAACGCCAGTTGTACCTATCCAGCCAATGAAAAACATTCATAGTTCAGATCGTCAAGCATCATAGATACTATTTTACTATCCAAGATCTCTCGGCGAGCAGGGCCACAGAGAGATACATCAATGATCCCCTGCGTAGTGCTGCGTACCTGGGCACAAAAACCCAAGCGAGATCCGACGCGCATGCACGCCTTCGTGTGAAAATGCTTACTTCAAGTCATCAAATCCGTACATCTTCCATGGGCGATAATAATGCGACATGCCACAAAATCAGCTCCCTTGATAGTATACCGTTGCGGAGGATATCTTGCAGTGCCACAAGGGGGTGTTTAAGCCCCCCATGCCTTTGCGAATATCATCTCTCAGATTGCGTGAGCATCATTGGATTGGCACTGGGATGGAGGGGGAGACACGAGAGATCGTCATAGACCCTTGTACCTCAAAGCTGGGCGTCAGGATTTTTTTTTCCATATTTACCATAGACCCGGTGTACATTCAAGTGGGGAGCTTGGTCAAGATACACAGAGAGTGAACTTCCCTGTAAACAGGCTGGAGCTCTCACCAAATTGTGTTTGCCCCTGCCAAGGTGAGTCTATCAAGTTACACTGACACAGGGAGTGAGAGGTAGCTCTGGTCATTTCGGCCCATACAAACTAAAAAACATCGCCCATGATCCGTTGTTCCATATTGCTACACGCGGCGCCCTGGGTGCTGCCGTATTCATTCACGCGAATGATGAGCGTGGCGAACAGTCTGGACCTCCTCGCATTCAGGACGGTTTAGCTTCCATCAGCCCGGGTTGCGATTGCTCCGCTGGTCCCCTCGTGCGAGGACTGTTAGAACGGCATCTTCCCCGATTCAGACACCTTTTCTTCCGCAGTCGGAGGAAAAAGAGGCGAATTTCTCCTTTTAGGCGGCGGACGAGCAAGAAATTTCCGCGGGTCGCCCTCACCATTGCCACCGCTCGCGCTCAGACGTCTTGTCCTGTTGACCGCTTGGTGGCTTCGGGGAAGTTTGCCACCGCCGGCGTTCGAGCGAAAGCTACCATCGAACGAAGGAAGAGGTGGCAACAACAGCGAAAGGATGCCGCTTTCCGTAAGCTACCAGGGATATCGTTGTTAAGGCTCTGTTGGGAACCACTCCCCACGCCGGAAGGAGCAGGATTTCCCCCTTTTGAAGGGCCGGCCTGGAGGCTATCGGTTCTGCATGACTTTTTGATCGGTCTGTGGTGGTAATTGGGGGTGGACCCGGCGATCCCCGACACCGCTGAAGAAGCATGAGCGGAAGTTTGATGAGCCTTTTCCTGGAGAACCTGGTATCGTTGTGGGCTGTCCTGACTCGACCCTCTTCTTGCATACGAATGCTGCTTTGCAGTGAACAATGCTTCTGCTTCACCGCTGAACGGGCGTCAAGGCGAATCCAACACCTTTGCAATTTAACATGTCCGTCACTCTGTCAGTAAACCTTGGGGCCCCGGTACCCCGATTTGCCTTTTGCATGGTTCATATTGCTGAAGTGCTGCAATTTAAGAGAGCAATTCGTCGGTGCGTTCAAAAGCCTTCATGTTCATTTTCATACCGGTATTTTCGAAAGAGCTTACACTGCCATACCGGACAGGAAATCTTAGTACAGCAGCCTAGCTAAGCCATGCCATCGAGCGTTTACCATGCGTTGAGCTTTTCGGCAATCAGCAAAGCTGCCTTTCATCCGACATCCGCTTCGCTTCAAACAACACGAATAGAATACGACCACAGACAGCCGAAGTACATATGCAATTAGAGATAAGGGATAGAAGATTTCATAAGGCCACGGGGTACTTGCGTGCTTCACGAACCGTGGGAAAGCCAGTGGATGACTCAAGTCTGCGGTGGTGTGTGCTGTCGCCGCCACGGTACCGTCACGAATCGCTACCATGATCTCACCACGCACACAACAAACGAAACTAAGTTCGAATCAGCAAAAGGTACAAAGTCTCGAGGCAGAAGAGAGAAAGAAAGTAAGTGATGAGGAGGGGGGGAAAATGAAAGGAGTGATATACCAGGAAGCAAAACTACACGCTCCTCCAGGTGTCCCCGGAGCGCGCAGAAACCCCGTCAGCAGGTCCTGTCCGTTGGACCCTCGAGGGTTTTTTGCGATTCAGTCACCCTGCGTAGGCTAGGTTTTGAACTCGAGAACTTCCGCGAAGAGTCCTGAGTGTCGCCGGCGTCTACCACTGGGCTATGCCAGCGTAGACGCCGGCGATGGTAGGGAAGTTGCAGAGACGATTTATATATGCACCACAAATAGTCGACCCAGCGTCACTCTTTCCTCAGGCACCAGCAACGCCATCGCTGCAGTATTCATAGGGCCATCAGTAGCCCACCGACACACGAGCTGGATGTGCATCCCGATCAAACAATGGTAAGTCGTAAATTGACAACGCATTTCTCTAAGATAGCATGCTGCGGTTGCAAAAATAGCAATAGTGTTCAAGAATAATACTTTCGATCACATCAACTCTTCCTCCCTTTTGACGTTGCAAACACCAAATAGACCATGAACCTTACCCATCGGGCATTACCTATCAATTCATAAGTATTTCATAAGGTTGCAAAGTGCCATCCATGCCTGAAATCTTGCTTAGGTCCCTGTAACCTGAAAACGCAGCGTTGATGGCGGACTATGGAAAGGCGAATCGCTTTGATCTGCTGTGATAGGAACGTATACTATTACGCCTTGACGGCGAAGCTCATTTACAGATTCAAGAAAACTCTTAATATGTAACTTCGCAGTTATGAGCAAGCTATCGTTATGCACATGATAAGTACGTCGACTATACACCTCTCTTATGCGGCAGTAAAAATCATGGTACTATGTTTTCATTGAATAAACAGCTATACTATATTAGTACTCTTAACACTTACTATAGAAATAGAGCACGATAATCTAAATTTAACATTCCCTCTATGAAAATTTTAGCCAACTGTTGATAGTAAAGCGTATTTATTAGCAGCGATACATTTATTTAATACAGAGTAGTCTAACTTCACTTTATAGATTAACGCGATTTGCTACATGGAGTACAAGACTATTCTAAAAGGTGGTTCTACAATACAAAATAGATGAACCGGTCATCTTTACGTTAGTTAGCTGCATTCCAGTCTTCTTCCCCTAATGATTGTTACTAGTCCCAGATGCTATATACGGGCTACCCGCTGCGATTATTGTTTTAATAGTACCTTGTAAAGTTACCTTCTAAGTTTTCGAAAGCCCTAGAGTCCAAATTCCTCGAAGAATTTGCCGAGTGGCGTGAACCATGTTCTTCTCCTCCATTACTCGTGAGTTGCCAGTCTGGGAGTTCCCTAAGATCCATTGCACGTGGCGGAAAGTTATTGGAGAATAAGCTTCGCTGTGCTGAGCCGACAGTCAATAATATCATGTCGGCATAATCATCATAGGGTGTTGTCAAATGCAGTGGCGGAGTTACACACAGTTCCTGGCGCAATCGAAGTGCACGAGCTCTTGCTCAAAGTTTCCCCAGTCAAGTGATTGCCGAGGGCTGATTGGTTATTTCTTGCTGATTTGCATCGGTGGGACGCCAGCGCAATCAGTCAGCCGGTCCATGCAAGTCAGATAGACGGCGTCGCTTTCGAAAGCTGTTCTGTCTCGATTCCTATGGAGAGAATAGTTAGCAGGTATGTTTATCAACCCCTTTCTCACCCTTTTAGATTCTTTGCATACATTCAGAACTGCGCAAACAAAACAGCCGACTTTCGGAATCACTGAGGTTGGGCCCAAAGACTCGGGTATTGATAGTTAGCTTCTCTGCAATGCATGACAAGCCTCCAATGGTACCGAGCTACTGAGTCATAGTGAAAAGGCCAACAAAGACGGTCGAAGCATCGTCACTGCGGGGTTCAGAAGTAAAATTCACCACAGAATCGCAGTCCGGAACAGAGCGCAGTGTAGCACACACTGATCCACAAGATGAGATATGGAGGTGATTTTGCAGACATTCCAAGGAAGCCCAGCCCCCACGAGCTCGGCATCACGCGAACAAAGTCCTTGCGGAGTTGAATACGAAAACCCGCAGCTGCAGCGATCGCTTCATCCGCACGTGGGTTGTTGCATGCAGTATACGATACGCGGGTCCTGATGCGCGCCTGCCAACTATTGGAAATGTGCGTCCCAAGCCCTTCACCACACAATGAGCGTTCACGATGTTTACAAAGGAATGCACGATAGCCCTGTTTTGAGGCGATCAAACCTCTCCCCGTGCTGCACTGCAAGTGTGGTGCCACCACCTCGCCATGTGGACGTAAATTGTTTGCTCGAGCACATTCCACATTTTTCTGGTGTCATTGTCGCCTTGCACTGCACCGCTCGCCTGGGAGTTTGTAACAAGTTGGAGAGAAAAGCAAGGGGAAAGAAAAAAAAAAAACACAAGTGTCGGAAGGAGTCCAGCCCAAGGATGGTGTTTATCTTTTCCGAAGGAAGAAGCTATCGGCGCTGCTCTTATTTAAGGGCATGCAGCCGCCCCCGGGGAGGTCCGACGGGATATGATTCGGATCGACCAATCAGCAACCCGGTGCAAGGCTGGGGGAAAAGCAAAAAAAACAAGGCGAGTTAAGGCGAACGCGAGAACCAAGAATTTGACGAGAAACCGATTGGTTGAAATCCGCGCCTTACGTGGCTATTCTTGGTTTGCCTCGCGTTTTATGCAGTGGAACCCTCTGTGCAGCCGACGCCATGATAGCGTTGGTACTTCTCGATTACCTCGCCTCTGCAGTTTTCTATAAGTGGTCAGTGATCACGACATATTTGGCCTCTCACATGAGGTTCGGTGAGGTTCGAGGAAAGGAGGGCGAAAAGTAGGGCGGTACGATGGCGGATATATCTGGAGAAATGTGTCGGACGAGGATATTTTGCCACCACATATCAGGCAGGGGAATTGAAACGATGGACTGACTGGTTACAGAAAAAGGAAGCACATGGTCTCGCCTCAGGATGAGTCGAGGCGAGAGCCCAGAAGCTGGGAACAAAGGTGATGATCCGCAGAGAAGGGCCATGGTGTGGTCTAATAGAACTGCCGTGGAATGTAGTAGGACACCTATAGGAGTCAGTATCCGCCTAAATGGTCAAAGTCTACGGACACCATGTTCATGCAAAGACGCCCTGCCAAACGGGGGATTCGATAGGCTCAACCGAACTTGGTGTTACAGGTTGGCACACGGCCCGGACCGTTGCTGCAATCCGTTTTGTATGACTGCCAATAAGACTTGCAAACTCAAGTGACTGGATCTTATGAAGGTTAACATTTTTATTGACTGTGACTTTGTTTTCTAAAGAAAAGCGAGACCAGCTTGAATGAGGGTGAGAAGTGTGCTTACGCTGATCTCGGCCGAGAGAGTGAAGCTTGATCCGCCATGTCCTCCTCCGAACTTTCTACTGTAGTGATTGGAAAAAAAGAAGGTAAAGAGATCCGAAATGGTACGAGTCAAAGAATGTGGGTCTGCAGGAATATAGTAAGAACGCCCTTCTCCGTACAAGAAGACAAGTGACCTCCCAGAAACTCGGCTCAGCTCGTTCGGCTTCGGAGTGCATCGACCAGCTTCGCCTCACGCCTCTCAACCAGTGAGCGGCGAGAGAGCAAGCACAGGCTGCTGATGGAGTCTCCTTCGACCAGCATCCTGCGCCTCATGCTCCTCTTCCGTGCAGGGTCCGATACAAAGGTACGAACGGCAGCTGATGTTTCTCCAACCACGAACGATAATCCCCGTTCGCTCTGGTTAATAGAACACCTTGATCTTTCCGTTATCGCCGTCACCGGTCTCATTCGCCACCAGTGCTCCAAGCCCACGCACCCGTTCGAAGCCCTCCAGACCCGGCTTCGCCCGACTGGGCTCCTTCCCTCCCTGCACAACGCAACAGAAGACGGTACTCCATCCATACAGCGCCGCGTTATGATACGCCCGCGCCAAGCAGGCCTCCCTACTTCCCGCAATCTCAACCCTATAGACCTTCTCGTCGCTGACACCCCTGACACCGCCGGTCACCCTTCCTGGCGGTGGTGGTGGTGGCAACGGAAAGCGGTCCCACCCGGCCCCCTGCTGCCCTGACGCCGCCTCGTTTTCCACTGCCCTCGGCGCCTCCGTGACCATGTAGTATTTGAGGTAGGCATCCGCGATGCGGTGCTTATTGCGCACGTCGCACCGGTCAGCGCCGGCGGCGCAGTGAGCGTCCGCAGGCCCTTCGCCCAGGGGGAAACACCAGCAAGGGTCCTGCTGCTGCTGCCCATCAGCGCCATCAGGGGTCGCGGCGCCCAGCACCGCCCCGGCCCAGACGCGAACCACGTCCGCGGATGCGGGACGGACTGTTGCACTGCTGCCGGGCAACTGGTTGGTGGCGGCAGCAGCGGTGGTCATCAGGCCGCCTGCCGGCTTGCTGGCGAGCTGGGCAAAGAGGAGCGAGACCAGCTCCTTGACGGCCGGGTTGCCACTGCTGTTGCCACTGACTGCTTCGAGCTGGCTCAGGCGCTCCAGCTCGGCCGTCGTGGGCCGCGCGTACCACCGGTCCGGCTCGCCGTGCCGCAGCAGCCAGAGGTGCGTGTCCAGGTCGAACGGCGTGGCGCGGTGGTGCGTCAGCCCGGCCAGGCGCCATGGACTGCTGCTGCTGGAGCCACCGCCGCTCATGCCGACGCCCAGGCGGACGATGCGGTCCGGGACGGGGCGCTGGCGCGGGTTGCTGGGGCGGAGGAGCGCGGTGGCGGTGTCGATGACTTCGATGTCTTGGAGGCCGGCGCGGCGCCGTGGCTGGGAGTCGGCTAGGGCCATTGGTGGTGGTGGTGGAGGTGGCGGCGGCGGCGGAGGCGGTGGTGGCACTTGACCGTGATATGGTATCTGACGGTTCGAAGGAGGAGGAGGAGGTGGTGGGGGTGGGGGACATCCCCTTGTAATTGGATAATGAGTTGCATTATTGAACTCGAATGGAGGTGGAGGCGGTGGTGGTGGTGGTGGTGGTGGCGGCGGCGGCGGTGGAGGAGCTTGATAGACTATCGGGGGAGGTGGTGGTAAGGGCGGCCCAGGGGATGGGAACGCGCCCCCAGATAAGTAATCAGGATTAAATCCAGCACCCGCAAGTGGACGGGCATGGCTGGGCGGTGGTAGTGGCTGCTCAACCAGAGGAGAGCTTGTAGGGCCCAAGTCAGTTGGGCACGCGTCGCAGCTCATTTCCTGGTTTCCATCTTTTTCAACGCCCTCGCCTCCTCCATTCGTTTCAGAGACCGCAGGATCCTCCGCATCCTTTTCTCCGTCTGACAGCAGCTCGGGCGATTCCAAATTCTCATTCGTCTCGGTCTCGCCGATTGATGACGGTGGCCTAGCTTTGCCCTCGACGGTTTCCGTCATAGGCCGGCTTCTAATCGGAAACATGCTGACACAGTAAGGGTGAGTGGATTTCGAATCTGTGGAAAGATCGGTTATCTCGTTTGAATTGATAATGACGAGCTCTTCGTCGGACTCATCCATGAGTAGCCACGAACAGTGGAATGGGGACGAGTGATGATATTTGGAGAGCTACGGGACTGGGACCGCTTCTTATACACATTCTGAGCAGGCAACAGCAGGCAATGGTAGGGCGCTGTTGTGAGGCAAAAAGCGCGCAGGTGATGAACAGCGAAGGCGGCAGGCTGCCAACAGAAGCATACGCGATGCATAATAAGCATGCAGCCATTGCTCCCCGAGTCACAACATAAGCCGCTAACCGTACCACGCCAACACAAGACACATCGTGTGCCTTCGTTCCCTGCAAACCGATCCCGCCGAACAGGACAGAACAGCTCACTAAGGGTTGAGTAACCAAGGACAGTAGCTGACTTAAATCATACTGTGGAGCCGTAGGGACTGTGGAGAGAGATGATGCGAGGTGCAAACCTTATTCTTTGGATTTGTGACCCATGCGCCGCTCTAGCCCCCTCCGGATGCTTGCAGACCAGCGGTGTGAATCAAACAAAATCATTCGTTTGTGTTTCATCTTCTCGGAACAGTTCCACATTTACTTTACCCTTGACTGTCGAAGTGCAGCTTACAGAGCGTTTGAACCGAAATCTAGCACATGTTTCTACAAGTCATAGTTGCCCGCACCTTGCCGCCTCCGGTCAAAGTGGGTCCTGAAAAATACGTTGAAACAATCCCTTCTGAAACTTTCTGAATGCTGTGCCTCATGAGCTGGTATCACGCTAGTGAGGTGAATCCACATGCTCTCTGTAACGCGTTTCGGACGCACTTAGGATATGCATCCTTGTCGATCTGTTAAGTGAGGCGTACGCCTCAAGAATGACTGGTCAACAATACAACGCTGATAAATCAAGTCTTCATTTGGATTGAACACGGGAAACTCGATATGAGGATAGGCTGGAACAGTCTCTTTTGTCCGCCCGTTAATGCAATCCGGAATTGCCAGCGCGAGCAAGTTGGTGGCCTCGCGTTTACCTCCAGGGGCGTGCGCTGTGCCTATGTCACAAGCTTCTGGAGGTTGGCTTTACTGGAAGCCCTACCTAATCCTACTTATCTGGAATAGTCCACTGTAATTATAAGGCGAACTATGTGGTACATGGTGTCTCCAGATTGCGAGTTATCTAGCAGCTGCTCAGCTGCGGTGTCGCAGTTGCCTGAGATGCTACTGTTGATAGCTCGCCCTGAAAACCAAGAAGAGATGTCCAGCCGCTCCATTCAGGCCGCGAAAACAAAACGAGGCTGATATTGTGGAGTGAGCACGGACTCTGGATCACCGAATGACGTGGCCGTGATTACGAGTAACCGGTGAGTAGCTTCGTGGCGAATGCTCACTCCGCCCAGATAGGTACACCACAGCCTTTCTACATCATGAGAAGGAGTGAGATAGCCACAAATACAGCTTGCGTCTTCCGGTGAAGGGTGTCAAGTGATATCAGGCCAAGGATGCCGCCTGCTCTAGCCTTGGGAAGGCGAATAGCACCGCATGCATGTCTCCCTCGCCTTAGACATGATATTCTTGGCTTCTGAGGCTGCATTTCAGGCTCTCCAGTCAGGCCTACGTCCATTTGTGGCTTCCAGACGAACTTACGAGGTGGCTGAAAAGTGAGTGCTGAGTAAAGGCTGTCTATTGGACAGGGGGAGTGTTTTCAGCTTAGCCGGGTACCAATCTGGTCGAGATTCAGATAGCAGGGATAACGGACCGGTGAAGTGCAAACCTCCAGTCAGGTCATCATCTTTGTTTCGCAGGCGAGCTGAATTTCAATTGTTTCTCGTTTGGTAAGATCTTGCATCTGGGGCCAGCTTGGAGATCTGGGCAGTTCACATTATGATCGCACACCTGTTGAGCAAGCCGCCGAAACCCCGGCATAGTATTTCGCACTTTGTCACAGATACCTTCCTTACTGGTGCTGCCAACCTACGACAACAGATATGGATGACTGGTGCATTTTGTAATCATGCATTGTTCTATCCTGGCTGCATGAAAGAAGCCCATCATAGTCGTGTGGAGGAAGTTGAAGAAAATGTCCAGATAAATTAACCTAAAAACTGTACAAACGTCTAGATACTGGCTCAGTGTAATCGCTTATCTTTTTCACTGTACCATACCGCCTTACAGGCCTCTTAAGGGTAAAGGAGTACTAGTATGAAGTCCGGGTGAGAACTTTTGGGGTGTCACAGCATACATACATATTTCATGTTTGCGGTATTCTGAATCACGGGGTTTGATTTCGATATATCTGAAGACGCGATTGTGAAGATTGTTTTTGTCGAACTCGTTGTCGGCGAGGGAATGGCATAAGGGGTATCAGAAGAGCTGGGTAGGCAGGTGTGATTGGACCACTCTTATTGGATGATCCTACGAGTACTAGTAGTAGCGTGGTGTCACAAAGATACCACCTACTTAGAGCGGCAATCGGATGCTACCTAAATAAATTAATCCACTTAAAAAAAGGACATATTACGGGAGGCAATTCCTTTGCGATTCTTCCTGCAACCAATTTCTAGGCATGTATTTGCATCATTTCATAAAAGTCATACCAAATTTCAAAATACTTTGTTGGAATAGAAAAAGTACGATGCAACATTGATTCCAGTACTGGCCAATGGCCATTGACAATGTCTGACATATTTTACTTCAGTCGACTTCCAAGTCCACGTGATATGTACAGTAAGACAGGTAAGCTCATGCTGTGAAGAGGGCAGTCTTGGCATGAAGAGCGTTGCCGCCAGTGAAGAGCATAGCGAGGGTTGAGAAGAAAGCGACCATGCTAAGGAATTGTCAGCTGTTTATGTCAAAAAGAAAAGCTTAGTGCATACAATAAAGTGGACCTTGCGGCACCCTGTCCGTTTAGGTAAGCCCATTTGTAGCCAGCGCGAGAAAGGAACCAGGTTGCATGATAGGCATTCTGCAACTGAGGCGAAACACCGCCGAGCCATCCGACCAAGGTGGCGGCGAGATACAGTGGGCTGACCTCAAGCAGATTGGCAGCGGCGGCTTTGGCGCGAATGATCTTGGTGCGCTGCTCATGGCTGACATGGCCCTTTTCTTGCTCGGCGCGGTTAAGCAGAGATGCGGGGTCCTGGTTGTTTTCGCCCAGCAGTTTGTCGGAGTAATACATGCGCGGTGTCGCGACAACATTGATGGCGTAGGTCAGCACAATGGACAAGATTGGCGTCGGAGGCAGGCCGAGGGGCCTGAGAGTGGAAAAGATGCCTGTCGTGGTAGTGGTAGACATGACGAAGATGCGGATTGGTCAATGCGATGTGTGACTCGAGGGCTGAGGGTGTCAAAGTCTATATAAAGTCAAGCACTCGCTTCAGTACCTACGTCATCTCTCTCCGCCCCGCGATCGGAAGGAATCTACCCGAGCACAGGACCATCCTGCTCGCATACAGTTCTCCGTCGGAGACAGTAAGCATATTCCTTCGGCAGCGGGGTACGCAGGCAGCAGCCAGAACAACAGGCCAGTCGTGGCGTGATACGTAGCTGTTGGGTCTGCGGCTGAGGGAAAAATCAGCAGAATGACTCGGGGTCCAGAATGGCGCCCAGCGAGGCCCATTGACTCGCTTTCGACTCGGCGGCACTGAGAACAATGGGAGAATGGTGTCTGCAGGACGCAGGCCATTGACGATGGGGGGACGGGCCGATCACGTGCGAGAGGTGCCGATTACATGACACTTTGCGGCTTCTGAGGCGCGGCGGCCAGGGTGTGCCCGAGCCGGGCTGAACACCATCGCCAATCCGCCGTCCTACCCAACCATCTACATCGCCTCTCCGCGCCCCGCACTCACCACCGCACGCCCCGACCCACGAAAATCCGCCCGCGCAGCCCGCGCATCCAGCAATCATGGCGGCCACCAAGCAGGAGTCGCAGAAGATTTTCGAGAAGCTCAAGACCAAGCCCGCCAACAAGGTCCGCCGCCCCTGTCCTGTTGCACGCGCATTCTGCTGACTGCAGCCAGATATGCTTCGACTGCGGCGCCAAAAACCCCACCTGGTCCTCCGTGCCCTTTGGCATCTACCTGTGCCTCGATTGTTCCGCCAACCACCGTAATATGGGCGTGCACATCTCCTTTGTGCGCTCCACCAACCTCGACAGTATGCTCTCCCGTACCAATGCCCCGACCGCCCGCTGACGCTCTCCAGTCTGGCAATGGGAACAGCTCCGCATCATGAAGGTCGGCGGCAACGAGTCGGCCACCAAGTACTTCCAGACCCACGGCGGTACTGCTGCTCTCAACTCGAAGGACCCCAAAGCCAAGTACAGCTCCAACGCTGCCACAAAGTACAAGGAGGAGTTGACCAGGAGGGTTGCTCTGGACAAGAAGCAGTAAGCCCCTGCCACATTCCCTACGCCCTTTCAATGGCCGCTGACCCTGCCAGATTCCCCGATGAGGTAATCATCACCGACGTGCCCGACGCCGAGACGTCTGGTTCCAACACCCCCGCTGGCGACGAGGACGACTTCTTCTCGTCCTGGGACAAGCCCACCATCAAGCGCCCCAGCAACCCTCCCTCGCGCACCGGCACCCCCGCCTCCGGTAGCCGCACCGCCTCGCCATTCCTGAACGCTTCCTCCAATGGCAACGGCACCGCCCGCTCCAAGTCGCCGCTCTCCGCTGGCTCTGAAGCCACCCCAGCCGCTCCCCGTGCTGTTCCCGCATCTGCCGTCCGCAGCAAGACCGCCGCCACATCGAAGCCCAAGGCCAACATTCTCGGCGCAAAGAAGAAGGGTCTGGGAGCGAAGAAGGTCGTGGCCACCGGCGGAGACGCTCTTGACTTCGACGAGATGGAGCGCAAGGCGAAGGAAGAGGCCGAGCGCATCGAGAAGCTGGGTTACGATGCCGAGGCCGAGCGTGTGGCCGCCGAGGAGGCTGCGAAGGCCAAGGAGGCTGAGAGCCGCACAAACATCGTCAGCCCGACTCCCGTGAGCCCACGCGGCGGGTTTGGCTCGACCAGCAAGGATCGCAACAGCGGAGATGTCGAGCGTCTGGGTATGGGCGTTGCAAGGCTGGGCTTCGGTCAGGTTGGTTCCAGCAAACCCGCTGCGGCACCCAAGAAGATGGGCGGTTTCGGCTCTACAAGTCGTCCTGCTCAAGATGGTACGTTGCGACCGGGGGGGGG